GGTATAAGGGCAGATCCACGGTCATCTAAAGAGAAAATCCATTTTAATAGAGTTCCCTCTTCAGTCAATTTATGAATATTTACGTGCTTCTCGAATGGGTGTTCAGCACCAGATAGGCGATTGTGGAGGATTGAGCGGGGTATATTAAAGGTAGATACAGCTTAGGTTGTATTGGTAATTTCGCCATTGTTTATAGCTTTAATAGCTAATAGGATCCTTCCTGTTCAACCCGTTTATGGGCTATTTGAACATTCTTAGGTGGCATGGGGAGAGGTTGAAAAAGTAAGACACGTAAATGACGCGTAAAAAAAATGAAATTCACGGGTCGTACGTGTTTTACTCTAGATGATATAATATTAGCGATAACTTGTGATATGTCTACAAGAGCTAGTTTTTATACTGAAGTAATTTTATGAAATTTCTTATTTGATAATATTCTCATAAAAGATTCTCACTAAAACTAAAAAAAATAAAGATCTTTACCTATGAAATTAAAATACATAGTATAAAAAGTATTGAATAAAAAATAGTACAAGAAACCACTCATTGGTCAGCGGGAGAATTCAGTATGATAATTTTCAGCACAGGAAGATTATAAGAGCCTTTTTGGTGTAGGCGCAAGTCAAGAAGACCATTACTTATGTCTGTGGCTATAGTAATAGCCAGGATGACTGTGGGAAGCATATAAAGGTATTCCACATAACTTCATAGCTATGCTAAGAATTTAACAGGTAAATATTAATAATAGATTTAAATAATTTCGAAGTATCCTTTTATAACTACGATGATTCTAGCTTTTTGACCATATGTCCCATTATTTTGAGTTAGGCTGTATAACACGTACTGTTACAGGGTGAGCCCTCACAGCGCCATACGCGTATCGCCGTGACACGTCACGTGCCTTCTTCCCGCTTCCCTATATCAGACTCTTGCCTTTACCACTGTTTTCTCGTCCTCAGTTCATCCTTCTTGAATCATATCGGACTATTACAGTGCCCAATTTAATGTAGTATCGTCCCGTTACACGTACACCCGAAATAATCACTATAAACTCGTAACCGGGCCTTACATACGTTACATAAATTACACTTAATTTCAGACCCTCGCTACACGAGGGTCCGCCACCCAAATGGACTATTTTTTTAAAAAATTTCTACAACCACTACCTTTTTAACCACCACTCCACTAAAGATGCCTTCAGATAATGAAGACATTGAAGATCAGATTATTAAAGCCCTCAAATCCCTCCATACTCAATTAAAACTAAATATTACGAAAACTGCACGAGAATTCGCGGTTCCTCGCGGTCGGTTTCATCGGCGTTGGCATGGTGGAAAATCACTATTTGAACGATAACCTAATGACCGTAAGCTTAATTGTGCTTAGGAATTAGTTCTTTGCGAATATACCAACTAATTTGATAAGGCATGAGTATCAATTAGTCGCGGACAAATTGAAATTGCAGCCAATTCAATTCTCAAAGAGGCCCATATAGACCCAACAACAAAACCATCACAAATCGGCGACCATTGGTTAAAACGCCTCCTTAAACGTCATCCTGAATACCATCGTCAACGCTGATAAGAAATTGATGTTGAGCGAAGCCTTGCTTTTAATTAAATCTATGGTTGAGCGATGGTTTAAAGACTATGAGCGTGTCATCATAGAATATAGTATTTGTCAACAGGATGTCTATAACTTTGACGAGACTAAATAGCTTCCAAATTAATGTTGGAAGAGACCAATAGATCATTACAAGAGAGCCAAAGAAGGAGTCATTCAATGGTTCTGTCACCAATCACGAATCTATTACCTGTTTAGAGGCTCAGGCTACTCTCGCCATAGAATTACAGCGGGGATTTGACAACACAAAACCTATCATGGCAGCACGCCCCGCCCGATATAGTGCTTCTCATCATTACACAAGGATCACAGGTATCATTATTTCTGATCAGGTCAAAGACATGAAGCTAAAAGAGTATAAGCTTAATGAAAAAGCTCATCAAGATAAGATATGACGGAAGTGGAAGAAGGTATTGGTTGAGATTAGGAAGCATGGAAGGTCGAAAAAAAAGCTTAAAAAATAATTCTTCTTGGTTTTAACTATAATTTAGTCTCTATCTAATTCATACTATATTTATTTAGAGGTGGTTAAAAATGTGGTTGTTGTAGGAATTTAGAAGAATAGTCCATTTGGGTGGCGGACCCTTGTGTAGCGAGGGTCTGAAATTAAGTGTAATTTATGTGACGTATGTAAGGCCCGGTCATAGCTGACTCATTAATTTTAATTAAACTGATTGATCTTATGCCCTATTTTACCCACCTCGAGCAGGTTAGCTAGCGCCTAGTTTTGTATTTAGTAATTATATTAAAAAAATATGATGAACTATTTCAATCGTCCTTTTAGTAGGCGATAGAATCAAACTAAGTAATGACTCTAGACCTAAATAAATAAAGTAAATCACATGTGAACGGGACACATAGGTGAGTGGAACACCCAGAACACCATAGTAAACTCGAAAAATTGAATGTCATATCTCAACAACCATGACTCCGATAATATTTAAATATTCGGTGATATATCACGATAAGAGACCTCATAAAGAATAAATTCATTTTAAGTAAATTAGATAGATGGATTATAATGGTACCATAAATTACTATACTGTAATTTATCTATTTTAGCTTTAACTACACTTTACTTGATGATTTCCAAATATTTCTTTGCATATAAATATTATATTTTTAACTAGAAACAATTCAAATTCAAGATTTAAAATCATTCCTACTTGTGGTTGTTGAGATATGACATTCAATTTTTTCTAGTTTACTATGGTGTTCTGGGTGTTCCGCTCGCCTGTGTCCCGTTTGCATGTGTTATTGTTGCGACAGCCGAGAAACAAGGCCATCAACAGACGGAAAGTATTTCGGCCGAAAAAGCTTCTGCCGAGACAGCGACTCCGGAACTGGATTAGTATATCACGGCATCCTTGAACGATATGCATTCATCGCAAACGACACCCTTGAGCGATGTGCATTCGCGACAGTAATGTCCCGTCTTCACCGTCTCTTCTGTCTCGGACGAATGTTGACATTCGTCCAGAGCAGAGGGGCACCCATATACTATAAGTAGCTAGTTCTTTCATCAATGAAAAAGCAGACTTCACAACAACCGCAATATTCAGTATCGTAGCATCCACTACACCCGGTGGATTTTCTACGGTGTTGAGTAGCGGTTTGTTGGAGCTCACAACGTCACCATTCTCAGTTAAGATATTCGAATATCGCCAAGCGAGCGACAGTTATACTTTATAAGATTTCGATTTTACTAGGTCTTCTAGCGTCTAAAAAGAGTGATCACTATAGCACCATAATAATGGTCGATCATAAGCTATATCAAAGGAGGTAGAGGGAAATATTTAAGTCAAATATTCAACCTATCTAGTACTGTAGTACAGGACTAAAGCTGTAGCTTTTAAAGCTATTAATTATCGTATCTGCTCTAAATTTTATGATATCAAAGATCATATCAAGGAAATCATCTTTATCGATCGATTTAACAATAAATAGTATCTAGTTTAATATCGTAGTACTATAAAGCTTCTTTAAAGGTGACAAACAACCTACATCTAAAGGCAATAAACGATATAAACTTTAGGATATTTCTAGAAGCATATAAAATACGATAGATAGTATATCTTTATCTTCATAAATTTGATTAAATTTGAGAGTAATATAGCTACTATAATCATACAATATTAAAGGCAAAATTTACCTCTTCATTCCTAATCTTAGGGATAAAGTATATCTTTAACTAATAAAACTATTTGTACTTCGTATAGCAACCCTCGGTCTTTAAATATGGAATAGAGCATAGAACCGGGCACGACCCCACATCGACCGCCCCCACAGCAGTGGCCAGCCAGTGGAGCAATATTTTAACAATGCCAGCTCAACAACCTAAAGCACTATATAGCCTGCGGTGCGCGAAACACTAGTACTAGGTTAGACCAATTTATTAGAGATTTATTTAACGATCTACACTCGCGCTTGTAGACTATTCCGCTGAGCATGGGAGTAGGAGGGGAAGACGATGGGTAACGACACCATGAAAAACCTGGACACCGAGCACCCAGGCCACGACATCAAAAATACACCATGAACAAGATCAACGAAGGGGAGCGGAAGAATATGCCAACTGGGGAGAGAATACGAAGATTCTACAGAAGTTTGGCACCGGGAGAAGGAATGTGGGATTTGGAATTTACCTGTTGGACAGCAGTCCTATTTCTTTTGTATTTGATTTCTAAACGGCGTTGGGCACAAGTTCCTGCTTCGGACGGTTGAAGCGCCTGCATAGCATATACGCGACTAGTATAGCTCGACCGGGTTAATAGAACTTTGAATTGAATTGAATTGAATTGATATTCCGCTGAGCCACAAAAGGCTATAATAATTTTCCGAACGGAAGATTATTTGCAAGTTCCATATATATATATATATATATACCAACCTTGTAGAACACTGAATTGAGCATAATGCCGGTCGCATCTCCGTACGCCGTTACAATTTAACCCCAGTCTGATAATGATCAAAATGCGAGGTTTGTGTTCATTTCTCAATCTAGGTATTTTCCGTGTATATGTATACTTAATTTGAGCTCGGGTGCGAAGGGCTAATACTAATCTTGAATGCAGAACTAGTGATGCCGAAAAACTGTCTTTATTAAGCTTGAAGAGAAGAGAGAGAGACTAGCTATGGACATGTGGCAATATAAGGGATGCGGGTGCGGGTGGCACGTGACGAGCATGAGTAGCACAGGCATGAATGCTAAAGCAGGCACCAGCCTGTTACATCGGGAATATAAGATCACTCTACTTTATCCAACACCGGTCGATTGCAGTCCAACATAGCTATGGATTTTTTTTCGTAAAAATATTACCAGTGATAGACCTAGTCAAATTAATCTTATCATAAAGATGATAGAAATGATATACCTGTTAGAGACGTGTGAAGAAATACATGTATGCTGTCTTCTTCATTTTCTCAATGTCCTCAAATAGCACAACCTTTTCATCGTTAAACATGATCCAGGATAGCGCATCCTGACCTGGCAATGCTTTGCGAATCAGAGCCACATAATGCCTGCTGTTTTTTTAGTACAGTAATTGTAAAAAAAAGATAAACAAGACTTTTGCTTACCCTGCATGAACAGATGTGCCTTTATGGCATACAGCCGAACGCAGCTGATACCGAGCTGGTAAGGTATCGTAGCCATATGAGCCCTGTTGACCTTGCATGTCATCGCTGCTGGAGTGGTCCTCCCCTTCTGAATTGTCATCAGGATGACTGAATACCCAGTCAAGAGCTCGATTGACATCACCACCAGTAGCAGCCAAGGCTCGTCGAGCCCTTGGAGCCTCGATTCCCATATCACCCAATTGTGAAATTTTCCCTTCATCCTGTTCAGTGACCTTTGAATTTGAAACTCTTCCATCTAGCACCAGCGGTTCATCAATGCTGGGATCTTCCATATGAGCAAAGAGCCAATTCATGGCAGCCTCGGTATCGGAGTTACCAGTTGCATGGAGAGCCTTTTCACACCGCACAAGTGGAAAACCCATGCCTAAGAGTTGATCGAGAGAGCCAGTATTAGGTATGAAGCTTATATTTTCTTCAACCTCGGGTAGAAGCTCTTCATGCACATCATGCTCACCGGACAGGTAGCGACTCAAATCGACTGGTCCATCATCCACGATCACCGGAATATCCAGTTTTGTAGGGACCCAGTTGACAAGTTCAAAGCGACGAGCATTTATAGCTAATTCACGAGGCAATGTCTTGAAGGATAGGCGTTTTGAGAAACCGTCACGGCTTTCACATGCGGGACAAACCAGTTCAACAATTTCTTCTGCGGTAAAAATATCCAGACACTCTGACAATGCGACAGATTCAAATCCACCTGTTTCGCTTGCCATACGACGCGCCGGTACCGCCACAGACAGGTTATCTTGCTCATCTACCTTGTAGCGAACCTTTTTGCAGCCCAAACATTGAAGGCGCTGTTCAACCTGGAATCGAAAGTCTTGAACAGGATTGACCTTGCCATCAGTATGCTTTGAAAGGCTGATGGACTTGAACACATGCAGAAGAAACTCAAATGCATCCTGCTGTCTCATAGTGGCGAACTCCTCGTGGCCTTGACCAATCAAATATTTGAACATTGATGGAGCCAATCCCTTCTGGTGGGAAGTTTCTAGGTGGGAGCGGGGATCCGGTTGAGAGTACCTACCTGATAGGAGACCATCTGCAAGCTTTCTTAATTGTGTCTCAAGGTCCTGTGCCGGATCTTGACATAATGGCAGTTCCTCATTAGGGTGGTAGTATCGGTTCTTAAAGCCTGATACTGAAAAAAGGCATTGCATGATGCTGGCAAGATAGCAGCTGTTTCCTAGGTTGGCCAGTCCAGTGAAACCAGGTCCGAAAACAGGGATCAATTCACGGCCGTCTTCATTAGTCATAGAAAATTCCCACTGCAGGTTCTGTTCAACCTGCATCTCCATCAAGCTTTTCTCTGTCTTCTCACGTCCAGCCAATAGAATACCCCAATGTGCAAGGTGATTGACTAGTTCGGGATCGATTCGTTCCTCGTGACACGAATAGCAATAGATGTCTGCAGAACCTTCCGCGGTGATAGAGCCCAGCTTCACGGACACAGCATGTGAGGTCTCATTGGCGTGAGCGAGAGCATGAGAATTACCCCGAATACCACCAAATTGGCTTCGGCCACATGCAGTGTTTCCACATTCCAGGCAAAGCCAGAGATTCTCCTTTAAGTCACATGTGGAGCATTGGCTACAATCTGTAGATACAAACTAGTTAAGCTTGTATGATGAATATCTCAAGGGAGCACATACCTTTGGATGCTGCATTCTCGACATCTTGTTGGATGAGACATAATGTGTGCTCACAAGGGACAAATTCTTGTTCCCATGCTTTGACTTCCTCCCTCCTGGAGAATGTCATCGCTGTCATGACACCCTCAATCACTGTAGGTAGCATGCCATGATTTGTGTCCACATCCTCTCGACCACATGTATAGCATATCACTGATGTCACAATGTTATATCGATCCTCCTCCGTCTCAGCAGGAATTGCAAGCTTCGAAATCTTTGGTGGCGGCTCATCACGCTGCTCTATTATTAGAAAGATGGGATGTTATTAAATGGAAGCTCAACCTTACCTGAACTTGTCTCGGGGTCCTTCTAATATTCAGGGCCAGTGAGTGACCGGAGCGTTGATAGTGAAGTAAAGCATGGGCTCGATCACCAGTACAGCCTCCATTAAAGCAATGAAGGCATACATTCAAGCCCGAGTCATTGTCCTAATCAAGACTATGTTTAGAAATAACAGCATTGAAATAGGGTCGGGGAGCATACGATGGAGTCAAAACATTGAGTGCAGTCCTCACGATACACAGCCTGGGATGATTGTGGTGGTTTGAGTTCTGTTCTAATTAGCAATTCGATATCGAATGGAGGTGGAAAGCCTTCTCACCCGGGCTGTTTGAATGGGCACACGCCATCTTGATTGACGTAGCAGCAAGAAAAACAAGGAAGCGACAGGGAGAGATGGGGAGGAGAGTAGAAGAGAAGATGAAGGGGATCTGTAATAAGCTCTTTCCCTCTAGCACACTCGTCCAAAGACAATTTAGAAGATCAAGGGAAGAAATATTAGGCAGAAGAAGCTCATGAACGTGGGGCTGTGGCGATTACTAAGGGACGTGGGGGAAGCGGGCCTGAGGCTTACAGCGGGGTCACATGAGCACTTTACGCGTTATTTCCTTTTCGCGCGTCGTAGGCACCATCCCAAAAATTTCCTCTTCTTCCATATTGACCTCTTCCCCCACAACTTTGTCTACTCTTTGTCATCACCTATTTATCGAGGCAATCATCATGGCATCAGATGCAGCTTCCCAGATCACTGTTGGGGCTCTCAGGTAAGTTTCTAGCTTGGGGTACGAGTGAGCTTGACCACTAATACTTGAATTATAGTGCTATATTCGATGAAACGAAACCTCAAGTTAGAGAGCCAATCGTACAGTGTGTCCAGATCAAGCCGCTGCCTCCCCAACCAAACCATCCAGAACGTTATCGAGCTGTTTTCAGCGACATTGCCAATTACGTCCAGACTATGATATCCACCCGTATGTTTCGATCATAATCTCAAAGCTACATGTTTAAATACCAATTTCACTAGCAGAATCTAACCCTTTGGTGGCTGATGGCTCCCTGCGGAAGGGATGCTTTGTCCGACTTAAATCATTTCAGGCTAACATGGTCAAGGGTAAAAAGTGAGTCAATACCAGGGTGGATACGTTATAAATATGAACTAACATGTGTGTCAGGATCCTAATTATTCTGGACTTGGAGGTCTTAAAGGAACTGGGTGATGCTGAAAAAATTGGAGATCCCAAGCCTTTGGAAGGGAAGGTTGAGGAGGAAGAGAAGCCCCAACCCACCACCATCTCCAGTAATGGATTCTATGGTAACAAGCTTTCAAGTGGACCACCCCCCAGCAGCCCAATCGAGGGCCCTCCACCTCTTCACATGCTACCATCTATCCCATTGAGGCCATCTCCCCATATTCCAACAAGTGGACCATCAAAGCCCGCTGCACAAGCAAGTCAACCATTAAGACTTGGCACAACAAGAATGGAGAAGGAAAACTTTTCAGTGTGAATTTGTTGGATGACAGTGGTGAGATTCGTGCAACTGGTTTCAATGATCAGTGTGACATGTTGTATGAGCTCATCCAGGAAGGAGGAGTCTACTATATTTCTAGCCCCTGTCGTGTTCAAATCGCCAAGAAGCAATTCACGAACCTCAACAATGACTATGAGCTTACATTTGAGCGAGACACTATTGTTGAAAAGGTATGTTCATTGCTCCTATATTTGGTGCGTCATCACTTACATTTATTTAAATAGGCAGAGGACCAACATGACGTACCCCAAATTCGTTTCAATTTCACCACTATCGGAGACCTTCAATCTGTGGAGAAAGATACAACTACTGATGTTATTGGTATCCTCAAAGAGGTTGGAGAAACGTCCCAGATTGTGTCCAAAGGAACTGGCAAGCCTTACGACAAACGGGAGATTACTCTGGTAGATAACACGGGATTCTCAGTCCGGTTGACTGTCTGGGGTGCCAATGCAGTCAATTTCAATGTAGCCCCAGAGTCTGTTGTCGCTTTCAAGGGAGTCAAAGTTTCAGACTTTGGTGGACGGAGTCTCAGCCTACTGAGCTCTGGTTCCATGGCTGTGGATCCTGACATTGGTGAAGCTCATCGGCTCAAGGGCTGGTATGATGCACAAGGCCGAACTGAGGCTTTCGCCTCCCATGCATCATTGTCTAATGCTACCAACTCTAACATGAAAGCTGATGAATTGAAGACTATTGCCCAAGTGCGAGAGGAACAGCTGGGTATGTCTGACCAGGTGGACTATTTCTCCTTGAAAGCAACTGTTGTCTTCATTCGGTCAGATTCTACCTGGTGCTACCCCGCATGCCTAAGTGAAACCTGCAACAAGAAAGTTACAGAGTTAGACCAAGGCCAGTGGCGATGTGAATTTTGTGAAAAAACTCACCCCAAACCGGAATATCGATACATCATGCCCATTAGTGTAAGCGACCATACAGGTCAGCTTTGGCTTAGCTGCTTTGATGACACGGGTCGGCTTATCATGGGAACCTCTGCTGATAATCTCATGCAACTACGGGAGGATGATCATGCTGCTTTCCTGGAAGTTTTCCAGGAAGCCAACTGTCGAACCTGGAGCTTCCGATGCCGGGCTAAGATTGACACTTTTGGTGAACAGCAACGGTAAGTAACCATGGAACGCTTCGCATTTATGAGAGAACTTCTGCTGACTATGTATGCTTTGTAGTGTGCGATATCAAGTATCATCTTCCAAGATGATCAACTTTTCTGACGAGGCTTCCCGTTTGGCCGATATCATCAACTCTTACAATCTGAGTTAGATTATTGGGCCCTAAATTGTGACTTGTTCAACTTGATTCTTTATGGTTATTCTGACACTTACATTACTCAACGCTACCTTCAAATTCAAAACCTTCTTTAAATGCTTTCTAATTTAAATTGTGTGATGCTTCATTTCTCAAATTTTACCATAGATATTGCACATCCACTTTGGGCTAGATCTGAAGATCATTTGGGCGGTATAGATCTAAGGCGGTATAGACTGGCATTATTAAATTTTCCCTACCTTTTTTTGGAGCCGCTGAACTTGCTGATTGCAACCTTCTCATTCCGTTTTTTTGGATCTTAATCGACCAATTGAGATTTGCCTATCATGGGGAAGAGACGAAATGCTGAGACAGGAGAGCTGCAGCCCAAGAAAAAATCCAAATCTGACAAACGTTCCAACAAAGAAAAGACGGTCGTTGTGGAGCCATCAGTCGACGAGGAGGCTACTTACTCCCAGGCCTCTGCACTCAGCGATCTTCCTCAATCTCATATTGATAAATTTCTCGAGGACAATATTATCAAGAGTACCGATCCTTCTACCGATGCACCAAAATTCCGCCCGCTTATTTCATTTGACTATTTGCCCGGCTGCGATGGTGAGCTATACGCACCGCTGAAGTCTTTCCCAGCCCCGTCACCCATCCAGGCAGCTACCTGGCCGCTTTTATTTGCTGGCCGTGATGTAATCGGCATCGCAGAGACAGGTAGTGGCAAAACTTTGGCTTTCGGCTTGCCCTGTCTTCGCAATTTGACGATGTCTAAGCGAAGCATCAAGCCCTACCACCCAACTGCAGTCATTATTTCCCCTACACGAGAGCTTGCCATGCAAATCTATGATCAGTTGGCAAAGTTTTCTGACGTCGCAAAATCAAACATCACTTGTATCTTTGGTGGTGTGGGAAAGGATGAGCAGCGAGAAGCTCTCAAGACAGCCTCCATTGTGGTAGCCACACCTGGTCGATTGAAGGATCTCCAGAATGAGGGTTCCATCATCCTTAGTAAGGTGAAGTATCTCGTTCTAGACGAAGCGGATCGTATGCTGGACAAAGGATTTGAACAAGACATCAAGGATATTGTGAAACCGATGCCGGTGTCTCGCCGACAAACTGTCATGTTTACAGCAACTTGGCCCCGGTCAGTCCGTGAGCTGGCAGCCGGTTTTATGAGCTCTCCAGTCACTGTCACCATCGGCGGTGATCCTTCTGCCGATCCTCGCGCTAATTTGAGAATTAAACAGGAGGTTGAGGTCGTGGATGGGCGTGATAAAGAAGGTCGCCTCATTCAGCTTCTTAATCGCGCCCAGAAAGGGCCTAAGGCGTCTGATAAAGTTCTCGTGTTTTGCTTATACAAGAAAGAAGCGATGCGAATTGAACGACTGATCAAGAACCAGGGTTTTAAGGTTGCTGGAATCCACGGTGATCTGAACCAGTCCGATCGATTCAGAAATCTCGAGGCCTTCAAGACCGGTGCTGCCACCATTCTGGTTGCAACCGATGTGGCCGCCCGCGGCCTGGATATTCCAGCAGTGAGATTGGTGATCAATGTCACCTTCCCCCTTACTGTGGAAGATTACGTGCATCGTATTGGCCGAACTGGACGGGCTGGAGCCGATGGCTATGCCATTACTTTGTTTACTGAGCAGGATAAGGGACTTTCTGGAGGGTAAGTGATATTGATTACAGTTTATTATAAGTCACCGAGGGACAATTCAGTGCTAACTTTATGCAGATTGATCAACGTCCTCAAGGCTGCAAAGCAAGAAGTTCCGGAGGCCCTGTTGAAGTTTGGCACCACTGTTAAGAAGAAGCAGCACGATGCTTATGGCGCTTTCTACAAGGATGTTGGCGACAAGAAGGCAACTAAAATTGTATTTGATTGATTTTTTTGTTTATGTCTTTTAAAATCGTCACTCTAGCTTTGAATCTTTGGTGCGGGAAGTTATGATCTGATGCAGTTTTTTCGCCTGTTCTATCAGATATTGTTTTTCTACATAGACTCTGCGGATATCATTAGAGATCAAATACCAAAAATATCTTCGCAGGGCAATAATCGACTTACAATAAGAGAGTATACCCCCCGCAGAATGCGATGGTGGAGATGAGCCCTTGTCTTGGCTGTGTAGCCATTATTATAGTCGCAATCGCGCCAAGAACGTAACTTCTGAGATGAAGAGAAACCTCTCCAATCGTGAGACCATCGCCATATTCACAAAAATACGACCGAATAAAAACATAGCTCCACAGAGTACGGACTGCCATGTTCACCATGTTGGCTAGAACGAGCCCGTAAGCGCCCATCGAAGCTACTTCCAGGAAAATATACGAAGCCACGCCATAACACGCCGAGAAGCCACCCATCCAGACTGTTTGCTTTCTAATCTCTCGAGAATTGGCGGCAGATGACACGAACGCTTCGGTTATACCGTTGAGAGCCAGGAATGGGATGTACTGACAGTAGATCGATAACAAATCCGCCACTTGGGAATAGTCCCACTGACGACCTCCCAATATACGAAGCATCTGTGAAACCATCACAGGTCCAAGTGGAAAGATAGTAATTGACATCAACTGATAAGCACGCAGAATATCTATCAAGTGGGCTTTGGCTCTGCGGATTTGGGCTTTATCTCGGTCTCCGTGGTTATCAGGACTGAGAAGGGCCGAAAACAAATTGCGACTGCTTTCTTCGAGAGGCTGGAATAGAATCCGGGCGATAAGACCACCATAGTTAGATGCCAGTGAGTAGATCCCTTGATCTTCCAAAGTTGACATGGCAGCAAGAAACATGATATCTCCTTGTGTGAGGAGATGTTTGACAATTGACTGAAGAAAGACACTCGCGGCGAGAGAGATAAGGCGGCGGGAAAACCGACCATAAATGTATTCCGAGGAAGTTCTGCAAGGTGATTAGCAACGGTTTTGAATATGTAAACTTGACTGAAGAAGCCCTCTTTACCCATATTGTATGCTGGAGGGAAGAAATGAAAAGCGTCTGTCTCCTGCACGCGGGACCAACAACAAACAGTAGCCGCAGACCAAGGTGACTGAGTAACTCAGATATCCCAGTGCAAAAGGTAAAGCACCGAGGTCCCAAGAGACATGAGATGCGTAGAAGAAAGCGCTGCACGTTGTCAAACTCCTCAAGAATGCGGCTGGCATCTCTACCGCAGCACGTTTTTCATACCACATGCGCTGCTGAATGATTGCAAAGAACGGCTCAATACTTAGTTCCATGATGGAGGCCAGTCCTGTCAGGATCACACTAGCTTTGAAAAAGGGGATTTGCGACGCCTGGATGGGTGCGAAGTACTCGTACAGCATAGTGAAGCCTAATGTTAAGGGAATCCCAAACATCAAGCTCAAATAAGACACATTAATCACTGATTGGGAGGCAGTATATTGCAAATCCCGGGATGAATTCCCTGTCTTTTTAGAGCCAGTAGTCTTTGGTGAAGTTAGATTTGCTATTAGCGGTTGTCTTTGAATAGCCATTCGAATACTTTCCCGAGAGAAATATAAGATGGAAACTTGATATAGCTCCAACTGGGCAGCAATTCCTAATACGACTGGAGATAGACTTCGGAGAATCAGCTGATTCGAGAGGAATGTAAAGATTCTTGATACCAATTGAATCAGAATCAAAAAAGTTGTTCCAGAAGCAGACGACGCTACAACATTACCCGAAAGGGCTTCGTTGGACGACATATTCAAGGCGGAGAAGGAGAAAATGGAAGAAAAAAGGAGAAGACGGGAAGAAATGGGGAATGAATGTATATCTCTACATAGACAAGGTTGAGGCAATTGAGAATAGAAACAAGACGAAAGTAAAGAAAGGAATGATTGATATCAATGTGTCCAAAAGGAATTAGCACTGCTTACGTAGTCAATGCCAACCTCGGACCTTACGTATTGATTTTACGGTAAATTAATTATGGGAATGATTTTTATAAGGGGAAAAGAAGACAGCCCTGTGCTCATCGAAATGCACAGTGTTTACATATAAATTTGTTATTTTAAGAGAGAAAAAGAGAGAGGGAGCAATAATACCAGAGTAATCTGTCCTCCCCCCAGATCAACATCTCCGTGAGGATGATTTTCATGATCAGTAGAACACCATTGATTTTTGATACCCATAAAATAGTTTTGCAATGGGTAGGAAATATGTTCTTAGAAGGGGGGAAGATAGAAAGGGTATCCCCCATTCTTTGTCTTGAAAACACTGAGCAGGAGACTATAAGTTCCGAACAGAATACCTCCCCAGATCAGCACCGCTAACTGCTGTCCCTTGATATCTTCCATCCGGGGAACTTTCAATGCAAGTGCAATGGTTGCAAAAGATAGGACAGCATCTGTATTCAAGGCTGATGTTAGATTCGGCAAAGACCTCGTGGAGGCATAACTTACACATGGCAGCCACGATCTGAGTTTCCATACCAAATTGATTCTGGAATCCACCGGCGAAATAACTGATACCACCGTGGCCATCACCGGCAACATAGGGAACCTTTCGAATATGATTGAACATTTGCCCACTGGTGAAGAGGAGAATGGCAATCAGACTAATAGCCGCCCACAAGTTTCGGTTCTGAATAACAGGTAGGATATAAGGAGACAAAACTGTAAATAGAGTCACAGCACCCATCAAGATCGTGATGGCAGATATGATGCGCATATAGTTGACAGGTCGAACCAGTGGAGGCTTGGGGCCATCAGGCAAATGACGATTGATCCACGAATACAGTTGGTCGGCAGACATTGGACTGTAAAATTAATTAAATACACGGCACTTAAAAAGCTTAGAATGGTCGACTTACCCGGTGAAATCAAATCTCACAGGGTCCGTTTCCATCTTAGCGAAAGGTCCGACAGTTGGAGGGAACAGCAGGAGAACGGGTGCAGTTTGGAGCATGAGCTATTATGATCTCTCATTAGCTTAATTCCAAATGTTTGAAGTTGGACTTATTTCTATATGATACCTTTTGAAAGACTGTCTTGCCCCTGTCGAAATCCAGCGTACCAAAAGCCACTTTAAGTCCATCGGGTTTGGTACCTTTATTCCAGCTCCGAGAGATCAAATTCCACTCCGAGTCAAATTCGCGGCACATCTGACAGCCATAACGAGCATCCATTGCAGTAAGAATAACCACGGCATAGTAATCCCGAGGTGCTGTCGTCAAGTCATCAAATGAGGCATTGTCCAGATCGATAGGCCCTGACCGGGAAAGAGAGTATTTCTCAAACTTATCGGTCGCAGGCTTCGCGGCGAGAATGCCTGAGATAAATGAGAACAAAAGAAAAAGGGTATTCCAGGACTTCATTATGCCAATGATATCAGGTCCCGGAGTGTTTTGAGGAAGTCGTTATGGAGTATGAGGTAGCTTTACTTATTGGAGTGGAAAGGTGGCCCGTATTACGTAAGTGTCTTCTTCGCTCCAAATAGTCACGACGGGGAAAATGGCGCACCAGTCGCGTTACCAACCCTATATTTGCGCGTCTTCTTCTTCATACCTTTCGCAATGGCAATATCTACAGATTTATCACTATCGGATGTAAGTATCCTTAGCCGGTGTAGAATATTTGAACTAACTACGACTCAGTGTGAGATGTCCATGAAAACAGTGCGCCTTGAGAAGGAATATGAAAAGGCTATTGCAGATTCAGCGCGTCTAGTAGATGCTGAGAGAGATCGAATGAGACGAATGGAAAATCTGCTTCTTCAATTTGAAAGTGAAAGCTTAAGATCACAGCTCAATCAAGCCAACATGCAGCTGCGTGGATTCACGCGGACCGAGTCGGAAACGCTACTTCAACTAAATGAAGCCTGCCAAGAAATCGATCATCTGAATCGCCAGGTACAACTCTCATCCAATGAAATTGAGAAATTGAAGGTTGGTTATATCATCCTGGCCACTATTTTTCCCCACCAAATAACGATTTGATATCCAACACCACAGGAGGATATTTCTACACTAAACAATACATCGACAAGTTACAATACCCTTCTTGCCGAAAAGCTTCACCTGAGCCGAGATATTACAAACCTGGAAACCGAAAATAAACGGCTTAAGACCCAAAGCTCATCCCATGAGACATCAATGACAGAAAAACACGAGATGGAACAACGATTGAATTCCCTGGAGGTCCAGCTTGAGAACGAAAAACATGCACATGAGGGTACTCGATTAAAGGCATTACAGCAAGAGGATGATATTAGTGAACTTTCTAACATAGTTGACAACTTGAAAGGCGAACTCGCGAGGGAGATGCGAATGAGGCAGCAGCACGAACGAGATGATCAGCAGCACAATGCAGAATGGGAGTCCCAGCGCACAGTACTCGAAGGGAAACTTGAAACACTGAAAAAACAGCTCCGTTCGACTAAGGACAAGTTACAGGAAACTCAACTTGAATTGCAGAGACGTGCTAATACCAGGCCTAATGAAGGTGATAGTTCAGAGCTGCGTTCTCGAACTGTTCCCATCAAGCGTCCTGGTCCCAGTGCGGATTATCAAAGTGGCATTACCATTGCCACCCCCGGGGCTATTCGCTTGCAGGAGAAGGTCAAAAAACTATCAGCACTGCCTGGCGACAAATCGGCATTTTCTATAACCCCGTTTCTGAACCGAACCGGTGCCCCGAGAGACTCTCCAACGAGCTCAGAGGTAGACGAGGATGAAGTTCAACAGGCCATGGCAGACATCAATGCATCAACAGCCACGGCTACAGCCTTGGATAAATCGAATATTATCGGCACCTCCTCGGCAGATTCACCCTCTCTCGCTCGAGCTCTTCCAGCTAAAGCAGCAAAATCAAATTACCGTGAGGCCGCCATCACTGCTATCTCGGGATCACCGGATTTCAAACAGCCTCGCAGCCGTCCGAATAGCAAATTTTGGGAAAGTGACAAGCCCACTGACTCACTAGAGTCAAAATCTAAGAAGCGTAAGCTCGGAGCCCAGCGAGACAGAAACTTATTCGAAGATGATGAAGATGAGAGGGTTGAAAGCAGAAAGCCAGGACGTAAACTTGCGCTGGGAGTGAGTCGGAATTCGTCTCTCTCAATTTCTCAACAACCTGGTGCACCGACAGGGGATCGATTGCCTCGGACGCTTGGATTTGGCGCCTTTTCGCCCTTGAAAAGAGATCGAAAGTGATAGTGAATGCTATATTATAATACTATTACATCTCACTCAGCTCTCGTTATTTTATTCTACATGATATTTACCTATCATAATAGTGAACGAATATTTAGATCTGAATAAATGAAGAAGCGGAAATAGTGGAGCGGTCTGTTTAATTTTGCCGGCAGAACGCCAAATAATTATCATCTTCGGGGCAGTAAATCCTGAAAAATACACGCCCTTCATCATGTTAAAATACCTCCCTATTTGGCCTACTCGAGGATCTTGCGGATTCCGAGTTTTAGAACAGATTCGGCTCTCATCGTCAAAACGCTGGCAAGCTCGCCAACAAAAGGACCAATTCACTCGTGAGGCAACCGTACAAGGTCTAAAAAGCCGCGCTGCTTTCAAGCTTCTACAGGTACTTCAAATGCGTGTACTCAAATGGTCATAACAATTACTCAAATAATTAAGTAGATTGATGAGAAATATCGTATATTCAGACGTGGGCAGACTGTCGTTGATTTGGTATGAACACTGCTTACTGGACATGGACAACCCCAGGACCTAATCCGGCAATCTTTCAGGGATATGCACCAGGGTCATGGTCACAGGTAAATTAGCCATTGGAAATTCTTTCTGATTACGACTAATCGGGTTCCAGGTCGCTGTGAGCCGGACTCAGCCTGAAGGTAGAGTTCTTGGTGTTGACATTATTCCAGCACAACCACCCAAAGGAGTTTCCACCATCCAGGTATATTCAGCTGAAATAATCTTTTCTGCGGGTCAAAACAATTAACTTTCAATCGTACAGGGCAACTTTCTTGCTCCCGAAATTCAGGCGTACATTCTGGAATTTTTACGCAATCCAAATCGGGGAAGACCACGTCAATCAGAGGCCCTCGGTGATGCCAATATCAGTGTTCTAGAGCACCATACGGTGACTTCTGATCAATCTGAGGGTGGAAATGCTCCTGATACAACAAATAATGCCAATATACTTGAAAGAACGGTAGATGTGGTTTTAAGCGATATGTCCGCTCCCTGGCTTCAAACAACTGGTTTTTGGAAACGAAGTCTAAGTAATCCCCATAACAGGATGATGAACACTAGCGGGAATAGTTTTAGAGATCATGCTGGGAGTATGGTACGTGGTCGTTGCTAAACTTGATGTTATTCTCACTGCTGAACTCAGAATAGGACCTTTGCAACGCTGCCTTACGCTTCAGTTCAGAAGTTCTCAAGACAGGAGGGCATTTTGTCTGTAAATTCTACCAAGGTGTAGAGGACAAAGAATTAGAGAACCAGCTCAAGGGCTTGTTCCAAAAAGTTCATCGACTCAAGCCCGAGTCATCTCGCAGCGTAGGCTTCGTCCTTTCAAATACATTCTCGCAAGTTAATTATTAGCTAACGCAGCAATTAGGAATCTAAAGAAGCTTTCTTTGTCGGCCTTTCTCGTCGGCCGTGAAGCTATTGACTGGCAATGAAACTCAAGCTGGAGATATATCCGCGCAATATTCTTCCTACAAAATCTCGATATTTTCATTATCCGATGCTTCTTCCCACTCAACATTGGCTAATGCTGCCTCCGCTTTCTCGTGAACCTGTGATATAGGTTAAAGTTATCCAAGTACGAATGAAGCCAAATGTCTACGTACCTCTTTGAGTCCACTCAATTCCTCAACGTATCCCAACTCATTGAGGGCCTTTCGGACGAAATCCCAACCTTGTTCTCTGTAAGCACTTGTCACCCTTTCCGAGCAAGCGCTACAGTATGTGTAGCTTTTGCCAGTGATCACAATGTTTTCAAATGTGGCAAGGAATCCTCGAATTTGATGGGGTACGAGTCCCAAGGGGTGATCGCCACGCTCATCATGTCGATTCAAAGGAGCTGGGGCAGCGGGACCCTGCGGGTGCTGCAAAATTGATACCAACAATTCAACGAGAAGTGCAGATGCTATCGCAGCAACCCCAGGACGAGTGACGGTACATTGTTGATCAAGGGTCTGATCCTTGATTGACTGTTGAGTGGTCAGCTGGGCACACTAAGTAAGGGTTCTTGAGCAGATCTCACATTAGCTGGTACCATAACATCGTTGCAAAAGTAGCAACCAAGATCCGCCGCCTCATCTGCCCCTGTAATTCCATGGCGCATTGCCACAAAAGAATCAAAGCCTAGGGCTGCATTCATAACAATCTTTCCAGCGGATTTTCCCATCACCGTAGGCAACCAACGCGATTCTCGGGTGTCCATAAGTAGAAATATGGCATCATGCTCGTCTATTAATTTTTGAAGTGTCTCAAAATCTTTTCTTGTCGCGTTCTCATCCACGATGGGATGACCGACCATCGGCACTGAGAGTTGATAACCTGCGGTTTCAACCCCCGGGTAAATTTCGGTTAGGGCTTGTGATGATCTTGTTGCTTTTGGTGCCCCGCCGGCCAAGCAGTCTGCAAATGTAAAAAGTGGCTGTCGAACAGGATTGGAGAAGGAAACGGTGCCCTTGTCAACAAAAGTTATCTTCTTGACACCCCAGCCCTAAAGTAGCTATTAGTTAGGAACCGCTGCAGTTATGTTTATAGAAAGGAACACCCAAAAAAGCATATTTACCAAAAGGTTTCGAGCGACATAGCTACCCAGAGTTCCAGCTCCGAGCAAAAGACACTTTGTATGCTTGATTTTCTCGAGGTTTAGAGTTGGACTAATCCGCCATTTCATGAGCTTGAGATTAAGGTCGACCGATTGGTCTGCAAGCCTATTGGAAAATTGTCAGCAGTCCGTATCAGGACTGGTACCTCCTCCACTGTGACATTACCTTGCAGGATCCATATAGTCCGTAAGATTCACCACTCTACCAGCCAACTTTCCTGCCGGGTTGCGTTCCCAGCCAGTGATTTTGGGTAGCTGCACTCTCTCATTGACTGAATTGGAAGCAGGCCCCGATTTCGATTCCAGACGAATCACCATACTGCGACCCTGGTCACGCTTCGATTGCACATCCCGATATCGTAAAATCTGCACTCGCTCCAGCTTCCATCTCTGCTGAACCATGGCCAACAGATTTCGTAACATCCAGCCCGAGGCGCTTTCATAGTTGGAAGGATCTGCAATGCAAATATACCGATCCTCATCGGCTACGTTACTAAAGAATCCATTCTCATATTGAGATAGTGACGCTATGTGCCAGATGCTTGCCGAGCTTTCTGAGGTCTTTCTCTGTCTATAAGCCAAGAAAAACCCTCGCTGGCGGTCATCGACGGTGAAACTCCATGTTTGCACTGATTCCACTAATGAGGAGCTGTCATCAGAAGACAGGTACTCTCCCCGAGGCATGTCCGTATCCCCGCCTTGGTCGGGTTTCGATTGGGACTCAGCTGATCCGATGAGAGCCCAGGCTGGGTCAGAATGAAGTGCGGGAAAGGCAAACCAGTAATAAAACTTGTACTTCTTGAGGTCGGCATATGAGAGAATGACGAAGGAAGACAATAAAGAGGGACTGGTGTAGATGCTTCCATCATTGATGGCATCCCAAATCTGAAATTTTTGGTATCAAAACTGGTTTTTGGAATAGAAAAGGCTCAACTTTAAATACTTACTACTTGACCAGCCTCCAGAATCATTTTCAATTTATCCGCGTTCCTGTATTCCTCTATGGTATTCAAATTCTTAATCGTTCCCTCGGCGCGATAGAAGCTTGCAGAAGCTCTGCCAACTGGGTCAGCTTTTAAACGTTACTAGGTACATATATATCTTACTCATTGATATTGAGGGCATTTCCATGAATTTGCATTCGACAAGAAGAATTTGCTGGGTCCGAGGGGCGGATCTCATAGAGACCCAGGACGGGTCGAGCGGAGTCACTAAGCTTGTCATGATTAATCTTCTGTGAGGAAAGTGCAGTATAGAACGGCAGTTCAATATCAGAGGCAAATGGGGTATATTGCATCATTTTTTATCGCAGGACATAGCCAAGTAATAAACTTCAATATGAAGAGTAAGTTGTCCAAAATGAAATACTTTGTATACAGAGTGAAGCGTAGAAGTGGGGGGTGGGGGAAATTGGGTGATGTAATCAGAGGCGCGAACCGTTACGGCGCGTGGACTCAACGCGTGACATTGCAAGAAAAAAGACTTCTCTATCGTCTTCTTTCTATTTGCTCATTTTCCTGAGAATGCTTATCGGCTTATGTGGAGGTCAGCAGATATATGAATCGAGAGCTCTCATGTGAACTAACATCTGGTCTTCAGGCATTTGCGCTGGCAAAAATGCGATTGCTGAGTACCTGATTCAACACCAAGGCTTCCAGCTTCTGGAGCTTATCAGCAAATCCGAGACCCGCTTATCAAATGACCCAAATGATGATCTACTGATACAGACAAAGAGTCGAGAAAATGGGAACTTCCAATCGAAATTCGTGTTTGAAACTGTCGATGCCCTGCTTGAATTTGTGACAAAAAGATGGCAAGAACGCTGGGTAACGACGGATATTATAGATGAGACCATCGTTGAAAGACTCATCCTGCGTCCATTCTTCCTTCTCGTGAGTGTGGATGCTCCTGTGAGCCTGCGCTGGAAACGATTTACCGAACGGTTGGTTGCCCTAGCTGGTACAATGTACTTTTCAACTTACATTGCATTGCTAGGTGCCGGCAGAAACAAGTAGAGCCTCTAGACCTCGAGAAATTTGTCTTGTTGAATGACCGTCACCTCTATGAGAGGTATATTGGACGTGTCTACCTAACTGACAGAGCTCAGGTGCGCCTGTTCAACTCCTCCTCGTCTCTAGATGAACTCCATAAATCCCTCCAAAGACTTGATCTTGCTGATGAACAACGACTTCGACCAATTTGGGATCAATATTTCATGCAGCTTGCATCTCTTGCAGCACAAAGAAGCAATTGTATGAAGCGAAGGGTTGGATGTGTGCTCGTTCGAGAACGTCGCGTCATCAGTACAGGCTATAATGGAACACCACGGCATCTCCCAAACTGCAATGAAGGTGGATGTATGAGACATGTGATCCAACCAATAAGTTAATTTTGATATGCTAAATACTTATTGTAGGTCCCCGCTGCAACCGTGGTGATGGAGGTGGCGTTGGTCTCTCTACCTGTCTATGTATTCATGCCGAAGAGAATGCGTTATTGGAAGCCGGCAGGGAGCGTATTCGAGAAGGTGCTATTCTTTATTGTGACACGTAAGTTCTTACCATACTGTATTGGTATTGATTTCTAACATTTGATATCAGTTGCCCTTGCTTGACCTGTACGGTGAAAATCACTCAAGTCGGCATTTCAGAAGTTGTTTACTCACAGGGCTATAACATGGACAAAGATGTAAGTTACTCAAGCTTGTAATGGCGAAGCTATTCTTATACTGATTGCTTTTTATTATCTAGAGTGCTGCCATTCTCGAAGCTGCGGGTGTGCATCTACGGCAGTTTAGCCCGGTAAGATATCCAAGTCTTACTCGAACCTCGAAACCATATTAATTCCTGGTACAGATATCAAATGGGCTCATTGATCTACAAGAATTCAAGGAAACAACTCAGAATTAACTGGAGGATTCTTTGTTGAAATTGAAGTGATGCTTCAAGTGTCTGGTAGATTTTATGGTAATAACTACGCCCAGATTTATCTTTTACGATGAGTGTTGATGTGATGCCTATGTAGCCCTAAAGCGTCATAATTCAGGTCAATATCTTCATATGTACTATGATGTGTAAATAACCTTCTGTTCATCAAATAGTTAAACATTACTTAATTTAAATAGTTAAATAACTATTTATTAAAGTAGTTATTTAACCTTAAATATTTTACTATTTATTTAAATAAATAATATTACTAATTCTGCAACTACCCCCGCTTTGTTGATTCTGCCGGCAGAAAAGGGAATGACTCATCAATTATGGACCCCGGAAGTTGAACTCGATTATTCTTTCTATTTGTTCAAGTTGCTGGCTCTTTAAGAAAACTGTCCGTAATGCCCACTGTTCACCTTTTGGATTATGTTGCGGGCAACATCCGTTCCCTCGTCAATGCGATCAACCAGGTCGGATACGAAGTGGAATGGGTGAAAACCCCCGAGGATGTCAAGAATGCGGATGTGTGTGAAGATGAGAAATCTCGCCTCTGGTCGTCGACCATATAAAATTACTGACACGATTGATTCGTAGAAACTCATCCTACCTGGTGTCGGCCACTTCGGCCACTGCCTCTCACAGCTCGAGAAAGGCGGTTTTCTGGGTCCAATTCGGGAACACATAGCAGCCGGTAAGCCCTTCATGGGAATCTGTGTCGGTCTACAGGCTCTCTTCCAGGGCTCTGAGGAAGATCCCGACGTACCTGGCCTGGGTATAGTCCCTATGCGCTTCCAAAAGTTTGATGACTCGTCCAAGAGTGTGCCGCACATTGGCTGGAACTCTGCGCTGAGCACCGCGCATGATTCAAATGAGCGGACTTTTTACGGATTGAAACCAACGAGCAAATATTATTATGTCCACTCCTACGCGGCCCTATACACGCCGGGTGTCCTCGAAGAGGATGGCTGGTCCGTGGCTACAGCCACTTACGGCGATCAGGAATTTGTTGGTGCCATCAGCCGAGGAAACGTGTTTGGTGCACAGTTTCACCCAGAGAAAAGTGGAGTGGCTGGTCTCAGAACACTTCGCGCCTTCTTAAACGGCGACCAATTCCATTCTCTCGCGAAGGAAGAGGTTGCTGGCCAAGCAAATGGACTGACTCGTCGAGTCATCGCCTGCCTTGATGTGCGCGCAAACGATGCTGGTGATCTGGTTGTCACCAAGGGAGATCAGTATGATGTGCGTGAAAAGAGCGGGGATGATGCGGGTGGCCAGGTCCGAAACCTAGGAAAGCCCGTCGACATGGCCAAGAAGTACTACGAGCAAGGAGCTGATGAGGTAACTTTCTTGAACATAACTTCCTTCCGAAACTGCCCGTTAGTGGACACTCCTATGCTGGAAATCTTACGACGCACATCGGAAACAGTGTTTGTGCCCTTGACTATTGGAGGCGGCATCAGGGATACAGTAGACACTGATGGCACCCGGGTCCCCGCTCTTGACGTTGCGACCATGTACTTCAAGTCTGGTGCGGACAAAGTCAGCATTGGTTCAGATGCTGTCTTTGCTGCGGAGGACTATTACAATGCTGGTCGAAAATTGAGTGGCCAAACTGCGATTGAAACAATTTCGCAGGCGTACGGAAACCAGGCAGTAGTGGTGAGCGTCGATCCCAAGCGCGTCTTTGTGAATAGACCGGAGGACACTCACCACCACACCATCAAAACTGCTCATCCCAACAGCACTGGGCAGAATTACTGCTGGTATCAGTGCACTGTCAAAGGTGGCCGAGAAACTAGAGATATGGATGTACGGCAACTGGTGCAGGCTGTTGAGGCTATGGGTGCTGGAGAAATATTGTTGAACTGCATCGACAAGGATGGTAGCAACAGTGGCTTTGATCTAGAACTGATTAATGATGTCAAGGCTGCTATAAAGATCCCTGTGATTGCTTCTAGTGGTGCTGGTGTTCCTGATCACTTTGCTGAGGTTTTCAGCAAGACCAACACTGATGCTGCACTTGGAGCTGGCATGGTAAGTGGAAATATTCATAACATTCAGCCATGTGAGACGGAAGCTCTGCTAATACTTGAATAGTTCCATCGTGGAGAGTATACTGTGAGCCAAGTGAAAGATTACCTTCAGACAGAGGGATTCTTGGTGCGGCAATTTGAGACCTCAATTTAAAAATCTTTTGAGAATTGAGACTTGGTTTCCTTGTTTATAATTGATAGAATGTGGTTAGATGTTAGAATGTGATATTAGTCCTGTATATAACCTAATCCATTTTCGGGGAAGGGCAGCGATTATTAAAGCAAAGGCGGTGTAAAAGGCGGTATCATCTGACTTTTCAATGCCACCGGGGATCTTCACTTCCACTTCCACTTCCCATTCACTTCCTCTTCTCATCTCTTCTCCTTGTCTTCAGTTTCACAACATCATTTGACAACAACCCCTGAATCACTATTTGATTCTTACCCGTTTGGCATTTAGCTCTTATTGCTGAGATCAGGTTTCCTAAAGTGAGCTCAGACAAGTGGTCTGACTCAGGGTGACGGAAAGGCGCAAAGACGGACCCTGTCTTCTTCAATCCACCACTCTTCTTTGCCAAGCGACAGTTCTTTTATCTTTTAATATTTTGTGCTTTAAAAAAAATCTTCATTTGTATGCAGTGTGATCGCTCACCCTTCAGCATTCAAGAGAAAAAAAAAACTTCTATCCCAAATCACCTCATTCCATCATCGATAGATCGAGAGATTATCAGTTTTGCGGAGTTCCCAATCCTCATTTAAAATCTCTTCTTTGTCTTCCTTCAGGTATCACTTCACACACATTCAACCTTTCTGCACTCTCAATTCCCCCCACCCTTTTACATTATTCTCATTTCAGTCCCTTGTTGGTACCCCCTTAGGCTTGCAGTTGCAGTTTTCTGGTTTGACAGCCACAGCTCAATACAATGTCATCCTCTGTTCATTTCAAGTTCAAGTCCCAGAAGGAGCCCTCTCGGGTCACCTTTGATGGAACTGGTATTTCCGTCTTTGAACTCAAGCGAGAGATCATCAGTCAAAGTAGATTGGGCGATGGGTCTGATTTTGAGTTGTCCATCTACAATGAGGATACTGGAGAAGGTACGTGTTGTAGGACCCATTCACCTTCTAATTTCTAACAATCCATAGGATACGATGATGACACTACTATTATCCCCCGATCCACCTCAATTATAGCTCGCCGATTGCCAGCAGCTCGTCCAGGAAAAGGTGGTGCCGCTCGCTATGTTTCGGGGAAAATGCCAGTCAATGCGCGTAATGCATCTCGCACTGAGCCTCTGACCAATAGGCACACAGCTGGAAACACTCAGTCCGTCAACAATGCCCTGGAACTGAACAATGCCCAGACAGAGGAAGAGAAGATCAATGCCCTCTTCAATTTGCAGACAAGTCAATGGCAGGAACAGCAACAAGAAATGGCTAAGTGAGTACAAGGAAGATCACAAACTGGTTTGAAATACTAACAGAATTGTAGTGCAACCCCAGTTCCATTCGGCCGTGGAAGAGGAAAACCCGTCAATGTCCCTGATCATCCCCCACCTCCCGGTTACTTATGCTACCGTTGCAGAGAGAAAGGTATTTATAAAGCTCTTCCTAGTTCCCTCAATTCTCCAGGAGACAGACAAGGCTGACATTTAAACTCAGGTCACTGGATTCAAGCATGTCCCACCAACAACGACCCTAAGTTCGACGGGAAATACAGGGTTAAACGGTCCACCGGTATTCCTCGATCACTTCAGACAAAGGTGGACAAGCCAGAATCCCTGGCACCCGATGGCTCGACTGATGAATCCAGAAACACTGGTGTCATGGTTAATGCCGATGGTGATTTCGTCATTGCGAAGCCGGATAAGGCGGCTTGGGAATTGTACCAAGAAAAGGCCAAGGCATCTGCTGCTGCGGCTGCTGAAGCTGCCGCGGCGGAGGAGAGCAAAGTGCTGCAAGCTCGGGGCTTAGAATGCCCGATTGACAAGAGGATGTTCTTAGAGCCAACACAAACACCTTGTTGTCACCGAACATATTGCAATGATTGTATCTCCAATTCTTTGATCGAAAGTGACTTAGTCTGCCCTGGTTGTGCTACGGAAGGAGTTTTACTGGATAATCTTACCCCGGATGAGGATGCCATTACCAAGATCAAGGCCTATGAAGCGGAGAAGACGGATGCAAAGAAAGAAAAGGAAAAGCAAACTACAGGCCAAGATTGTATCACTGCCAACGTCAATATCGACCATGATGCCACCGTGGACGCCACCAAAGAACAATCCCCAGAGTCAGAGAATGCATCCACCCTGTCGAAGAAGAGGCCAGCTGAGGAAGACGGCAGTTCCAGTCCTGGTAACGCGGCTAAGAAACTAAAGGGAGAAGGCGAACCCGGTCAGTCAACTACAGACAGTAACGGTACAGAGACCCCGAATGGCTCAGCAGTGCCGTTCAATCCCTCATTGTCATTCGGTAACCTTGGATCTATGCCTCCTTTCTCAGATACCGGATTCGGAAATGATCCCATGAGCTTCATGAATCCCATGGCTATGTCCAATGGCTTCCCCAACCTGATGGGTCCTTCCTGGAACCCAATGAATATCCCATTTAACCCTCTCCAATCAAGCATGTTTGACCCAGCCAACAGCTTTCCCATGTTCAATGGGGACCCCTCAATGTCAATGGGGTTTCCAATGGCCCAGATGCCGGCAATGCAAAACCAGGGTTTCCAGGGTCCGGCGATGAATAACTTCTCTAACCAGCAACGAACTGCGTTTAGCGGCCCTTTTTCTCGCGAGGAAGACTCGCCATATTTCCGTCAGCCTGTGAACCCACAACGCCACCAGGCAAGAAACCGAAGAGTTCGACCAAGTGACTACCGAGAACTTTGATGATCAAGTTCTTTTTTCTTTAAATTCGGCGTTATGAATCCCTCTCATCCCATGTAAAGGGGAGGAGTTCTTCTTTATAGCGGTTTTTATTTCATTATCCTTCTGCCTACTTCTATCTTTGTCTGTTATGGTTCACTTTTCTCTCGCACCAACATTTTTTTATCCCATTCCCTATCGTTTTTTTTTTGCTCCCTTATCATTTACTGCATGCCCTGGATAGGATCCGGAGGGAGGACGGCATTTTCATGTATTTCTAGCTGATCTAATTAGACAAATATGATTCACGTTTCAATTGATCACTATACAATACCTTTGAGTAGTTACGGGTCATGTGACCAGGGAGAAGATCTTCCCCACAATTCCACCATTTCAACTCTTCCACCAAACCCACCTATGTTTCATTCCCAACTCTTCTACCAACAATCCAATTACCGTCAATAATATCGCGACGAAATTCAAAAATGGCCAAATATATCAGTAATCACAGTAGTAATTGCAACCAAATGACTCAGCTTTTCGACCAGGAGTCCACTGTCTTGGCCAGTTGCTACTCTGTTGAGTCGTTGACTTCCAAGGTCCATGGCTTCCACTACTGCACTACCCTGGGCGCCGGTAAGTCTTTTCACCATTCTTTCTCTGTTCACATATCACTGTACTGATACTAGCATGCAGGGGCACAGTGGTATCCCTGAGGTCATCTCGGGGTCTAAATCGTCCATTTTAAGCCCTCCCCTGGAACTTCCCACCCCCGATGTGGAAAGAGTCTGGCCCGGGAATAAACCCGAGTACAAAGGGGAGGCAATGCATACCATCCCGGAAGAGTGTGAGAGACTCTTCTGTGACAAACTGTTCGCGACATTCCTTGGTGAGGGGACTGATGCGAGACAGGAGTCACTGGGGATGGGTGCGTTTCAAGACTCACAGCCAATTCAAATTGGACCGGGTCATAATATCCAGAGATGGATCGAGGTGTGGGACTACACCGGTGATACCATCTATCGTGGATTTGTGGCAGACCAACACGGAGAGCGAACCCTTTTTGTCTTCTTCGAAGAAGGTGCACTCAGCCACGGCCTCAAATCAGGGTAAGGTATTCCAGGTCTTTTAAAACCGGACAGATCCGCTTACTGTCTACTACAGGTTAATCGCTCTTTTTGAACTTGCGGGAACTGAGGCTTTTGACTGCTCCCAGATCGTCACCTGTGTGAGGCGCTCACAGCATACAAATGAAATGGAGCTCGTTCGAAGCCTTGGATGGTGTGGATTTAACTTGACCACCCTGAATCCGTGGGATATCAGTGGGGAACCAAGTCCATCCTTGAGCGAGAAGTGGCTTTTCTTGATCGCCGAAGCCTAGTTGCTTCTTTCCTTAACACCCAGATGTTATTTCTTGGCTCTTATTTCATTTTTATCCTTGATCTTTGCTATCAAAAGATATTCATCTTACCGTCTCTACGGCAGATGATGATTATTAAAACGTGCCTTCCTTGTTCCTCCTCATGTCTTCAGCGCACTTTCATTGTCAGTATAGATGCTTGCCTTCAGATACAACCTAGTTAGTATGCCCATTCATCTCCTAAAAAGTATCAGTAGTAAATAATAATAAATAGTACTAATACTTAGTAGTCCAAGCCGGCGATAAGATAAACCGAGCAAATGACCTCATAAAATACGAGGTTTCTCTACTTAAGTGATGTGCTTATCAACCAAAATCTAATCTTTATCACCTCCTAAGGTCATAAATAAACCAAACTCATCAAAGCCATGGGAAAAGAGAAGTCCAAATTTCTTTCCTTCCCTCGCTTTATTCTTCCTTCATACCCCGATAAACGGCGGGTGGGTCCCTCCACCCCACCTAGCTCTCCAGATTCCCCACACTTATCACCAAGCTCAGAGAAATACTTGGATGGTCATGTCTCATACCTACGCTGTACTGGATGCGCCGCACACATTTGCCTGACATCCCAGATTATCAGCAAAGGCTTCACAGGCAGATATGGTCGCGCCTATCTCGTGTCCGCAGACCTGACTAGTTCGGTGTCTGTCAGTGCATCCTCGTCACCGACAGTCTCTCTGCCCAATACAGTCCTGCATGAGCCGGCCCCTCGCCAGCTCATTACAGGGGCCCACACTGTCAGCGACGTTGTTTGTATATTCTGCGAGAGTGTCCTTGGCTGGAAGTATGTCTCAGCCGAGGAAGAATCACAACGCTACAAGGTGGGAAAGTTCATCCTGGAGACTAGAAGGATCACTGCATCATCGTGCTGGGAGTCTCCACCCAGCGTGCCCCCCCTTATGTCTGAGGACTGTCAGCAGGAGGAAAATGAATCACATAATACCGAGGCCGAGTTTGATAGTCAAGACGAGGATGAGTGTGAGGATCTGTTTGCAGGTATATGGAGCCCAGGGCTTGCCAATCGTCGTCGAGGCCTCAAGATTGACCGAAGATCTGCCATGCTCAGAATATCCTAATAAGTGAAAGGCAATGAGCTCGTGAAGTGTCCTTTGAATACCTATGCACTAATGATACCCAACTTAAGTTTTTCACTCTGACTATTGTGAGAGACCAATAATATGACGATTTGATTTGATTTATCTTTTCTTGTTTATTAATATTAATATTTCAATTATCATAGACCTAAGTGAGAATATAGTATCTGGAGATTTCATTAATGAGAATTCTAAGTCGAGTTACCAAGATACGGGGTGACCTAAAATGCTCCCATGAGCTCTTGAGTGAAATGAATAAAGTGATAAGTATGAAACACTTTAAGAGTGTGAAGAGTTGCCGTTCACGCGCGTGCGCTTGGCATCACTTTCTGAAGGCAAATTGTCTGCAGGTCGTTTGGATGAGGCCGTTGACGGGGATGGATTGGTAGGCTTTCGTCTAACCAAAGATGAGAGATCGGTAGCATTTTTACTGACAGCGTCCAGGCTAGCCTTCTTATCTGCAGGCGTCTGGCCTACCATCTGACCGAGGATACCCTTGAGGAAAGCCTCATTCTGTTTATCATTATCCTGAGAAGAGACTGGCGCCTGAAGATCGATGAGCTATATATGTCAGCAGAACTCGTATATATTGCAGCAGGAGGATTCTTACTCGTTGCTCCATGTCGGCGATAATTTCTTTAACATTGACAATCTTCCTCTTCGCGGCAGTCGCTTTATCCTCATCCATATCCTCACTTGATATTTTCTTCTCTTCTTGGGCCATCCGAACCTTGCAACTCTCGACCGCGCGCTCCATTTGACTGACGGCCTCATTTCGCATCTTCTCATCCACCGTTTTTTTGCTCTCATCGTCATCACCTTCTTGCTGTTGGACTGACGCAAACTCAAGGGCAAGCGAAAGTTTGTAGTGGCACTCAGCCACGGCGGGGTCTTCGAACGGGAAGAGAGAATATCTTAGGTCTAGTGCCGTTCGCAGATCAGTAACAGCATCGCTGAACCTCTCTGCTTCCAGTGAAATTTCAGCCTGAAGATCATAAGTGTCGGCAAGTCGCTCCTTGATGTGATTCGTGTCTGAGGGAAGTGAAGTTGATTTGTCCTTGGTGCTGGTATTTGCCTCGGCGATCTCCAGTTTCTTGAGGTATAGAACGCGGGCCAAATCCAGAACCTCAAAAGCATTGGAAAAATCATCCTCTTCTTCTTCCTCCTCCCCAGTATCGCTATTATCCTCATCTTCCGAGTTGGAATCGGCAAAGTTCTCATCGCCGGTAAATTGAAAAAGCGGTTTTGAGGGCCCAGCATTCGATGTATCCTCTTCCTTTGTAGATGGGAAATTCTTCGATCTCGCACTCGAAATGGCATCCTTGATCGTACTTTCGCCAGAAATTGCTGGCTCAGGATGATTGGACGGTGTCTGAGGCTCACCAGCTACTTTGGATCCTAGTACGTCGCTTTTGCTCACAGCAACATTGAAAAGAGATTTTCCATAGGAATAGAGAAGATCGGCATTTTCAGGTGAAAGCTCGCCATTCAGTTCTGCCTGTATTTCTGTGGCCTGGGAATAGAGATCTGAAGCAGTATTGTAGTCTTTGATTGCATCTTTGGCGGCAGCTTTTTTAATGAGATCCTTTAACTCATCTCGTTTATCTAGTGACATTGCTTCGATGACAGAGCTTGATTGCTCTGTGTTAGCCATGGGGTGAGGGGTGGGGAAGGAAGGTGTATGGAAAGGATGGAAAGGATGGAAAGGATGTGAAGGAAGTGAAGAAGCAAAAGCGCGAAAGTAAAGATAATCGATAAGAGTCCGGCCCGTGCGAGTCGCGTCCAACGCGTCGCACTTTAAACCACGGAATAACTTCAACGATCTTCAACAGCCCTTAAACCAAATCTCTTTTCCATTGAATTTACCAATTTGGTGAGTTGATTTTGGGGTTGAGAGGAATAAAGCTACTGTACATCCACTTTGCGGCTTTCAACACGGCACCATGGATCCAACATCCACCCCGCAACTTCCAAGTCGCTTCAAAATGGGTGCTACTGACCCAATCCCCTCATCGTCTCCTGCTTTTGCAACTCCAGCTCGACCATTCAAAATACAAAAGGGCCATGCACCTCCCACAAAGGCGTCCATACTGACAATCCTTTTACCACCTTCGACCTTACGGCCCGTGGCTTTCCGGACATTTACTCGCAAACATAACCTGACAATCTCTTCATCCGCATTGCAGACACTATCAGTCTTCGTGGGTAAGAATTGTGGCTCGGGATGGCGAGAAGAAGGGCTAGCAGAAAGAGTCCTGGATGAAGTCGCTAAAATCTGGAAGAGAGCTGGTGGAGGCGTCATTGTCGAAGAAGGGAAAGGAGCGTCGCTGAATACCATTTTACAGACCCTGGAGGGTAGTATGAGTGGTGGGCGAATTGTCACTGCAAAAGCCAGCTCCCAAGATGGATCGGCGAAGGCCAGTTCTGGTGGAGATGTTGGCCGAATTGAACCTAGTCACGACAGGTCCTTTGCAACAAGAGGGGCATCGGAAGAGGATGATTCAAAACTCTCGTTTCATCCTCGTCACTGGCTCAAAGTCATCGACGCATTCGACCTTCCTCATTTGACATATAACGTCGACAAGAAATACTTTGAGGTGATCAAATCAAAACCGACCCTTTTTCCGTCTCCCTCGCACCAGACGACATTGTTCAGAGATCGCTTCAACTTGGTGTACCAACGGCTTCTACGCAATGAGTCTTTTCAGAGTTCTCTGGGTGCAATGGGAGTGCCATCGTTGCAACGATCTTCATCAAATCTTGCGATCCAACAGTCCTATAAATTGACGCCGATCGCAAATCTACTGGGCCGAAGCGGGACTTCCCACCTTATCCTGGGTCTCCTTACTATTTCACCAACTGGGGATCTCGCCCTTGTGGATCTTACAGGTAGCGTGGAATTGGATCTGAGCCACGCGCGCATGATTCCCGAGGACGGAGCATGGTTCGCACCAGGCATGATTGTGCTTGTGGATGGGATCTACGAAGAAGAAGATATGGTCATGGGATCAGCCCTGGGCGGAAATTCGGGTATTGGAGGAGCTATAGGAGGTCATTTCGTTGGTGTATCAATATGTGGACCTCCTTGTGAGCGGAGGGATATCTCGCTAGGGACGAGTAATCGTCAGGGTAGCGGTGAGTCGGCCTCCAGCGGTGGATTTGGCTGGGTTGATTTCCTGGGAGTCGGTAGTGAGCGTGCCCAGGGCGCCCGCATGAGGAGGATTCAAGAAAAATGCTTGCGAGGAGAGCCGGAGGCGATGGAAGCTCCAGCTCGTGTCAAGGTGGCAGTGATGAGTGAGGTCAATCTCGACAATATGAGAACTCTGGACGCCTTGCGAAAGGTTTTCAGTTTGTACAACTACCTTGCCCTTGCTGAACGTCCTGAAACATTCATCTTGATGGGCAACTTTGTGCAAAAAGCGACTATCAATGGAAGTGGCCGAGCTGGAAGTATTGAATATAAGGAGTATTTTGATTCACTCGCGGTGGTTCTATCCGAATTCCCTGCATTATTACAGCATTCAACTTTTGTTTTCGTCCCAGGTGACAACGACCCATGGGCATCGGCATTCTCAGCCGGTGCCTCTTCAACTATACCGCGACAGCCAATTCCTGAGCTTTTTACATCCAGAATTCGACGTGCTTTCGCCACGGCAAACTCCGAAATTGATCGATCTAAAACATCAGATCCGCCAGGAGAAGCCATTTGGACTTCGAACCCGGCACGTTTATCATGGTTTGGACCTATTCATGATATTGCTATATTTCGCGACGACGTTTCCGGTAGATTGCGGCGCACAGCTATCGACACTCAGACTGAGAGTGATGAGCCTGATACTATTTCAAATGAGGCTTTAGATGGCGCAACGACCAAAGCTGTTTCAGTGGCACCGGTGCGAGCAGACCAGGCTAATGGAGCTAAAGCAAACACTGTATCGTCTGCAGCGTTGATGGGCCGTAGACTGGTCAAAACTCTTCTAGACCAAGGAACGGTTGCCCCATTTCCAATGTCGGTGCGGCCTGTTCTATGGGATCACGCCTCAGCTGTGCAGCTATACCCATTGCCAACAGCCCTTATTCTGGCAGACTCCGAGGCTGCACCCTTCTGCATGACTTATGAGGGTTGCCATGTCATGAATCCTGGTCGATTGTTGCCTGATGGTGGGGTGCCGGTAGTGAGATGGGTTGAGTATGACCTGGTGCGAAATCGAGGCAAGGTGAAAGAAGAGCGATATTGATCCGAAGTGTATTGGCCAAAATGCAAGTCAGTTGTTACTAGTGCTATTATCGCACGTAAATATATGTCTACCTATCTACTCGTCCAATAATAAATGCTATATCATAATGCTTATAAACTGCGTAGGATGGCTAATTCATATCGATGATTGATGATCTAGAAATACAGTTACAAAGAGAAGACAGTATGTATGGTCTGGTCTTCCCACCACGATCCAACGGTTACAGGAATACTAGTCAATCGTTATCACCTCGGACTTGCCGCCAAGAGGAGCAGAATTTTGCACAATCCCTGGGTTAATAGTAGATGTTACCAATGTATCTTGAGAATTCTGCGCGGTCACAGCATGCTCGCCTTTTTCTTTCTCTGATTGCCAGTTGGGGTCCGCGGGACAAGCACTCAGACAAGTATGCAGCTCAGACACAAGGTTTCCAACCGTTTCAAGTGAAGAAGTGGCACCGTCCCCTAGGCCTTGCCAGCCATCGCCTTTAGAATTGTAGATTTTCTCGCGCACTATGGTTGCAACTTGACCACGTTCGGCCGAATTAGGTCTGTTGATGTCTTCTAATAGCCACACCATGCGGTCCTGCCGTTCACGAGCGGATAATTGGAAGCGAGAATTGACTTGAGGATAGTGAAGTAGGAACACAGACGGGCGCCGTGTGGTGACGATCACCAGAGAGGATCCTGTTTGGGGTTTGGTAATTTGATCCAAAGACTGCAATACCACGAATGTATCTGAAATGAAACCGAGCGTGGTATCTATTCCCATCTCGTTCGACTGAGTATTCAAAGCCACGGCAAGTGACTCCTGAATGCGACGGTGGGGACTTGGACTATCGAAGTTGACCCGCAGTTGCAAGCGGAAAAGAGGATCAGGCTTGGAGAGGGCACGAGCGATATCAATGTCGGATGACAAAGAAGGCCCTGAAACGTCGATTTTAAACTGTCCAGAAAGCTTTCTCTCAGGGCCGTATACAAATGCAATCTGGGACCAAGAAAATGACCGCGGGACCATTCCTCTCTTTATCAGAGATTGCAATATTGAGAGAAGACACTCCAGTCGTTGTAATCGTTCAAATATGCCAATGATAACGCATTGACCAGCGGGAGCAAGTAGGCGTATCGAGAAGTTCCCGCCATTAGGGCTCATAATAATGGAAGAATCAAGTCTGGAAATGAGAGGGAATAGAGATTTTATGCGGTATCGCAGACTCCCATGGGCTACCAAGACTGCGGATTGACTCTGTTGATCTATTCCGTGGAACGAGAGGCGAACAGTTTCTTGAAGATAAGAACCTTGTTTGAGCCCCGCGGGCAATGCTATCCGAAAGGCGGGTGGCAGTAAAGACTGCCTGTACTGAAAGAGTAAATCCGGTACTTCAAGATCTGCACCTAACTTCAATTTCTCCAGTGGTGGATATAAATTCACATTTGGCAAGTCTGCCAGGCACCGGGCGTTAGCATAAATAGCCAAGACCCCTGTCAGACCATGAACCAACTCCGCACATGAAGAGTAGTCGGATCGCCGATGTGAGGGTATCAATGTGTTGCTGATAGGATGAGCTAATCGATGTGTCGGTGAGTTATATCCAACGGAAGTGAAGGACACTTCGCGTGAAGTCTCAGATGCCAGAGTTTGAACCAGCCACCACTTGTCGCCATCCATACTACTCGTGGCGGCAGCAACCCAGCGGCGGTCCCAAAGCCGGTGAGTGAAGAATAAGGATCGGATAGTGCTGGAGGGAAATGATCGGCGAATGTCAAGTCCTAACACTCTCTGACTAACAATATCTAGGCCGAGGGCTCTGGTAACAGACTCTATTTCGTCCACTGCAGTAGCGCAACGGAGCCGTGTGACACGAGAAAGAAGCTCGTCAATTGCAGATTTGGTCGAAGCTCTTTCGATTTCCGAGCGATCCATCACACTAGGTGTACCAGAAAGTGTAATTGTCCCCGATGAAGGTTCGACAAAGACGCGAAGGGATCGGAAGGGTGTTAACTGAATGTCGAGGTAGCAATCCCCAGGGTCTGATCGAGATAAATGAGCCTGTAGAAATAACTCGCGATTGAAGAATAAAAGATTCCTTTTCAAGGAGGCATATGCGGTGGACAGTATATGCGACGTATGCAATGCAATAACGCTTCGCAAAATACGCTCCATAGAGAGGTCGTTCACATCAAATCGGATAGAATCCATGGTTGCCTGTTGACCATCCCGCATCCAGCGAAGACCTACGCGAGAAACTTTACCACTGGCATCGCCGGTACCACCTTTTAGACATCTTTGAACACCGATCTCAATCCAGCTCTTCGGTCCTGTACTCGCTGGCCAGTATTGGACGACAAGGGTTCGATGCAGCATTTCGATTCGCAAAGAATCCAACCACAAACCACGTGCCAAGTCAACCGCTTGTCTGAAGAGGGTGTTGACCTTGGTAGTCAGAACTAACCCGTGAAGAAAGTCAAATCCTCCTGTGAGGCCCTTATTACGAAGGATTTCATTGGTTTTAGATTCAAGCTCAGTGAGTATCGCGCCTTTAAGAAGGGGTGATGAAGGTGAGAAGAGAAAACGAATGTCCACAAAAAAAAATTGGGAAGTCTCTGCCTCTTCTGCAACAGAAAGATCGAGCTCGAATTCCCCTGGAACTATGAACGTGACACGGCCGTCATGGACACGGTAATTTTGTAGGGACGGTGGGATTTGGTCGTAAACTGCCAATCGAACGCTGATGATGCGGTTGATTTTGTGTAATTTTTTGAGGGTAGCCCGCGCTGTTAGCGGTTTGGGTGGCTTGTAGCCAAACTGCGATCAAAGGTTAGAAAAATTATTAGAAACCACCAGGATCAACTTACATCTGGTAGGGTTACGACCCGTCCCTTTGAAAGCACCTCGAGGGCCGTTTTCAGATCAGGATTGGCCACTTGTGCCCGAACAAGATCCCGTTTCATTTCACCAACATACTGAACTGCTGCCTCGTAGGCTTGATGGCGCGTACGAATGAAGCCTTGAATGTCGATCAGCCTACTGACTTCCGCAGCCTGTCGACTCCACTGAGAGAGAACTAAGAGCTTGATGAATTCACTCCGTTTAGCGTTCGCAAATTCCATGATCCGAACCTTTTTTCGGATATTTTCGTCAGATTGATTGCCGAAAGGTTTCCCACTCGTGACTGGCTGGGTAGGGCCTTCAGAAGGAACTTGAATGGTAGATATCTCCGTGATCAATTCGGAAAATTCATTCCAGCATTGTTGCGTAGCTCGATTCACGAGTGTTCCGAATGGAAAGAATCCTTGAGTGATATGTGGTAGGTTGAATTTGGCCTCTGTATTATCTCCTGGGATTTTGCATGGTGCCATCGAATCATTCATATTTGCACCATTGACATGGATTGGGCCATTGACGGAATCAGAGAGTTGACTGGCTTTATCGTTGCCACCATACGAGTTAGACACATTTCCTAGTGCCACACCAAGGCCCTGATTACGCAAAGTCTCACTGGCAGCTTCCATGATGACGCCTGGCATGTCTAGAAAGGGCGGGTCAGTTCTTTTGAGCCTTCCCCTCCAGGGCGCTCTGTACGGCACAGAACAGGTAACCTGATACAGTCACTGCCCTGAACACGAATCAGCTGGCGCCGGAAGTAGGAAGGGAAGCTGAGAATGGAAGGCCGAATGAGAAAAAAGATCTCAGCCCAATACGTCTCACTAGCCATGCAAAACAATGGCCACGATCATAATAAAGGAATGCGATGCACGCTCAGATTCCGAATGGGAATTTGTTGAATAATTTTGACAATTTTGACAGTTCGAGAAGTGATTTATTGAGGGTGAACCACTTGGAGGAATTGGCCGACCTGATTGCGCCGGCAATCAGATATTGAGAGCGCTTCGGAGGAGGGTCACGGACGAGGGAGTTGGAGGTTATTTGGAATGGGGGGGATAATTTAAAGGAAGCCAAGAGGTGGGAGTTCAAGATGAAAAACTAAGGTTATGAGGGGAAGGTGTGAAAATTCAAGATATTCAAGGCTGCGAAGTGCCAAAAGAGTTGAAAGCGCGAAGGCGCACGTACCGCCTTGTATTTATGCCTTGTTGCCTTATAGTAGTTGGTACTGTCAGATTGCTGTATTGATTACAACTTGCGGTGAGAATATTTACACTCTCATTACTTCCGTTACAGACATGACCTCACCACCCTTATCCATCAACCGAACTCCTTGAGAGGAGCGCAAAAATGACGGCCACTACGAGCCAGTACGAGGAAGCAAACATGCTAGACGGGCCAAAACCTCTCTACCAAGGAGATGATACTCGTCATACTAGCAAGATGGAGCTTGCTGGCTGGTATTGTTATGGCTGGGCGGCCGAGGTGTTTACTGTGTGTGCTATGGGTGTGTATATCTTTATATTTACTTCTAACTCTATCTATCCCTGATATTCATTTTTGAAATCAACAGGCTCATTTCTGCCTATCACCTTGGAGCAAATGGCACGCGATCGGGGCTTTCTGTTATCTGATAAAACCACGCCATGTAGCCCAACATGGCACTCCAAACAAATCGATCAACAAGCTGGGTATGAGGCCCAAGGTGCGGATACTGGCCAGTGCATAATCTTCATCCTTGGTGCAGAGATCAACACGGCGAGCTTCGCCATGTATATATTTTCCCTCAGTGTCCTGATCCAAGCTATATTGATCATCTCCATGTCGGGTGCAGCAGATCATGGGAGCTATCGTAAAACGCTTCTGGTCGGATTTGCCTTTGTCGGCGCTATCGCAACCATGTTGTTCCTCGCTGTTGTCCCTCAAGTTTACTTACTGGGCGCCGCCTTGGCGATAATTGCGAATACTTGTTTTGGTGCATCTTTCGTGATGTTGAACTCGTTTTTACCAGTTCTTGTTCGTCACCACCCTTTGATACTTGAAAAGTGCCGGAAAGTTCAACCTGAAAATGGTGCTCAATCAATCCCAGATTCTTCCACGCCTCTACTGGCGTCTGGCTCAGGTGATCTGGAATCTTCTGAAAACTTGACCTCCCATGAACTCAGCCTATCCACCAAGATATCTTCCTTTGGAATTGGAATTGGCTATATCGGGGCGGTGACCCTGCAGATAATACTCATTGCCGTCGTTGTGATTACCCATCAAACCACCTTTTCTCTTCGCTTGGTCATGTTTATGATTGGGCTATGGTGGTTTGTATTTACTATCCCAGCTAATATATGGCTCCGCGCTCGTCCCGGCCCACCTCTTCTAAGCAATGGGAAGCCGCTCAATTCATGGGCAGCCTATATGATCTATGCATGGGTATCTCTAGGAAAGACTGTTATGCGTGCAAGTCGTTTGAAAGATCTTCTTCTCTTTCTCGGTGCCTGGTTCCTTCTCAGCGACGGTATTGCTACTGTCAGTGGGACAGCAGTGCTTTTTGCGAAAACAGAACTCGCTATGAAGCCTGCAGCGCTGGGCTTGATCAACGTTATTGTCATGATTGCTGGCGTGTGTGGAGCATTTTCCTGGAGATATGTTTCTCGGCTGCTTCATCTTAGCGCATCGCAGACAATTATCGCCTGCATTATCTTATTCGAACTGATTCCCCTTTACGGCATCCTCGGATTTCTTCCCTCTGTGCAGAGTGTAGGCCTTGGATTACGACAGCCATGGGAGATGTACCCGCTGGGGGCTGTTTATGGCCTTGTAATGGGTGGACTCTCGTCTTACTGCCGAAGCTTATTTGCAGAGCTTATACCACCTGGATATGAATCAGCTTTCTTCGCCCTTTTTTCGATTACTGACAAAGGTTCCAGTATCTTTGGACCGGCTGTTGTTGGAGCTATTACAGATAAATATGGTGGCATCAGACCAGCGTTTGTCTTTCTAGCTGTCCTAATTTTCCTTCCACTACCATTGATGCTACTTGTGGACCTTGCTCGTGGGAAACGAGATGCTCTTGCATTGGCAGCTGAACTGAATGCAAGACCTCAGTATGAGGCTAACAGTACGCAGGCTTCAGAAGCATCAGAAGAATAGCAGCATCCACGACTCATATGTACCACTTCATTCACCTTGGAAGCCTTTGAATAAATGAAATGACATTGGCTATGTTTTGTATTTTGGTTATCATATTAAAAGATATCCATTAATGCCAATTATCCATCAAATTGACCTAGGAAGAATGTAAGGACTTCATATGGAAGATCTATTTATATACTCCGTAACAATGGATTTGCTGGTCAGAGCCTCAAAGCGGTAAAAGTGAGGTCATCTGTGAATCTCTAGGTAAGACTATCCAGGGTATACTAGCTACTGTTTCAAATCCTGAATCCTGCATTCTCAAATACAGTAGATAGTAGATATTGATGACAGCCACGGTGTTGACAATTCTTGTGGTGTCACCAACTGTCGTACAGAAAGGGTAGAACAGATTGAACAGAAGTAGCATGTCGTATAATTCTCATTGTTTAATTTCTAATACATTTAGAGAGATGAATAACTAGTTACTAGTTAGGTACAATATTTATACTTAGTAAGGCGGTACTTTACTTCCCGCCCCTCAGGTATTCAGGTACCGGCCGAGGTAAGCCCTTGCGTCCACTCCCGTAGCCCTGCAAAGAACAAACTGTCCTCAACTTCTCTCCCCCAAAAACCCTTTGCTTATATTCCAAGGATTTTCCCCCATCTTTCCTTCTTATCATATTTCTAATAACTGCTCGTGTAAGTAATTCTTCTACTCTCTCAACCTCTATCTCCTCATCATCGTCCTCCGTTCATTTCGCTGACAACACTAGGTGTCGTTGTTTGCAGTTCATCACAATGCGCTCATTCACCCCTCTGGTTCTGGGCCTCTTGGGTGCTACTGCAGTCTATGCTACAGAACCTGCAGCTGATGTTGACTCAAACGTTCACACGTTGACTACAGAGACCTTTGATGCCTTCGTGAAGGAGCATCCTCTGGTCTTGGCTGAGTTCTATGCTCCATGGTGTGGCCATTGCAAGGCTCTAGCCCCCAAGTATGAAGAAGCTGCAACAGAGTTGAAGAGTAAAGATATTCCTTTGGCTAAGGTGGACTGCACAGCTGAGGAGGAGATCTGCAAAACCTATGGTGTCGATGGATACCCTACCCTCAAGGTCTTCCGTGGCCTTGACTCACCTAAGCCATATGGAGGTGCCCGTAACACTGACTCGTATGTTTTTGAAACCTCATATCCTACACCAAGTGAACTTGGCTAACTTGATTATTTCAATAATAGCATCGTTTCGTACATGACGAAGCAGTCAATGCCCGCCGTTTCCACTGTCAACGAAGAGAACTTAGAGGATTTCAAGATCCTCGACAATATTGTCATTATCGGTTACGTAGCCTCCGATGACAAGACCACCAACACTAGCTTCACTTCATTTGCCGAGTCCCAGCGTGACAACTACCTTTTCGCTGCCTCTAACGACGCCGCTCTTGCCAAGGCTGAGGGTGTGAAGCAGCCCTCAATTGTTCTCTACAAGGACTTTGATGAGAAGAAGGCCGTTTATGACGGCAAGTTGGATGAGGAGTCTATCCTCAAGTGGGTCCAGACTGCCAGCACTCCTCTTGTAGGCGAGCTTGGCCCTGAGACCTACTCTAAATATATGGCCGTATGTATAATAAAAATGATTCCACATCTTCAAATTGAACATTTGAGCTGATCTCAATTGATATCTGTAGGCTGGCATTCCCTTGGCCTACATCTTCGCCGAGACCGCCGAGGAGCGCGAGAAGCTGGCTGAGGATTTCCGTCCCATCGCTGAGAAGCACCGTGGTGAAATCAACGTGGTCACACTCGACGCAAAGCTGTTCGGTGCCCACGCTGGCAACCTCAACCTCGAGCCCGAGAAATTCCCCGCTTTTGCTATCCAGGAGACCACCAAGAATGCCAAATATCCCTTTGACCAGTCAAAGAAGCTCGACGCCAAGGACGTCGGCAAGTTCATTAAGGATGTCCTGGACGGGAAGGTGGAGCCCAGCATCAAGTCTGAGCCCATCCCTGAGACCCAAGAGGGTGTCGTTGTCGTTGTGGGTCGTAGCTACCAGGAGATCGTCATTGACAATGACCAGGACGTCCTGATTGAATTCTATGCCCCGTGGTGTGGCCACTGCAAGTCGTAAGTTCCTTGTCGTCTCACCATTTTACATTTACATATTGCCCTTTATACTAATCTTGATATGTATGTAGCCTTGCTCCTAAGTACGATGAACTGGCTGCCTTGTATTCCGAAGTCAAGGACCAGGTTGTTGTAGCTAAAATCGATGCTACTGCTAATGATGTGCCCGATTCCATTACCGGATTCCCCACCATCAAGCTCTACGCCGCTGGCAAAAAGGATCAACCTATCGAGTACGATGGCTCTCGTACTGTTGAGGATCTTGTTGCTTTCATCAAGGATAACGGCAAGTACGGTGTGGATGGGTTTGCTCAGGCTGCTGAGAAGCCTGAGGTGGTGGAGGAGGATGTGACCGCGGAAGCTCCTGTCCCCGAGACTGAAGAGAAGGATGAGTTGTAAACACTGCGATTCCTGGTATTGCGTTGTTGTATCATGTATTATCAAATTAAAATGCAATTTTGAGAATGAGAATTTCAGTAAAAATTAGTATTAATGCTAAGTAGATAACTATATCTTAAATATCTGACTCATCTTATCTGACGCGTCTCAATCAGACGCGTCGATCCCGCCCGAGCTGACTCTAATTGATTCAAATTCATCTTTTCTTCCCTTCTAACGGAGCTCATTGACCACTAATCATGACCAGTCCCGATCTTAAGCGAAAGGCGGACTCGTCTACCATTACAAGTAGCAAAAAGCCTAAAGATGGAAACATTACATCCTTCTTTGGAGCGCCTAAGAAGCCGAAGACCCTCGCGACCCAAACAGTTCAGTCGATTACTCAACCCTCTTCGTTCAATAAGGAAAAATGGGTGGCATCTCTCACTCCAGAGCAAAAGGAGCTGCTACAGTTAGAGATCGATACGTTGCACGTCAGCTGGCTTGCTCATCTCAAGGAGGAATTGGTGACATCCGAGTTTTTAAACTTGAAGCGCTTTCTGAAGGCAGAAAAGGAGTCCAAGGCCAAGATATTTCCCCCAGAAGAGGATATTTATTCATGGTATACCACCTTCAGGCCATCCCTTTACTTTTATCCTGCTAAATAGAAGCACAGGTCCAGGCATACACCATTGCACAGTGTAAAAGTGGTCATCATTGGCCAAGACCCATACCACAATGATAACCAAGCCCATGGGTTGTGTTTCTCTGTACGACCTCCGACTCGAGCCCCGCCATCCCTGGTCAATATCTACAAAGGAATCAAGATGAATTATCCGGACTTTACACCACCACCCAACAACAGTGGGCTGCTTACTCCATGGGCTGAACGGGGAGTGTTGATGCTGAATACCTGCCTCACAGTTCGTGCTCATCAGGCTAATAGTCACTCCAACAAGGGATGGGAGAAATTCACTCAAAAGGCAATTGATCTTGTTGCCCGAGTACGAACTCGTGGTGTGGTTTTTCTTGCTTGGGGAACGCCTGCTGGAACACGAGTAGCCAAAATCAACCGAGAGAAGCACTGTGTATTGAAATCAGTTCACCCTAGTCCCTTAAGTGCCCATCGTGGGTTTGTATGTGATCCTTCATTGTGACAAGGATAGGTCGCTAACAGTTGATTAGTTTGAAAACGGCCACTTCAAGAAATGCAATGATTGGCTCGCTTCACGATATGGTGATGATGAAATTATCGATTGGAGTCTGGTACCGACTAAGAAGATTACACCTGCTATATCGAACAAGGAGAACTCATCGACTTTGGCCAATATTACGAAAGTACTGTCCGAGGCTGGTCCTGAGACGGATTCAAACCCCGCAAAGCCACTGCCGTCTACTGAATTTGATGAGTTTGATGATGCAGAAGCCCTTGAAGCCTTGGTCGCAGCTGACCAGGATATCTGAAATAATGTCTAATCTAGAAGAGAAAATAAAAACTAAGATTGAGCTCGATTAGACATTCCAATGCGGGCTGATTACTGCCAGGCGGTAGACTTCATGATTTAAACCTCTTCCTGAATTACTCCATCTTAATGTAAGATACCTCAGGGTACCTGGGTCCTGTAATTGGGGGGGAAAAAACAATTCCAATGGAGCTCACTTGGCTTGTCGACTCTCCTCAATCTCGGAGTAGACTTCGGGCCCTAAAAGCGTGTTCAGCTTGTCAGCAGCGCAAGGTATATATCAATTGAATACTGAACAATGATTCAATACTGACTCTATTCCAATGTTCTAAGAAACGGTGTCGACATATCAATTCTAATTCAGAGCTATCAGAGACATACATCCGTCCACTGCACACATTTAGAGGTGACCATGATCTGGATCGTTCGCAGGCGACAAGAAATACAACATATCCCTATTTGGCAAATCACCCTATTACAGAGAGATTTGTCGGGGATCTGAATCCAGAGGCTTTTATTCGTGAAAATTTGGATGAACCAACTGGAATCCCCCGTCGGGATCACATAGGGCTTTGGATACCTCGCAACCAACAAACCACCGGCTCAGATTCAATATCAACGCAGTCATGTCAATCATCTTTGAATAGTGGAGTCGTTACATCCTTACTACATGATCGATATTCATTTGCAATGCGGGCTTGTGACCAGCTTCCAACGTCCACCCGAGAGCCACTAACTGCAATATATTTCTCGAAGGTCAATCATATTGTTCCTCTTCTGGAGCAACATCAAACTACAGAGTTGGCCTCGGTATTTCTCAAGAGAGCGATTTGTTTAGTAGCGGCCAAAGACCCAACGGCAGCTTCTTATTTGCGCTTGGTGAAAGATGGGCCGCTTCTTTCGGTGCGTCAATTTTGCTCGGAAGTTTACAAGGGGCTCAGGGCTGCGATGGATGCTGAATTAGAACCCGATCGCTTAACCCGCATCCGTGTGCTAGCTCTGATGTCTCTACACTGTGAAGGGTACGACGGAGCTGAAACGGCATCACTTCATCTTTGCCATGCAATACATCAGGCCCAAACGATAGGCTTGCATCTCGATAGACCAGATAGGACATCTGCGGAGCCCCTTGTTAGACTGTTCTGGTCCTTATGGACATTGGACAAGATGCACGCAAGTATCGGTGGTCGCCCTGTTCTTTTGGCTGACCGCGACATTGGAATCACAACCCCAACTTTGAATGATCGGAAGACCCTTGGGGCGTTTGGGGTGTGGCTTGCAATTTCAGATTTGCTTGCAACTGTCATATCCTATTATCGACCCTCGGCCACCAATACTAGTGGCTGGGAGGAAGGATTTCCTCCATTTGAAGATATTGTGGCCGAATGTTCTCACGGTAGTTTGAACTTTGCTATTCTGGGTATGCTCCAATCGCCTTTAATGTTCTATATGACTTATATTTTACGCAGGCTTTTTAGAATTGTACTATCAGTCTGTTGCGATCTTATCCTGTCGACGTGAGTTGACTGACCATAGTGATGGTACCAAAATCTCATCAATTCGACAAGGGCTTGCGGCCATCCGAATTCAGTCTATTGTTGCATCAGAATGCTCGGGCGACTTGCCACCTTTGCCCATTGTTGCATATGCAATCTCTTTGTCCATGGGCGTATCTTATCGTCAGCTCCGCTCCAGTAAACTGATCACCCACTTTAATCGGGCCAAAACCAGTCTGGAGGAATGCTGCTCTCTGTTAGAAGAGCTCAGCTCTCCCTGGTATGCTGCCGAGGCGATGGCTCGCCTAGGTCGTAAGGCACTGCAACAGATTGACTACCGTCCGACTTTACCCGTACAGCAAACTGAAAACACATCCTTGATTGACAGAGCACCTGGATTCTCAAATCCGAATGAAATCCCTTCGGTAAACCATATAAATAATGATTCAACTATGCCACTCCCCACAGCCGAGATATCGATGGCTAGTGATCTACCTTCAATCAATGATACAGACATTTCGATGCAAAAATTTACCGACATTGATATACTATTTGGGGAATTTTTGGATCTGTCCCTCCCTACAAACTTCTGGGATCCTATCTTTGCTTTTGAGAATGGAGGTAGTCAATCATAACCTTAGAAAGGCTGTGGCTTACCATCTCCACACCACACTCATTAGCGTCGGAGTGATGAGGCGATTGCGGGTAAGCTTACGGATCAGTTCAATAGTTGATTCGACAATTTGACGATCCTCATTTCTTTTGCCTTATGGTGGCCTTTTGACAAAATACGGACTACGATGTTAAGCCCCAACTTCCAAGGCTTCGCTCTGAGTCCAATCTGATACAGGTTTTGTGCCCAGGGCGGTCCAAGGAATGGGCCAGAGTCTGGACAAGCCCATCGAGCTATGTGGAACAAGCCTTAAGATACCGTCAGATTCCATGGCAATCGGGTGGATATATTTCTTCCACCTTGAACCCAAAAGTCTTCAGATATTGACTAAAAGTCTTCTCGAAGACGGATCTAAATATAGTATACATCTACGGGCCCTTTTGAAATGAAATTCGATGTCTTCACTTGCTTAAGACAATACTAGCTGCAGGACATAACAAGCCCGGCTCCACTTGGAGGGGAAATCAGCGAAGAAATTACTCGGAAATATTAAATATATATTATCCTACGAATGGCATATTCCCCGATCTAATCGCCCCATTCGGCTTTGTCTCTTGTTTCAAAATATAGTGGGCTGTCAATCCATCAAAATCCTTTCTCTTTTTCCTTTATTCTCCTTCATTTTCAACTACAGAATATACAAATGGCATAGGAAACCTTGAAAGGTTAAAAACAACCGCCCCCAATCATTAACGCCCTTACCTTTCTTAAACACGTCTTGAGGGATTGTGGAGGTGTGTTTTATCTTTTCAATGACATTAAGATCTTCTCTTGTCTTGTCTTCTAAAAGGGTAAGAATTCCCCCCTTCAAACGTCTTCCGACCGAAGGGCCTTGACGTTGATTCAGATCAACCTTGGAACCCAGCCATTTTCTCAGCCGTCAAGTCACAACTGAATCAAAGCGTTGGAGACCCCTGAAGGTCGTTTAAAATCACAATTTTATATACGACCGTCCTTATGGATGCTGGCATGGGATTTAATTGGCATATCACTGGATCAATTTAATCATCAACTTGGTTAGAATACTCGACAGTTCGTCTTTGATTATACTTCGAAGAAGCAAGATTCAATGGCTGCATCGAAAGGTCTGGAGAGCGCATCGACTGCAGGTGCTGCATATACTAATGAACAACAACCTGCATGTTCCGAGGACAAACGAAGTAGTATATACCCCGTGCATCCTCTCCCTCAACTGCAGGATCCCTTTGAGGAGTCAATTCTCGAAACTAACGAGGCATTGGCGAGTCAGTGGCTGGTGAATATAAATGCACAGACGCGTCGCCGAGACCTATTGGAGAACGATGAATACGAACGACTGTGTGGCCGGAAATGGCGTCAAAGGGCAGCTGAACAGTGAGATCTGAACTGGTCATCATCTCGAACAGGACTTGAACTAATCTCGAGATAGATATCATCCATTCTGGAAGCTTATATCTCAGATGGCGTTTGGGGTTCATCTCCTAACCAAGAGACTGGCCAAATCAGACGCACGAGTAATGAGAATCCTGCAAACCCATGTCGATGAAATGGATGGTTTTATTCAGCGTACAACAGAAGACTTTATGATTATTCACCTAGATGTCAGCACTAGGATTCAATATCTCAGCCTGCCCCTTAGTAACCTGGACTTGTTTGATGACATGCTCCAGGATCGGCACTTTCGACTGACCCTCATTTCCTATAATGATCAAATTGAACATGCCATTGAACGCTTTACGCTCGCTATTACAGATGCACTCAAAGATATTCGCAAGGGCAAAGATGCGACAAGTGCTCTATGGCACTACCTGCACCAGCTAGACACGGAAGGTGGTTTCGATTCGGATATTCTGAAGCCTTTCTTCAAGGTGATGATGGACAATATGGAAGGTTGGATTATATCATTGTCTAAACTTCGTCGACGTGGTGCTGCACTTCAGAAAGCTTTGAGTCAACTCTCATTTGCAGTGACCGAGATGCAACGGCGAGTTGGTGTGGCGAGTAGGAAGGAAGTGGTGAGTTTACGCCCGCATAGTCACTCATCAGAATCTAACACATACAGTATTCATTGGCGAATTGTCCTCTGCTGAGCACGAGTGCAAGTTTTGGTCGACCCAAATCGGTCAGACAAAGGCTGTTTTCAAAGCGGCCATCTACTCCTGTTATCAAACTAGACAAACCACTACCACTCGATCCTTTCATTGGCCCGAGTACTCCCAAATCCCGCAAGGCCAAAGATACACCAACGACAGAAAAACGATATACCAAGAGGAACAGCAGAAGAGTTAGCAGATTGATACTATCTAAATCATGGGGTGCACTGCCAGCAGAAGCCATCGAGGACGCTACAACGCCGCCTCAAACTCCAAGAAGAATAAGCAAAAAGCTATCTAGGCCATTCCTTCTCAAACGAGCAGTCACCGAAAATGCCCTCACTCCCAACCCCCGTCCGGCAACCGCTCCGGACAGAACGCTCAAGTCTCGCAGTGCCTCGATAGAGCAATTGAAGGCGATGTGGGCCAGCAATCGTCCCAAAACCCCTAAATTTACACCAAAGTCACCAGTCCGATCAGAACCACAAAGATCACAGCAACAGCCTGATGGCATTGATTCAATGAAGGACCATATATCCCAGTTCTTGAAGACAGACCGCGTGATCGAGGCGTGGGACCATATGGCAACGAAGACAGCCGATCGAAAACGTAGTAGTACAAAACTCGCAAAGGACGGGCCCTGCAGCATTTTCCGAGCCAAGTCCTCTGATGCCTTGCGCGCCCGCCTCAATGATCGAAGGGGCCTACCTGGTACAGAATTTCACAACCAGATGTCATGGGCACAACAGCCAGAGACTTGGAATACGTACTCCTTCAAGCAGAGACCACCTGAAGATCAGATGACACCGCGAATTCATGTGCTGTCCATTCAAATGGCCCTGGATGACGAGATGGAATTTGGCCGCATGAGCGAGGACAATCTGGACGTGAGCGACGATACAGATTCGATCATTACAGCCCTACCTAGTCTATCTATTGCATCTGTCACTGCCGAATATAGACCCCGGATGGTGGAATGTGCTTAAGGTTGGGAGATCAATTTCCCACTGCCCAAAACCTCGGGAGCCTACGATGATCCATGAGACAGACAGTATTGATATATACACACTAGTCTCTCTTCATGTCCACGACTGAAATCCATCGTTGTACCACTTTTATAATATCTATATGAGTTTACAGAAAACCATTCAAATATTCAATATCAAATACTATAAATGAATAAACCAAGCATTCATTTTCAGACCTTTGGGGTTGAATTTATTCCGCATAGTCAAGCCAAGTACCTAAGATTTGAACTCCATAAAATGACCAAAACAATACATGGTCCCATTCATAACCATATACGACGATAAAAAAAGTTGTTGAACCCCCAAAATTGGAATCATTTGCAGCGCTTTTCGACGATATTTGCGCCGTGCTCGTCATACTCCTTCTTGGAGATCCACATCTGGTGGAAGGTACCCAAACTGGCCAGAATACTTCCACCAATCCAGGACCCAAAACGACGCTCGGTAATGTTACCGGGAGCTGAAATGCGGACTCTTGGGCCCGGGAAAAGGGCCACCAATTCTTGGTTCAGGCGCTCTGTGAAGCCGTAAAGGAGGCTGGAGCCGCCCGTCACGACTACATTGGCCAGAAGATGGGGACGGATATCCACATCCACACCACTGAGCGATGCTTTCACTAGCTCGGGAATAGTCTGAGCTTGGGTCGGGGCTGGAAAGGGTGAATCAGGGTCAGGGATGGCAGCCTTTGCATCGAACAAGGACTCTACCGCTCGGAAACGGTCTGCGCCGAAAACCTGATTATAGCCATCGGGAAACTCGAACGGGCGAGGAGGAGAAGTGCGAGCCAAATCTTCATTCAAAACGCCGTTGGGACCGGTGGCGGAAAGCTTGGTCGGGCCAGGCCAGACCTGCACGACGCACTCCTTGAATTCTGCCAATGTCCGCTCTTCAAGAAGAGCGCGGTACGAGGCATCTGGTGCCTTATCGGCAGATAAATTTTTGTACTTGGCCTGGGGTGGCTGGCCAGCTTCCACAGCGGTCTTTGAACTGATCAAGTAATGAGGTGTGATGGTAATGGGTTGTGGGGAGTTCCTCTTGAGCAATGCGCGGATCTGCGACGAAATATAATCACCACCGAGTGGGGAATGCTGCACACCACGCTTGAGGATCAAGCCATCGAAAACTGGGGTGATAGAAATGTTTGAGGCACCAATGTCAATGACAAGGGCAGAGGCTTTACCGGAAGCAAATCTAGAGAGGGCAAACATATGTTAGATTAAACAGGTTGCAGAGAGAATGTGAGTGAAAGAGATACACATACGCGGAAAGCACACCACTCCGTGCCAGATAGAAGGCAGGGCTTCCCCATTTCTCCATGGCGATTTCAATGGTCTTCTCTCGTGCCTTGGCAGGGTTCCAACCAGGCTCCGTCATCAACAATGGGCTGTCGGCAAGAAGAGGTTTTTCATCAGATTCCACGTCCATTTCCGTAGGAAGCTCTTCACTGGAGACGTCATTCAGTCCATTTTGAAAGGGATTGCCTGGTTTCACAGCATCGGTAAGTCGCGAGGTGAAAGAGTACTCCCAAACCTTCTCTGCCATGTCCCAATCCTCGACAATGCCATCCTTGCCGATCGGGTTGTGGACGGATATACCTGGGCGCGGCCCGACGAAGAGATCATCTCCAAAGATCAATTTATCTTGCCCATCGGCGTTGTACTTGCCGTAGTATGTTGTAATTAGGGATTTTGGGAAGTCTTCGCCAGCAAAGCCAGCGCGCGTAGTTGAATAACCTGGGTCGAGAACGATAGCTGAAACTTCATCTAAAATGCGACCGCAAATATCAGTAACTTATTCAATATACTATAACCCTCCTGTTTTCAAATATAAGAGTCAGGACCACCAAGGGCGCGTTGCGCGTTGCGCATGCGCAAATCACGTACCTCCACCGTATTCAGCCGCTTGGGGTGCATTGGAAGAATTCATGGCGGTGTCGCAAAATATTTATGACCAAGGCCAAACAAATTCGTAGAACGGGTGTCGGCAATTCAATTCAAAATTGTGGTGGACAAGGGAAGAGGGAGAGAGAATGGCTTTTTGGTGCGGGAGAAACAGCTTTCGGGGCGGAGAAGATCCCGGCACCCCAAAATGACCTCACCTTTAAATTTTGGTTTTCACCTCTACTTTCTCCTCTTACTTAGCATTGCTCTTTTCTTAAATTATGGATTCTGAAATTGATTCTATTCCTGAGACACTCTTTCGTCCCACAAAGCGACGCAAGTTTATGAGAAGACGGCTAGACGATGGCGCAGGGGATACTGCCCTCAAAGGAAACGACGCATCTGAAGCCCTTCCCAGCGAAGGTGATGGCAGATCTCAACAAACTACAAGTGTTGTCCGTGTAGGACGACCCCACTCTACTCGCAAAGGTGGCATTGGATTTTCCACCACTTCGCGATTTGGCAAGTATGAAGGTCACCAGCAGGCACTCTCGTTAGCTGAAAAGTTGGAACAAGAGGCAAAAGAAAGGGTTCAGACCATGAGGGACCGATTTACACAACATACTGGTCAGACTGTGGATGTGGACCGACACATGTTAGAACCATCTCCTCCTTGGACTGTTATTAGAGCGACGCGAACTAATAAGATAAGGATTGCTTACATAGATTCCGAGATGGCTAAACGCGATCATCGAAATCCACACCCAGAAACCGCGGAGACAAACCATTCAATCATAGAATCTCGTGGCGAGTCGTCTGTACCTGAACGAGAGCCCGCATCACTGGGCAAGCTACATGAAATCAATCTAGGACAGGAAATAAAGCTGCAGAACATCGCACGCACGGAGGCCGCCACTCGACGACTTGTGGGGGACGATGACTCAACTGGCATACCCAGTCAACCTCCTAGTGGCCCTGCTGACAGACAGCGATGGTACAACCGCAAGCGACGCACCAGTGCAGATATCGAACGAGACCGACTTGTGGAGGAGGTATTACGTGAAAGTAAACGTAAGCCTTCCTGAAACCTAATCAGAATGTCAAAATTATGGCTGACATGACTAACGTAGTGGATGTATATGATGAACCCGAGGATGAACCACTGTATGATGACGAAGCGGCAGATGAACGAATCGCGGCACAATTCCAGCAAGACTTTATGGAAGAAATCCAATCCCGTCGACGACTTGCACGGTCACGACCCAGCAAGACTGACAAGACGGAAGCACCCAAGGGACCTAAGCTGGGTGGGAGCCGCAGTGCGCGGGCAGCAATGCGGGAAATGCAAAACAAGGCCGGACAGAAGTAGTAAAATCATGTTAATCTCAGGATATCATTTCAGTACTGTCCCCGTTGAAGCCAGTTTTATGTTTGAGGCGAAGGGTGGAAACTAACTACTCTGTAGTATCTTGGCCTGACGACTAATGAATATTGAACTGAATATTGAGACTTTGAAGTAATCTCGTATAAATAAGCAGAAATCTATACTTAGAGTAGGTAAATAAGATGATAATAATAGATTATGGTGGTATTCGTATTGTGTATTCTATTTACAATACTTTAGCCGCCACGGCATTTGTCTCAAGTATAGAGGAGCCACTTTAGTATAATTTCATGTTCATTAAACCCCTTGATTTATAACTAGAAGCTTCAAAGATCAAGTGGCAAATGGGACTGCAAGGTGTGTTGTACCTTGCATTTGGACGCGTATGTAATATTCAGCAACCTTTTTACTAGCCGTGGCTTGGAATTGTGGCGGAAGCTATAGTGGTCAATTATATTTACTGAGTAATATGGATTCTAATAGGATAAGTACCAAGTATTAAATGAATCCGTGGATACAACTTCGGCGCTAAATGCTAAATAGCTAAATTGACCCCACTTACGGAGTACATCCTTCGTGAACACACCATAAATACTGTGTACAAAAGGTAGAGAGTACACATTCTTGAATCATACGTAATAAATCTCGGTAATGATTTTCATACCAGAACACCCCCTTTGTAATGAACCTTTTTGTAATGTATTACAAGTTCTAGACCTGAAAATTTCCCTGAACCAATCAAACTCAGGGGTTCATTGATCAACATAACGGTCGAGACTCGACTTTCTTCTTTCTTCTCTTTCAATTCCTTAGTCTTTTCATTTTTCTCCCTTCAACACTCCCTTCAATACTCCCTTCAACAATCCCTTATCGTGTTCGAACCATCGTGTCATCTACACTCCTTGGCCCTGCTTGAGGCTCCTCTCTCTCTCACTCTCTAGCTTTCTCCTTGGGTCCGCTCTCCCCTCATTCCCCCTCTCTTCTATTTCACCCTGCAGGTTGATCCTGCTGGGGTGCTCCAATTTTGCCTCGATACTTTCGATTGATGGTTTAGTGGGAATCTATAGATATCCCAACTATTTCTATATAAGAAGATGAAGAAGCTGCTCTGGGCCCTAGGAGGCCTGGGCCTCGTGTCCCAATCCTTAGCTGCAGATACTCTCAGCACCTCGGGATTTCAAATGTGTATGACCGACTCAACTATCAAAGTGCAAAAGCTGAATGTCTCCTACACTCGCTCTACTCAGGAGGTAGTCTTTGACTTGGCTGGTACCAACTCAGAGACACAAAATGTCTCCGCGACTTTGACTGTGACAGCCTACGGCCTACAGGTCTATACCAAAACTTTCAATCCATGCGGTACTGATATACACGTGGATCAACTATGTCCTGGTGTGTAACAATCACTTTATTCTTTTCAATTCTTTTCTCTCCCTAATGCCTTTGCGCCTTTCTAGTCCCGTCTGGCTCCTTTGCCGCTCAGGGTTCCATGACTGTTCCCTCGAACTACGCAAGTGATATTCCTGCCATTGCATTTAACATTCCCGATCTTGATGGTCAAGCGAAGCTGGTTCTTAAATCTGAAGACAAAAAGTCAAATTTGGCATGTGTCGAATCCGACCTGTCCAACGGCAAATCGACGGAAGTCAAAGCAGTGTCTTGGGCATCTGTAGGTGTTGCCGGTGCTTCTTTAGCCTTGAGTGGTATATCTGCTGTTGGTGCCGCTGGTCACCCTGGCGCAACCTCATCCAGCCCAGGATTCGGTGATGTAATGGGTTGGTTCCATACCATGGCCACCGGCGGCATGCTAAGCGTCAACTATCCCATCATCTATACGAGCTTTACCAAGAATTTTGCCTGGAGCACTGGCTTGGTCTCCTGGGGTGGTCTGCAAAACTCAATTGACAACTTCCGGGAAAGAACCGGCGGTAACTTGACCGATGCCAGCTATAGCTACCTAACTAGTTCGCAGTCGACCTCCAACTCCTCTAATTCCTCATCGACAAAGCGGAGCTTAGATCTGATAGGTCGTTCGATAGACTTGCTGTCTGATTCATCAAATAGCTCGTCCTCTTCTGAATTAGATTGTATAAAAGCATTGGGAACCGAGCTCAGCATCCCCTCCGCCAACGTCTTCATGACCGTCCTTTTGATTTTTGCTATTGTTATTGCGGTGGTTGTCGTCGGTATCCTTCTTCTAAAGGTTATTTTGGAATTGTGGGCACTCTACGGTAACTTCCCTCGAAAATTGGCCGACTTCCGAGACGACTACTGGGGTATCATGGCTCGAACCATCACCAACTTGATCCTTCTTGTTTACAGCATCTGGGTCCTTTACTGTGTGTACCAGTTGAAGAACGGTGATTCTTGGGCGGCCAAGATCTTGGCTGCGGTAACACTGGCTCTCTTCACAGCTGTTCTGGCCTTTTTCGGTTGGCGAATCTTCTACATGGCCCGCAAGTATAAGAGAACCGAAGGCGATACTAGCGGGCTCTACGAAAACAGGGATACCTGGCGTAAATACAGCCTCTTCTACGATGCTTACAAGAAAGACTACTGGTGGCTGTTTGTGCCGATAATTGTATACGCCTTGGTAAAGGGTTGCATCATCGCCGGAGCGCAGGGTCATGGTATGGCGCAGACTATCGGCCAACTGATTGTCGAGGCTCTCATGCTGCTCCTTCTGTTGTGGAACCGCCCTTACGCCACCAAATCATCCCTGGGTATTAACATCACTATCCAGATTGTACGCGTCTTGTCGGTTGCCTGTGTGTTGGTATTTGTGGAGGAATTAGGGCTTTCCCAAACCACAAAGACGGTGACTGGTGTTGTCCTAATTGTACTCCAGTCCACCCTCACCGCTGCCCTCGCTATTCTCATCGGCATCAACGCTATCATTGCTTGCATCCGTGAGAACCCACACGCCAAGCGAAGGAGAGAAGCTGGTAAGTCCCATTTAAAATCGTCAAAGTTTTCACCAACACATACTGACGTGCTTTCAATAGAAAAAATGAACCGCGATCTCGACGATTTGACTCCTCTGGATGCTCGAGAATCTCTCTTGATTGATCATAATCCGAAGAGAGACTTCACCGAGATGAGCAGGTTCAACTTCACTGGTCCTTACCAATCATATCGGAACCAAGCAGCACGACGTAATTCGTCGGGCAGTGAAGAGGGACTAGTCCACCCTTATGCTGATCGTTCTGGCAGCCCGATGCCAAGAGATACCCATGGACATGGAGATGATCATGATGATCATCGAACCCCATCACTTGATGGTCGCAAGCCTACCACTGCTGGGTACGGCATGGTGTACTAATATGCGATGTCATGATACTTTTTTTTATTTTCATGTGCTTCCTTGTCCTGAGCGGGATGTACCATTCATTTACTTCCTTTTCTGACCCCTTTTTTTTTTTTTTTTTTTTTATTAGCGTGCCCGACTGGCGGATGGTTCTTTTTGGATGCTTGTGCTATATACTCATCTTCTTTCTCTCCCTCTATACTCCATTCTCCTGACTTTTCTGTCCTTTATATCCATTGCGGACTTGAATTTGACTCGTAAAGCTCCAGCTACAGCTTTTCTTCCCTCGTGTCGGCTTTGATCGTGTATTTGTTATTGTATATGCTCTTAAGACCAATAATACTATAAAACTCGTGTTTGACATGTTCTAGTAGATATTTAAGCATGGTTTTCTTGCACCTAGGCTACTTTACTATGTTTCGTCCGATATTTAATCCCCCGGTAATAATAAAAAAGAAAAAGAAAATACATATAATCCGAGTATGGGCCTAAAGTTCACTATATTTAATACTTCCAACTATCATAGGGTTTCCCTCCCCTTTTCTCCCCTCTCTTCTCAACCCCAAGCTCTCCTTATCAAGCTATGCCTGTCATTCGATCGGCCAAACGCGCCGCAGCATCCGCGTTAGTGAAATCTGGCATAAGTTCATGTCGGTACGCCTGTACCAAGTGTAGAATAGCTATTCAATGACAGGGGAGGCTAACGCCCACTTCTGACACCTATCACAGGTAACGCTTTACGCCCCTTTGATATCTATGTGTCCTCTTGAAGTGGTTGTAAAGTCTGAGTTTCATTCTTAGTTTGTTAGCTATTCGATTTGGTCACATGACTCCTTTGTTCCATACCCCAACAGTTCAACACCTCTCAAATAGGTATCTCCACGAAAGTTCCTGAAGTGGCTGTCGCTTATAGAGTCATGCTGTCATCTTTGCCAACGGTAATTTATTCAGTCTTTTACGAGAACTAAATCAACAGAAAGGAAGGCTAGTTGTTGCGCCAGGTCGTCCACACGAGGCTAAGCGGCATCGAATGATTCATAACTGGTAAGTGGCACTGGCCTCTTTACGCGATGAAGATTATAACTTGTTCACTAACCGACAAATAGGTAGAGAGATGGCGAAGCTAGAGAAAAATTTCTTGCATCGGAGCTATTTCTAAAACTAACTAACACAAGCTCTTACACCTCGCGTATGGACAAGAGAACTTGTCTGACCGATCAATATACATGACCGGGGCAATCCAAGAAAGCCATGGCATTCACCTACAACCGCTCTACGAGATCTTGACTATGTATCTTCCGGTTGGCTTAGATAATGCCACATATAGTCTTTGGAACGTCCTGAACAACTGCCAGAGAATTTCAAAGAAAGACCAATAGCAGGGAGTGCTTTCTTAGGGACGGGGATGGAGGGCAAAGTCGAGAATCGCGGACAGGCTGCTCGTCGTTTAGCTTACTTTTTGGTATTCAAGAGTGAAGAAGCGAAACGATCCTACAAAGAAGTCTTATACCTGCGCTTGAGACCTTGGGAGCATTTGAAGATTTGGAAAATCTTGATGTGATAGGATTTGATTCCATGTCCGATTCTTACAGATTTGGAGAGGTCGGTTGGAGAATGCAGTCCCTTGCCTCACTACCCTTTCGTGATTTCTGACGATATTCACTCGAATGAGTCGATTCAGACTTGTAAAGAAAACCTTAGATATACCAACATCTAGATCATTATCTATTTCACGTATCCAGTAAAATTTGACTACAATATTGAGGTATATGGCTTTTGGAAGCGTAACTGCCCTAATTATAGACTTGTGGTAAGGAAAACAAAGATATCCGACAAATCTTGATACATTTTACGCATACACAGAACATACATAATATCGGGTCAATCTCATGTAATTGCCCTTGATTCATTTCCCTTAGATGAAAAATGAAATTATTAAAGGCAGAAAGCTGCAAGTAGACTTTGCCGTCCTGGGTTAAAACCATGCGCAAAATAATCCCCGGCAGTTTTTTTTCTTTTCTTGATTCAGCTGGAATAAAGCATCTGTAAGGACGACTGGAAATGAAAGAGATGCGACGAGGCACGCTTTCTAACGCGAATAGGGGTGGAAACCACGGTGTGCTCCACGTCCACCACCACGGTAGTTGGCGCCAGGCTTTCCTGCATTCCGGGGGCCTGTTGGCGCATTCGCTGGAGCGGCGTTTTGTGGTTGCGGAGTATGACCTGAATTAAGCAAGTTAACTAAAATATTAAGATTGATAATGATAATGATAATAATGAAATGAATCAAAACGTACCACTGCCACCGCGAACCATACCTTGAGGACCAGATGGAATGTTGGGCTGAGGAACCTCGTCATACATACCCTCCCACGAAGTTGGACCACCTTGCTGGTAGGGTGAAAAAGTACGGCGGGCTTGCTGTTGCTCGTACTTTTGCTGCTCGAAAGCAATCTGCTCCTGTGCATTGTAACCGGGACCTGTGGCAGTCTGGCGGTTGTAGTTCGCCCCCATGCCGGCGCTAGGGGCAGGACTTGTACCACCACTACCACCGCCGCTTTGTTGGGGCTGGGGTTGCATCTGCTGCATCATGGCCGGGTTAATCATGTTTTGCATGACCGGCTGCGAGCTGGGGCTCTGGGGAGTGGGGCTCATGCCGCCTTGTTGTGCCTTCATCTGCTGCATCTGTTGCATTTGCTGCATCTGTTGCATAATAGCTGGGTTCATGCCAGCCATGCCCATGGCGCCCATACCCTGTCCTTGACCGTTGGCCATGGCCATCTGCTGTTGCATCATGGCAAAATACTGTTGCATACGTTGCCAATACTGGGCCATCATTTGGGGAGTCATGCCACCAGTCATACCCTGCGGTGCTCCTCCTCCCTGCTGCTGAGAACTATCTCCATGACCCATGTCGCGATAATTATCCCGGCCACCACGGCGGCCACCACGGTCCTCATCCCGCAGGTTACCACGGGGCTGTGCCTTCTTCACTTCGATGGGCTTGCCTAAGATCTCAAGAGGTCGCGAAAGTGCATTTTCAACGGCGGCTTCACTGTCAAATGTCACGAAACCAAATCCACGGGGACGTCCAGTGTCTTTGTCGATCATGAGAGTAGCATCAACCACACGACCGAATTGCATAAAGAATTGCTTGAAATCCTGCTCGGTTGCCTCCTGACTAACACCACCGACAAAGATCTTACTCGTCTTTTCCTGCTCGTCGCGCGGAATGGCCCGCTTGGGGTCAATCTGAAATATCATTAGCTCAGAAAATCTTCGAAAATTTCTCTGCCTTACAATTTTGCCATCTAGATAATGTTCCTTCACCATAACCGTGTTGACGGTCTTGGGATCCCGGAAAGTCAAGAATCCAAACCCACGCGATCGGCCCGTGGCGCTGTCGCGCATAACGGTGCATTCCTGGACTTCACCGAATTGAGAGAAGTAGTCGCGAAGAGACTCTATTACATATAAATTAGACAATGGGAAACGAATATCATATAGAGGGTACGTACGATCTGTTGTTTCCCAGTTCAAGCCACCAATGAACATTTTCCTGATATGGATTAGCATATGGGTTGAGGTACTTAAGCTTCCACGATAGAAATGAGCCGAAATCTGGACATGACAACGGGACAGAAAATAAAGAAACAATTCAAAGGTGTAAATGCATATGTCAGGGTAAAGAAATCAGTGTAAGGGGCTCTGGCTAAGGAGCTGGTGGTGCTAGGCTGCTATTCAGAAGTACAGCTAATTGTTGAATTGGCTCGACCCACGTCGATGATCGGAAGTTTCAAGCTGGCTTTTGGTGAGATAAAAGTGGCTGAGCAGACACGTATAACTCATGCTTCCACTTGGTTTACATGAGTCCGTGGTTGGAGTAGAAGAACCAAGAGTGAACTCTTTCAGGATCTTGACCAAAAAAAGCGAGCGAATTGTAGGACGAAGTAGTGTGAGAAGTTCAGGCGAATTAAGTGAATTGTCACTGTCTCTCTGTCTCTGACCAAGAAAAGCCTTGAACTGTCTAACAGATTTCCCAAGCTAGGTAAAATCGGCTTGATAACCTCCAGACAGCCCGACAACGTTGCTACTTCTTGCTCTGATCTATCAAAGTATATCGACAAGAAGCTATATAGTATCCGCTGTATACTATATATCGTCGCTTGCAACAAAGGTTTGTGGAACAGACTGGCTTCTTGCCAGGCCGATGTGCTCCGCTGTCCTCATTTAATGGCTCACCGGAGCTCATCTTGATTTCTTCTCACTCCTCTTTGATTTTCTTGCTCTTGAAACTCTGGAAAATAGCTGACCGGAGAAATATCGCGGGGGTAGTTGTCGGAAGACGCCGATAGTGTTGCAGCCAGCTCATATATCCAAACCAAACCAGTAAAATATCCGGTCGCTCATATCGCAGCAATTGAGTATGTGATAGTGACTAGGACCGCATTTCTCAACCCATCATAGTGACATCGCAAGACGAAATAACATTCCAATCCCCACCGAAGACGCATTTGGACCGTGAATAGCAACCGACACTATCCAGATACCAGAGGGGTAATAGAGGGGAAAATGCATGTTTGACGAAGTTGGGATACTACAAGTGCGCAGAAAAAAAGAGAGAGAGTACTCACCCATCTTCCTTGATCCCGGTTCCTTGAGGCTCGTTGTCTGCGGGAGTGGAAACAGACTCTGGTCCATTCTGGTAGCTTGAGCCGTAGGCCACTTGGGGTGCAGCATTTGCAGTGTATGTATCATTTGTGGAATAGTCGTAGCTCTGGGGTGCCGATTCTTCATAAGACTGCTGTGCAGGGACTTCAGAAGGTGGCTCAACCGACTTGGGTGGTTCGACCGCGGAAGTTGTACGCTTGGTTGATTCATCAGCGTCATAACTGGGAGAGATATCATTGTAAGTGAGAGATTTTTGGAAGGAGCTTTAAGCAAAGAACATACAGGTCTGCGAAGAGATCTTCCTCAAGTTCTTCTGGTTCAGCCATGATGCTTAGGGGTCAATATGAAGAATAAAGGGGCAATGAGGGAAATAAAGAGAAAGTGAGAGAAATTAGTTGAAAGAATGAGAGCTAACGAGACGAAATTCTGAACGTGATTCCGAAAATGTGAATTTGGCAAAGAAACGAAGGGAGGAAGGGAAAGTGGACAAATCGGCTTACTCATTCAGAATAGGGCGGCGGTACGCTAACTAGTGGCAAGCTTCCAGCGGGAGGTACAGTTGTCACCCTCCCCATCTTCAACTATTTCACTGCTGTTCATTAATTCTTCGCTACAATTGGAATTTCAAAACTAATCTTGAGAAGTTTACCAATGTCTTGCTGAAAACTGAGTTCTTCATGGCTCGGTGGGATGAAATAATACGATCCCTGGCCCACCCCGCATTTACCACTCACCAGAACAAGAAATTGCTATAGTCATGGCAAATAAAAAGGGGCAGCAGGTTAGTATTTGGGATGATTTGTATGTTTTGAAAGATTGAGCTGACTAGTTACATATTATAATATAGGAAATGGTTCAAGTTGGTTCGTATATTCCACCACTTTCTTTGCGATTAGTAGCTAATCGAGTGGCTGAATAGACAGTTCGGAGTATGTTGACTACATTTCCTATGTGATATTATTCCAGGCACTGATCACCTTTAAGACGCACAGATTCTCCATTTTGGACAGGCCGAACCGCACCCTTGAATCAATCACCTTCGAAAATCTATGGTCAGAACACGGTGGTGGGAGCTTCATACTCCCATGCCAATATGCTACAGTTTGTCCCCCACTGAGACCCAGCCTGTCGCGTCATACATAGCACAGGATATTTACTGATGATTCAAATACTCTCAGAAGTTCCTCAAATCCTCCTAGGACACCTCCAAAACCCTCTGCTGCCAATGTACCATCGCGTTTGACACACCGACCTGACAATATCGCATCATCCCCTCGTGAACCCTATGCCCTCATGACTCAAGGAGTGGATGAATGGAGCCGGGACCCTACTGAAGATGATGAAGATGACGATGATGAGATTGTGTATGACGACGACGAAGACGAATTTGGATTGCCAAGTTTGGCCAGTATGCGAAGAAAAAAAGCAGCCTCGTCAATAAAATCAAAGAATTATGACCTTGATGGATCGATAGGAAATCCCTCATCTTTGGGATACGGGTTAACAACAAACAACCGACAACGGGCAAACAGCTCAGACATTGCTGAAGAACGCGGTACACCCATGTACCCAACAGCACGTAAAGGCGAAGGCAAAATTCTCCGGCCTCAGTACAAAGATATACTGCAAGGTCAGAATCATATCCGAACTTATTTCCTTGCGTAGAAGAATGTGCTAATTTCTAAGAATCAGATCCGGCAAATGCTTTGAATCTCATCAACCACTCTGCGTCGCCCATTAATGCGTCTCCCAAGGAGAAGGAAATACATTCCAGCCGAATTTCGCGCATCAACAAGTTCAAGCGAATTCTACAGTCAAGTACAGTATCTCTGACAGCATTGCGAGATTTGGCATGGTCTGGAGTTCCCGAGGAAGTTCGACCAATGACTTGGCAACTCCTGCTTGGCTACCTTCCTACGAACAGTGAACGACGTATATCTACTCTGGAGCGAAAGCGCAAGGAGTACCTCGATGGAGTTCGCCAGGCATTTGAAAGAAACAGTGGGGCCTCCAATCCTCCTGATACAAGTTCTGCGCGTGCGCGTGGACGTGGTCTGGACGAAGCAGTCTGGCATCAAATTAGCATTGATGTTCCTCGTACGAGTCCACACATCCCTCTGTATGGTTATGAGGCCACCCAGCGGTCCTTAGAGCGAATTCTTTACGTGTGGGCCATTAGGCACCCAGCAAGTGGCTATGTGCAAGGCATTAATGACCTAGTCACCCCATTTTGGCAAGTATTCTTGGGAGTGTATATTACCGATCTAAATGTCGAGTCGGGTATGGACCCCGGCCAATTACCTCGAAGTGTGCTTGATGCAGTGGAAGCTGATACCTTTTGGTGTCTGACCAAGCTCCTTGACGGCATTCAAGACAACTACATCTACGCTCAGCCAGGAATCCACAGGCAGGTTAGAGCTTTGAGGGACTTGACTATGCGAATTGATTCCGCTCTTGCCAAACACCTGGAACGAGAGGGCGTGGAATTCATGCAATTCAGCTTCCGATGGATGAATTGTTTGCTCATGCGGGAAATGAACATCAGAAATACGATAAGGATGTGGGACACTTATATGGTAGGCGACTTGTATGGAATACCCTGTCTTGCTTTGATGCTAATGGTTCTTGTCAGGCCGAGGAGCAGGGCTTCTCACGATTTCACCTTTACGTCTGCGCTGCATTCCTCGTCAAATGGACGGACCAATTGGTAAAGATGGATTTCCAGGTAAGAACAAAGTTTCGCAATTGACCTGATCCAGGAACTCATATCTGTATAGGAGACCATGATGTTCCTCCAAGCACTACCTACAAGGGATTGGACTGAGAAAGATATCGAGCTTCTACTGAGTGAGGCATTTATCTGGCAGAGCCTATTCCAGGACTCCCGTGCGCACCTTCGGTCTGCTGGCGATGAGCCTCCTGAAAATGGTATATTTTAATTGATAGTAATCATAATTCATCATTCCGTTCCAGATTCCTCCGAAATAGACATGGGATCGATCAGTTGAAATGGATTCCTTTCTGGTTAAACGCCCACAGCATCTTCAAGAATTCAGTCTCGTCACACATTCGAGCACGCTTGTCAGCAAGGTGGGTCTCGTCCTCCAGGACCTGTCGCACTTTTTCGCGTACCAACTCTGCCACCTTTCCTCCTTTCTTTCGTGAAGATTGACCCTTGAGTGCTTGCTGAAGACGCGGGTTAGTCTCTTCTTTGAAGAAATCCGGAACATCATCGTCATCATCCATCTCCATAGTCTCATCGGGCTCTTCCGCATTCTCTTGTTCTTGTTCCTCGCCCATATCCATCACGTCGCCGTCGGCATCTTCCGCCGGGCCATCTTCCACGGGGATATCATTCTGAGCACACCAGGTCCGATAGTTTGCTTCAAGCATGTTCATAACGCTGGGGGTGCCGAAGAAACTAGCTCGCAGAGTCTTATTCTTTCGAACAAATACAATGCGCAATAGTCCATCCCACTCCTCATAGTTGATCTGCGGCCGTGGGACCTTGGGAACCATGCGAATAACGCTGGACTCAACCAATGGTGGAGGCTTGAAGTTGTTTTTGCCGACTTTCATGATATGGTCAATTTTAGCCCACATTTGCGCATTGACTGATAGTCGACTGTAAAGTTTGTCGCCAGGTTTGGCGAAAAGTCGAAGAGCGAATTCACGCTGAAACCTATATTTGAAAAAAAAACATGTAAATTAGTAAATGGAAGTCGATGACTATGGAAATGAACAAGGATAAGGCGTACATGAGAATGCAGACTCGTGGTGCCGGCGTTGTGGCCAACAATTTGAATGTGAGAGGAGAAGAAATCTGTATAGATAGTAAGCCCCCATGAGATTCTATAATATATTCAAGGTAATGAAGTTGACGTACTTGATAAGGTGTGTTGCTGATACACACGTCGAAGTAGGGAAGTTCAGTCTTCATCACGTCTCCAAGGATCACCTCCAAGCGCTTTTGAGCAGGAGTGCCTTGGAAACGTTTTGTGACTTCGGCCGCCATTCGAGGATCTAATTCCACTGCAATGGTTTTTTTGGCCTTTTCCAAAATCTTGGCTGTCAAGTTACCTGTACCAGGACCAATTTCAAGGACGATCTGTAATATAATATTTAGCTTAGGTCTCCTTTAGATGTCACAAGCAATGCTCACATCACTCTGCTTGAGGTCGGCTTTGTGGACGATTCTAGTTACAGAATTCAAGTTAGCCCGGAATCAAAATCAAGAGATATTTTTGTGACATACTGCTCAGCAATACCAGGGTTTTTCAGAACGTGCTGGCCTAGATCTGTGTTCATCTTAAAGATGCTGTGAGCCGCCTTGGTCTTTGCTGCTGCATCTGCCTGTGCGCCATTGCGCTTCTTCTGCTTAATGACTTTGGGCATTCTGACTTGGAAGCAACTTGTCCATCAACCAATTGAAGGGGTCCTTTTTGTGAAGTGAAAAATATATTAAGTTGGCGGGATGGCTTTTTTTCTTTGCGATAAGATTGTCAGATACTGTTACCGGATTAACTTATTTCCGAGAGAATGTTATCCATATATCATTAACTCCGCCTTTCCTCCATCTTTACAACTTTTCAACCAAGTCCAAACATGCCACCCAAGGGTGATTGGCTCACCAGGGCACCGCCAGAGAACTATATTGCTGGCCTGGGCCGTGGCGCAAGTGCTTTCACTACGAGTTCCGATATAGGCGGCACCAGAGATGGTCCATCAGCAGAAGAGTACCAAGCTTTAATCGAGCAACGCGCACGTGCTGTGGGAGTGCCCACACCTGCTGCCTATGGTAATGCCACTCGCAACACAGGAAAACCAGCGGAGAAAGATGAGGAACGTTTCAAGGATGTCGAGGAAGACCTCTTCGCCCAACACAAGTACGATTCTTCAGATGAAGAGGCAGATAGAGTTTATGCGGAGGTGGATGAAAAGATGGAAAGACGCCGAAAAGCTCGCAGGGAAGCTCGAGAGAAGGAACAACAGGAGGAACGCGAACGACAGAATCCGAAAATCCAGCAGGAATTCGCCGACCTGAAGCGATCCCTTGCTGTTATCTCTGAAGAGGAGTGGCAAAACCTGCCAGATGTTGGTGACCTCACAGGTAAAAACAAACGCCAAAGACAATTTGAGCGGCAGCAGCGATTCTACGCCGTTCCCGATAGCGTCCTCGCAGGAGCAGCAGATTCGCAGGGGTTCAACTCAGAGATCGCTGAGGATGGAACTCAAGACGAGGACTTCCAGAAAAACTTTTCGGACATGGGTTTAGCCCGTGATATGGTGCTGAAAGTGAGGCTAGCTCATGCTGCAGGGGCCGAGCCCATGCCCGAGAATAGCATTAACCAAGGGGACTACCTTTCCAGTTTGGTGAAGGAAGAAGGCAGCAAAGTTGATATTGGTGACATCAAAAGGGCCCGTACCTTGATGGAAGGAGTCACGAGTACCAACCCTACGAATCCTGGTGGCTGGATGTCATACGCACTTTTGGAAGAGGAAGCCGGCCGCATTGCTGCGGCCAGAAATGTCATCAAAAAGGGATGCAAGGCTTGCCCTAAAAATGAAGACGTATGGCTTTATGCTATTCGACTTCACGATGGCCACAATGCCAAGGTTATTGCAGCAAATGCTGTTCAGAATAACAGCCAATCCGCAAAACTCTGGCTCGCGGCAATGAAATTAGAGAAAGACGACCGCTCAAAAAAGAACGTGCTTAGACAAGCTATTCTGCACGTCCCCCAATCGATCGAGATCTGGAAAGAAGCCGTGAATCTAGAGGATAACCCTGAAGATGCTCGTCTGATGCTTGCAAAGGCAGTCGAGGTAGTTCCATCGGCAGTTGATTTGTGGCTCGCTCTTGTTCGCCTGGAGACTCCAGAGAACGCACGAACTGTTCTAAACCTCGCACGTAAGGCTAACCCCACCAATCACAAACTGTGGATAGCTGCAGCGCGTTTCACTGAAAAAATGGAGACATTTGAAAAGGACAATGTGATGAAGCATGCCGTCAAAAGTCTGGTGAAAGAAAAGGGCATGCCGAGCCGAGAGACATGGATTGCGGAGGCTGAAATATGCGAGGAAGGAGGTTGGGAACTCACTTGCGCGTCCATCATCGCCGAGACACTTGGAGTGGGTATGACCGAGGACGTTGATCGCATTCAAATATGGATGGAGGACGCTAAATCAAGCATTGGACGGGGCATGTACGAAACGCCACGAGCAATTTATTCCTTGGCCTTACAGAATTTCCCAACTCTCCAGCCTGTTTGGCTTGCCGCTGCAGATTTAGAGCGCAATCACAACAAAAAAGAGCGTTTGTGGCAGGTCCTCGAGAGAGCTGTCGAAGCATGCCCTTCCAACGTGGATCTATGGTTGCGATTTGCCAAAGAGAGAATGTTGGCCGGTGATATCGACGAAGCGCGACAGGTGCTAACTCGTGCACACACGCAACTTCCCGAAAACGAAGATATTTGGCTCGCATCTATCAATCTGGAGGCAGATCCCAAGAATCCAGCAAAGAATCCAGATGAGGCTAGAAGACTTCTCATTAAGGCCCGCCAGGAAGCTGGCACGGACCGTGTATGGACCAAGAGTGTTGCTTTCGAAAGAACACTAGGAAACATCAACGAGGCTTTGGACCTAGTCAACCAAGGACTGAAACTGTATCCCAAAGTTGACAAGCTTTGGATGATGAAGGGCCAGATCTATGAGTCACTGGGCAAGTTTCCAGAGGCGCGTGAAGCGTATGGAACTGGTACCCGAGCCTGTTCCAAGTCTGTGCCTCTTTGGCTGTTAGCTGCACGGTTGGAAGAAAAACTGGGTGTTGCCATCCGGGCCCGTTCTATCCTCGATAGAGCCCGTCTGGCCGTCCCCAAAAGTCCTGAAATTTGGTGCGAGTGTGTTCGGATGGAACGCCGCGCGAAGAACATTCCACACGCCAAGACAGTGATGGCTATGGCGTTGAAAGAAATACCAACATCTGGCTTACTCTGGAGTGAGAGCATTTGGCATCTTGATATCCGTACACAACGCAAGTCACGTAGCTTGGCGGCCGTCAAGGTAGCTGACCGTGACCCAATGACACTGATTACGGTGGCGCGACTCTTTTGGAATGAGCGTCGATTTGATAAGACAAAGACCTGGTTCGAGAAGGCCATGGCCTTGGACAGTGATTACGGTGATGGCTGGGCTTGGTATTACAAGTATCTGAAGGAATACGGCACGGAAGCCGAGCAGGCTGATCTTGTGTCCCGGTGCATTGCAGCTGAGCCGAAGCATGGCGAGGTGTGGCAATCCATTTCTAAGGATCCAGCCAACGCATTCAAGTCAACTGAAGAGATCCTGAAGATAGTCACTGACACCATTAACTGAGGTGTTTCACGAAATACGAACTTTTATGATGTATTACTACTTAGGTCTCATCTCTGATATTTTAGACTAAGGGTCAACGAAGAGGTGGTCGGGCTATTGAGTGAGACTCTCTAATCGAAATTAAAACTGAAAAATGCAATAGTAATGGAATCACTTCATAGGGGTATCTAACGTGACTTCTCCACGCCGGGCAGTCATCGCCGTCGTTTCTGCTTTTTATGTTGAAAACTTCCTGTCCCTGGCCGCGCTCACGTTGACCGTAAAGAAAATGGTACTGTACAAGACAAAGGGGGTAGTTTGAAAAGAATCAGCAAAAATAATCAAGAAGGATCGGTCCGGACAGATCTTCAGAAGGTAAAAAAAAGAACTCCAGAAACAGATGCAAATTATGAGCACCAGAGCCATGACAATCCCAGACGCCGCTCTTACCACCAAGAGTCCGAGAACCCCGAGAAAAGGAAATATAATGTGGTTCAAGCTTCAGATCGATCTTCACGCAGCCATGGAAAGGCACTCGTCAAGTAAAGAGCCCAGCTGCTCCCGGTCGATGTCTGTACCTCCTTCCCAATCCAGTAGAGAATCATCATCGATATCCATCTCATCTTCATCGACCTTAGGTTCATGCGCTTCAATAAATCCGTTTTCCACCGGATCTTGCTTTTCTGTGTCGAGCTCATTCTCGAAATACCCACCCATTATTTGATCAATGATTAGTGGCATGTGACCTAGCACACCACGACTGAGCTCCAAGGTAAGGCGTAGGTCCTTAACACTGAGAGGTCTGCGAAGACTAGCCTCTTTTGCCTCGACAGGAAGTAGACCGGTGGCAGTATCCTTCGAGATTTCACCTCTGGTGAAGGCGAGTTCTTCTCGTTCCAATTGTTCCCGATATTTTCTCATCATCATGCCATTAATCGTACCTGAAGGGCCATTAGATCGAGTGCGCGAGAACACCGCAGACAAGACCTCTTTGACAAAGGTCTCCGTCGCAATTGCCATGAACTCGGCACATGGCATGCCCGCGCCTCCAGGAAGCGACTCTTCGTAACACATGGGTACCATACGAGCATAAATGGACTCTGCGTCAGGGAACTCGCCGGTCTCCGCGGCAAGAGGCTGCGCATATCGTTTTCGAATCTCCAGTTCCCAGTCTGGAAAGCACACAATTGGTCAGCGGAAGTTTAATGTTGGGGTGTTAAAGCGCGCGATGGAAAGATGCTTTCTTACTGGTCTTGTTCAAACCACCAGCACTAGCCGGCACTTGACTTGGGAGCTTGATATTCTTGGCAATATTGTAGAGCTCCAGCTCACTGGGTATCGAATCGTTGGGATCTCGCTGTTCGGCGTTATTAGTAAATTAAATTTTGATAGTACCGAGTGGACCAAATGGCCGCCGTTGTCGTGGGATTGTTGATTCATTGTGTCAGTCACTTACCTCTGGTATTGCCTTGATACGCCGACGGTCCCTTGGAGGCAGTTGCATAACCTCAGTCTTCAGTCTCTGTTCTGCGGCATCGCCCGAGACTGGCTTGGACACCAACGAAGGCTTATCGTTCGCCGAGACCCAGTTGGCAACGCCATGATCGGGAAGATCTCGTGTTAGATTCCCGAGAATCGCGCAAACGAAGTTATTGTGTAGATGTACAGTTTTAGGATCTGCGCATAAGAAGTAATCGACTCGCGACGCGTATTCGTTCTGATTGTAGTGTCCTATAAGAGGTAAGAGGCCAGGGGGTCAGCATACTTCAGGCCAATTCCTAGTTGCGGACAATGGAGAGTAAGAAACAACGATAGATTCATGCGCCAATGAGCTTCATACCTAGTAGGAAAAGGGCTGTGGATTCCTTGTACTCGGCCCACTTGTCTCCGACCGCGGCTTTCAGGTCGGTATAAGCATGCTCTAGGTCGAGCCGCGGCACTGATATCAGAGCTCTAGATGACTTTATGGTCGCCGGGGCATTTATCGCCGCACTCTTCGCCGGGTTTGATGCTGATTCAGTCCGACTCAGGGCAGCCGGGTCGATCTGCATAGCGGCTGTAGGACTCGCAAGAGCGCGACGAGGCGAGGCCGAAGGGCGGCAGAAAGGGAGAGGAATTAGGCATTCATGAAGGGTCCGAAAGTCTAGCGATCGGGTTGAATAGAGGTGGAAAAGGATGATGGGTGATGAGTTGCAGCTATGATGGATTGATGATGAAAAGGAAGGGAAGGAGGGAGGTTTCCGAAAGGTGGTTGCCCCCGCCAGTAATAACAGAAACGGATAGCCTCACTTCCCCGAAACCAGCTTTTATTAGCTACATATGGCAGGCAAAAAGCACTTACCAAGGTTTTGTTACATAAGAAAAAAAAAACTATCATCTGATTTCCAATTCGAACTTCGGACCTTCTACACGAGCTGAACTACATCCTCACTCAGAACGCCAAATAGTTGCAAAATGGTGTCTATGGTCTTGGTAATCTCCTGAGACAACTGGCCAGTCACGAGAACTAGTAATAGACAATAGAGATTAGTTCAATATATAGTGAGCAACGTTTGTGAGTACTCACTGTATGCATATAGTAGGGCACAGTCCTCATCTGTGGTCAGTCGAGATTCCTCATGGTCCTGACGATAATGGTAGATACGAGCCAGCAACCTGTCGCGTGCATGATCAATGCTAGGCAAGACATCGCTCAGTGGGTATTCAAGTTTCATAGAAGATGCCATAACTAAGCAACACTCAGCGTTCTTGCCCAAAATGATGGAAGAGGAAGACTTACCTGTTAGAAGATGGCTGATTCGAGCAGACAGCTGCCACCGTTCTTTGGCTGTATATTTAAGAAGATTCACTTCACCTGAAGTGACTGTATCGCTTTTCATGAGCTCGAGATTCATTGCATTGAACGCATTCACCATGCTTCGAGTACGCTGGATGATATCAGCATACTGAACATCGGCAAAGGCGCTCCGCAGCTCAAACTCGGATCCTGCTGCAACCAGAAGAGACTCCAATCGAGATAGGGATCTTTCGAGCTCTAGTTTCTCTCGCGAGTTCATATATAGAATTGAATGGCCGTGATTCGCCATATTAGATAGTGGGTCGCGTTTCCAAATCAATCCCAGCCGCAGCCAAAGGATACTGAGGCCATCTTTCAATCGATTTCTCGCACTAATAGGCCAGATCACTCGAGTGATGATAATACCCCAAACTAGTACATCTGTCAGCCATCTGTATTCGCGTATTCAAAGGAAAGTACTTACTGCATCCACTGAACACCGCAACCACGCGATGAAGTACAATCTCCGTGATAATTGGTTCCGTGCCTCCTTCGTCCTGGTCACCATCGGCCTCTTTCTGAGCTAGTGAATAAGCGTACAACACAGATAAGTTATACGTTAGCATTATGAATCGAGCCATGGGTCCATTGCCTCGAACAATAGTGATCCAAGCTGTCCACATGGTCATTGACCATCCAAAAAAGGCAAGACCGTACGCATTACCGCCTGTAGTGTACCAGACGAGAATTGCACAAACAGCTCCTAGGCATGTACCGAAGAAGCGAGATAACCCAGTAGTATTAGAAGCCCCGATTGTCATTGAACACACCAACATGTACGATAACAATCCCCATTCGCCTCTCCAGTGTTGGTAGAACGGACGGGACGAAGGAAGAAAGGCAGGCAGCGCATAAAGCGCAGCACCGGTTCCAACCTTGATTGCATATTTAGTGTCATCTCGCCGGAAGAATTCAAGAGACTTCCAAAGCCGATAGCCCAATCTTTCTTTGATGGATGTATCGGTATTAGGTCGTCGACGTATATGAGGAGCTGCCGTGAGTTTGTCTTTGGATGTGAGACTACGAGAGATGTGATGGCGGGAGATGGTTTCAGAGCCATTGAATAAGCCTGGAATCAGTAAGTCAGGATATAACAATCAAAGGGTCAGCTTGCTCGTTGAAATTGAATCACATACCTGTCTCAATCACTGGCTCCTTTGTCTGCCAAAACTTCAACCAAGACCAGGATCGTCCGCACGGTCTTTCTTCGGCCTCGAGTTGTAATTCATCCAAAATATTCAGCAGGTCGTGCAACTGCTCCCCAAACTCTTGAAGTGAGAAGCTGAAATGGCCGCAGCTGGCAGATACTTCTTCGAGATCCGCTTCAGCCTCTGAGCTCTTCAGTTTCATCGCCTCTGTTTTTTGATAGAGGGATTTCAATGTGCTTTGACGTGACTCCTGGTAAAGGTTGAGAGCACGGTCAAGGCTATTTCGAAGGCGGCTATTTATTGACACTTTGTAGTCTGGAGCAGGGCCAAATGGAATCTCGTTGAAAATCTCTTTCAACGTGAAGGCTAGCGATCGCTATTTTTCTCAATTAGCTCCATTTAGTTTTGATGGGTTCCAAGAATTTACCATTGATGGACCCAAGTGGGAAATGAACACGGTGAAAACATCTGCAGGAGCAAGTGCCGCCTTGTTCATTTCGTTGCCCTGGACTGGAGTATCTCCACCAGGCGAAAGGTCCGCCTCTGGACGTTCATCAATTGGCTCGAGAAATGGCCCATCACCATCGGCAAATGACCACGATCGCGAAACATAGTCAAAACGAGGAGTTAGCGGCTCACTAGATGAGCTAGGTTCCATGACTGCTGTTTCCCGAATCAGACTGAACTGGAGAGCAGCTGCACTTCGCAATCCTCCCATATTATGGGTAATATCCTGCACCCAGCGAACAAGTTTCTTTTCAAGGCGATACTCTCTTTCAGTGCCTGCAAACAAGTGCTCAAGTTTTGCGTCCCTGACCAGATTATCAAGCTGATTGTAAGCTTTACGATGTTTGGTTTGTGCGTCTAAAAATTCAGCAGATGTCAGTTCTTCCTCTGAACCGCTGAGAAAGCTGTCTGTAATGATAGCTAGCATGATCGCCAGCGTGTCAGTGACTGTAACAAGATTTGCGCGAAGCTTCTTTCGTGCCGAGATGGGAAAAATCAGAAATGATACAGTCATGCTGTCAAGCGAGTATTAGAAGTTGTTCAAAGTATATGCTTAGGAACATATCACTCACGTAGCTAAAATTCCCATCAAAACCATTTTCAAAACCTGGGATATCTTGTTTAAAGACAGATCACCACTCTGGACAGCACCTTCCTTGGTCAAAACAGTGATTGTTGCAAGGGATGTGAGCGAACATGCGACGTTCACCACAGGATCTTTGAGTCGCTGCTTGGTCCACCCGACAAAGCCCAATCCTATCATCGCCATATCTATTAGTCACTGATGTTCACATAGCTGGGTAGTAGCTGCACCTCAAGGGAAAATACTCACCACCCCCGCAAAATACGATAAGAACTAAAGCATGACCCAGGACTGGTTTGTTCAAGGTGTCTTGGAAGTATCTCTCAAGCAGCATACTCGTGATTGACAGAAAACTCGAGTAGCAGAATGCGAGTAACGCGCAGATTGAGGCGCGGTACATACTTCCCTTGGTTCTTGCTGGATGGAAGTATACGGTGACCGTAGCTACCATATGTTTGCCATCTTGCTGTCCAAGAAGGGAAGAAATCGCAGGAATGAACGTCGCCATCGAGCCGAGTAAGTATGCCAAGCTGCACTTCAAAATTCCAATTCCTTGCTCCGAGGTGACGAATGAACAAGCCCACGCCCATAGCTCTCGCACCCATTTTGATAGCCGAGCTGCAACTCCATGAGGAATTTCAATGTCTCCAGTAAGTAATCCACGCCGTTCATTATCTTCCTCATTTTCAGAAGCTTCCGTAGATTGCGTGGAGCTGCGTAGGTTCACGAAGCCCTTTAAGCGCTGACCGGTTCGTGGCAGGACAAAGGTCGCATCTCGAAGCTGCAGAAGCTGTTAGTCAACTTGCCAATTTTTTTTCCAATTTTTTCCAGCATTCCATGTACACCCGTTTGTGTAGGTACGGCCGCGTGTGCGTAGGGCTAGGATGTTACCTTTGGCCGCTCTTTGCGACGAGAGGAGCTTTTGCTTGGAGCTCCGAACGGTGACATGGCCAGCTTTACTTCACACTCAAGCCGACTACCTCTAGGAGGCTCATGATACAGAGATTTTAGGTTCTTTCAGGGCAAGTCTCACTCGAAATTTGCAAGGTTGAAGTTTGTTGTGGTGCGTCATAGCAATAGCGGGTTATGACCACATCCTGGTCTTAGCGGCTCCACGCACCTTCTTTCCTCTTCCCTTTTGGCTACTACTAATAGTATTTAGTAATGTACTAATGAAAGTAATGAAATTCGGATCTCGAAGATTTTATTTACATGAATATCTTATTTTAGTCCTTCAACCTTCCAAACCTTTACAGCAGCATCAGCACCCGCTGATGCGATCTTTGAGCCTGATTCAATCCAAGCCACACCGTTAACACCTTCTTTGTGGGCATTCTTCAGTTCAAGCCAATCGCCAGGATTTGCCAAGCTCCAAACAAAGATGTTGGTGTCCAGAGAGCCACTCACGACATGTGAGCCAGCCGGATTCCAGGATATAGATGTGATTCGCGCTGTGTGTGCAGTCCAACGGTCGGTTACCAGACTGCCATCTGCCACCTTGTAGACTAGAACACGACCGCGCAGATCACCAACTGCCAAAAGTGAGGCATCCGGGGAGAATGCCAGCGTAGAGATCTGGTTCCGGGAGGCTTTAATTTCGGCTTGAGAAGACAGGCTAGAGCTTGCGACTGTACAGATCTGAACAGAACCATCCTCACCACCCACCGCTGCCACAGTACCATGGGCTGCAACTGTGGTAACTGGGAAGTTGAGCTTGTAGTCTCCGGTCTTCTTGCCATCAACAAAGATCTCGACAGCCTCCGCAGCACCCACCAGCACGGTAGAATCACCAGCGGCGACGCCCTTAGGCTGACCAGTGAGTTTTGAGGCACTGCCGGTATACGTCTTGGCTCCAATATCGATAGAGCGGATCGTGTCGTCCCAGCCGACACTGTAGATTCTTCCAGATCCCTCCGAAGTTGGGACCAATCCAGAAATGTAACCAGGGTGGCCTTCTCCTTCAATTTCTCCAGCGGAGCCCGAGGGAACATCCCAGCTGCAGACTCGGCCCTCAAAGCTACCAGTCCAAAGGGTCTCCTTTCCGTCCTGAATTGATTGGCTCATTGATGTAATGTTCTTCTGGTGGCCTTGAACCACTTGGCGTGGCTTGGGGGTTCCCTCCACCAGGTAGTTCAAGTCTCCGCTAAGAGACAAACTAATAAGCAGGTTATCACTGCGCGCGGGTGGCCAGACAACACCGACTTGCTGATCGCGAACAGCCATAGCGCCGTCCTCTCCAAGAGTCCAGCTCTGGGTGGATTTACCTGCTTCAACGTCCCAGATCTTGACAGTCCGGTCCGCACTGGCAGTTACAAATTTCTTGGAATCCTGGGACCAAGAGAGACCGAAAATGCTACCCTTGTGCTCTCCCTCTCCGATCTGGCCTTTCGTTTCTCCAGTCTTGCCATCATATAGCCAAATCTTTCGGTCCCCACCCACGCTGACCAAAGTCGAGCCGTCTGGGCTGAATCCGACGCCGTAAATGTAGTTCGTGTGCTTGTCTCCAATTCCCATGTTGAACTTGAAAGGCGCACCGTGGTAGAAGACAAGCTTCTTGTCGTCGCCGGCGGCGGCTGCTCGGAGAGGCCGCTGTTGCCTGATTGAAACCGAGTTGATCTGCTGTGTGTGACCAAAGATTTCCCCAACAGTGTTTCCACTGTCCCAAGTGATACAGTGGCCATATCGCTGCTTGCCGTCACCCACGGCAATAATGCGCTGCGAATCGCCATCCCAGGCTAAGTCGTTAATGCGGCCGTTTACAATGCTGTATTCGCCCTTGGTAATACCCTCTCCGACACAATCCCACACTCGCACTGTACCAGCAGCGTCACCACTGGCTACATAGAAGCCGGAGGGGGAGATTCGGGCGACAGTTGTCTGTGCCTTGTGTTCGGTATACTGGCGGGCGATTGCGGGATCATCGATTGAACGCAAGAAGATAGATTTGTTGGACTGAAATAGTATCGGTTAGAAGCATTATCAAGGAAAGATGACAAGGAAATCTTATGAATGTCGTACGGCATATGCAAGCCGCTCACCCTTGGAGTCCGAGGAGAGCTGGGTGGGCTGGCCGCGGGTGGTGGAGGGGCTGGCTGCCCAGATAGATTCTAACTGATAGTCAGGGGATGATCAGATTTATGAGAGGAAGGATTGAAATACCGTTTGTGATTGACATTGAAGGATAATGATAATTTGATAAAGCCCTGGAGGGATGTTCGAGGGGTCAATAGAAAGAGGTTATGTTTACGGGACTGACGTACAGGGGCATCTCTTTTAGTGGGGAAATCCTACATCCATGGATTCATCTGCTATCACTTTCTTATATCTTTTGCTTCATATTAAATACATGATAATACATTTCCGTCTCTCAAATTTGGGTAGTTCTTGGACTTCTCTTCACTTAAGCTCAATATACAGTCTTATAGAAAATAATTCAACCGGATAAACTGTGTAAATGGTAGAATAGATCATGTGCGCTGAAACTAATGATACACGAGGATGAGCCCCTTCTAGCCCATTCATCTATAAAAGAAAATCATATAGCTGGTTTCATGGAGATTTGTGATTCGCCATTAGTAACCTCTTCTACTCTCCATCTTTACCCTGATCTCGCTGACCAAGATCTCGGGGTGTCGGTGCACAGAAGGCATCAGACCGAGTCCCATAGCTCGGCGAAGGGCCTTGGCAATCTTACGTTGGTTGACAGGTCGCAGTCCAGTTTGGTTTCGGTGCTTGATAAGTCCCAGCGGCGACACATATTCGGACATGACGGCAAAGTTCTATTTGAGGGACAATGTCAGCAATAAATCGTTTCAATCGGTTCCATTTAAGAAAAGGAGTGCACAAAACAAGTCAAGAATAGTTGCATTTGTTCATACCTTGTATAAGCTCAATGGGTTAAGGTCCAATGCATCGAAAGCATCCCGCGAAGGACTCTGGCGCTTTCCCCACTTCTTCATCTCCGCAGGACTCAGATCATGAGGAGAATAGATATCACCAGCCTTCCACTCACGGGGTTGAAATCTCTCAAGAGCTCTGCTTTCACCTTGGGCCTTTTGATCTTCAAGGAATCGCATGCGGTTAGGTAACCGGCGTCGGTTAGGCGCACGACCTATGGCTCAGTCAGAGATGAATCACTATAGAAAGGGATGCCCCACGAGAGAGGTTTCCATCGTAACATACTCGGTGACACGGGGGCTCGTTGGGAGGTGAAGCGGCTCAAGGACGCCGTCGAGTTCGAGGACGTCGAACTCCATCGGCATGCCGAAGGGATGGCGTTTGTGACGGTTCGCAGCAGCGAGCAGGAGTAAAAAATATTCGAAGACATTCTGGAATATCAGACTTTGAATCCCAGAAAAATTGGTGCGGAGTAGGAAGGTTGGGTTGGTGACTAGGATCAACGCGGCAATGGATCTTGATCTTTTTCATAACGCCAAGACCACCTTTCCGCTTCTTATTTATTACCAGCTCCGCGTCGCGAAGCCAGCCCTTACAAACTACAACCTCTAGTTCTTCGCCCATCTTAAACTCAGCTCCGTCATTTCTACTCAATTGAGCTCAACAAGCCATGCAGTCTCATTTAACGAGACGAGTCTGTAGGGCTATCATCAATAACGAGCCTCTCTACTTTTCCAGATGCTGCCGGAACCGACTGTTGCATACTATATCCCCCGCACGGCCACGGCCACGATCTCACATATCCAGTCTCACTTATGTGTCCCAAAGGACCTTATTCGCCTTCAATTTGTCTACATCAAAGGCAGGCGAAGGCACCTCCACCTTGTCCTCAGAGAAAGGCCTCCAGCCGATGACCGACCTGAAGCGGACATTGGAGGACAAGAGCAGAGCACCACCAACTCGGACTCTGGTAAAAGCTTTTCAGCTATTTTTCAATACCAGAGGGGAATTCCCTGGAGTGATCACCTTGTATCAAGCCCGCTTGCTCTCTATGACATGGAAGCACCTCAAGCGGCAGCAGAAGGAAATGGAGGACCATGAATGGCAGGATGTGTTCTCGGTCGAGAGTCTTGAAAGGATGCTATTTGTGCTTTCCGAGGCGCAGATTCTTCCCGAGTCGCGCGATACAATCATGAAGATCGCTCGTTTTGCCTATCTCGAACTCTGCGCCGATCATGGCTTCGGTCCCAATCGCATCAGCCGGCCCAGTCTACTTATCTACATCAATCTCCTGGCAACGAATGGGAATCCTGAGGAGGCCCGTCACACTCTTGTCAAGTTTGGAGGTCAATTGCGCGGAGCGAAGCCGTCTCCTTGGCTTACCGTTCTCAAAGGGTTCGCCATGAAAGATGACCGACATCAGCTGCGGAAAATCACCCAGGAGCTTGAGCAATATGGTATCAAGTTCGATCAGGCCTCACACGAGGAATTGATCAATCTTCTCATAGCCCAGAACCTTTTCAAAGCAGTTCAAACAGTGTATGAGTGCCCAATCACCGGCAGTTCCGAGCCATCTATGGCCGCTAAGAATGCTGTGATCAAGCATGCCATCTTCAATGCTGAAAACAAGTGGGCGAAACCTATCTTCGAATCTCTCCCGCAAGGGCCTGTTTCGGAGACCATCGGTATCTCTCTTTTATGGGAAGCAGCACGAGGCAGCAGTGCACCATCACTTGCCGAGAAAGCGAAGTCATGGTTTGCGACAAATCCTCAGCTTCAAGAAGCACTCAGCATCGCCGACCTGAACGACCTCCTTCAGTATGCCAATTCTGTACAAAACCCACAACTTGCCTCGGCATTTGCAACCTTGGCCCGAGAGTGGGGCCTCGATACAGACGAGCAGACTTACCTGCTTCTGTTGGAGTCGCATATCCAAGCCGGTGATGTTGAACGCTCCCTTGAAATTCTAGAAGATCGACTAGACCCTAGTCGTCTGACTGGTGAGAAACTTCCCCTGGCCAACGACCTTATTACTATGCTTTGCACGTCAGAGAAAAGGGATGAGTTGTTTCAGCAAATTGCATCCCTCCTTGACCCTCTCTTTGAAGATGAGATCCGTCTAGAACCAGCAACCATTGCCGCATTGACGCACATGCTTCTTTATCGCCACGACTGGGAGGCTGTTTCTGACTTGCTGCGTCCCAGGTTGGGAAGCTACGATAGTGAAGGAAAGACAATCATTCGAACTGCAGTCACTGATTTTATTCTGGATTTGAATCAAGCAGAGTCAGATGCATGGGAGGTCTACCAGCTGTTGAAATTAGCATTTCCCGAGACCGGGGTTGCCGTGCGCACTGAGCTAATGTGCTCATTCTTTGAACGCAAGAACAGTGACCATGCGGTTCATGTCTTTGGACACATGCGCCAGGCTGAAGATCCGACCCGCCGTCCTAAGCCTGACACCTATGCGCGGTGCTTCCAGGGACTGGCCCGGATGACTGACGCTACTAATCTAGAGCTGGTGCATAATATGCTCAAACTTGACCTGGAGGTGGAACTCAACACTCGAGTCTATAATGGAATGATGCTGGCATATGCCGCATGCGATATGACCGAAAAGAGCATGGAGATCTTTCGCCAAATTCTGCAATCAGATGAAGGACCCTCGTACAAGACCATTGCTATCTTCTTCCAAGTCTGTCAGAAGCACCACAACGGCACACAGGAAGCGTTAAAGATGATGCAAAAGCTCAAAAAGCTAGATTTTGAAATCGACCGCCGCCTGTATACTGCATATATTGAAGCGCTAGCGGCTCAATGCGAGTTTGACTTGGCAAGCAAGGCTATTGACCAAATGCAAGCAGAGATTGGAGTGCCTCCCACTAGCACAACGTAAGCTGTACCAAGAACCTATCCAACTTTTGAAAAATGCTAATTTTATATAGGATTGGTTTGTTCTACAATGCTATCTTGTACCAATACTGGAAGGACCAAGTGGAGGAATGGGCGCAACGAAAATATCCGGATCTGTGGACACACTTGGCCGAGACGAAACGTAGTGAACACGAGGAGGGCTTGAAGTTTGACGGCATCACGAATGAGGTTTGGGTATAGCGCAATATATCATGCACATAATCATTCGAATATAAAATCAATTCGAACTTTTGTCCAACTCTCTCCATCATTCTTTCTATTTTCCGTCTCCGAATTCCGATTCTAACTCCAATCATATAACAAAACCCCCCGCACAATACTTCCGGGCAGCGACCCCGAAAGACGGAAGTATCAATCTATCGTGGCCTTAGTATATGAACTACCTACTTAGTTACTGCACATGTACTTACTACTTCCCTAGACACATCTACATCAATACCACCTTCCAAGCTTACAAGATCAGAAGCAATAAAAATGACTTCGGTCTAACCCTCAAACCAATTCACCTCCCCCACACAATTCCACTAGCAATAAGCACAGGAACCCTAGTGCACGCCCTGTAGAACATATCACCAACTCAGCCCTTATAACACCAACAATCTATAACCCAAGCAACATCCTATCAACCTGATATGACCGAGTCTTCAACCAAGAGGTCTGGTCCATGCTATCCCTAAACCTGGGCTCGATCTCAACAGACGCAGCAACTTTATATTTGCATAGACAACGGGGAGGGTTGTAGACGGAAAGGTTCTACTGGGCTGAACTGATCGGTGCTGTGGGACATTTGTGTATTGTGCCGTTTGTTGCGGGACATTTACAGCGGATTGTTGATGCGGATAAGAAGACTGAGGCGACGGGGAATATAGCGCTGTGGATAAGTGTTCATCGGGTCCGAATGCTTGCGCTGTGGTTGTCTTGACGCTTTTATACGGAGTACAGGCTAGGGAATTTTTGAATCCGGATCTGTCTTATGCCCAGGCGTAATGTATCAATTGATAAGGAAAATTGATATTCTAATATTCTGACATGTGCACAGTAACAATATGTAAGTAAATCGCTAATAAAAACAAAAACCTTCGACGTGAATCCATATGAAATTCTGAATAACTTCACAGAAACAAAATAAACCAAAGTCAAATAGGTGAATCTCGCTAATATTCACATAGGAATATACAATTAGAAATAAAAAGGAGAATTTTATACAACCATTAATGCAACATGTACACAGGAAAAAGAGTAAAGCATATCAGAGCTCTATAAGCTGAAGATACCACTTCTCTTCTTTCCAGACGGATAGACGATCAATGCAGAAACAAAGAGACCGACGGAGATACCAATGGCAGTCTGAATCATTCCATAACCCAGAGAAGTCAATGAACTTCCCGATGTGGTACCGGTAGAAGTGGTGACTGTGTGATCAACGACAGCATTGGCATACTCCAAGCCAGCCATGATCGAGCCACTGGATGCGAGACCAGATGGAACCAGACATAAGATGCCGGGGATGATAGCGGCCGCCGCATGACCGTGCCAGAGACGACTGTACAAGTTGGCCAAGAGGCCGATAGCGAAGGCACCGACGGTATTACCGACCTGGGAACCCAGTCTCTTCGTGCTGAAGTAGTTGGCGATGTAACCGCAAACGCCCAAGAATACTGTGATGGGAAGCTGCTTGAACTTGGCCTGGTTGGTGAGAGCGGCGAACATGCAGAACAGGGCCACCCATGGGAAGTGTTGAATATACTGGTTCTGCCAGACATCGAGACTAGCCGTGGAACAGGTCTGTTCACGGGTGGCAGCACCATCCATCAATCCGTAAATAGTGGTGCCGACTGTCACGCCGTAGCCGAGGAATAGGGAGTAGATGATGGTGAAGACCATTCGGATTGACCCAGCGTTCATTTGGTGCGATTGCAGCTCCAAACTACTACTGAGAACCGAGAATCCAGGTAGGATCATAGCGATGGAGGATTGCGCCACAGCGGGGAAACAAAACACATGGTTGCCATTGTGTTTGATACTTCCAAAGGCGCGTGCAAGAAATGATGTCAGAATGGCGGCAGAGACTTCCAGGACGTTGGAGTAGGTGGCCGAGGATGGAGCGAGAATATACTGCATGAAGCCTACCAAGCTGCCTAAGAGGAAGATGATGGGAAGATCGATGGGACGAGCAGAGAAGGAGTAGGGGCCGACAGCGACACTGGCTAGGCCTGTCAAGATAACGAGCATCCATTTGTTGTAGCGTGGTTTTTTCTGCATGATCTGATCCAGCTCAATCGTGGCACCCTCGGCACCGATCATATCATGGACCACGTTCTTATACACATTATGCGTCTCGGCCAGGCGAGAGAGATCCAAGCCCTGAATAACACGGATAATCTTCACCTCGGCAGTGCGAGTCAAAGGATCGTCAAAAGACATGAACATGCAGCCGGGAATATACATGAACTGGGCATTGATCTCCAACACATTGGAGGTCATCATCATGTACTCTTCCAAACGGTGAGTAGGAGCGCCATACTTCATCAGTGCACGACACAGCTGCATAATATACTGTTGACGAGCGAGCATGGCAGCAATATGCTTAGTGAGTTTGAAACTCTTCCTACTCTTGCGCTTTTCTTTCTTCCGCTCTTTGATAGGAGCCGGACCTTTTGCACCCGGCATCGCGACTCGACCCATTCCCATCGAGGCCGAGATGAGGGCGGAGGTATAAAGATTATCCGAGGAATTATTATTCTTCTTCTTGTGATCTGTGACCTTTTTCAGATTCAAATTACTCAAATTCAACTTGCTTCCCCCCTCGCTGTCGCTGTACCATTTCACCTTTTCTTTCTTCTTCGGATGGCTATCTGCATTAGGTGAGCCGGGCGTGGTTGATGGCATGATCGAAGGGACCGTTTCAATTTCTGGGTCCGCGATAGTCTCCGTAGAAGTGACACTGATTCTACTTCCCGTAGCCATATTATCTGCATAAGCCCGGAGCAGATTAGAGAGAAGTCCTCCATTGAGAGGTGTCGATGAGCCACTTTCGAAAGGAGTCGTGGCTCCTGTCGTGGCTCCTGATGGAGGTTCTGATTCCGCAGTACTCTTGAGTGCGCTGGATGGGAGCCCTAGTTGCTGCAACAAGAGCTGGGCCTGGGTATGGTGATGTCCATCACCCACAGCATCCTCTTCATCTTTCGCCTGGCGAGCGGCGTAACTCTTCAAATCATCAGTGGCGCCATAAAATTCAGGTGAGCAGCTTGAATCCAAACCATCGCCCGTATCATTACTGGGCCGGCCCAGCGACTCGGCTACAGTAGCAATGCGATTTCGAACTCGTTGACTGGCAGTCCTCCATGTAGCTTGAATAGAAGATTTCCTTGGCAAGCCAGTGACCGTATCTTGAGTTGTAGACTGCTGGTGCAAAGAGTCATCTCCATTGACAGTTGTACTACCATCATTGGCGGAGTTTTCAGAGTGTGGAGGAGAAGGGGCTTTCTCCAGCTCTGGCATTTTGAGGATAATAAGAAAAAATATTCGGAGCCAGCCGGATCTCAGTCTATTTAATAGTGCAAAGGTGAGAGAGTATATGTCAAGAAACGAGAGGAGCTATGGATGAATACCCCACAAACAGAGCATGCTTCAATTGATATGTAGGAACAGGAACTAAACAATGAATGAACAGCGGGATGGAGGACTAATTGATTTTTTTTAACTCAGTCTTTAGCGTATAAATGGATCTTTGTGTCTTTTTGACTCCACATAGTAAAACCGGTTAGATTATAGTACTAAGGCTGGTCTGTGCATGGAAGATGGCCATTTGTACTGCAATGTTCCTGTGGCTTACCAGGGCTTGATATAAAACACCAGTTTCACTCCAATCCAAAGTACAAATCATACTCAAAAAAGAACAAGCTTTACTGTCTCACTGTGCAAATATGCACAATTAAACATTAACATAAAAAGTGGCAAATTTCCTAATTTGGTCTCGAACGTGGCCAGTGGAGTCTCCTCGTGATCCACCCAAACTTACTTTGTATATTTATACTTACCAACAAATAAACGGGTGAAACCGGATCGTCATATCATACGAGGATATCTTCTGTATTTCTAGTCACTAGTCACATGGTGGCTGATGCAATGGCGTTTTCTAATATATCATCTTTGTCTTCATCTTGATATAGATCTAAGGCTAAATCTCACAATGATTATTTAGTGGTGTTTAATTCTGGGGTCATCCTTATTTAGCTTCTAATAGTGCATCCACATGGCGGAGCTATTGACGCTTTCAAATACACTAAGTAGCATTCCCTCGGCAAAGTTAACCATGTACAACTTTTTGAACAGGCAACAAGATACCTAGGTATGTAGATATTCCTAATTAAACCACTCAAGTTGAGCCAAGATGAAGGATTATAAGCGGGATTTTTCTACTCCAGTCGTTGCCCAGAATCTGAGCATCTCCGCACTTCAACTCTAACTACAACTCCAACTTCCAAGGTTCAAGCTCTTGCACATATAAAGCTCTCAGGGGCTACCTAGATATGGTCTATCTGTAACATAAAATAACGAATAATATATACAATGTCGACACTCCAACCCCCAGATAACCCTATCGCCCTCCATCGCTCCCATCTTCTCGCCCCCGCGCCAGACCGATTAACCAATACTCCAACGACCCTCCGCATAACACGCGAGAACACTGTCTCCGGCCACGACTTCAGTATATTCCAAATCCGCAATTACGAGGACGTCTCTAGTCCCCAACGCAGCATACTACTCTACACAGTCGTAGGCCGACTCGGGAGCACATCGCAGTACCGTGAGATCCGGGATGCAGCGGGCCAGCCGCTCCTCGGGCTCAAGCGACTCTGGTGGCGCGGACTGTGGATGGTAAAGCGCGCCGAGACAGAAGATGATCTACTCAGCGCGGACCAGGGCTGGAGTATACGAGGGAAGATGGGAGTCCGATTTGAGAATGCGCTCGTGAGTCGGGGACAGAGAGGTCATCGCGCAACTGTTTCTGCTTCTGCTTCTCACTCCCACAGAGAAGAGGATCCACCTTCGTATAGAGAGGCTATGAGTGAGAACTTCCGCAGCCGCATGGACAATCGTCAAAGCGGCGAAAGCTCGACAGAAAGTGATAGTTCACTGGATGAGATCACTGTAGGCAAGCGAGACTGTGGCTTGCCATCCTACGATTCTGTGCGTAGATCCTCGAGTCATTCCTTGCGAGACTTGCTCGATGCGATTGAGCCACCGGCAGAACCAGCCCCAGCCACGGCGTCGTCCCTGTCAGCGGCTCCACCACTGTCTTTGGGCGCCAGTGCCAAGACGAAATTAAAGGTGGTGCAGCAGACTAGGACAACTGCTGCTGTGATGATGGGGAGGAAGATGATCGTACATATTCGACGGGATAAGTTGTTGGATTTTAACCTGTCTGGGCCGATGCCTCGGTGGGAGGTGGAGATTGCAGAGGGTGTGGATCTGCTACTTGTGGGTTGCTTACACGTGCATTGCATAGGCAAGAGCTAATTGATGCAGGCTGTTAGTATAGTGCTTGTGATAGCGGAATATGTGAAGCATGAGTACCGACTTCCAGCTAGGTAATAAGGGAACAGAAAGGTTTATTTGATAGTGGTGGGCTACGAATCATGATTTTAACGCTGAATTGAAAAAAATCTGGTTTCGATTTCCAATAACTTTTCTAAACAATATTTCATAAGAAAACCAAGTCATCCAACTGACCTGTATTATTGTGGTGGTAGCGTGCATCGGAGCCCATACTTCGTTACTGGGTTGTGGCAGTGATTTCATTGAGAGGAGACGTAAAATGGGAACAACAGTCGATTACGACTGGATCTGGGCAATTCTCTTGGTCATACTGTGAAGACAAGTCAGTATATGTAATAGAAATGAGATTAGGGGAATAGTCAGATAAGCAACATACAAGTCGAAGAACGAGAACTGGCTCGGGTTGTTGCCATACTCGTACACAAATCGGCTAGCCAAGTAACTGCCGAAGATAGCACGGAGATAGTTTTCAGGAACCTGTCAGATATTAGCATTTTTTGCTGAGAAGAAGGAGAATAGGGAGAACTCTTACGCGTTCCAAAATGGTATCCAGACCGATCTTATCCAAAAGTAAACGAGGCAGAGCATCGTTCAATACCGACCGGCGAAGAGCAACGTTATCCCATAACTCAGTGTGCTGAAGTTCCTCATCAAGCTTGGTGATAGCAACACTGAGAGTGTCACTCAACACACTACGCAGAACACCAGTCTTCTCGTGCTCGCGCCAGATGGCCTCGAACTCGAGAGCAGCGTTCGACTTAATAATCTCCTGGACCTCCTTCACATAGGCCTGGTAGAACTCAGGGACAGTTCCATCTTCGCCCACACACATGTTAGCGACGAACTCTGAGTCGTTGAAGGACAGCGAAGCCAGAACCTCAAGGGAGGAGGAAGTAACACCGCCCTTGTTGGCGGAAGCATCCTTGAACAGAATGCAACCGGCCTTTTCAAGGCGCAGCTTGCTGTCCTGGGTGAGGAACAGGTTGGCACCCTCGACAATGTAAGGGAGAATAGACTTATTGTCCACGATGAGCTTGTTCACAGTGGACAGGTCAATGGATTCGGGTCGGCCACCGCAAGGCACGAATATGTCGAACTTCTCCTGGCTACGCAGGTGAAAGGTGTTGCGGAAGTTGGTGCCATTGCCCACAACCTCACCACTGGGCAGTCTCACATTCTTCTCATCAACTAGAACCCGATAACCCTCCGAAGACAGCTTCGAAACATCAAACTCGGAGATCATCACGCGCTTAGTGGCTAGACGAATCAATTCCTGGTGATCCAGACCCTCCGGGTCGTAGATGACACCAGATCCATCAACGATACCAGCATACTTCTCGTTGGAGAGCAGGATTTCGTTAGATCCCAGGTCACCATCAGGACCACCGGTCTGCAGCTTGAGGATGGTCGAAGGTTCGATGTTCAGCTTGCGGTAAATTCCTTTCACATATTCACGAACGGAGAGAGTGGTCATGCCGTAGGCATCGTGGGGAATACCGCCCAGCTTGGGACTCTTACCAGTAAAGAACGACTTCCACCAGGGAGCACCACGAGCACGGGCATGCTCAGTGGCCCAGTCAACCAACTCGGCAGTATTCTCATCAGGGCCCATAAAAAGGATCTCATCTTGGCCGTATAGGTCGACGATCGGATCCTTGATACCAGGGCTGACCGGCGGTAACAGCAGATCCATGATACTGTCAATGTACTTTTCAAAGGCGACGGCGGCCTTGTCCTGGTGGTCCACATCCAGGAGGATGACACCCTTGGCACCGCCCTCGGGAATATCCTTGTTCTTGCGCTGCTGGGTGTTGGCCAGGTTGTAGTTCTCATCGAAAAGCGAACGAGCGTTAATGCCGTAGGCCTCCTTGTTTCGACTCTTGACGATCCGAATACCGCCACGGGCGATATCGCGGAAGCGCAAGTGGAAGCCACGGAATTCGGAGCTAACAACAATGAACATGCCGAATAAAGGCTGGGGGTACTCGTGCTCTGGCAAGAAGTCCGGCTTCAAGCGGAAGCTCAAGGCCACCTTGGTGGGGGTGAAGAAGTTGGTCTTGAGGATGGAAGAGTTGAATACACGGAAGGAGGTCATGACCATCTCGTCGTGCTCATTGACAGCACTGCTTCGAATAAGCTGCTTGAGCTTGGAGCTATCCAGGACCTCATCCACCTGAAGACGCATGAAACTAAGGGTAGGGAGGAAGTCATCCCCGTTGGGACCTTGAGTCTGAACGTAGTGGGTGTTGGCGAAATCCAAGTAGAGCTTGTGGATCAGCTCGGGGTATCGGTTGATGATCTCAAAGATATATTCAGCAGTGAAGGTCTCAGTGCGCAGACGCTTCTTGATCTTGGAAAGAAGCTCTGCATGGACACTGTTGTTGGCGTCCAGAAGAGCAGACAGGGAGGTGTACTCGGAGCCTAGACGATTCAGGAATTGCTGCACGAATACCCAGGCGCAATGGGCGTAGATGGTCTCCTGCAGACTGAGGCGGCCAGAGGCAAAGTGCCCTTGGAAGCGGTTTTGAGGAATGCAGTATAAGAGTGACACTTCCTTCATGATCTGGTGGATGGCGGCCTCAATTGGGGGGTATTTGGCCGCAATCTCAGGCCGTTCCGAGGGGCGCAGGTAAAGGGAAATGACGGTGATACCGTTCGAGAAGTGCTCAAGATACTTGCGCGAGCTGGTCAGGCGGTAGTAGTGGTACAAATCCGACAGTGCGCTGAACAGACCCATGGCAGAGCCCTGGCGATAGGCAATGACGAGGCGCTTTTCGCGGCTGCCCTCAATCTCAAACATCTCAATGACCGGACCAGTGCGGCTGACGGCCGTGGAGATGACTTCTTGGTAGATGGCCTTGGTGTTGGGGGTCGCCTTCTGGAGGAAGCGCTTTTCACCAATGATTTCAATGTTGGTCTCGTTGGGGGACGGGTTGGGTTCGGCAAACTGGCACTTGTACACGAAGTAGCAGCGAAGTTGCTGGCCATTGTCACCTGGGAGAGGATTGGGAGAACGGAATGTCTCCACACGGAAGCTGTTGGCACCCTTGGAAGAATTGATGTACTTTTCATCGATGCGCTGCTCATACTGAGGACCATCATTGTTAGAGAAACCGGGTCGGCTGGTATCAATGTAGACGGCATGGTCCTCATCCTCCTTGTCAAAACGAATTGAGAGCTGCTTGTCATCACGAGCATACGCAGCGACCTTGGCAGCGTAGAGGGAGAGGATCTGGGTCACGATAGCATCAACGGTCTCAGTTTGGAAGTAAGTATCATCGATGCCCAGCATGTTATAGAACCAGGTGGTTTCAGAGGAGACGAAATCACTGGGGAAGAAGCCCTTTTCTTCCAATTGATCCATCACTAAATAATTGTCAGTACAGATTGTACATTTCGACCATACGATCTTTATTAATTACATACCTTGCTCCATCTGTTGCTGCTTGCCCTCAAAGGTGGCGGCAATATAGCCAGGGTCCTCCTCCGACAGAACACGGTGGGGAGTACCCGGGACAGCCAGATGGGTAGGCTGAGGTGAAGGTTGTCGCACCTGGCCTACGACATGGTCCAGGTGCTTATTGTGGAGCTGCCGTTGGAAACCGATGGGAGTTCCCGTGCCGGAGCTCCCATCTCCACCCAGGGGACGAGAGGGGAGGGATGCGCCATTGGAGGCCTCCGAGGTAGTGGAGGGCGCAGGAGAAGACATTGTATGATTTTAACAGGAAATAGAAAGGAAAGAACGCTGAGAGAAAAAGTTAGGATAAAGTAGAAAGTGGCAGTGGTTGTAGGATAGATAAGAGTCAAAGGCAAACAAGGTAATCCTTATCAAGACCGGGCCCGGGCCGGTCAAGGGGCAGTAAGAAGATAACAGGTAAGGGGATATGTTTGATGTTAACTTTAACTTACCGCCATGGGACGAATATAAGTATGTTGAATTGATCTGAATTATTAGGAACTTCAAAACCCGGGGAATCCTTGTTGCTTAAATACGAACGAACACTTAACCTCGGGCAACTCCCAGAGAAAACATCAAAAATAGGACCATTCCAACTTTCAAGGCTAGATCCCTCAAACAGAACAAGCCAGTCATAAATTATAACCGATGCTAGGCGCAATGAATTCCACTCCATCCTGAAGTCTCGACGCCTGATACGCAGGGACTCCACCAAGTGCGGCGATGAGCTCCAATGACTATTGGCTATAGTGCCCCTCCAAGGGCCGATGAATAAAATCCCGCGTCATACGGGCCGAAAATATCAATTAATTGCCTCAAACCAGGAGTTGATCCTACTATTAGATGAAAGATTATTATAACACTATTTATAACTGTTTTGACAAGGAAGTTAAGATAGTTTATCCAGACGTTCTAAGGCTAGAATCGGCAGTTACATAAGCTATCTAATGCTAACTAAATAAATACTGTTTAGCTATTTATCGGCTGGTTAGGCCCTGAATAAGTCACCTGAGCTTATCATCTATTTTTACCCTTTCTATGACTAAAACGGTGAACAAAGAACAGGTTCCCTTTAATGAGGTGATTGAATTGCAATATCTATGTGTCATTATTTGAACTTAATAACTCTCATTCGCAATCCTTGACTAAGAGAAATCATAATATGGGGAAACGACACAATATGATTTCATACTCGGTGGACTGGAATGCGGGGTAGTAGTCATCCACCTTAAATAGTACTTGAATAAGTACCTGGTAATAATTCTTCTCTGCTCCACCAGCTATGAAATTGATCTCGCCTTGATTCTTGGTTCCCTGTTCTCGTAAATATCACTATTGGGTTCCCCGTATATTCCGTACCAGCCTTTGTGCTTTCTTCCCTTTCACCGCCACAATTTCATGTTCATGGGCCATCAAGGTCTAGGCAGGCGGTCTGACCGTCCATTTGGCTTGCAGGAACTTTGGAAGTTTAGTCAACCATTGCAAACCCGTCTGGCAAAGTTAACATCAAGTGATCAAGTGGTCAAGTGATGCCATTCCAAGGATGCCAGGAGACAAAAGGAGAGGAGAGACAACTCATATCGATCTCTACACTGCCACCATCACAATAATGGCAGTCATGCTGTTAATACTTAAAAGTTGAAAGGTATGGGAGAGAATAGTCTCATCAGCCTTGGCCCCAAGACTAAGGGTGACTCAGAGTCTTCGTCAGTCGTTGGTAAGAGGCAGGTCACGTCCTGCTGCTTGTATTAACTCCATGAACATTTTCATTTCTCCAAGAAGTGTCACGCCAGGAAACCTTCAAGCTAACCCCCCTGATCACATCGAATTGGTCAACTATAGCAAAGCCTGGGAATCTCAAGACTTTTCTACAAACTCAGCCGGACTTGAAAGACACCATAGATCAAATTAATAGGTTCAAAATATCATGGCAACGAACCCCGGAGAAGATAGATTCAACTGTTCGATCTTTAATCGGAGGATATGCTCACCAAAGAACATCTACTAAGCAAACCCCTTTATATGCCAGTCTATCGTCATCATTAATAAGCTCGAGAAGCAGCTCTTTAGTAAGATCGATTCTCTTGAAAGTCAGTCGAAGTTTTGAAAGCCCTACCTGAATCAGAAGAACTTTTCTACCTACTGCTTACTGGATAGATTGCAGATTTCTGAGCTTCGCAACACAATTGTCATCAGCCGGTCATGTCACCGAAACTAATCTTAATAATCCTGGTACAACTGGCCCATATTACAGACTTCAAAAAACTATCCCAGTTAATGCTCCAAGAAGTTCCTATCTACGTGAATAGTTTCCTTGAATAGCGTAACCTTCAATATTCCAGCAAGGCTCTACCATCGTCTTCGATATCGACCCTAATGGTTAATTACCTCAATATTTCTCTATTGCGTTCGCGCCTTTGGACCGTGGTGATTATTGGAAGATTGTCTATGAGGTATCTGATGAAATGTGAGGAATTATGTACCCAGGTCGCCTAGACACAAGGGGAGATGCTGTTTATGATCAGCGTGCGGACTTAGATTTCGACCTTCCTTCTTACCATAGGATTGCCACTGACGTCCCGATTTGATCGTTACATCAATGACAGCTAGCTAGGAAGACGGGTAGAAAGTCCTAAGATTTATATCTTATTTTGGATAGTGATACGCTAAATCACAATCAGCAATTAGCTATTAGTGCAGAATCAACAGGTAAATAATCTTCATCTTCACTCGTACGGGGATTTGCTTTGAAGACTGCAAAAGTAAACATCAGCACTAATACGGAAGTAGAAAGCCAAGAAATACAGGTGCAAAGGTATCTGGCGGTGAAGAAGGACAACAGTCTGAAACCCGACACTTGCCAGGGTACGGTCTCAATCTTTGTCACTCTCACTTGCTGCCTATTCCTCCGGTACTAGGGAAGAACTAATGAGCGTTGAGGCTATAAAGTACCGGCGCCAGCTGGCCGTTGTATGTTGTACACAGATCACATCGTACTCCATATCTGCAGTCATGTCCACCCACGTCATCCAGGAATGTGATCTTCCAGGTGAATCCTCGGGCTACTGTATCGAGCCTGATGCGAGCATTTGTACCTAGGTAATACATGTATGCATGTTCATTAAGTGTCAAGATCTACTAGAGTGGACAGGATGAATGTGATCCATATTGACCAGGTACTCGAGCTTTGGACGAACTTTGGATGAATCTACTTTCTCTTCTTTGGGGAACCCAGGTGGCTTCATGTTATGTACCTAGGTATGGGTATGAACTAAGTATTCTTCATATCTAACTAGGTACTTGATAGACTTCACGTCCATACATGGATACCCAGGATTGTGATATTTTGAAAATATGATAATGTGGAGCCCTGGAGAGTATAGATAGAATGTCAAATGTTCTGGTATGCTCTCCTTTCCCCCAGATTTCAGATCAAGAGTGGAGTGTTACCCCATACATTCATTGCAGGGTTATTCCAATAATGCCCCCTTGAATCTGGGGGTAGCTTGCTCAGGTGGAGCTCCCTTTATTGATCTACAGCTGACTATGATCAGAGAGAGAAAGTACTCCGAACCGGGTAATTAGAATTGAACAAACTGATCATCCGGGTAAAACATTGGGCTTCCAAGGTTTTCTTTAGGATAATGAGGCGTTGAGCCCCTGACATGGCACTCCCTGTAGATACCAGCTACTAGATACTAGAATCTGCGTATAGCTTCAGCTTCAACTTCCGTATATTTCTATTGTTAGGATAATATAGGTATAATTGATTTTCTACCTTCTCTGTACGCCCCGACAGACTAGTATAAGGATAAGCCGAGATCTCCCGGGCTTTCACCTTGATCGAACCACGCTAGAAGGAATTTAGGCATTTCTTGATCGCCACAGTGGAGGTTACGGGAGTAGAAAATACATACTAAAATAACCACCAAACAAAAATAAACCATTCCTATCTCGGTATCCTTCCGATTCCCCGTATCCTTAGCGTAATTGAAATCACCTAAAAATCTAGCGAGTCAACGTCGTGGATTTACTTGCCCCTGTTCCCGCCTCCCCCACACCATAACGCGTCCTCCCCAATGATTCCCGCGATAGTCGCTCTCTATTTGTGAAATTATGAAATTTGAATTCGGGAATGTCTCCCGTATCCCTGTAGGATTGTGACTGTGAGAATGAGGCGGCAGGTCAAAAAAGCCTGGACGAGTCTTTTCTAGTATATACTCCCTTTTAGGACTCCACATATATTCTTTTTAAATTTTTGCTCAGTAAAATAAAGAGAGGGAAAAATAGATATAACTAGATCTGGTTCCCACTTGGTTTCGCAAGGAAGAACTTGATACGAAGTAGGTAACCTCAGTCTCACCTAGTCTTACTCACAGCGACGTGTTGAAACCTCATTCCCTGTTCTTATCATCCTATCAGTTTATCTTCTATCTTCCCCCAGATTCCTATATTTGAATCTACTCTCACCTGAATTACACTTTCTATTTCTACTTTTCAAACTTGATATCTTCTTCAATATGTGAGTTATTTTTCAAATTACCATAGATCTCGGATACCCGGGGTTCAATTTGTGATATCCGGCGGTTTCGGAGAAGAGTTCTCCAGCATTTACTCGTTCCCGAAATCTACTGAATATTTACTAACTATACATGAGTAGTAAATCAACATTACAGAAGCATCTCGATTTTTGACGCCGTCAAATACTGAAGCCGAGGTCCTCATCCACGCAACAACGAAGCCTTTTTTATAAAAAGAAGCTCTCGACCCACTTTATCGCTCACATATATCTATATTTATCTACATCATGGCTGCCGTCTCTCCCAAAACTGCCACCCCTCCCTCATCCCACGAAGCCTTTGCCACATTTTCACAGGATATTTCCCGTGCTATTATGACTGCCACAAGTCCAAAGTCAGCTAAACTGCAACAAATGCCTCCTGCTCCTCCACCGTCACCAGTCGCATTCGCTATTGACAGTAACGGGAAGACAACTCGAGGAAAACATGAAAAAGTCCCAAGTCTGAGTCTGGAGTGAATGACAGACAAAAAATACGAATAAAAAGACCTCTGCTTAAAGGAGGGTCCTTTTGTACCATCACCTACTACTACCTTTATCGCCTCGATTCTACCCATCTGAAAACAGATTGGGCTCTCATCATCACTTATTTTAATGCTATAAAGGGTTAAGTGAGACAAGACTTCTATCAAGTTATCTCTCTCTCTTTTCTCTCTCTCTCTCTCTCTTGACACTTTTATGATGTCTTTGATCACTTTTTGATCACTATCTATTTTCCTTTACATTTGGCATCTGCGAGGCGTGAATTTCCGGGTCTTATGAGTTTTGGATAAAGTTAGTGATTCGGGTATATGGAAATAAGGCACGGAGTTTTGATATATATTTAATGGCTGATACAATGGCTTATTTTCTTCCATCTGGTTCCGCATGTCCACGGCCACCAGATACACACCGGATCGGAATCCGAAAATTATATTTAGTACTGCCTGGCATTACTGCATTATGTAGAGAAGTAGCTGCCGATTAGACCACTCTATCGCACAATTACATCCGAGGAATCGTAGGTCACACAACTTTGTGGAGTCATAGACATAAAGTGTTGGAGATCGGTTGCACAAGCTCATAATGGCCCGAGGCTGTGTAATGGCGGATATATCTAGGTAAGCTTGAAGATGGAAACAGAGGCTTCTTCTGGATTTATTCTGGGTTTTGTGAGTATGTTACTAGATACTGTTTCACGTTAGGTTCAGAGGATGGAGAAGAAGAGAGTTGGAAATGGCGAGAAAAGACGTAGATGTAAAATGCACATTTCGTACGACCAGCGTATTTATTAATTGAACTTGGACCCCCCTTCACTTCCATTTCAGCATGCGCTTCCTGTTACAGTACTCATGATGGCTCAGATCTGATCACAGTTGGGCGTTGTATTCGTCCCATTCATCCAATTCATCCAATATATCTTCAATAGATTCCAGTGCATCGTCATCTCCCTCCGCAGCCCTCTTGGTCAACATTTGAACCCGAGCCATCTGGGCTTCTGTTCGAGCCCATGAATTCAACCGGTCTGTGATTGCCATGTTGCTCTGCTTCTTCATAACAACACGCACAGTATCTGTTTGGCCCTTGGCATCCTTGATATTCTGCAAGTGCCGGATGAAATGGGTTTGGGGAGTTTGAGCTGTGCGACGTGTTCCAAACGCCCGAGGTGCTAAATCTGCATCATCGGCTACAGGTATTGCGAAGGAAGGTCCCGCGCCTTGTAATTCAAACAGGGTTCCAGCACTTGACATGAGATTTGATTTGCGACCTAAGATCTTGACACTATTGGCGGTGACGAGCTGGTACCCTGGACCCTGGTGCAAGGGTACAGCTGTATCAAGGCTTGTTTCAGGGGTAGTAAAAATCAATTCAGTACCAATCTGATCTGCCCATGAGCAGCTAAAGACCTGGTTATGGTAGGTGACGACAGGGTTGTCCTCGTGAAGACCTAAGATTTGAATTCGATCACCGGGGGTCCCCTCGATAGAGGCATAAGCATTATTCTTGTCAACTTCATCGGGATTGTCATCGTTGGTTCCATTCTGGTCGTTGTGGTTTCCTGGATTGTCTGGATCCTGGTTCTCCTGTGTTGAGTTCTCATGTGGTGATTTTGATCGTTGCCGTGGAGCGCGCAATGGACCGTGAATGGATGTGAGGTCTAGATTCAAGAAAAAGGTCTGTGGAGGGCTTTATCAGTCAAATATTGGGTGACGGGAGTCAGTTCATAATATATACCTCTTTCTCTGATTCATGGTACTCATATTCATACTCGTCCGAGTCTGATTCAATGTCGTTGGAAGGATCCATGATGCTGCAAAGGGTTTTGCGCGATGGATTTAGGAGATAAGATATGATGAATAATCAGAAGTGGAGAAGTATGGAAATTGACTAATTCAAAGGTCGTGGTTAACTACATCATCGGATGTTTTGGAGACGTAGTAAATATGTATTACTATTTAGGTTGTTGACTATTTGCTTTTAAGCTAAGCCTATTTCTCTTACTTTTCTCTACACAGTACACTCCTCCTGCTTATGAGTTCTGCATAAAAGTAGAAGTAGACCCGAGACAAACTCACACCGCTATAACGACTTAGATAAACTAGTTGAATAAATAAATAATATTCAAATTTAATTACGTCGATTTTGTTTAGTCAAATATCTAATCAACTAACTAGTTATGATAGTTAACTATGACGTTTATTTAAATATTTAGGGACCAGGTTAACTATTTGTTTTCCTTAATCAGCGGCTTATGAAATTGAGGTTACTCGAATCATGATTAGATGAATACAATAATACATCATCCAACTTATGATAGTATGAATCATATGTCTTGAGTTTCAAGATTGAATCCGAACCAGATAATTAACACTACCAGAATACTAGATAGAAAGTAATCACTCTTTGGTCTCTTTCTTCTTCCTAGTCCATCTTCCGTGGACGAAGTAAGGACAAAAAGTGCCCAATCTATATACCTTATTCAAGACGGAGCTGCCAAGATATGTCCGATATAGCATATGGCACTGGCATATACCATATAGACGGAAGACTCGGATACTTACCAATCAATGAAATAATTGCAGTCTCGGGGTTAACGATCTGCATCCGGCTTGGCTGGCCCTCGTGGAATTCCGCACGTTCCCGGGAATCGGCCACTCGCTCTCTCTCACTTGTTCTGATTCCTCCCTCTTTGGGATTTTTGATCTTAATTTCTGATTTTTTCCTTTCATGTTTTCTCTTACTCACGGGAAAATCGGGTTCCTGGAGTCCCCGTCACTGACATACTTCATTATTATTATCCCCAGCTCATTTCTACTTTCTCAGATAGATATCAATAATTATCAACCTTATCGAATTTACGCTTACAACTACCCCCACTCTCCCAACTTCTATAGCGGCCTCGTCCATGAGTATACAGCAACCCCGGTAGTCTCTCCCTCTCTCTCCAGCAGATGACGCGAAAGGCCAAGACGGCCATCGTTGCGCTGTCGACTTTGATCGTGTACATATCCGTCAACAGTCTTCTCCGCACCTACCGACCTTCTTACTTCATCTGGTGTGATGAAGATCGAGACGATTTCCGCTGGATTGCGACCTCTCGCTCATGGCTAGATCGTAAGAGCTGTCGCTGGTTCGGCATCTGCGGTTTGTGGCATTTACACGTCGCTCGTGGGCCCTTTGGACATCGCAATCCGGCCAAGTGGTCAGGGTCTGATGAGTCCGATGAGTTCGACCCTTGGCGGTCATTCTGGTTAAGCGGGGCCGATGATGCCAAGTGGGATGCTGAAGAACGGGCGCAGCGGAAGATCCCCAACTATGTTTTTGACTATGCCCCACTAGTCCATCTTTATTCCGGAGAGCAATTTTGGCCGAGCGATATTGCGGAGCATCTATACCACACGACCCCAGCCCTGAATTATACCACTATCGAGACGAAATCCGATCACCCGACTCTAAAAAACCTACATGAACTTAATCAATGGGGTACACGAAACGTATTTCTGACCAGCAACGACGACGTGTCATCCCGTCCTCCGTGGCTTGAGGGAGAGAATAATATCCCACAATCCGGTGATCGAGTACAAGAGTCATGGGCCGACTGGGACGGCCGAGTGGATGGAAAGATACCGGGTGACACTCCAGAAGATCGTGCGCACTGGTTGGACTTAAGACACCTCGAGCTGCATGAGCATGAGCAGGAGCAGAAGAGCCCCGAAGCGCTAGAACGGGACTCCTTGGAAGCCCATCAACGCCTGCGACAGGAGTTGCGAAAACGATATGGCGGGAAGCCGATCCAGGAGCCGATCAACGATGGCCCTGATCACGACAGAAAAGGAGGTCGCAGCGATGCGCCAGCGATCTTATTGGTGATGGACAAGGGCGATGGAGTTGTGGATGCTTTCTGGTTCTTCTTCTACAGCTTCAATCTCGGCACAACCGTCTTCGATGTGCGATTTGGAAATCACATTGGCGACTGGGAGCATTGTTTAGTGCGATTCCATCACGGTCAACCCAAAGCTTTGTTCTTCAGCGCTCATGCTGCAGGCGAAGCATATAAATATGAAGCAGTGGAGAAAATAGGCAAGCGGGTGAGTCAAATTCCCAAAATTGAAAATTATCATCGATAATACTAACTCTTCTCCAAAAGCCTGTCATATACTCCGCCGAAGGGAGCCATGCTATGTATGCCACTCCCGATGTACACCCATACATCCTTCCATTCGGCATTCTATACGACGTTACCGATAGAGGTCCATTGTGGGACCCGACGCTCAACTCGCATACTTATACATATGACTTCGATAACGACAAGCTACGCGCTTCAACCTTCAGTCCAAATGCGCCGACGGAGTGGTTCGACTTTAAAGGTCATTGGGGCGACAAATTCTATCCGCTCAGTGACTCCCGCCAATACCGATTTGCTGGTCAATATCACTTTGTCAACGGACCTCTTGGACCGCGGTTCAAGCATTTGAATCGATACAAGGTCTGTCAAGGTCCAGACAACTCCCACTGCGCCGTTAAAGATTTCATTGGAGAAGCTGGAAGAATTCCGCAATGGGGCCAATACGGCACCGGGGAGTAGTCTCTGTTGTACCCAAGCTGAACCTCTCTTTTGAGCTCAACAACCTTCGACATTTGAGATCAATGAGTCTCGACTCAACATCCGACAACTAATTTCTACCCATAAAGCAGGGGCTATCCCTTTCCCCAATTCCCATCCTTATTCCTCTTGCATTTGTGCGATTTTGCGTTAATACTTATATACCCTTGCTATGTTTTATGCCCTTTGTTTCATCAACAGGATAGACCTGTTGTGGATTTGACATCCCTTTGAAACTTTCATTCTTGAACGATCAACGATCAAAAACACGACACGAGCTACGATTCCCACACTGGCCGAACTGGCTTGACTTGTTTTTTTTTTTTTGAATATCTTGCTAAATCTCCACATCTGGCGGCGTTGGCTTCCTACTGGTTTTAAAGTTCTTCTGACTTGAGCTTTTGAAAGTGTTATGATCGATCTACTTTGTTTATTTAGAACATCGAGCACCGAAAGGTGATAGCGTCATACAAAATAGACAAAAAACTAATCTCTACTAAGCGCATTGGTAGAAACCTCGGAAAACTTTTAAATGACTTGAATTGGATTGTTGTAAAAGTACAACCATGCGAGTTCTCAACACCTGCCCAATGGGCACAATTTTAAGCGCCTAGTAAATACGTGCCAGATATAAAATGATATGTTGATAGAAACAAATGAGGCCCTCTTAGTCCAAAGCACAAAACAGATCGCGCTCTACCCTCTAATCTCCCACATGCGAATACGACCTTGCTCGTTACCAACAGCCAATTGCTCGGAATTAGGCGAGATGGCCACGGAAGAGATACGGCCAAGCGGGGTGTTAGAGGTGGGCCAATTACGATAGACTGTGCAGGACGGGAGATGAACTAAAATAATAGTTAGTTTGAACGACAACCAAAACAAAAGGGACTAACTTACCAAGTCGCAGGGCATCACGCTTCCATCTACTTGCCATAACTAGCATCTGTCCATCTGGTGCGAAGACCAGATGACTGATAGGTGTAGTAAGCTGATCCAATGAGCGGACGGGGGTCGGGCTGCGCGGGATACCGGCCTGTGACGGACCGTCCTTCTCCGCAGGAGAAGCAGTGGCGTAGGAAGTAGCCCAATCACGACGGTCATAAACGTTGACGACACCGCTTGAGCTTCCTACAGCGACCCAGCGGTCACCACCGAGCTGGGTACGGCCGGAGCGGCCACCAAGGTTCAGGACTGTGGTACCAACGGCACCAGCATCGAGCCAGCGCGCCACGACACGACGCAGCTGGCCGTCCCACTCGGAGATCTCACCACTCTTACTGGCGACAGTCATGCCCTCGCCGTTGGACCACCAGGCGAAGTCGGCCACACCGCCGCGGCCGTCAACACGCACCTGTGCGACCCACTGTGCTGTCTTGGAGTCTAGAATGTTAATCAGACCACCGCCCTTGCGAGAGGTGCCGACTAGGCCGACATAGCGGCCGCATGGAGAAAGTTTGAAGCGCTCCATGGATTTCTGTTCCTCTTTTCGATCTGCAGATCCATTGACCTTATCCACTTTGCCGGAATCCAGATCCCAAATGTGGAAGTATCGTCGACGGCCGGAGGCAAAGATCCTATTTCCGGAGGGTGATGCGAATGCAGATGTGTGGATTGGAGTGCGCTTGATGTGCAGAGAGGTCAAGAGGGGGTTAGGAGATGGGGCAGAGGGGGATATGTGGTGGAGGAATAAAGTTGAGGCAGGTCCGGAGGACATCAAGAGTGGGTAGTGGGGGTGGAAAGAAAGCGAATCAATAGAAGACTGAAAAATTGACCATGTTATTATCATGTTTGAATAAGAATTTATGGGAATATTTCTTACCGGTTGTGCCTTTCCAACATCCTTCAATCGCTGGATATCTAGCGTCTCCTGGCGCAACTTGCGCTTAGTGCCTGACCGGGTATTGTCATCAATACGGGTTAAATCAGAGGCATTTTGAAGTAGCTTGGCCAGCGGCTGCATAGAAAGTTGTCCATCCTCTTCATCGGAGTCCATTTCTAGATCAGAATCATCACAGTCGGTCTTACGACGCTTAGCTGCTAGCTCGGGGTTGGCCCAATCGGGATTGGGATGCAAGCGCTGGAATTGCATGCGCAATCGCCGGACGTATTCCTTGCCACTAACAACATCTTCTGACTCAGTCGTGCGCAATTTGCGCAATTTGGCTTGTCCTGTGAGTGAGACAGCAAGTCGCTCGTCATCGCTGTCATGCCAAATAGCGGCGGTAGCCTCGTCGTCTTCGACGTCGTCAGATGGAGTTTCTGGGGAGATAAGATCTGGATCGGCCGCAGTGCCAGCGTCAAGGAAGAAGAGCTAAAGCAACTAAGTGAGTATATGAAAATGGTAAGGGAACAGCATGTAAAGAATAGCTTACATCCTCATCGGCCATGTCCTCGAAATCAACCTTCTTGCCCTCATCCTCGCCCTCGTCGGCACTCTCATTCTCAGAATCACTGTGCAGAGTGAGCTGCATGGCATCGGCCCGCTCCTGCTGGCTCTTCAATGCGTTCATGAAACCTTCACCATCACCGAAAAGCATGCGCTCAAGCTTCAACTCAGCCGCGTCCTTTTCAGGAACGTCATCCTCATCTGAACTCGTTTCATCATCCATATCAACATCCGAGTCTGGGGTCGGGTTGAGGATAGGGTTGTTCGGCTGAGACCAAGCGGAAGCCCGCTTGGTCTTTGTTTTCGATGCCACGGGCATTTTTGAATCACTGTGATTCTGTGTTGAATTTAATTGGAAATTTTTCGGCGTGCCGAAGCTTCTGTTGGCGGGCTTGAATATTTTTCGGACTGATTTTTGCAATGCCGGCAGATTTGAGCGGTGGATATGGCGGTCAGATCTACCAACCTTTGCCATTTTGGGCAGCTGAAGAGATCATATACATTCTGGAAGTTGAATCTTCAGTCTAGTGTGAGTATTACGTCGCTGAAATCATATAACCTAAATGATTAATAGTCATTTATTAATACTTATTATCTCCCTTAGAGTTATTATCCGTCAAGGTGCTGAGGTAAAAAAATTAATGTCGATGGTTGATATTACTTATGATTCGAAGGCTATGTCAATAGTTACATGATGAAAATATTCATATAATCACATTAGCAATACCCATATTCGTATGCACATAAAATCTTATAAGATGCTTGTAGTTGACTTGGCATAAATTGACGTTTTCTTCTTCAAAGAACAACAATACCCAAAAAGTGCTCGATTAAAAATAAATAGACTTCATTCCTCACTTCTGGTCGCGACTACTGCTACCAGAGCTTCGTGGTTCATACGGCGGAAGCGTAGATTGATCCTCCGCTAGGGAACCGTCGGGTTTTGGTTGAGGCTTTGATACGTCCAAAGGCTCAGACAGTGGGCTGGGTGTTTTCGCGGGCAATACATCATCAACATCAGAATCAGAGTATGCTCCATCCAATCCATTGAGAAGAGCTTGCCGATGAGAATCGTCATCTGTGGCTGAGTCGTGGGGTTCATTGTAAATGTCCTGAGAGATAGGCTTCTTGATGAAGATATCGATGATATAGTACTGAATGGCGTTCATGGCAACTGGGAACAGCAGCATCACGAAAATTATCTGGAGGGCCGTGTTTCCCTCTGTCCATTTGAGAGCCCAGTCGCCAACGTTAACGATGAAGGGAAATAATTGGATAAGAATGAACACGCAGGCCTTCATGATTAGTAGTGCTAAAAAGTAGATGATAGCCTGCTTGAACCACCATAATGCCTTCGGTGGATGACCATAGTTTCCGGATTCAATCGACTCGGGGGGATTTGCGAGAGGGGTGTAGGAAGCCAGGTATTTCAGAATACGGAGAGCAACGATTAGAATGGGGATTCCAAGAGTGGTCTATCATGGTCAGAACTTTCTCTCTCTTCAAAAAATGAAATGATAAGAATACTTACATCGATACCAAGGTTCAGTAAGTAGAAAGAACAAGGGTTTGGTTTGTCACCTTTCCCAATAGCCTCCAACTGACCAGCCGAGATCATGGAAATGAGAAGATTCGCCAGGTGGAGCATGGCCGATCCAAAGACCTGCTTTGAGACATCAAATGCCCACACCTTGACTGGCCGCTGGGGTCGTTCTCTCCAACGTTTAAATACCAAGGAGAGAAGTGCCAGCGCTCCTAGGGCAACCTGTATGAAAATAGAGAAGGATCCAAGGAGCTTGCACTCTCCGTTATCTTCATTATCGTGACCCTTAGTTGAATTTGGTGGTGACGCTCCGTGGTAATAAATCGAGTGTGGATGTGGCGAAGCTGATGGCCGCAGACTTTCTACGGATGAATCACCGATAAAGGACATGGTCGAGCCGATCGCTTGGGAGATGGTAGTGGCAGAATACATAAAGTCCAGACAGATATTAGACAGATATATCAGATCAAAAATCGGACGTCAAGGGGGCAGTATGAGAGATATCTGAGGTTGTATCGTGAAATATTAGAGGCGGCGAAGGCGCTGGAGGTGCTGGACGAGACCACCAGGCTTATGCTGCTCTGAAATACCACTAAAGTAGCATGAACTGCGTCTTACAACAAGAATGAAAAACTTCTTCCTAAAAGGGGTTAGAAGAGGCTGAAGCAGAGAGTAAGTAAGGGAAGGCAAAAAACAGGGTTTGCAGCTACATTAGGCCGGGGCAGGCGGTGTCCACCCCCGCAACAATATTCAAGTTCGACGTTTCAATATGGGAAAGCTTTCTATTTCACTCGCCTCAATATAGATTATATTCTAGAGGTACTGTTGATATTACTCAACTACCTTAATTGTATGAAAAGTTCAATAGTATCATATTTACATGATTCGTGCTGACAGAGCCATATTCCACGTACGGTTGCCAAGTGGCTCCTCTACTTAAGGTGGATCTTTTACTATTTTAACTATCAATGACGCGCGTAGATCTAATCTAACATTATTTAGCTAACCTTAGGTAGTTACTTTGATGAGTCTAAACAAACTAGTTTTAGTCCCAGTTAAATTACCTAATAGTATTCGGTGTAGGTGCTTTCTATTCAATCTACAACTTTTTCACAATAACCTTCAAACACACTAGAAAAAACAAGCCAAAGTGGGGAAGATTCATATTGATCCAGTATAGATATGAGATTAATAAGATGCAGAAGGAAAGAGGAATGTCTTGCCAAAAGATATCTTGATGAGGTTCTCCAGTCTCACTGTCGGAGACTCAACACATCCATCACGCTATCCAGAAAAGGACCACGGAAATGATAAAAAATGAAAGCCCAGGGAATTAAGAAACGCCAATAAACCCCACAACCATGAATCGGAGAGCCGTTGCAATGCTTCACGCAGCCAAAGTGCTAGGAGAAAGCATCATAAAAGCCAGAGTGTCATCAAATTATTCTATCCCATGTTCCTGTTTGAGTCGTTCGAGGTTCTGCTGTCTCTCGGCGAGATTCTCTTTTGAACGAATCATCTTTTCTGGCTGGTGATATAATACTAGAGTAATACGCGAGTCAGTCCTGAAGCCTAGAGGTCGGGGGATATAATGCTGCAATGCGTACCGACCAAGTATCGGTTCTGGAAATTGAAACCGTTGAGCTTATCGCATGCCTGTTTAGCGTCGTGCACGTCCTCATAGACAACAAAAGCAGTTCCTTTCGAGTTATTCGCGATACCTTGACGAATTTGCCTGCAAAGAAGGGAGAAACTATGAGCGGGGAATCGATTGATAAGAGATGAGCAAAAGTAGGAGCAGCTTACCGAATAGGTCCGAATTTGCCAAAGAGTTCAAATAATTGATCCGCGGTTACGTTGTAGCTAAACCCGAGATATTAGCAAATGCTTTTCTGTGTGCCTGGCTGAAGATGTAACACGCGGCATAAACACGAATGTGTTAAAGTGCATTGTGGGGCATGCGAGTACGTACTTGAGGTTCTTGACGAAGAGAATCCTATTGAAAAAAAAAATATTAGCCTCAAATCTAGTTGCTGCACCCCACACGATATCAAAATCATGCTCTTTGCGCGCCTGCGAGGATTGAGAGGGGCAAATGAGGCAAATCAAAAATGCACATACCGATTTGTTTCGGGGGCGAGCTTTCGGCTCATTCTTAGAAACGAGGATGATTAAAGGTATGAAGTTTAGGTTGAAGTTGAGAGTGAGATACCTAGGGTACTCGTATGACGTTGGAAGTGCTAAGAGGAACAAAGCAGAGAAGGAAGCCACCACGAAGAACGAGCACGAAGTTCTTGGCGCCTTCAATGCTTAAAAGGGGTTAGCGTCGTATTAAATTATTACAGTACCGGAGACATTGATACCCGGCGTGGCCGTACGGGATCTGACTATGAATTGGTAACGTAATGTATTACACCGAGATCAGCTCTCTGAACGTCGCAAATAATCTCGGGGTTGTTTAACAATCACTGTTTTATTTTTCTGTTCCTACGATATAATCAAATTGTAGTTGTTTTTACCATCATCAATCACCACCACTAGCTGGTGAGGAACCGAGGTCGTAACCTTACGCAGCTTCTCCCGCTCTCAGTACTCGGACTTCTGCCTTCCTTGCGATCCCCCCTCCTCCTCCACCACGAAGCGCTCATCACCATTCGCATACTATTTTCCTGTCATCCAGTTTGCAGGAATTCACTCCTGCTCACTGGATCACACTTTATCTGCGCTCATTCCTGTCCACGGGCTGTGGCGCGACCGTTGGCGCTGCCTTTGTCGTCGCCGCTCGACTCATAACCCCCCCTCAGCACTCAGCATCCCCCTCCGGCCCCTGACGTTCTCAATCGGCCATAAAACATCTCATTCTTCTTCACGGCCTCCCGTGCAAAAGTTATTCCTCTAGGAATGACTTTCCCTCTTCCTAAAACGGCCTCTCGTTAGCCCGCGTGGACCAACATCCCCGCTTCACCCACCTACCGCAAGCGCATTGTCTAACACCACCGATCCTTTCCCCTATCTCTTTACCTGTTCGGCATTTTACACTCTAGCGAAAATGACGACCGCGGCGTCATTTTTGAATCATATGGGTGATCGACCTGCGCTTTATCGAACCCCCTCCCCGCCGCGACGCGCCGTCGAACCCATCACCCCGTCCGCTGAACTTCGTGGATCGTGGACTGAGCGCGGTAATACTCGCGCCACTAACCTTGATCAGGTCCAGCGACAATCAAATCATACGACTAGCACTCTCGGAGATGGTACGTCAAATCACCGGTCGAGTCATGGCCGGTCAAACTCAACCATCGATACTCTTGCAACGATTGCTCTCGCAACAAGCCCTACCTTCGCGCCGCTTCCGTACCATCCGCCTTCTCCCAAGTCTCGTCCCAATATGTCCTTATTTTCCTCCAATTCTGATGAGAGGCCTGCAAAACGTGCTCGATCAGAGAGAGATCCCTCGGAGCTGCCGTCCGCCCGGCGGCACATAATGGATACCATGACAAACGATGCAGAGCTTTTGCTCAACCTTGCGCGACCTACCAATGCTCCTCTCGGCAGCCACATCAAAAGAGTTAGCATTGACGAGTCTTACCACCACTACGGAGCTGACGCAATGCGCCATCATCGGGCAGACTTTTTTCATACTGGTCCCGGTGACGGAAAATTTGGAAACTCTTCAATCGATCATATCCCACATTCACGGATGAGGTCTCGTTCTGATGGCTCAGCCTTCTTGTTGCGTCCAGTGATCAGCGGTATGCGCCCTACTACTAGCTCAGGGACTTTGCCATCCATCGCCTGGGAAGATGAGAATGAAGACAATTCATTCGCAGGTGCGTCTCGCCAGCAGGGTCTCGAAGAACATCGATCGACCGGTACCACTACTCAAGAGTCTCCTACTCCTCGCAAGACGTTTGATTTGACACCCAAAGTTGAAGAAGAGGAAAGCGACGCGAATCAAGCAAGCTGTGCGGAATGCCATTTAGTGCGCATTGCGTTGGATACAGATGGCAAGAACGAGGATACTTGGATTGGATGCGACGGATGCAAGTGCTGGTTTCATATCCTTTGTGCTGGGTTCAAGAACGACCGGGAACTTCGCACCGTTGATAAGTTTATCTGTCGCAAATGCCAATCTGTGCACGGCCAAACGACTTTCGTGCGAAAGTCCTCGCGAGCTCGCACAGCAATCGACTATGCCGGTCTCAACCAAGGCCTTGTGAAAGCAGCCACTGACTCGTTAGATCATCATTACCTCGAGCCTATTCGTCAGGGTAAAATTCGATTTCATGCCGAAAGTTTCCCTCGCATTAGACCAGAGCTAGTCACAGCAGAATACTTTGAACGCGGCAATGGATGGACCGAACCAGTGGTCATACCCGCTTGCTGGAATACTCGTGAACCTGCTGCTAAAGAGGACTCGGGATTGGAAAATCTTATCCAGGAAGCGTCAACCCAAGAAATGTTTGATGAATTGCTGGAGCACCTTCACGAGCAAGATATCGAGACAGAAGAGACAATCGACTGTGGCCAAGACCGGCTGGACATGGTCATTCCACAGGGCTTGACTGTCCGAGCTGTGGCTGAGATGTACGGCCTTGAGGAGAGACTTGAGGTGATTGATGTCAAGTCACAACAAGGAGAAGATAAGATATGGAACTTGCAAAAATGGGCCGACTACTACGAGAGCAGCGAGCCCAACAAAGTCGTCCGTAACGTTATCAGTTTGGAGGTATCCCAGAGCAAGATGGGCAGGCTCATCAAGCGACCCAAAGTTGTACGCGATTTGGACCTGCAAGATGATGTGTGGCCGAAGGAGATGATGGCAGTTGGCGATTACCCAAAAGTCCAATTCTATTGTCTCATGTCTGTGGCTGACTGCTACACTGACTTTCACATCGATTTCGGTGGGTCTTCGGTGTATTATCACATCATCAAAGGCAAAAAGACATTCTTCTTCATTCCTCCGAAAGACAAAAATCTGAAGAAGTACGAGGAATGGTGCAACTCTCCTGCACAAGACACGACATTCCTTGGCAACCAGGTCAAAGAGTGCTACCGAGTTGATCTTTCAGAGGGCGACACCATGTTGATTCCATCAGGATGGATCCATGCCGTCTGGACACCGGAGAACAGCCTTGTTATCGGGGGCAATTTCCTCACACGGCTGAACTACGGTATGCAGATCAAGATCCTCAATGTCGAAAAGGAGACCAAGGTCCCGAGGAAATTCAGATATCCATTCTTCCAGAAGATACAATGGTATACAGCAATAAAGTATCTCGAGGACGATCCTATTCCCCCTAGCGTGCTGGATGCATTCATCCAAGATGAGAATTATCGCTTCCATCGGCATTATCCAATTTACTACGAGTTCGAAGAGCATACTAGCCCGGATCCCGCTGGTTCTCCTTACCACAATTCTCGATTCTACTCGCAGGCGGAACTGGAGGGCTTGCCGGAGTTGACCAAGTATCTTTTGCGCACGGCGCTCATCGCGAGCTCTTATAGTGTGGACGGAGTTACCATAGAACAGCGCAACGCGGTTCGCCGCTCGATTCCAAAGCTAGTCACAGATCCCATCGATGTGATCCGACGGTTCGGAATCTGGGTCGCTTGGAAACGTGGAAACGAGAAGGCTCCCCAGTGGACTCACCCAGGCGTCATAGAAAGCAATCCGAAGGTCTCTCTTACAGAAAAGCGCCCAGCTGGTCGGCCCAGTCGACGATCTGAACGGCACGTGGACAGCCAGCGAACTTACGCTGAAAGACAGGCTGTGCAGCGACCAGAAGAAGAAGTTGTCGTTCCCCCGACTCCCCAATTCACCAGTGTCACGTATGCGCCATCGGAGAGTGAAACCCCAGGACCTGTTGGATTGATCTCCGAATCGAGTGTTCAAGAGACTGCTACCCCTAAACCTCGCTCTACCCCACGTAGCTCAGGCCTCGGGCCGAAGCGCGTCGCCTGTGACGCTTGTCGAAGGAGGCGCATTCGGTGCCGTCACAAGGATGAACCCAATGACTTGATATTCGGTACACAGATGATGGCCATCAACGACATTAGCTCGGGATCAGGCCTCAGCACTCCGTCCTCTTTGGCCCAAGATGCTGTGTCCGCGTTAAATTCACTGGCTGCAATTGCCTCGCAGGCTGGCTTTCAAGGCAATGGCATGTCCGGAGTGGAACCATTTGAAGAATCCATTGCACTCTCTTCAGTGATGGGTGCATCGACAACAGTTGCCAACGGGCTGAATGATTCAAGCCCCGATGGAACCAATGGTGGCAAAAAGGGACGAAGCAAGGCGTGTGATGATTGCCGAAAAAGCAAGGTTCGTAAATTACTGGTCTAATTTAAATTTCTAGAACTATTTTGCTAACCCATGAACAGCGACGCTGTATTCACGATGAGTACGGGAATATTGATCCTATCAAGGCCCAGGAACGGTCCAAGCCTCGTGGTACTGCCTCTGCAAAACGACCGCGACCGAATGAACATGATAGTATGCCTATCACTTCCAAGAAAACGAAGCAGGAGAGCACATCTCCAATTATGCCCTCGGAATTCTTCAGTGATAATGAGAGCAAATTTACCATGACCCAGGGTTTCTTGGGAAATTACAGCACCACGAGACAGCAACTCCAAGAAGAACCCGCCAAGCAGAGTGATGCACCTATTCAACCTAATATGTATGCATCCCCGCCTACATTCAACGCTGAATCTGTCGATACGAAGGATGTCAATTCCATGTCTGTTTCATCAAAGCCGACAGTCTCTTTGGTGTCGCCACCGACATCGCTAGTCGACGAAATGGACGTTGTGCATGATGGCGATCCGTTGGTGTCCGTCGAGACTCAGCCTTCCACGGTTCTCCATGCAACCAACTCCATCCCTCATCATCTATCTAAACAATCAAACCACCTTGAAAGTTTCGTACCAGAAGTGATTGTGGCTAAGCCAGCGATCCAAATTCCCTCGCCTCCTATGCGCCGGGCCACGCCCTCAAAGCGTCCCTCATCATCCCATGTAAAGAAGAGCTCCCCCATGGTCGAGAGGCACGCTCGAAATGTCGCTTCTTCACTGTCTCCTCAACAATCAAAGCACACCAATCACCATTTAGGATATGATACAGATGCCGAAAGCCTTCGTCTCATTCGGGAAATCCAAGAGGAGGAGTTTGGTTTGCGCAGGCGCCGAGGCTAAATAAGCCTTTCTGTTCAACTGAGAATACCCCAGGTTTCTTCCTTTTGTCATTTTTTCAGCTCGTCAGCTTGTGAGCTTGTCAACCTGATATGTTTTTATTTGTGTTTTTTTTCGGTTTCATCCACACTGGTTATTCAAGATATCAATTTCGGAATTAGGCGCTGTGGCTCGGTGTTTATGGATTTCATTCTCTATTTCCCAACGGCGTGTTGTCTTCTTTTTTTCCTTTTGTCTATCCTTGTTTTCGTCGTCTAGGAACCAGGATGGGAGTTACAAGTGTTATTTATCTGCGTGCATATGGTTTCCTATCTGGCTATATTTCTTGCTTATCCTGATCTTATTCTCCTTCGTTCAATATCATCGATCCCAGGGATCTGATTTTACTTCTGCTACCATTGTTTCTAAACCCACGCAGAATCCATACTAACTCCAGGGTTCCTTCTTTGCCAATTTCCAATATCCGGTTATAGCTGTTGCCCTGCTTTTTGCAGTGGGCAAGGCGTTGTCAAGAACGACCATCTTTTTCTTTCTTTTGTTATGTACTAGTTGATAGCTTTACTTCAATTTGAACGTCATTTTTGTTAGACCGATCTGTATAAACACTGGCATTTAGAGGCTACTGAAGACACGACAGAGTCTAGATCAACACGATTTATCAAAGATGATTCTTTGGCTGCACTCCATTCTATTCAGCAAAAACCCTTTAAGATCTTGACCCTTGGAAATTTCTAATTTCAGAACTCTAGGCAACATCTAAGAAGCCGATATCGAGCTCAGGACAAAGAGGATAAGATTTGTGGGGTAAAATTAAGCTTAGGAGAAACCATGGATCGGAACCTCATATCCGATACCTAGATATTTCAATTGCCGATACAGAACATTCTTTTTGTTGATTTATCTTTAGAACCGGAGAAGAAATTAACTTCTTTTTCTACAACCATTTCCATTCTTTCAATCAGGCTCAGTGATTTTCCGGATCTGCCCATTACACAAATGAAAATGACAAAGCCGATAGTTCTCCATTTAGGTGATGATATTCGTTGGAATCATGAGCTATACTCAAAACTCAACGACCAGTTTGAGATTCAACGCGCCTACAGTATGTCAAGGCCCGAGTTTGTCCGAGCTCTGAAAGAACGAAAATTCGGTGATTTCTTTGCGATATACCGTCCATTCTGGAATACTGGTGGTGAAATGGGAAACTGGAACGAAGAATTAATATCTCTTCTTCCAAGTTCCTGCAAAATCTATGCCAGTGCCGGTGCGGGGTTTGATTGGGTTGATACTGCATGCTTGGCTAAGAAAGGTGATACCGAAGCTCAAGACTGTTTGTCAGATGTACGGAAATGCTGATCTGGATATCTTGACAGGGATAATTTACTGCAATGCGGCCGCAGCATGTACCGAATCTGTAGCCGATGCGGCTATCTGGCTGATGCTTTCTACCTTCCGGCTGTTTTCCTGGTCGGCAATGGCAGCGCGCACTGCTGATGCCGACCAATTCGTGGATGCAAACCGGAATCTCGCCATGGTCTCCCACAACCCAAAAGGTCACACGCTAGGCATCATAGGGTTTGGACAGATCGGACGTCGCACAGCCGAGAAGGCTTACAAAGCCTTCAACATGAAGATCCTTTACAACGACATTGTGCAGATGCCACGAGAGCTTGAAGACGTCTCTAAGGCCACGTTCCACGAGAGCATGGACAGCCTACTTGCGGAGGCAGACTGTGTAGCCGTAGCCACACCGTTCAGCGGAAAAATTCTTCTCAACGCGTCGCTGCTGTCGAAGATGAAGCCAGGATCGCGACTCGTGAACATCGCCCGAGGAAGACTCCTCGATGAGGCCGCCCTGATCCAGGCACTCAAGAGTGGCCAACTCTCTTCTGCTGGTCTTGATGTGCACTATGACGAGCCCCATGTTAATCGAGAGCTGGCTGCGATGAGGAATGTAGAGGTCACGTCTCACAATGCCGGTGCTTCACTAGATGCGCATATCGGGTTTGAGCGTCTTGGGATGGATAATATTATCTCATTCTACCAGACAGGCAAGGCAATTACCCCTGTGAATCAGCATCTGGTAGACAAGATTTCTGCGAGGCTGTAAATAGATTTCTTTTTTTCTGATCAAATCTGAATGAAAGGCGCTGAACTTAACATCTGAGGGTGGACTACTTAAATCTTCACTTTCGTGTATTTCGTTGAAGTGATAAGTGGATATCCATCTCGTATCACATCAATAGCATCATTGGTCTAGTGGTAGAATTCGTCGTTGCCATCGACGAGGCCCGTGTTCGATTCACGGATGATGCATAGCGTTCTTTTTTTGCCATTTTTGATTTTTTACAATTTTTTTCTTAAATTTGCCCTGATTTTTAGAACAGCTGTCTGCATCAATTTAGTAGACTATGAATACCTAGTTCTCATTCTCCGATAATCACTTCCATAATTCACACCAATGTCCACTCCCACAGCTTTTTCTCAGCGTCTCCATTGAGAGTCTATCTAGCTACTCAAAGGCCCAATCGTCCTCAGATTCACCGGAGTATTACCAACAGACGCATCAACCGTTGTACTCCACGTCAGTAAATACCATCCCTTTTTGTCAGTCGGTTTAGCATAGAAGTTCGCCTTGGGCTGATTGAGCAGGACATATTTTCCATATAGCGTCCAGACATTGGTGAGTTTCGTCGATGAGCCACTAACTGTATCAGTACTGACCCCGTCATTGCTGAAGCTGACAGAATTGACCAGTTCACTAGTCTTGGTCAAACTCAGCAGGTTGGTTGTGGAGGACACGTCGGCTGTCTGGAAGGAGCTAGAATTCGAAGATTTAGCTGTAGTATCGACGTGCGCAACCCAATAATTTGAGTTTGATTCGATTGTGACTGTGAAATCTGTCAGACTTGTCACTTAGCATACTTCATCAGGAGTTTTGCTTACAGTAAATCGGTATCTTGGTAGTTGCGTTCGAGAGCGAGATGTCACCAATCTGAGCTTGGCCTATTCAAACGACAGGATAAGCCATCGACCTCTACACAGGTATGCGTTGGGTAATGTTTTAGTCATATTAGAACCTACCATCGGCATAAAACACCGAAAGTCCGTTCATGCCATCTCCATATGCATATAGGCGAAATGGACTTCCATCAAGCTGTCGTGGCCCAACTGGATGTGCCGAGCTGAATCCAAAGGCTAGAATCAAGGATAGAATCATATATGCCATGATGGATACTGTGATGTATCCTTGATATCTCCTTGATCTCATACACATTTCGAAGGTTCCAAGGTTACGGTCAAGAATGGTGAAAAGTTTGAGATTAAGCAGCTGCACAATGTAAGCGTGGCAGCCAAGTTATATTCTTGAATAAATATAGTACGTCACTTCAGTGTCTACCTTGTTATGAATCGACTGCATTCTAGGATTCTCCTTGTGAAGATTTGTTATTATCTTCCAATCTCGGCGGGCCTCGTGTTCTTGCGCAGGAACCTGTTAGGCTTACGTGGCTGAACAAAGCCTTGAATCATGATATGCACTGTGCCGGGCACTTCTGGCTGCAGAGATTTGAGTTCTTGGCAAGGGTCCAGGAACAAGATACCCAATCTCATCGGATGCCACGCGGCGAGACGCTGGGCAACACTCTTCTGCAACTTTATCGGACCATCTCCCCGAAGGTGATGTGTGAAGTGATTTGAAATCTCGTGTTCATCACAATTGCCGGCCTAAATGCTTTGATATATTATTGGAAGCACGGTATCAGGGGCCCTGAATCAGCCGTGAGATCTCCAAATTATCGACATGGGTATTCCACATGAGGCGACAATATGTAGATCTTTAGTGGCTCGGACGAACTGAAGATCTAATTAAAGGATTGCCACGCTAGTCAAGCCTGAAATATTATGACTCAATGATGAGATGGTGTGTATTATCTCAAGGCCCTAATGACAAAAGCATCACCTTTCGCATCTTAGTGGTTGATGGGTAGCTAATCATCTACCATCTTGCTTGCCGAAACAGTTTGAATCATATTCTCATGACCTGATTGCCTAGAGAGCTCGTATTGTGTCATCTGATGAACTCGCTCATCTATTTCTTCATCTGCAAGTTCTGCCAGCATACCCCAGTAGCCTCGAAAGTGTGTTCAGATGCCCAGGTGAGTTCCTTGAGTAATTCATCCAGTCTCTTCTTTCATGGCTCCAAAAATTCTATATATGCTTCAATAAGCTCGATTATGAAGCGATTCTATTTATTTCAGCATTTTCACACTGGTTTCCGCTACTTAATTCTTTCAATTCTGATACAGCCACCATGAAGCTTCACTATGTTGCTATATTAGCAAGTTTACTAAGTGCTGGACCTGCATACACCAAAACGACTCCGAAACCAACTCCATGCGCAGGTAACACCCCTAGCCACAGGTCTATCTGGTGCGACTATAGCATCAGCACAGACTACGAGTCAGTTGTCCCCAATACCGGCGTGACACGCGAGTACTGGTTCAACGTAGAAGAAGTTACACTTGCCCCTGATGGATTTTCGCGCCCAGTCATGACAGTCAACGGCACTCTACCCGGACCAACCATATTTGCAAACTGGGGTGACTGGCTTATCATCCATGTCACCAACAACCTTGGTCAGGCCAAAAATGGATCTAGTATTCACTGGCATGGCATTCGACAAAATTATACAAACCCAAACGACGGCGTTCCCTCCATAACGCAGTGCCCCATTGCTCCAGGCTCAAGCATGATCTATAAGTGGCGGGCGACTCAGTATGGGTCGACGTGGTATCACTCTCATATCGGCCTGCAAGCCTGGGAGGGTGTATACGGTGGAGTAATCATCAACGGACCCGCTAGTGCAAACTACGACGTGGATAAGGGCGTTTTATTCCTCAGTGACTGGACCCATCGAACTGTTGACGAGCTGTATCTTACACAGCAGCAGCTTGGCCCAGTAAACAATCTGACGAATGGGCTTATAAACGGTACAAATGTCTATGAAAGTGGCTCAAGTGCAACGGGATCTCGCTTTACCATGAAGGTTAATTCTGGCACTTCTTACCGGCTGCGACTTGTGAATCCCTCTATTGACACCCATTGGAAATTCAGCATTGATAATCACACCTTGACTGTTATATCGACAGATCTTGTGCCTATCAAGCCATATAAAACGAACGTTCTTAGTATTGGAATGGGTAGGATTCTTCTTTCCCTCTAATATATAAATACACATTTGAGAGACTAATCTGCTGCTAGGTCAACGTTATGATGTAATCGTCACTGCCAATCAAGCCAAAATAGCTCAATCTTTCTGGATGAGAGCTATACCAGCAACTGCATGCTCAGGCAACGATAATGCAGATAACATCCGAGGCATCGTCTATTACGGGACTAAATCCACAATCCCACAAACAACGGGTCATTTCAGCCCGAGCGACTGCAATGACGAGGCTTTGACTAATCTGGTCCCATACGTTCCGAAAAATGTTGACCCCCCAGTTTGGAACAATAACACCGATGTCAGTGTCTTCATAAACCCTGAAAGGCTTTTTCGATGGGAGTTCAATGCCACGTCGCTGAATGTGAGCTGGGAAAACCCGACCTTGGGTAAGATCTACAACCATGAAAAGAATTTCACCAATACAAGTGGAGTTATTGAACTACCGTTCAAGAACAAATGGGTATACCTCCTCATCAACACCACCTTTGAAGTTACTCATCCTATACATCTGCATGGGCATGACTTTTCCATCTTAGCTCAGGGCAATGGTATCTGGAACGGCTCGATGATTACTCAAAACCCGCCTCGTCGTGACACAGCCATGCTACCCCCGAGTGGGTGGTTGCTTCTTGCCTGGAAAACGGACAATCCGGGAGCATGGCTTATGCACTGCCATATCGGATGGCATGTAAATGAGGGACTTGCACTGCAGTTTATTGAGCGGTATGATGAGATTCGGGGTTTGATTGATTATAAGCCATTTGAGCAGGTGTGTAACAAGTGGGATGCATACGACGCGTCTGCAGATATCGTTCAAGCGGATTCAGGGGTCTAGCTGATTAGTTCAGAAACTTCCTGTATCAATTGCATGCTGTTCTTTGGTATCTGTTGTTGTAGTTGAATTCGGATAGGAAGGGATATCTGGAACGTTGAATCAAGAAAATATTTAAACAAGAGAACATGCAGTTACTAAGGAAGTAAAACCACCGGCTGAAACCTAAAAACAATAATGGGCTCGGGAAGACTCCGGGTAACAGTTAAAAAGAAGATCAACTAAGAATTTCGCAATCGGAGTGTAGATGTCGTGATTCAAGCCCCGTTATTCGCAATTAAAACCACCCTTTAACAGAAGTGGTCCACAAAAGTCCATAATATATGCAACTACCAAGCCTGATTATAATCAAACTTTCATCCTAAAAGAGGAACCGCCATGGTCCGTCTTCGCCTACATGGACCCTCATTGTCGAATCACATCGCTCCCTTTACTTTTAGCTGCAGACTTTGATTCCATTTGGCTCCTCTTTTTATTTTATTTCTGTACCTGATACTTCGTACAATATGACTTTCCATGAAGTTCCTAGTGGACCCATTACGTCTACCTAATTGCTCCTGCCTGTAAAGTGTTTGTGGTCCGTGGAAGATGGTTTATAGACCCCCCCCTGTTTCGCCGAAGACGAAGGCGAGAAAGAATTTTTTTTTTTCCAAATTTGAGTCCAGTATTGAACCTACTTCACGATGAGTGATTTTGAAAAGGCCGAAGCTGCGACTAGTTCAGTCCATGCTACTGATGATCAGTTTGAATTCTTCCAACAGACTAGAGGCCTCGAGTATACGAAAGAAGAGGGCAAGAAAGTGTTAAGAAAAATTGACATTCAAATAATCCCAATTTTGTTTGTTATTTATGCTCTTCAGGTACTTATAATTCATCTATGAATCTTGTCAATTCATTGCTAACTTGGTTCTACAGTATCTTGATAAAAACAGTATCAACTTTGCCTCTGTTTATGGTCTAAAAGAAGACACCCACCTCGTTGGACAAGATTATTCATGGCTTAGTATGTTACCGTGTTCTACCTCTTTCCCCTGATATTCTTCTAACAATATACAGGCTCAATATTCTACTTTGGCTATATGTTTGCACAAATACCAGCAGGATTTCTTATTCAAAAACTACCTGTTGGCAAGGTCTTGGGAGTCACGACCATAGGTACAGTACCTTTTCCACCTTATGAATAACTTCATAAAGGCCGGTTATCTCGTGGACAGGCGCTAACGCAAATATAGTATGGGGTGGTGTCCTTATGACAACTCCGGCATGCCACAACTTCGCTGGAATCGCTTCAAACCGCTTCATCCTCGGCATGGTAGAAGCCATCGTCAGCCCAGGACTTGTGCTGATGATGGGCATGTGGTACACATCAAAAGAGCAGCCTTTGAGACTTGAAGCATGGTATTGCACCAACGGTATTGCTACCATGTTCGGTGGGTAAGTAAATTGTCCGAGTCCCAAGTTTGTGGATGTACCTAGCTAACTGTTCAAACCCAGACTGATTGGTTATGCCGTTGGACACATCACATCCGGACTGCCGCAGTGGATGTATGTCTTCCTCATTTTCGGATCTGCTTCCGTTGCAACTGGAATTTTCGCTCTTTGGTTCCTTCCAGATCTTCCGTCCACTGCAAAGTTCCTCACGGAGCGACAGAGAGCCATTGCCGTTGATCGTGTGGCTTCGAATCGGCAGGGAGTGAAGAGCCAGGAGTTCAAGTGGTATCAGGTGCGACAGACAGCGCTAGACCCTAAGACATGGCTTCTGTTCATCCTAGCAGTCGGAGCACAAGTACCCAACTCAGCCCTAACGAGTGTATGTCATTCCCTCTGAACCCATCTGTCAAAGATACTAAAGTCTAACGAATTGTTCCAGTTCACATCTATCATTGTCAAATCATTTGGCTTCGGTACTCTTGGAAGTCAATATATGCAAATCCCCGGCGGCGCAGTGCAGTTTGTCACCATCCTCGCCGGTGGAATCATTGCCACGAAATTCGACGGCAAGTTTCACTCGCGAAGCATTTGCATGATCGTCGCCTGTCTCATCTGCATTGTCGGAGCAGGCCTGCTTGTTGGCCTTCCGAACGACAACAAATGGGGTCGTCTGGTCGCTCTATGGCTGTGCTATTTCCAGGGTCTAGGATTTAGTATGAGTTTGACAATTGTTTCCTCCAACATTGCCGGCTACACCAAGAAGCAGGTAACAGCTGCTATTCTTTTCATTGGATACTGTGTTGGAAATATCATCGGGCCCCAGACCTTTAAGAGTTCAGAGAAACCGGGCTACCACAGTGCCTACATTGCGTAAGTTTTCATTCCCCTGACTTTGATATTTTCATATTCTAACGTTTTGACAGTATGCTCGTTGGCTACTCGGTCAAGCTTTTTGCGATTATAGCCTTGTACCTGTACATGCACTACGAAAATAAGCGCCGAGACCGCGAGGCACTGGCTGCCGGCGATCTTGGTGAGCAAGACGAGGGAGTGAGCAGTGGCATGTTGGATCAAACGGAGCTCGACAACAAGCACTTCAGATATGTGTTGTAGTTAGATAGCGTTTCAAAAGTACTTTCAAGATAGAAATTTCACGGCGTCTCTGGACCAGACGTCAACTGGATATAATTGAAAATCCTTTTTTATTCCTGTATCTCCGTCTTCATAGATTTCTTATCTATACTACTTTGAAAACCCATTGAATTTATGGCTGATCTCCATGCAATTCGGGAATTGACATCATAAACATCGTATCAGAGCACGATTTCTACAAAGAAATCAAAGCCCACAATCAGGTATCTCTAGATTTTATTTTAAATCAAAGAAGAGTGTTCATTGTATCCACGTTGCGGATACCAGCTAAGTTACCAGCCTTAACACGCTTCAGAGTCAAGGCGGCAATCAAGGCAGCACCAACACCGGAGCCGTCCTCAGCAGCCAGAATCTCGACCTTGTCCTTGTCCTGGGGAGCCCAGTCCAAGATCTCACGCAGAGCCTGGGCTCCACGGACCTTGAAGTGAGGGTACTTGGTGAAGACAGAGCCATCAGCACCGACGTGGCAAGTCTGCATCTGCTTCTTCTTGCAGATGGCGGCAATACCGCAAGCAGAAATGCGGGCGGCACGAGTACCGATCAGCTCGGCGAGGCGGCGGATCATCTCCAACTCAGCCAAGGTGGCGCAAATGCCAAGCTCCTTCTCCAAGAGATCTGCAGTCTCGGACAAGTTCTCAAAGGGATCTTCTTCAATGGCAGCGAGGAAGGATGCATCTAGCAAGTATGACTTGCGCAGCTTCGAGATGTCCTGCTTGCCGAAAATGAGACCGGGGTTGGAATCGTGGAGATCCAACAGAGCCAGACGGAAAATCTCTCCAAGGTACAGACCAGCAGTCATCTTCTCAAAAGCCTGCTGACCGGGTCGTGGTGAATCACGGTCAATGATCTCATCGTATTTAGAGAAAGGGAGCACCTTTCGCTCGTTGTCAAAGGCACCGTATTCACAGTTGATGGCGATGGGCATATCGGCGGGAAGCCCTAGGTGGGCAATCTTGGGAATGGAGCCGACGTTGTCCATGTATGCGGCGTTAACACCAGTGCCGAAGATGGCGCCAATCTTGACAGCTGTGTCAGTGTAAGCAGAGGCGATTAGGGTACCGGTGGTGTCGTTAATCAAAGCAGCGACCTTAATTGGCAAGCCCTATATTCAAATAAGTCAGTTCACTGCGAATGGCGTATCAAAGCAAAAGTAAAACATACTCGCTTCTTCAAGACAGCCTCCAGAGGAGGAACGACGTCATGGCCCTCGACACCGTCAATGTCGAATCCCTTAGTCCAACGTTGTAGGATCCCGTGATCAATGTAGTCTTGTTGGGCGGGGTAGGAGAAGGTGAAACCAAGAGGCAAGCTGTGCAGGTTCTCGCCCTCGTGGTGGGTGTGAAGGAATTGCTCGAGGCAATCGGCGATGTAGTTCCATAGCTCATCGGCAGTACCGGTCTTAAGCTCCTCAGGCATTTTGTATTTAGATTGGGTGATATCGAAACCACCTTTTTGCTTGGTCAAGGTGATCTCACAAACACGGAGGTTGGTACCGCCCATATCGAGGGCCAGGAAAGTGCCCTGTTCGTTGCCATCGGGGAAGTCCATGACCCAGGTGACATTCATAGGCTAAAGAAGAAAAGAAGATCAGTTCAAATTCACAATATTGACGGTTCAACGGTTCGTGGACCATACAATGTTAGCTCCATCAGCGGCAAGACCTAAATTAATAAAGTATTAGCACATGGTGGAGGTATCGGGAATCAGGACCTGACATACCAGCCTCGAGCTCAACGATGAAGCGATCAACAATCGACTTGAGCTTGGCACGGTCCACAGTGAAGACGGTCTCGAACTCCTTGACGTGCTGAAGAAGATCCTGCGGCACATCGTGCATGGATCCTGGTGAAGGATTAGCATTTGTTGTTTGCTGTGTCAGTGGGTAAGAAGCTTACCCTTGCGGGAAGGAGGGTGCTTAGGACCAAGTCCGACCATTTTAAATACGATGTATAAATAAGATAGAATGAAAAGTTCAAAAGTTGGAGGAGGGGTGGTTAGGAGGGGAAGAGTGACGTTAACTATGAACGTGGGGTGGGATCGACCTTGCTTGATTAGGCTGCGGTGGGAGCAGCTCAAATTCCCTTTTTCGATTCCCCTCAAAACATCTCTCCACGAATCATATCATCTCAATCCCACTTGTTTCATTCGGTTCAGCTTCTAATTTATTCTTAACTCAATATGCTCCCATACATCAGTCCATACTCTTCAATTTCCCCCCGGCATCTTTCGGCATCCTCGGGAACCCCGGGATCCCGAGTCTCTCCCCGGACGGAGTACAAAATTACCATGATGATTTCAAGGGGTCTAGAGCTAATACGAGGCTGTTCCTTTGTGAAACATCGCCCTAAAACTCTTATTGTGCAAAACCTTAGTCTCCAACCCTTACCAACAACTCCCATCGTCTGCAACACATGCAACTATTGCCGGCGAAGATGTCAAGCGATTCAGTAATGCCATCATGGACCTTGGGCCTGATGGTCCCACCAGGATCAGTGCAGAGGTCATCTGGACCTGCATCACGCCACTGATCGAGGTTTTCGCCAGCAAGATGAGAGCTTGACCTCGTGATGAGCTTTCGAGTACACTGTCTTCTGAAGACAGAGTTTTCCGTGCTAATAAAAAGATATACATAGTTACTCTTTGCTTGCGAAGCAAAGGTAGAACCTTGGATTAATCTTAGGTATACTTGGCTAGGAGTGGCCTCAACAGCAATCAGGCGCGTCATTATCTTATCGAACAGAACGATGATGTCGCCGTATTGTTACCTTCAAACGCAAAATTGAATCTCTGGGGCACTAAAGGACGTGAACTTATCTTCCAACTCGTAGAAACTACGCAAAGCTAAAGTTGAAGTCCAAAAAGACGCCGGAGATCTATGTTCTTTCCAAGATAGCGCATCATCGGAGAGAACTCGGTGAAATTTGGCTCAATCCCTGCTCAGGTGTGCTCTATCAATTCGGACGAGATACACTGAAGTAATAATAGACGTGGGCCTTTTCTCGCGCAGTCAGGGACGTCAATGACAGAAAATTTTGCCTATTCCTTCTCATGCTACCTTGCAATGCACAGGTTTACATGATCAATCTATTCTTTACACTCTCTCGACCAGCACACTAAGTCTAAAGGCCACAATGCCCACAGACCAGGCTCAAACTTACAATCTACTAAGATGAACGATGATTCTGAGTTCGATACTCAAAGTTGAGTCCATTGTCAATGGTCTACTGAAGGTTCTCTATTAAGCAAAAATTGCACTTCAAATTTCAAAAAATCCATCTATTCATTGTAGTTTAAAATCAACTGTCGGTAATTCATAATCTTTCAACATGAGCTAATAACAATGTAAGGAGATAATAATGTGCAAACACTGTAACTCCGATTCCAATAACTGAAACTAACACCTCACGTTGTGCTCATAATTTAACAACTTCGTGCTCTGAGTGCGAGGGATCAAGCAGCAATTCATCTCTGGATATCTTCATGGAGGTGTCCATCATCAAGAATTTTGTCCTCGGGGAGATTCTCCTCGGGGACTTTATCATTAGAGGTCTCAACCTCAGCGACCTTGTCCTCAGGGAAGCTATTAGGGGAGCTAGATCGTTGCGAAGTCTGCAAATCGAGGCGCTCGCGTATTCGCTTCTCATAAGCATCGGAAATTTCCAGAGTACGGTCAACATCCTTCGTTAAGCGTTCCATCTCCTCATTAAAATTCTCGTCTCTGGTCTTGGGAGGAAGAGTCTTTTCCTCCTTCTTGTTAGCCTTGGGATCTGGGATCGCCTCCCAAATAGCCTCCAGTTCCTCTTTCCATCCCATAGCCTGTGCAAACTTTCGGACCCCGGAATCGCAGTCACCCAAAATAAGCACATCGTCGGCTCGTGAGCCCAAGCCTCCAACACGTTCCATATTTATAAGCACTCGGGGTATTCCATCGCGAACAATCGAAGGCAAACTGGCGAACGGTTGAACTGACAGACTAGTTCCCATGACGATGCATAGATCAGCCTGAGCCGGCATCCAGTTATTCGCATGGAACTCATCCGGCAAGGCCTCACCGAAAAACACGATATCAGGCTTGACTAGGCCATCACAGTAAGGACAGTGCGGGACAGTTCCATTCTCAACTGCTTCATGCATATCAGCATCTGGATATGTCTCTTTGCAATCAATGCAGCGCTGTGTGGCAAAACTGCCATGGGCCTCAATTATATATTCTCCTGGAACACCTGCCTGACGCTCAAGGCAGTCGATATTTTGCGTGAAATGTTTCAGTAGCATTTTTTTATCGTGGAGAAGCTTGATAAAAGCATGGGCGACGGTAGGACGGTAGCGGCCTGGGTAAAGCTCACGCGCCAAAGCATAGAACGGCTTGGGGTTCTCTCTGAAGAACTCAATGTCAAATACATCTTCAGGTTCCTCCAAGTCCAGAAATTCTAGATTGGCATAGAGTCCTGTATCTGGGGAACGGAAATCAGGAATGCCTGCAGAGGTACTTATTCCCGCCCCAACCTGGTATTACTCAGTCAGCTTTCAATCGAGAAGATCAACATTATGACATAATTTACCATTAAAACGATTTTTTTGACATTATTCTCCTTGATGTATTTGGCGACTGCCTCCATGTTGCGAGAGTCCAGCGTCGAGGCTGGAGTCTCGTCCGTAATAACTGACTCTTCGTTGCCCATGATGAAATGATAGAGATTGTGTGTTAATGCAAGATATGCACGATGGAAAGTTGAAAAAGAAACTCGGTCTTGTCTGGGTGAGGTCTCATTTAAAGTAGAGCAGGTGTGGGGGAGTGAGAGACGTAAGATGAATTTCTAGGCAGACACCCTCTTAAAACCAGAACTGTCAATGAATGCAAAAACGACCAACAAAGAAAAGACAAAGATAGAAAGGCTGATATTATTTTAAATTAAGACTATCAAACGAAGGCATCGAGTCTTTCACAAGCCAAAAAAAAAAGATTATTACCCCTCACCGCCCGACATAAAGAACTGTTTAGTCATCCAACTCAACCTTCGAACATTCATAATAGATCTACATCGCCATTTTCCGGGCCATTCAGATTGTTCTAAGGATCCAGAAATCCGACTAACCTTGGTCCTTGGAACAATTTTAGGTTAGAACATAGTGTGAGATTTGGAAAACATTGACTGTTTGAATGTATCAATTGCGATGATTATGGATAGGTAGATGTTTCGAAAAGCAATCAAGGTTCCATGGATCATGATGCTCTGAGTCTTTCTCGTCCTATATATAGTAACCTTGGAAGGCCATCTCATTGATACCAGCCTTCAATAAGTACCTCCCGAAACTGGTGTCACCGCATACACTTCTCGATTATTTCTCGAACCTAATGCCAACCTTAGAAGGCGTACTTATCACCGTTACGCCTTGGTACGCATAGATTTTTAGTTAATGATTGGCCACACCAGCTAGAGCATAGTAGTCCCTTTAAACCATGAGCTTATCTATGACGCTGAAGAACTATTGGTATCGCAGATGGCATAGGCTACAGGCTGCAGCAAGAGTACAATCCTTAGAATCTTTTGTCTTCTAACCTACGAGTGTTCTGCAGCGTCAAAATACCGCACAATAAAAGTGACAAACCATGAAATATTATTCTAGTCATATTACTCTTACCGAATGTAGTAAATACGCACTGGAGTTGGTGTGTATCTGGTGCATTTACCTCCGTGTTCTCTGGAATATAATTCTATTGAAATCCCATTGAAGAGTTTTTTTGAGCTGAGCACCATAACTTCTGACGCCACTAGCCCTGGAATATACTTAAAAGTGGCACAGCCAGATTCCCATCTATAAGCCCTCCGTTCTCGCGACTGCCTGGCTCATCAATATTGGTGGCGAAATTTCCTAGATAAATATCAGAGGTTAGAGGAAGCGTATGCAGGGCACATGCATATTCAGAAGAATTTTGAAGTTTAGGGCGGTACTAATAGGATAAAGCAAGTTGAGTCAGAAGATATGCTCCAATGTTATAACTTGGCATGGAAGTAGATCTACATACATGCCTGCAATTACTAAATAGATCCCTTTTTCAATAATGAATTCACAATGCATCCGAAATTGTAACCAAGGCCTTCAATAACTCCCCAATAGCTTTCTCAGAGGCGCTATCACAATTGAAGGACTTCTGAGCCCGAATGACAGAAATATCCCCGAAACCACATTTTGCTCAGATAATCTCCAGTTATTCTTGTAGTCCCTTCGATAAGTTGATCATCAACACCTTTATCATTAGCTTTGCCCAAGAACACCACGAAATGGTTGATGCCAAGTTCCTTCGCCTTTTCCATCGTGGCTTGTGCATCACCATGTATTCCATCTGCAAGTCACAACAAGGATGACAATATCAGCTTTGAAGGTGCCTTCATAGAGATCATTTTCACATTTGGCGTATTCTCCGTAATATGTATGGCTGTAGTCATGTTTGGAGGCAGAGTATTTCATGAAATATTTCGAAGTATAACTGATCTGGTCGTATTCCAGAAATTTTGTGCCTATTGATTTGTCTGAAACTTTAGAAAGTGTCTGCTGCTAGGGCGGCTTTGCCAGCATCCTTCACACCTAGGTAGCTGTAACAGGTTGAATCCTGGTGAACTATCACGTGGTTGTACCACGTGACCCACCAACCGCATACCTCACGATTCCACCCCGAATTGTTTACGTTCTTCAAGGATTTTGTAAACAGCATGTGCCTAGCTAGTTCTGAATTCAAGATTAGCTTTAGCCCTTCACAGTAGCAACGTTTATTGGTGCTATTTTAGTAGATTTGGATAATTTGGTGAAAAGAGGTGTGGTTAGAAGACTTGTGCTATAAACTATGGGCTCACGTTTATATTGATAGTCCTGGCTAGGTATATAGAGAGAAAGACTGACGTCATCTTCAGCTGAGGTATTTTAGCTGAGGTATCTATACTCATACTGAGGTACTTAATTAGTGCATTTCATGCAGCATACAACATATAGCATAAACTGTGGTCACCTCAGCAATTCTTTGGCTAAATTTACCAGTCCTATTCATATTATTTGAAGCATGTAGCCCGAAAATCCCAGGATATAGAGACTGCAAGTGACTATGTATCTTGCTAAGCGTTATAACAAGGGGCCTTATTCTATACCAGTCCAATGGACGGTGACAACGTTGGAAAGTCGAGATAAATCTGTGGATCGTAGCGCTCTGGATCTGTTCATCCAATGTATAGCAAGACATCAGTACAGTTAGTATATAACAGTAAATAGTTGCTGTAGTAGTAGTTGTAGATTAAGCACTGGATTAGAAAGGCGGAGTGGGGAGTGGATACACTTATCCCTCACCGCCCGTCAAGGTAACTGCCCGTAATATTGATATACTTGGCATCAACCTTCTGCTCAACCAAAGCCCAATGCATGATGGCCGTTTCCCATTCGGCTAATGTCAATGGGTTAACACCATCACTCCCATCAGATCAATTAAATCCTATAAACAAGATTCCCCCCACTCAAACTGATATCTTCAATGCCAGCTCCGTGGCTGAGATCAAGGCCGCTTTATCCCGCCTCCACAGTCAAGAAGCGTCTGTGACTGCTCGCCTCGATGCCCTGGTAACCTCACAAAAAGATCTCTCTCGAGAATTGGGTCGGTTAGATCTACTGCGGGCGAATATAGGAACCCAAACAACCGCCACACGGTCCATCAGCCATGGGATGCTCCGCGAGGCCGCCGGGACTGCCGAACGCATCTCTCATGCAGTGCGCCGACTGGATCTGGAACAAGCTCATGTGAAAACAACCTTGGAAGTGGTAGAACAGGTGGCCGAGCTCAAGGCGTGTGCATTGGGCGTTGTGGGGTCAATGGGTGCCTCTCAGGATTGGGAAACGGCCGCCAACTATCTGCACCGCGCTGCACAGATTCCACGATCTGTGATCAATGGAGCGTTTGCAGCTGAAATGATCCCAACAGCCGAAGTGCCGGATCCCCCAATGGTGACATTCGACAACGCAGCAGAGTCGCTATGCGGACTATTCTTGCGCGAATTTGACAAGGCAGTGAAGGATAATGACGGGGCCAAGATCACGCGATTCTTCAAGCTCTTCCCGCTAATCGGTCGATCGGAGGTTGGATTGGATGTATACGGTCGTTATGTCTGCCAAGGCGTGGCGGCACGGGCCCGGGGTAATCTTAATGCCGGTACAGGGGCCCAAGCTAAGGATGGGTTCTTCTACGCCAATGCCTTGACCAAGCTGTTTGAACATATCGCTCAGATTATCGATGGGCACGGAGGCCTGGTGGAGCGACACTACGGGCCGCGAAAGATGGGCCGTGTCATCGAACGTCTACAGATTGAGGCTGACGTGCAAGGTGGAATCATCTTGGACACTTGGAGTGATGAGCGTCAGGTGGACCGCAAGCTAATAGATATCAAGTCGTACGCATTTACTTTCTTGGTACAAAGCTTCCTTCCGGCTCAGCGGTCCGGCCAGCCACTCGCTCAATCACAGGCACCAGGAATCGAGGACGAGGGAGTGGACATGAAGGAGATCGACGGTGTGCTGAACGAAATGGCAATCATGCTCGGCCGTTGGTCCCTTTACTGTCGCTTCTTGACGGACACTTGCAATGTGAGATCATTCCCCGTATCTACAATTCAAATCACTAATTACCTTTCCAGCCTCCCACTGAACATGAGAGTAAGGATGATGAAACTAGATTTAAACTTCCTGCCTTTTTGCAGGAATCTTCTCTGGCACGCAAGGCCAACGACCGGTTGGTCACACCTTTCAACGTAATGACAACTTTCTTCTTCCGGAGATCCGTAGAGAAGGCTTTCCAACTGGACGAGTCACCATCGGGCTTGAGTCTGAACCTGCAACGACCTCTCAAAGCGGATCCTCCCCATATGACTTCTGCTGTCGACGACATCATGTACATTGTCAATAAGGTTCTGCAACAATCTCTAGCGACTTCGCAAGAGGCTGTAGTGACGAATGTTGTACCTACTCTCTCTCGCGTACTGGGATCTGATTTCATCGGCATGACCCAACGCAAGATGCGTGACGAATGCTATCCGCGCGCACCATCTCAAGGTGCCCAGCCTCCGGAGCAGACTCTAATCTCCTTCCTGGTTCAAATAAACAATCTTGACATAGCAGTGGATTACATCCGACGCATTGTGCAGAACAACACCGGCTCAAAGCAACCTATCTCCTCCTCGAACGAGAGCGATCATAACGACGCCAACCTGGTCACAGAGCATCTCCTCTCGCTCTTCCCATCTCCAACCTCTGCTCTCCGCGTCGCGCAGACGCTCCGATCACTTGCAACATCCTTCGAAGGCAAAGTGACAGACCTGCTCACAGACGGAATCCAAGTCGTATTCAACAATGCAATTAAGCACCGTCTCAGGCCGATCCTCGCAGACGCTTTCCGAGATATCGAGTACCAACCGTCCTCGGACAGCGACTCTCCAATCGACACACACGATGACTTCGATCGCAGCAGTAGCAACAGCAAAGAACTAGTGCGGCCACGCTTCGCAGCAGGCTGGACAGAGCTACTCGTCCCACTCGCGCGAATTCTAACCCAGCAAGCATTCGACCGTCTCCTAACCGTCACGATTGCCTATTTCTCCCGCCTCCTAGAAAAAAGACTCTGGTCTTACCAGGGCCGAGTCAACCCTCTCGGTGCAGCTCGTCTAGAGCGCGATATTGCAGGTATTGTGGGTGTGGCCGTCGATGTGGGATATGGATCAAGTGCTCCTGGTCGCTACCGTCACCGGGAAGCGCTTGCCCGCTGTGTACAAATGACCCTGGTCATGGGTATGGACGATGATGAGTGGGAAGAGGTTTTACGTGATGGTGAAGCTGTGGAAGTAGTTGACAAGCTGAGTCGCGAGGAAAGAGTCCGAGTGCGGGCGATGGTCAGACAATGAATGTTAGTAAGTTGTTGAGGCTGTTAACTTTTTTCCTTTTTATATATTCTTATTCTGTATGTGTATCTAATTGGAGTACCGCTAGGTACAGATTATAATTCAAGCTTTTTTGTTTTTCAAGATTCTAAGGTACAGAGGGTGTACACTGTATATCTGTCTGTATAGACCTCCTCGGGCGTCGGACGGGGTATCAAACTTGAAGCATAAATATTTACATACTATATCGAATATTTGTTTATCTAGTAACTAATGAAAACAAGCCAGAGATAGGGACAGAGTATTTAAAATTTTTCTATGCATATTTAGATCAGACCCAAGCCGAAGCTCAGAAAAGACAAATTGTGAAGGGTCCATATGTCGTGAATACAGCCAACCCAGGTTCCCGAACCAAAAACACAACGCCACCCAGGTAAAAAGAGAAATATATATAGGGAAACAGTTTCTTTTTGAGAAGATGAACTTCAAGGTCGAGGTAGAGGTGAAGATGGAGGGAGGAGGTAGAGGAAGTCGCTGGAGAGGGAAACATGTGTACAAGAATGAGAAAGCCCCAGGCTTGAAAAGATTACTAAAAAAAAAAAAGGCGGAAACGCTCAGAGGAATATGGAACAAATGTAGAGGAAGGGGGAAGAAAAGTATTATCATACTTCTTCCTTCTCGCTGACAGGATGTTGGTCAACCTGTCGCGAAGGCTTGATTTCTTGAATCTCCATGTCACCTTCACTGCCATTGTGGCTACTGTGGCTCAATTCACCGTTAGGACGACGTCCCTCCAGCATAGTTTGCGACCTGCCATCGAGCATCATATCGCTGTGCTCGCCAATACCGTAGCGGTCGGCAGCGGGGACCTCGTGGCCATCTTCGTGCTGGTCGTGTTTCTGTGGTGTCCAGGCGAGGTAATCACGACGGACTTCGACGTAGTCGTAGGCGAACTCGCCCAGTTGGTCGTCATCCATACCGAGCAGCTCGGCTTCCTCTGAGGCACGCAGCTTCAGGCCGGGGATAAGGTTGATGCCGAAGGCAATAATGGCAGACATGACGAAGGCGTAGGAGGCGGTTGCGACGATGTAGGCGATTTGGATGTAAAGCTGCTTGTAGTTGTGGATAACCCAGCCGCCGACGCCAGTTCCGGTGCTGACACCGTCCAGACCGACGATAGAATCGTCTCCGAAGAGGGCGTTGAAGATGAGGCCGACGACACCGGCAATTCCGTGCTCAGCCAACACATCCATCGAGTCGTCGATACGGATCCAGTACTTGATTTTAGTGGAGTAATTGCAGACAATTCCGGTGACAATACCCAGAATCACACTAGCCCATGGGGTAATGAAACCAGACGCAGGAGTAGCAGCTACCAATCCGGAGATGGTACCAGAACACCAGCCGACCATAGACCACTTGCGGGCGAGACGCCAATCGAGCAGTACCCAGGTAATAGCGCCGAAGGCAGCGGTCAAGTTAGTATTCCACATGGCCATAGTAGCACGAAGGTTGGCACCGAAAGCCGAGCCACCGTTGAAGCCCAACCAGCCGAACCAGAGGAAGGCAGTACCGAGTAGGATGAGGGAGACGTTGTGGGGGCGGAAGTTGAGCATCATTCGTTCTTGTCGTCGACCGAGGACCATTGAGTAAGCTAGGGCACTGAAGCCAGAGCCGATCTCGACGGGGCCACCGCCAGCATAATCCATCACACCATAGTTGTAAGCCCAGCCGTTGACGTTCCAGGCCCAGCAGGCCAGAGGGCAGTAGACGATAGTAGCCCAGATGAAAGTGAATACCATAGCTGGAAGAAGGCGACCGCGCTCAGCCACAGCACCCATGACAATTGCAGCAGTGACACCACAGAATTGCATCTAGAGAACAGATCAAGTTAGTATGAGATCGAGGGGTCCGTGAGCGACACCAGTGCGACACCACGTGCGAGATCAGATCGTACCTGGTAAAAAGCATAGAGCAGATTCGGAATCAAGGGCGAACCAGGACTGGGATCAGCCCAAGTCTTCATCAGGCCGAAATTGCGCAGGTTACCGATGAAACCATTTGTGGCAGTTGGGGAAAAGGCAAGCGAGTAGCCCCAGAAGTACCATTGGAAGGTTATGATGGAGAAAGAAGCCATACAAGCCCAGATCATACTCAGAGCAGACTTTCGCCGAGCGAGACCAGAGTAGAGGAAGCCCAGACCTGGAATCATGATCATGACCATGGCGGAGGCTACAATAATGTAGGCCTGGTCACCAGCTTGGAACCATTTATTCACATTTTCGACACCTGGACGAGAGAGAATGAGGAGCTATAATTGGCAATTGGATTTAGGACTCAGTACATACGAGAATCACCACCAGTATTGGAGTTTGTGGACAAGCTGAAGTCAGAAGGAGCACCGGTCCAGTTGTAGGATGCAAAGTCCGGGGCGTACGGAACTTTGCCATTGAAGTCCGACATGATCAGAAAGCTCCTCGAGCTGAAGGAAGGATTGAAGAATGGAAAACTGAAACGTTGCCAAGAAAGTGTGAATATTATGTATTAATTGTACCCTGATATAAGTAGGGTTGGAGGAAAATGTAGGTAGGAAGGTCTGAAGAAAAGTCGCCACGGGAGAGAGAGAACCTTTATAAAAAGGGAATCTATGGATATGGAGTGAGAAGAAGAATATGGTCGGGATCGACGGAGGGTCCACAGGCCTATAATCGGACAAGGGATGAAACAGGCATGGATGAGAGTAAGAAAAACAAGCAATGAATTGTCCTGGTAAGATCAGAAAAGAGTAAAAAAGTCGGGGGGAAACGCGGTTAACAATGTAGAGATAGATTATGACAATAGTAATGGGATAATCATATTTAATTCTATTCCCCACCAACTAAGCCAATCATAGTGAAGGACTGGAATCTCTTGGCATGAGGGTATCGAATCGTGATGAGATACCTAGGAGTATATGGCGACTATCAGTATAATATTACACATAATGAGTACACACACGTCTAGATATTCAATTTTGGAGGTCGAGTATTGATGAATATTGATGAATATTGATGAATATTGATGTTCTTCCAGATCAAAGTGGCAATATTGCCTTTGCAGACCCATGTTCTCCATCGAATCACTGTGATCTTAGCTTATTTCGGCCAAGACTCCAAACACGAGATCCGATAACTCCGATGATCTCAAGTAGTTAAAAGCAGGTATATGAGGTAAATGAGGTGAACCTCGCCAATGGAGGCTAGTAGCTGGAATTTAAACAAAAGCGCCACACAGGGATACCAATGCAATCTTATCAGAGGCAACTAGAAATAGGAGATATCTCTTTCCTTCCCTCGCTATGAGATGAAGAAGTGCTATCGTGGTTGAACTATTGGTAGTATTGATGCGATATTATTGGTTGTAGATAAAGCAGGTGCATCGGCCGACAAAGTGGGTCTCCATGCATGCTCGCATTAAGCCTAGTGTCAGTTCCCTTGTCTTACTTTTAATTGGCTTCTGATAAGAATGTTCGTTAGCTTCGGAATCTTTCGGGTTCTAAACTTCCCGTTACTCGGCCTCTTATTCGGCCTTATTCCGTATTCTCTATTTTTGTATTCATAGACCTCCGTAATTTGACGGGCCAAATCCCTTTTTATATACCTGTATTAGCTAGGCTGCTGACTGCAAGATGCAGTCTCGATATTCTTTCGATTCCCCAGAACTTGGAAAATACTTTATTTAAGTGAAGTGCGTCATTGTACACTTGGCTTCCAAGGTTTACTAGTCCAACAGTTTATTCAGACGTATGGAGTACTTCTAAGCTTCTGCCGTATTGACACACCTCAAAAAGCCCTAATTTTACTTGCAGTTAACTACCAAAAGTGGGGAACCTCCATAGTTCGCATCATGCATATCTAAATTTTCAATGTTCTCGAAGCTTAATAGCGCTATCCCTAATCAGGTACACCTGCATATGAGCATTGGATCTGAGAATACTAGGTCGTTTCGAACTGGTTTGATATATTCTGTCGTAAGCGAAAGCATTAAAAAGGAAACATCTATGACCTACGGATTCAGCATAGCTCGTTTCACTTTGGACCACTTGAATCACTTGAATCATTTGGATTACTTGGCTAAATTCTGATAGGTCCTATGTTTCAATCTACTTAACACGGTCCGCAGGTATTCATCCACCGTCCCGGGATTTTAAGCGACTGCCCAGACTGTCGGGAAACATATGACTGGTTGAATGACTACCTGGGGCACTTGAGCATGTGCCATAAATGTGATAAGTATGATAATGTGGAGAGAATCGTATAAATTCTGAATATCTACCTGAGTATATCTCCCCTCTCTGAGATTGGGTTTTTATTCCAAGTTTGTAGAAATACACCTAGATGTTTCCGTTCGACCGCTCCAAGGTTCAGCATCTTAGGTATATTTCCCTATGGTCCACTGTATTTGGGTTTTGGACAGACAACATGGATCGCTAGTCTTCTAAGTTGTGTACCCAATGATTGTGGGAACATACCTGTATGATATATACTTGAGCTTACCTAGGTACATCAGCCCAGCAGCAAGAACGGTAATCTACCCGTAATAATGTCCAAGACTGCTTCCAACTAATAAGCATTCTCGTATTGATATTTGGTTCCAAGATCAATTTGAGATGTATCACTTTCTGTCGGTACACCTGTATCAAGTGTGGAATAGCTATTCGATAAAGGTGATGAGGCTAACGCCCACTTCTGACACCTATCACAGGTAACGCTTTACGCCCCTATGATATCTGTGTGTCCTTTGAAGTGGTTGTAAAGTCTGGTTTTCATTCTTAGTTTGCTATCTATTATATAGTAACAATTTGATCACATGACTGCTTTGTTCCATATTCCAACACTTTCCAATGTTTTACGTAGTGGAATGAATATTAAATACCTAACGTAGTACTTTCCTACCCGAAACAAGGCCGAATAACTAAAAGCCCCACACATAATGGCAAATTTTCGATCCTATTTCATCAATTGGCCTGCTGGCCCAATGGCAAGGCGCTTGACTACGAATCAAGAGATTGCAGGTTCGACCCCTGCGTAGGTCAATTTTTTACTCTTTATGATCTTTTGCCTCCGGCTGATGTTGCCTTTTTCTCTCTGTACAGAGCTGATTTTCTTTTGGTTACACAGAAGTCGCGAATAGTTAGAACAGATTCTGATATCCTAGACGTACTACCGATTGATTACCTAGGTATCAGTACTGAAAGGCTCTATCTGCCATTACAAGACGGCAAACTCATATAGTTTGGGATATCAATCAATACATTACATTTCGCAGTTCTATACGACTCTAAAACAAACCACCCAGATCCACTGATTATCAAACATTAAGACTATATCCAAAGCCAAGTCCGCCTCGGCGCCGGATAGCATGAAGATACTTGCGGCCTTCATCAACCCAAAACACAGAACTGGTGAGACAAACAAGCTTGAAGACAGAGCTGAAGCTGAGTGCCTCCGTCTGGAAAATGCGTTGTAGGAAGGGCAGGTATATGACACACGCTTGACCGGCCAACGAGCCGAGAACAGCGTAGTTGAACATCTTGTTACCGAAGAGGGGTAGCTCGCCGCGCAGAACGGATTTACCCTCACTGCGACAGGTCAGGGCGTTGAACATGTCAAATAGAACGAAGCAGGTGAAGGTCATTGTGGTGTCGTGGGCTGTGACCACACGAGATCGTTTGTCTAATGGTTGGCCGTCTGTCATGTCGCCCATCTCGTGGATGTAGATGGAGAGTGTTCCGATCATAATAACCATAGCTGAAGTGAGGACACGCTGAATAAGAGGTTTTGTCAATACCCGCGCTGTCTTGGGTCGTGGAGGCCGGTTCATAATCATAGGGTCCACGGGCTCAACGCCAAGGGATTGTGCAGGAGGACCATCCATGAGAATATCTAAAAGAGTGTTAGAATGAAAATTTCAAAGGTTGGAAAAATATTGACTTACTGATCCACAAGATCTGCATGGCGTTCAGTGGATTTTTAAACCCGAGAGTGGTACTGAGAAGAACAAGACTGAGGGCAGCCACGCTGGTGCTGAGCTGGAATGTAATAAAGTTTTGGATGTTGTAGAAGATGCCTTTGCCCTGCTCAATCGCCTGTAGAATGGTCGAAAAGTCATCATCTGTCAAAATCATGTCCGCTGCCTCCTTGGCAACATCTGTGCCCAGCTTGCCCATTGAAATGCCAATGTCGGCCTTTTTCAGAGCGGGAGCATCGTTCACACCATCACCCGTCATTGCAACCACGTCTCCACGAGACTGGAGTGCGGTCACAATTTTCATTTTGTGATCTGGGCTTGTGCGAGCGAAAATAGAAGTGGTTGTGATGGCCTGCGCAAGCTCCGCAGTGCTCATACGGTCGATTTCATCGCCCCGGAGAACCGACCGTGCGCCAGCAGACTCGTTGATGGGCATTCCAAGCTTTTTCGCGATGGCAACAGCCGTTGTCTCGGCATCACCTGTGATCATTATAACTCTAACTCCACCGGACATCAGACGTTTGATAGCTTTGTGCACATCCTTGCGAGGCGGATCATTCATGCCCACAAGTCCCGCAAATACGAGACCGTTGTACCGATCATCGTCACTCACCGGGCTTGATTTGGAGCCGGGTGTGCTGGATCGGCTGCCGAATCCCCGCATGCCCCTAGATGCATCCCGAACAGCACCACTGGCAAAGCCAAGAACGCGGAGACCTTCTGCTGCCATGTTCTCAGCAGCATCTCGAATAACTTGACGTCGAGGCTCGTCTAAAATGACCTCTCGGCCATCCTTAGTAAGGTAAGTGTCCGATCTGGCCAAGACCTGCTCAAGAGCACCCTTGATATAGGCAACATCCGATCCTCCACCAATGATAACACCCATCCACTTTCGCTCAGAGCTAAAGGGGGTCTCTGATACACGGGCACTAATACGTTCACGGACATCGTCCTCACCCAAATGATCGAGCAAATCTAGAATGGCAACATCGGTAGGTTGACCAACCCAGCGACTCTTTACGGCCGCCGAATCTCGATCGACTGTTGAAGATAGGACTAATGCAGAGGAGGCGCTTGCAGGAGAGTTTGCATGCATACGTGATAACCGAGCGTTGTTTGCGATATTGCCCACACGAAGGATAGTGCGGGCCGCTGGTCCGGGCGTGATAGCATGGGTTATGTCCCGCTGAATCTCGAAGGGCTCAGTGCAATCGAAATGCCACATCTTTGTGACAGTCATGTGGTTCATGGTGAGGGTCCCAGTCTTGTCACTGCAGACAACATTCACAGAGCCGAGGGTTTCTACACTTGGAAGTCTTCGCATAATGGCGCCTCTCTTGGCCATACGAAGTACGCCTAGAGCAAGTGTGACCGTTACAATGATGGGCAGGCCTTCTGGAATTGCGGCGACAGCAAGCGAAACACCAATCGTAAACATTTCCAGAATTTTACGGCCTTGCAGAAGCCCAATGACCACAATCAGACCGATAACTCCGAAAGAGATATAGCTCAGTTCCTGACCCAAGCGATCCATTGATAGCTGCAATGGGGTTCGTGGACTCTCAATTTGCTGAAGAGAAATCGAGATGCTTCCAAACTCTGTCTTTGCACCAGTTGCGATAACAATGCCCTGACCGTATCCTGAACGGACAAGAGTGCCCATGAACGCAACATTATGCTGCTCATTCAGTCGAACATCAGCGCCAACTGCACCACTGGCTGGGGCATCGTAAAAAGGTGATCGAGGAGGACTAATGCCTTTGAAAGCTTGAACGCCCCCACTGTTTGTGCGTAAGGCAGCCGCATATTTAGATACCGGCTCATTCTCGCCAGTCAAGTTCGATTCGTCAATTGAAAGGTCCGTAGCGGCGGTAATACGAATATCGGCAGGAATGCGATCGCCTGTTGAGAATAGGACCAAGTCTCCTTGTACCAGTTCATTAGCTGGAACAGTGCTAGATGCTTTGATCGCAGCAGACGCAGAAACAGAGCTTTTACTCCTGAGTTCTTCCATATCTTCCCCTGGGACCAGATTTTCCACAGCGGTATTTGCCGACGGCAGGTCTCGAATCAAATGCGCAAAATGAGGGACGAGTCGATTCAACGCTTCCAACGATTTCTCCGACCGGTATTCCTGTACGAAGCCGACAGACACCACGATTGTAACCGCCAGAGTGATGCTGATGGCATCATCAAGATTGCCCATTAAGAATGAGATACCGGCAGAGGCTAGGAGGAGAAGAATCAATGTTTCCCGGAACTGTTTCAAGAATCGCAGCCATAGTGGCTCTGGCTCCTCGTGAGGAAGCTCATTAGGTCCGTCGCGTGCGAGGCGAATTTCAGCCTCCGCGGGAGTGAGGCCATGAAGGAGCGAGGTATTTAAGCGATGTGCAGTTTCATGGGGTTCGAGCCATGAGTACGTCGAGGTTGAAGCCTATATTAACGAAAATCAGTTAACGGGGTTTCATGATCGGGGATCATACTTGACTACTTGTTGTCAGGGCATTGGGCGATGACGCACAATATAGCTTACCGAGGGAGGGGCATCTGACCGCATGCCTAAAGTAGGGTTGGAAGAAGGTCGCAAAGAATCTGAGATTTGTGCATTATGCAGCGGCAGCGCAGGTGTGGTGGACCTTGACATCTCTCATGCTTTGTCGAGTAGGACAAGGAAATAAAACAAATATAAAAAAATAGAAGAAAAGTTAAAAAGAATAATTGGGTAAGGTTTATTATCGAGCACTGGTCATCTCGTCCAGATTACAATTGGAAGGAGGAAGGGAAGTAATCATGCACGGTATAGGAGATGCGAGGTGGCAGTATGAAGTAGGAAGCGGACTAGATGGATGAACCGAGAACGGGGAACGGGGGGTAACGTAACGCGGCCGAACAGCAAAGTACTAGTAGATTGAATGAAGATGAGTCAACTATCAAGAAGCGACTCAAAAGAGGAGAAGACGACGACTAAGGAAATAGAAGCCAAAAGCAACTAATCTCAACTTCAACGCTGGATTGAAGAAACACAATTGGAAGCGGCCAAGTCCCATGATGATACATTACCCGTTAGGGACTAGCTTTAAAGGAGAATAGTTTATCCTTCCCATCTACTTTAGGATTAGCTAAAATGAGACGAACCAATAATACATCACGTTCTTTTCGTTCCCCAGCCCCCTCTATTATTTCTTTATTTCCTTAGTCATTCATAGTCTAGGCAGAGACTTGAACGCCTGAATTCCCACGCGCACCCTCCAGTAACAGTTTCTCAAACTTATCCCTCGCGCTGTTTACACGGCATCTTTTACCTGCCACAACACTTAAATTTCATACATTTTTATTGTATCATTATCACGTCTGTTTACTTTTAACATTCGACGTGACAAATTTTCCTCAAGTCTTTGTTTTCCCGGTCTTAGCGCGTCAAACCCCCTACTACACTTCACCCCGCGCCGGGCGGGTTTTTCTATCTCTGCTACTTGGATAACCTCCTTTCTCGTTGTATGATTTGGAATCTCACGCGTCATGTTTTACTCCGAAACTCTTCTGTCCAAGACAGGCCCGTTGGCCCGTGTGTGGCTGTCTGCCAATATCGAACGCAAACTGTCCAAATCGCACATTCTTCAGTCTGATATCGAAAGTAGTGTGAGCGCCATTGTTGATCAGGGCCAAGCGCCCATGGCCCTTCGACTAAGTGGACAGCTTTTACTTGGTGTAGTGCGCATCTACAGCCGAAAAGCGCGCTACCTATTGGATGATTGTAATGAAGCATTGATGAAGATCAAAATGGTATTGAAGATGCCCCGTTCCCTTTGCATTAACATTCTACTAACAGAATGAACAGGCTTTCCGTCTCACAAATAATAACGACTTGACGACTACAGTGGTGGCACCAGGTGGCATTACTCTGCCTGACGTGCTTACGGAATCTGATCTTTTTGCTAATCTAGATGCGTCATTGCTTTTCCCCCAGAATCTGGGCCTGGAACCCGAGGGTAAGCGACCGGGTATAATGGATTTTGGTAGCCAACTATTGCCCGACAGCTCTTTCCGCCGCTCTGTCTCTCAGGAGCCCTCACACCTAGAAGATCCCTCTCTAGTCGATCTTAATCTAGGTGAAGATGAAGTTCCTCTTGGACTTGATAGCACTATGGAAATTGGTCGAGATGCGCCGCCGCCTCGTCCCATGGAAGACGATCTGTACAGTGACGCTGGTAAATTCAACGACAACGATGATTTGGGTCTGGATCTCGGCGAAGATGACGCTCCGCTGGATAAAATGGATCTCGGCGACGATGAACATAATTTGAATGACCTCCTGGTGGATGGTCCTATGGATCTTGGTAACGACGAGGACTTCGGGGGCCAGACCCCGCGTCCAGAACTTAGCCGATTTGACCGTGAATCTGAAAGCCCTCTCTCGGACGCCGGCTCTGCTCAGATGCAACAGCTCGAGCAAGAATACGAACGACACATCTCTGACTCTCCCGAACCCACTGAACAGAATGGTCAGCGCTCTAAGCGCCAAAGAGTCGCAGCCTACTTGCCATTGGAACGGGAAACCCGTCTGTCCGCGAGTGAGGCTAAGGCGCAGCAGCAAGATCGCTCTGCAATCTTGAAGCCTGCAACATTCCTCCCCCGCGATTCCGTCTTCCTTACCCTCATGACCCGCCAACAAAACGGCGACTTTGTTTCAAGCATCTTCGGTGAAGAGCGAAGCCTTGGCTGGGCTCCTGAAATTCGTGGTCTCCTATCTCTAGAATCTGTAAAGAAGGCTGGTGAGCTGAAACGTAAGCGTGACAGCGGCATTGCCGATATGGATGTGGATGCTGTTGATCTTCCCGCATTGGATTTTGGCGACGAAGAAGCTATTGTCCCTGATGATGAGGGTCTCGGTCTCGACACAACTCTTCACCAGCGCTCTGAAATCGACTTCCCCGGTGATGACGGCCATCAAGACCTGCACCTGAGCGACGACGAGGGCATTGATCGTTCTCTGGATGAGCTTGATGATAACGTCCACCCCGTAGACAACGAGCCCGTTTCCATTGGCACCAAGCACGCTGTACACATTCTGCGCGAGCAGCTGGGTGAACCTGCCTCTGAGCAGAACAAGAGCGTACTGTTCCAGGACTTGCTTCCCGAGAAGCGCTCCACCAAAGCAGATGCCACCAAGATGTTCTTTGAAGTCTTGGTTCTGGCCACCAAGGATGCCGTTCAGCTTCAACAGAGGTCCGACTCCATTGGTGAACCTCTCACAATCCGTGGTAAGCAGAACCTGTGGGGTTCCTGGGCTGAGGAGAACGCTGCGGGTATTCCCAGCCAACAGACCCAGGTTTTGTAGAGTGATTTATTCTCTGTGAAACTACGAGTCATCATGGCGCATTTACATTCTTGTACAGTCGAGTTTGGGACAGGGTTTCTGGAAGATCCGATAATTGCTTGGAGGTAGGGTAGGACAGTTTTTCCTATTGGGTGTTTGGGGACTTGTTATGGAGAAAAGGGGGCTTTTGGAGGCGATTGCTATTTTGATTTGGAGTTCGGGATATTGTTCTTTGGAGCGATTGGTTCAACTGTAGTACTTTAGTAAAACACTCATTCATCAATTGAACATACCTTGTTTGAATCCAGTCAATCCAAGTTTTCGGACAAGATTGACATTTTCGAAGCCTCGATTGAGACCTATACATGTAGGGCAGGCATTAGTCAGGTGATCAGAGCAAGACCTTTGTAGTTCGACTCAATACATGAAACTTACTCCAAGGCTTGATCTAAGCCTTGATTTCAAACAATATATCGGGACTAAAGGATCTTGGAAGCAGAGGGATCTAGCCGCCCCAAGTGGAGCAATAGAGACTCTTTGGCGCAAAAAGGTTGCTACTGTACAACCGTTTCTTTGCAGCTATCAACCTCGACACTTTTCTTAGAACTCAGCCACCAAACTACGATTTCTCGTCAGTTACTATGTTCCTGGTGCCTAGAATCCTTCCGATATGGTTCCTGGACCTCTTAATCTCACATGCTGCTACAAGGTATATGCACGAACATGAATAATAATTACCGATGTACTCAAGGCCGAACAGTCACAAGATCTCTGCACTGATACCAAACAGCACCCGACTCGGTAGTGGGGCCTCCAGATGGAAATATTGGATCGTTATGATCTTGTACATGCCCAGATATGATGGAAGATGTATGGCTCCTATTATCTTATGTTTGAATGAATCCTTTATGGCCGGGAAGATAAAATTATAAGGCTCGGCTCCCGAACTCCTCCTAGGCCATCCTTTATGTTGCTGACTTTCTAATTAATATGTAAATTTCGGGACCCTTTCAACTTCCTTGGATACTCTTGACATAGATAATCGCAGGGTATATTTGCATCCATCACAACGATATTGAAGCACTCAAACTTTTAGCAGAGATTATGTCCAGCTCTTTCGACTATACTATCAATATGTTGACTCGGAGGCAAGACTATCTGCATTAACTTTCTTCTGGCTATGATCTAACCCAGACCACTTCAGGTTTACTATATTTACTATAATTCGGCTTGGAGATCTAGCGATCAGCGGGCTGCGAGGTATAAAATCAGAAGATAATCAAACGATATCTGGGAAATTCTTGACAAAGCAGACTGACTCGCAAATAACCAAACGCACGCTGCCGTTACACCCCGGGTGAGTATGAAGTCTTCATCCTATGTCATATCAAAAACAACTCCATTCAAATCTACATAGATAGAGAGATACGGGCTTTTAAGTTTATTTTTGTGCCAATGGAGTTTTTGGATATGACTATGCTTTTCAATGATGACATCTTGCAGTCCTGTTACCCTGATGTCGATGAGCACATAACTGTTCTCCAGATCTGGTAGCCGGTTCAAGTATTTGCGCACTCATTCCTAGTATTTGACCAAGTTCCCGCTTGACATTTTGATTTCACGATAAGATCTCGAGTCTTGTAATCTGTTACAAATACCTCATACCATTTAGTCCGAATTCTTGCATCTACTCCGTACCTAGGTAAATGAAAACTCTTAGCATTAATCGGATTCGTTTATACTTATCCATTTCTTCAGCGTCCTGATAACAGGTTATAGACCTCGGGAACATCAACCCCTACAGGATTATGTGCCAGGTGAGTAGAAGAGGGGAAGAAAGCCCTGTAGGTAAGATGCCAAGGTAAGAGGCGTTAAAGATGATACCTCACTATAACTAAAAAATTCTCCGCGGAAACTAAATAGTCAAGATAGATGGGGCTTACGAGTAAACTTCTGCGGCATATATCACCTAATGACTTCCTAGGTATTCGACATATCATATACATTCAAAGTAGTTGAAAGGTTTCTTGTACTTCCATGCAAGTATCAAAATAAGGTTAAGCTTAATCGGGTTAATGTCGGATACATTTAAATTACGGAAACATTCGAACGTCGGTTATAGGTCTCATAGGTCCGAAATCTGAATATGTGGATCTAAAGCTAGTAATAATTAATCAGCTCCAGTAATTAACTAGTCTCAGGAGATTTTCTTGGTGAGGGGGCCGAATGATATTACCATTCCTTTTACGATTTAATCAGTCAGATCTAAGATCATTGCTAAGCGCCCAGGTACACCGTAGACTGCAGGCGATAGTGTCTTCAGAGTGAAATTCGTCTTCCAACCCAACAAGTGAATATTAGAACACTCGGAGTTCTCGCCGAAGAGGCAAGCCCCGTCGCAATGGATTCAGAGAAGCTCTCCTCCCATCAGACTTCTTCTGATAGTGCTCTCGATGAGACCAAGTTCGAAGATACAGCATTTGCACCGATCTCTTCCCCGAAAGACGACGCCACACACCCACAGAAACAGCACAGCAATACGTCTAGACTAGAGCGCAGTTGGTCTTTGAACGATGGCGTTAGTATCGGAGGTAACGAGATCCAGAACGACGAAGAATCTAGGCAAGATGGAGACGAGGATACTTCCTTTATTGTGGATTGGGAAGAGAATGACTCAATGAACCCGCGCAACATGAGTACAGCCAGGAAATGGCTTATAGTTATAATTGTCTCATTGGGCTCCATCTGCGTGTGAGGACCCCTATAAAAGCTATAGCCTTGCAACCGAGACTGACTTATCTAGGACCTATACATCGTCCGTTTACACCACAACCTATGGCCAGCTGATGCCGGATTTTAAATGCTCCCGAGAAGTCGCCACACTGGGGTTGTCACTTTTCATCTGGGGTCTTGGTATGTCACTCTTCCATGAGGCTGTCGTTATGTTAAAGGGCTTCTCACTGAATTTCTTATAGGAGTTGGTCCGCTCTTTCTTAGTCCCTTATCCGAGGTAAGTTTGAATTTCCAAGGTTGCTTCAATGCCAATGTGGAGAACTCACCTTGCACAGTTTTATGGCCGGAGAAATATCTATCTCATTTCTTTCACCTTTTTCCTGATCTGGCTTATCCCATGCGCAGTTGCAACGAATATCCAGACGTTGATCATATGTCGATTCTTCAATGGACTCGCAGGAAGCGCATTTTTGAGTGTTGCTGGCGGTACTGTTGGTGATATGTTTAATCGACAGGAACTTGCCTTTCCTATGATGGTGTATACGGCAAGCCCATTCCTTGGACCAGACCTTGGGCCCCTGTAAGAACCTTGCTAGTGTATCTCATTTGACATCAGAAGCTAACAGCATCTTACACCTGCAGCGTCGGCGGCTTCATTAATGAATTTACCAATTGGTATGTCCATATTTCATATTGATAGTCGGTGGTCAAGGCTAACAGATCAAATATAGGCGTTGGACATTTTATGTGCTTCTGATATGGACCGGCATCTTGCTGGTATCGCTGATTTTCCTAGTCCCAGAGACGTATCACCCAGTGTATGTTTTCACAGTACGAGTTCGTTTGTTCTGTCTGGACCGCTGACTTTTGTAATCAGACTTTTGAGACGCAAAGCACAGAAGCTTCGCAAAGAAACAGGAGACGAGCGATGGATAGCCCCGATTGAGAAAATGAATCGTTCAGTGACACAGACAGTTCTGCGGTCGTGTCTCCGCCCACTTCAGCTTCTGGTACTAGAGCCTATGTGTTTGAACTTGTGCCTATTTTCTGCGATTCTGTTAGGTATTCTATACCTTTTCTTTGGGGCCTTTCAACTGATCTTTGAGGAAGTGTACGGATTTCAATTGTGGCAAAGAGGCTTATGCTTCATGGGACTTGCCGTTGGTATGGCCATCGGGACAGCATCAGATCCAATCTGGCGTCGCAACTATGCTCGACTCGAACGCAACTATCAGGCTGTGCACGGTACCGACAAATTCCAGCCAGAGTGGCGACTACCTCCAGGTAATAATTGGGAGTGAGAGGCTTAGAATGATTCAATACTGACTTTGTGACATAGCGATTCTGGGTGGTCCATTGGTAACCATCGGTCTCTTCATCTTTGCCTGGACGATCTACTCTGATGTGCACTGGATTGCTCCGATCATAGGTAGTGGCGTGTTCGGAATAGGGTATGTTCACCTGACATTGAATCAGCTCCAGTCGGCCCTCAAATCTATTTCTTGGTGCTAATAGTTCGCGCTACTACCAGAATGTTGCTTGTGTTCTCAGGTGTCTTCACATTCTTAGTGGACGCATATCCAATGTTCGCTGCAAGTGCACTGGCGGCAAATAGTTTCATGCGGTCTTCCTTTGGAGGCATCTTTCCCCTGTTTGGAATCCAGAGTAAGTCACGTTCCACTACTGTTTTCAATTTTATACAACCGGTGTCAAGGGTCTGTGCTGTGCAGGTGGTGCAGACTTGCATGATGGCTGCGTCGTGTTCCTAAGCAGCCTTTGAAATTGGAAGATGAGCATTGTTGAAAAACTGTCCAGAACAGATCGCTGCTAACGGCTTCATAGTGTATGACAAGCTTGGGTTCCATTGGGCCACATCATTACTAGCATTTTTGACATTAATCATGGCACCTTTCCCGTAAGTGTTAATATCCTCGACGCTCCCATTTTTTCCTATCCCTGTTTGCCCGCGCTATGGCCTATGAACCTCCTTTTCCCCTGCATGTAAAAATCTCAAGAAGTTGACCCTATGGGAGAGCCAAGTTTCACCTAGCTGCATGCGACCATAGTCACCACCCAAACCACCACATACCCTCCACCAAGATTCCGCTGAGAATCCTACTGATATCAGAGATAGGTACATCTTCTTCAAGTATGGAAGTCACCTTCGCCAGAAGAGCCGCTTTACAAAAACCAATTCGTGATCTCGTATTCCACTATATCAGATATTCACGAAATAGCTCTTACGTTATACATCAAGCCGGTCTAACAGCTCTTTCCTGCATACTGCACAGTTTTAGTGGCAAGTTTATATTCTTTTTCTCCCAGCTTGTCATTTATGCTACCCTGTGAGCCTGTGACGAGGATATTTGAGACTGGATGTCAACTGATCTATGTGTCAGCCCTCATCAGGACTAGTACTCCAAAATTTTTTGCTGTTGTCCTCCAGGGCTAGCTGTAGATTTAGTTTTAATTACAATGCACATGACGGAGAGAACGTTTCAAGGTTCTAACCTTGAAATATGGTACATACTCACATTGATCTGTCTATATCTTTTTCATTTGCCTTCATGGTTACCTATTCATCCAGGGCTGCCTATGTACTCATGCACGTACCTAGGTGTTCTCTAGCTGGAATAATAATTAGGTTGAAACTACCCAGGTATACCTAAGCAGTAATCGTTTATAAGATTCAAAGAGCCCTGGAGAACCCTGGGAATGAATACGAATCCTCGGCATTTGCATCGAGCCCAGATTCTAATTCTCCGTAGTCACTGGCCCTCTTAGGCCAGTTGCAAAAAAAAAAAAAAAAAGAATGTAGATTTGGACTTGATCTTGATACTTTTCAAGTATTTTTTCAACTCAAGTACCTAGGTAACTCTTCAAATGCCAAGTTCTCCAATGATCTACTCTAACCGAGGGTGTATGGAAGTATAAAAACATCAATTCCCGGAATTAAGCGGGACCGGCAGAGATCCGCATCTGTCAGGCACTGAGGCATTAAAATTCAAGGCCCATGTAATTCCACACGTGCGTTATTTCCTTACCTATTAGTTGTGGGGGATATTCGATCTGCCAATAGATGCGGCTAAGTAGTGGAAGTATTGAGGTATTGAAGTATTGTTCTGGCCGCCATAAGCCTGTATGCCGTACGTCAGCATGTGAGAATAATGAGGATTAAATCACTCATTGTAGATCGACTTACTATATAGAACTTCAAGGATATCAAATTTAAAATTGCTACATGACCTTGCTTATGATATTCCAATATCAGTAATTATTACGTTACTCAAAGTATCGTCCAGATCCAGCCTTACGAAGCGAGACGAGGCTATAACTAGCAGGATTAGCCACTATAAGTCCCCACACTTCTCCATACGAAAAAACTGGAAATAAAATTCTACAAAAACGCAGTTGCAGCCGATACAGAAGAATAGTTATACGGAAGTGTTCCCTTTTGAAGAAATTAGCCCGGTTGAAATCTCGTCTGCTCCAAGAACTTCAATACCTCATACCTCAATACAATACTTGAAGTCACGGGAACACATTCCATCCAAACTTTCATCTCCAAACTTCCTCCAAGGTTCTCTTCTTCCATCATTTAAATTTTCCAATAATTTGATCTCTGAGATCAGTGCATCTTGCAAGAATTCTACTGTTACTTTTTTTTGGACTGAGCTTCAACTTCCGTCTTCCCCGCAGCCGAAGAAGTCTGCCGCCTCTCCACTCCCAACTTCAGCTGCATCCGAAACCGTTGCGGCATTTTCCTCATCTCCGCCTATCGTCTATCCCCTTGCTTTCTACCCCTATAAAAATTGATATCACCCTTCAATGTGTCGGATCTCTGCGATTTCCAAGGTTCGCTATACCTCGAGTCGATTGTCCCCCGTTACACCCGTGACTCGACCAGGCACTCTTCCATTCGCCCGGTAATAATCGCGCACGCGCTACTATAAGAACGACAGAATACCAGGCTATATTAGGCGATATAGGCGCACCAAGGGGCTAGACAACCTTCATTTCCGACTTCTTCGCTGAATTCAAGTCAGGTCTAATTGCGCAATACGTGGATCCCGCCAAAACGATTCGGGTCGAATTTGCGCCCATGCTACCGCCATCACGACATTTTAGATTTTGAGATCGAAAACGAGAACGCGCAATTCTTTTGGATATTGGTCCGCAGTAATTATCTTATAATTTGCGACGCGTTATAGGTCGAAATTGAAAAGTACTTTTTCCCCTCGACCTTGCAGGATACATGCCGAAATGATGGACGCCAAGAACGGTTCTCCGGCTTCAGGAGATCTAAGTGGAGGAGATCAAGACTCTGCCGACATCACCGAACATTCGGAGCATTTAGATAATGCCAAGGATAGGATCAATGGCGACGGTGGTAAAGAGAATGGGCGTAAAGCTTCCAATGCCAAGGATCCCTCGCGGCCGCGTCGCAAAAAGGCCCGACGAGCTTGTTTTGCTTGTCAGAGAGCTCATCTAACTTGCGGTATGTATTCTGGTCTGTGTCTACATTGGAAATTGAAACTTCTCTAATACGTGTATTTCATATCTCAGGGGACGAACGGCCTTGTCAGCGCTGCATCAAGCGCGGGTTACAGGATGCATGCCACGATGGTGTGCGCAAGAAGGCCAAGTATCTTCACGATGCCCCAGATGGGGCATTAATGCCCGGCGTTAGTGGGAATTTTTACAATAGTCCTGTACCCAATAATATGCCGGTTCCAAGGAATGGTACCACGGCCAACACCTCACAACAGCAACAACAACAGCAGCAGTCAAACAGGAATTTTTACCCCACATCCCAGACCCAGCCACAATCGCAATCACAACCGCAACCACAAGGGCAACCGCAACCGCAACCACAGCCGGGATCATATAACATGTATCAAGAACCTACCATGAGCCAGAGCCCCTTTGCAACGCAGTCTCCTGTTTCGCCTACCTTTAATTTGAAAACAAACCACAATGGAAGGACCTCCAGCTTTTCTTCCACAGCAAACCAGCAACAGCCCACTCCCAGCACGGCTCTCTCGGGCGAGACTAGTCAGCCACCCAATCCCTTTGCGGGGCCATTTTTCGACCCCAGCGACCCTGCATTGTTTAACTTTGATCTTTCAAGCATGAACTTTGAAAATCGTTACGGAGCTCTTGAATTTGGCATGCTGGGTCACATGGCTACCGGGGCTGGAGATTCACCAGACTCGGGAACGCAGCGAGGATCTATCGGTCATAGTGGGCAGACCCACTTCTCCACACCCGCTGCTGGATTTGGGGAAAGTCCGGGGAATCAACAGCCGTTCATGTTTGGCGATCCATTGCTCAATGAGTGGTCTACAGGGCAGGCTCCTGGCCAGCCGCATGTGAACGTCGGTGGGGTGTATGCTCAGAATGGTTTGTTACATGGACACATGAAAGCAGATGGACCACATGCCTTTGCTATTGAGAGTAATCCTGCCAATTTTAACAGCCCTGGTTCAGCGGCCAGTCCACATGTGACAACATCCGGGTTTGAAGACAACTTCAATGCGGCGGCCAAACCAAATAGTCTTCCCCCGAATGGGCAGCGACATGTAATTACCACACCAAGTCTCAAACAACAGACGTTACAAGTCGGCCACAAGCGACGACACCGGAATCCTTCTTCCATATATGAGAACGTCAAGGAGCCATATGCCTACACAAGTCGGTTCCACAGCCTTACCGCTTACATTCAGCGTCGCTTCTCGCCACAGAAGACTGTGCGAATTGCTAAGGCACTTGCATCTATTCGACCGTCATTCATTGCGACAACCAAGACTCTGAACAGGGACGATCTAATATTCATGGAAAAATGTTTCCAACGGACATTATGGGAATATGAGGATTTCATCAACGCATGTGGCACTCCAACTATTGTCTGTCGCCGCACTGGAGAGATCGCCGCGGTGGGCAAGGAATTTAGCATCCTGACCGGGTGGAAGAAGGATGTGCTCTTAGGTAAGGAGCCGAACCTTAATGTCAATACAGGCGGATCATCCGCACCAGGATCTGGTACGACTTCACGCAGCTTTACTCCCCACATATCAACATTGGAAAATGTAAACAACGGGCGTTTGCAACCAGTGTTCCTCGCTGAGCTCTTCGATGACGATAGTGTGGTTGAGTTCTACGAAGACTTTGCGCGATTGGCGTTTGGAGACTCTCGCGGTAGTGTCATGACGAGGTGCAAGCTACTCAAGTACAAGACTAAGGAGGATATGGAGTCGCAGACCGATGAAAAAAGCAAGTGGAACAGCAACCTTCGAAAAGGCGGAATCGCGGGTGAGGCAGGGATGAATCAGCTTGGATTTAAGGACGGTAAAGTTGAATGCGCGTACTGCTGGACAGTCAAACGAGATGTGTTCGATATCCCAATGCTTATCGTGATGAATGTGAGTGAACATGACCGAATATTTTGCGCTGTGCCTTTGACTAACTCAAACCCATGTCTAGTTCTTACCCTGTATTTGATTCCTTGACTCGTGATCTTGAGACACATCGTCTCTTGTTATCCTTGTTAATGGCTTTTCCGTTGTCTTGTCCATTGCTCTTCTTTCTCATACCCTTGACCAGCATATTCATCCTGGTCTATTTTCCCCTTCACCTTTTTCCTTTTCTCTTTGACTTTAACTTTCCTTGTTTCAGGTACATATTCTTCCTCTTCTGGGACTGTATGATTCCCCATTTATTTACTATCCCTGTCGCGTACATACATGCGGAGTTTTTTTTTTTTTTTTTTTACGTTGGTTTGATTTTTGGGGGCCCCGTTGAAGTTCATGCGGCGCTCAAAAGGAACAAAATTATGACTTGTCTGGGTGGTAATTGATGATATCCATGAGATATAATGCCATTTGATAGTTTGACGTCCACTTTATTATTCATTACCTAGTAAATGGTAGATACCTTGGGGAAATGGGTAAAGAGATTAGTCGAATGCTCCTATCAACCTCTAGGACTTCAATATTGAATAGCTCAAGCCTTGTTTTCTTAGGAATATTTTGGATAACTTAATCCATTCTGTACTAACTTCAGCTCTCATGAAAATCAACTGTTCCATGGCTATGTTATGATAACTTTCAAAGAAGAGAAACACTATAAAACACATATATTCTCTCGAGAATACATATTTACCGCTTTTTAATGCTGACATCGATGTTGCCGATGAACCATGTAGCCACAAAGACAGTAAGCAAACCACCAAAGATGGTGAGCGGTTTGCGCAGAGCATCAATGAAGGAGTGGTCATAGGTCACCTAGTGATTTTGATCAGTATGTTACTAGAGGATATACGAAAAGGGTAAAATAGGAGATAAAACATACCACAATCTGGGCATCGCGCGCCTCGTCCGTCAACTGATTAACCTTCAGGGTTAATGTAGTCCGGCCAATGGTATCCATGTATGTTTTGAAAGTGGAGATACTCTCATCAACGAAGATCTTTGAAGGGAGACCGTTGCCTGAAGCGCCCTCGACAAATTCCCAGCGAAGGTTGTGCGCACCCTCTGGCAGAACAATACGAACAACAACACGCTCGTATTGGATTCCTTCGTTCATCTTGGGACCGTTAAGGAATGGAACCTTGAGAACCCACGAGTCAGTACCAGCGGCTTTGCGCAGGAACTGAGCCAAATCGTTGTTCCAGCCGACGCGGAAGCTATAATTCCAGCCACCGAAGATCGGGTAGCGGGGTTTCAGTTCCAAGTTCGCAGCGGACTTGCCGTTGCCCGGGCGGTAGCGGCTGGTTGAGACGTTGCCAATATCATCGGTGAAGTATGGGTCTACCGAACCGGCAGGCAGAGGATAAATGATCTCACGCAGAGCCGAGCTAGGGGCCTTCTGGTAGTTTGCCATAGTCCACTGGACACGGGAGAATTGGTTAGACAGCTGAGAGCCATTGTTACGCAGCCAGTACCGCTCCTCCGTAGCCAAGTTGCCGCCCCAGTGAGAAACTTCAATGTCGCGCTCGAGAAGGTGGGCTGTAATCACGGGTTTTGTGAATTCATAGCGCACAGTAATCGGGTACTCGGTACCTGGTGCCACCTTGGCCGTGTCGTAAGGACCATACGTGTATGTGGCACCCTTGCGCTCCGGGTCAGCGCCAGATTTGAGGCCGGAGGTTGTGGTGTAATCGGGGACGTTGGTGCTAGGGAGCTTCAACTTGGTCTTTTGCGTGACGGTTTCGTAAACTGATGGCACATAGGCGTTGAACGAGTAGGTAAGGTATTGCTTGTCATTCTGCTCAATGGTAGCGGGACGAGGACTGAGAGATGAGAGGATGGAGTAGGAGACACCCAGGGTGATCTGTGATTTCGGAGCGAGGGGCTCAGGAAGCTCAACGACGAAGAACTTGGGGCCGCTGTTTTTGAGTCGGAAGGATTAGCACTTATTGAAAAACCACCATTGGCATTCATAATTGCAAAATCACCTTGATGATATGATTTCAGCTTTAGAAATCTTCAATCGCCCTTTCTCTGGTGCCTTTTTGTCGCGGACTTCAAAGCCTCCGACATGGCCGAACACTTCTGACGGGAAGGGAATATAGTATGAGCTCTGCGGCTCTTTGTCGATGTTCTCAACGACGAGATTGACAGTCTCCCGAACGTAGCCCTTCTCCAAATTTGTACTCCGAACAAGATTGGTGTTCTTGAAAACCTGTGGAATTTTGTGGTCAGGAGGAAAGCCGTAAGAAGTCACCTCAACCTCAAGATCAGTTGACGCGGAAACCAAACTGGGCACAAGCAGGCCGAGCATGGTGGCGGTGAAGAACCTCATAGTGCCGGAGGATATCACGCCGGAGCTCTGAAAATCTCCAGGTAGTAATTGGGGTGGTCGTCAGGAGGAGGAGCTTGATGATAAGTTGGTCGGACGAAGCTGATGAGGTGTCCCCATTGTATACGCGCGTAGCGGCCACTAGGCACACTCCGCTTTTCTTATCGATAACAGCTTCTCTCCATCTCTACTTGATCTACGTCGTTTGACATTCAATCCGGTCGCCATAATGCTCGCTTTCAGGGCTACAATTCGAAATGTCTACCGGAGAACACATCTGCCTCGGGTTCGCGAATTGCATGGCCTTCATAGCTCTCAAAGCAAATTCCTGAAGGTCTCAGAAGAAGTCCGTGATGCCGTCGCAACAGGCAAACCGGTTGTCGCTCTCGAGACCACCATTTATACCCATGGTAAGCTATTTAGGTACCATTGGATGGATAGCAGAAGTATAGCCTAAGCTTACTGGGACCTAGGGTTTCCATACCCTGAGAATATTGCCCTAGCGACGCTACTGGAGTCTGTCGTCCGAGCCAATGGCGGAGTCCCCGCAACTGTAGGTATACTTGGTGGCGTTGCGCAGGTTGGTATGAGTGCAGACGAGATTGTTGAACTGGCCTCGACAGCAGAAAATAAATCTGCGTTGAAAGTCTCCCGAAGGGACTTAGGATACATCTGTGGCATGGTATTGAACTCCTTCCCTGGAGGCTTAGAATTCGAGTCTAAAATCTTTATAGGGTTTGTCTGGAAAGCCTATCCATGGCGGTACAACGATATCAGGAACGATGATTCTATCGCAGCTTGCTGGTATCAAGATCTTTGGTACTGGTGGACTAGGTAAAGTGTACCAGCATTCTACTTGTAGACCAATTGTTTAACTGGTTCTATAGGTGGAGTTCACCGTGGCGCTGAAAGCTCCATGGATATCTCCGGTAAGTTGCTTTTACCTCAGGAAATTGGACTAGTACTAATGTTACAATGTAGCTGATCTTACGGAGCTTGGGCGGACCCCGGTTACTGTTATTAGTTCTGGATGCAAGAGTTTCTTGGATATTCCCCGTACTCTCGAGTATCTTGAAACCGAGGGTGTCTGTGTGGGTACTTTTGCCGATGGCCGCGAAGGGTTTGTGGATTTCCCAGCTTTCTATACTCGAGATAGCGGTGTTCGCAGTCCACGGGTGATCCAGAATGAGGCCGAGGCAGCTGCAATAATCTGTTAGTAGTCCCCTCGCTCCACCTCCTGTTTTTGAAACTGACAGGGTACCAGATGCGCAAAACCAGCTCCCAGTCTCGTCTGGGATTCACTTCGCCAATCCTGTGCCGCTGGAGTACTCCATCCCCAAAGCTGAGATGGATGTTGTCATTGCCGAGGCAATCCGCCTTGCAGACGTAGAGGGCTTTAAAGGCAGCGACAACACTCCATTTATACTAGCTAAAATCAAGGAGCTCAGCAACGGGAAGAGTGTGATTGCTAATCGTGCCCTGGTAGAGTCCAACGTCAAACTCGCAACTCGCGTTGCCGTGGAGCTTGCCAAACTCGAGGAACTTGACCGAGGAAATGCGTCTCAGTGAGTCTGGATTTCTAGATACAGAAATGTAATGAATATGCTAAGTATGGAGATTATTCTCTGATTAGACACATGCCTTCACTTCCGAGTGCCACTGAACCAGTGAATACCCAACCAATTTCTGAGCCCGTAAGCACTGCTGCACCTCTTCCATTAGCTGAGAAGGCAAATGTCCTAGTTGCCGGATCCCTTGCAATCGATTTGTCCTGTGACTATACACCATTTGAAGCTGAGCGGGCTCAAGTTACACCTGCACTTAACACTTCCAACCCAGCTACCATTGGCCAGAGTCTTGGTGGCGTGGGCCATAACGTAGCCATTGCAGCCAGCTTTGTTGGAAGCAAGGTTATGTTTTGCAGTGTGGTAGCAGATGATCTGAGCGGTCGAGCGGCTCTTGCATCGCTCGAGAAAGAAGGTCTCAGCAGTACAGGAGTACAAGTTCTCCCTTCAACTTCAGGAACGCGCACAGCACAATACATTGCTATAAACGATGCCAAAAAGGACCTCGTTGTCGCCATGGCTGACATGGGGATCGTTGAGCTACCCGAAAATCAGCTCAACTTTGACGAATTCTGGGAACCGCTGCTCGAACGCACAAAACCTCGATGGGTCGTCGTCGATGCAAACTGGCGCCCAGAAGTCCTGCAAAAATGGATCTCCATTGCCAAAAAACACGGAGCTCGCGTAGCATTTGAACCCGTATCTACTGCCAAAGCTAGCCGCCTGTTTGCTCGTAATGGTAGGAGTGCAGATGGAGCAATTGGTCCCGAGCAAACTGTTCCAAATAACGCTATCAGTCTCGCCTGCCCTAATAGCCTCGAGCTAACATCTATGTATAAAGCTGCACGTGAAGCGCTGCTCTTCGACTCCCCTAGTTGGTGGGCCATTATTGATGCCATGGGCTTGTCTCTAACCGGTTCTCGTCAAAATCTGGTGTACCTGACATCTTCCGCGCTTGTCGATGAAGGCTTACCGCAGCAATCTATTCAACTCCTTCCATTTATCCCATGTATCATTACTAAATTGGGCGAGGCTGGTGCTCTCCTCACCCAGCTTTTACAGCCTGGTGACCCGCGTCTAACGGACCCTGATCATGCGCCGTACATCTTGGCTCGCCACTCGCCGGTATCTGTCGCGCCATTCGGTGGCGTTTATATGCGTCTGTTTCCTCCTGCGTCTAAATTGGCGCCAGAGGACGTTGTCAGTGTCAATGGTGCTGGTGATACTCTGCTTGGTGTGTTGGTGGCTGGTCTGGCAAAGGATGACTCGCCCGATTGTATTGAAAAGATTCTATCAGTTGCACAAGAAGCAAGTCGGAGAACCTTGACCAGCCATGGTGGTGTGAGCAAAGAGCTTGTGGGCTTGCGAGATATCCTGGGCTTATAGGAATGATGTGGGGATGAGAAGTATTTATTGCATTAGAGGTACTTCATTTATTCCAAATTAAAAAGCTTTTTCAATATCAATTTCAACTTTTGGATCCAGGGTTATCGATTGACAGTTATTCTTCGAGAGTGAGCCTCAAGTCCTCATTATAGACCTGCTTCTTCCCAAGGTCCATACCAAGGCTCACATGCGTATACTCGATTGAAAACCCGTGGATTTAACTGACTATCACTTTCATTTTCACTTTCACTTTTACTCTCCTGATTATCATCCATTTCCAGCCCATATACGCCCTATATATAGCCATTTCTCGCTTTTCCTCCCTTAATATTTCTTTTCCGTATATATATCTTCCATCTGCAAGGTCAACTAATCGAGACTTTGAATGTCGCTTAAAATTCTCATGGATATCAAGAGGGCCAACCCCTATGCTCGAGGCTGCTACAGGTTATCACTCGCAGCGACCTCACAAAAGAGTTCGAAATGTATCATTGTGCGACTAAATCGTTGTCATCCATTTTCGAGACTCTCAGAGGGCGATTGTTGACAAGGAACGTCTCGATTTATTTCAATACGAAACTTCTTCACACAACATTTTATTTGGAGACAACTAAAACTAAGTAAGAAATGTTCAGCGAACTTTAGTGAACTCATTCCACGCTCCCGTTCACTGCTCTACCCTAGAGAACAACATCATATTCACTGACATTTTCAAGGAATGTTTCTAGAGGATCTGCCACCGCCATGAGATGGGGAATTACTTTCAAAGACTTATACGGAGCCAAGTAGAAGTTTGCAATCGTGAATTTGAAGAACCATCGCGAACATGTATACAATTCACATGCCAATAATCACGGTCCAGGCTCATTACAGTTTTGATATCCGAATGGCTAATCGGGAGGACCGATTTGATATGTGGGAGGCCAGATTAATCCAACCGTGTAAAGATCGGCACGATCGGCAGAGAATGGGTGGAGAAGTAGTCATTGTTCCAGAAGAAGCAATTGCAGAGTTGGAACAGCTATAAGCACTCACTTACTAGCTAGTCTAAGTCAAAGTAATTGGTATAGGTTGAAATAATCTTCTGCCATCTTGTTTTCTTATTCCCTTCTTCCCACCTTCCTTATACTACGGAGTAAATAGTTGTACGACTACTTCTTCCCGAGGTCCATACATGGGTAGGTACCTGGGTATGATGGGGCAAGGCAATGTAAGAGTTTATCAAGACCGCAGTTATAGCTATACCGACTACGACGTCTAAAAGATGTATCTATTCTACTAAAATGCTCGTATATATACACGTGCCTTTCCAAGCTTTCACTTCGAACTAAAAGCTCACCAACCACTTCCGATCCTCGTTGTCCTGTTGTGAGGCTTGTCCATCCTCAACCAAGTACTTTTGATACGCTTTTCTGAGCAGACTCATTCGCGCAACCTCACAATCCAGCCGAATATCCTCGATCAGTGCGTCCAACGAGACATAGTCGAATTCCGGACGGATATAGCCCAAGATCAAAAGCTTGAGCTCTGTACCATAGAAGTCAGGGAGACGGTTGAACTTAGGTTGCGTAACTGCAGTTGGAGAGGGCTGTGTAAGAGGAGGCATGATATGAATTTCCTAGAAAGAAAAATGGACACGTGAGCAGCAGTTCTTGATAATGAGTGGGATATCGAAGTACTTACCACTGATCGAACAGTATTCTTATAGAATGGGTTGTATCCAATACTCAAAACTGCTGGAAGAACGGTCTCTCCTGTTGATTCACCCTCATAGGCAAAGTTCTTAGGGTCTAGTGCTACCACGCCATAGTAGACTCCTGTTGTCAGATCAGGATGCTTCTCGGAAAGATCATCGGCGGGAATGTTGGCTGTGGGGATCCCCAACTGTAAGGATATATGTTAGCTCAGGGTTATGGTACGATAGTGATATTTCCATGGACATACATCCTTGCTTCCACGGCCAAAGCCCTTGATCACCGGGCCAGACAATCGTATCGGGTAGGGAGCCTCCGGGCCTGAGGCCGGACCAGCGACTGGATCGCGGGGAGTATCGGGTCGCATTATTAAAGGCTGTTTAGGCGCCTGCAAGTTCGATCGCAAGTGGTAATCCAAGAGAGTAGAGGGACTGTGTGGGTTCCTCTGAGGATGGGTGGGAGGGCGTTGGTGCGACTGAGGAGGCTTTATCGGAGAAAACTCAAATATTGATAATCAACGAGACCTGCACCAAACTCGGAGCGAAAAGACGGATACAAGGGTTGTAGATGTTTCTGCACTTAGAGAGACGAGGAGGCGGGTATGGCGGGGCTATCGATAAGCATTGGTCTTATCTTCACATCAGAATTATTCCTCTATGGTGTGATATTTCCCTCGACTTAATCATTGTCTGTTAGGGTGATGCAATTAATAATGCCTCCGTAGCTCTATCTCAAGTCTGATAAGGGCTTGAAGCTCGCGTGAATGAGCTGTCAGTTACATTTCAAGGACTATCACTCGCAAATCTACTAATATGCTGCTCTGGGATGTCTGTTCTTGTCCATCTCAGAAACAGAGAGTCCCACCATGGCATTGACGACATTCAAGAGTAAAGTCCTGAAGCTCATGACTAGTCTGAACATACACATCCGGACTCAGCCAATTATACGCTTCACCTTTATCAAGTTTATGGTATCAATTCTACCTAGGTAGTAGGGTTCAGTCAGAGGCAGCTCAACGGACCTCTGGAGACCTGTATAAGCCATACTCTGGCAGCTTTAGGACAACTTGAACATTGAAAAGCAGTAGTCAAGTCTCAAGACGGCCAGGCCAAGCAACGGCATCGGAGATGAGATCTTTCCGGCAGCGGCCCGAGCCGAGTAATCGGATTAAAAGTCGATAAGTATTTTGGACAACGAACAGTTTCGCCAAATATTGTGCTCAACAATACTCACGGACCTAGCCAGCACCTAGAGATGGCCAGTTTCTCAGCTCATGATACCATTGGAGGTGCTTTGGGCTGGGCAGTTCACCGGCAGATCAATCATCCTGGAGTTTTTGATATGCAGATGTATGTGATCAGTATAGCTCTCTACTAGGGTATGCAAGTGAAGGCTGGCTAAAAGGTGAGATTTTGAACAGGAAAAATTAGGAAACATTACCTGGACAAAGGAGTATTCATACCTCGGGTGCCTGCCCAGATGTACGTACAGATCTTATCTCTTCAATTTTGAACATGACGACACCCCATGAATTACTCCTCACTATACTTGAATATTATTGCCCCTTCAAGGCTTCCGAACTATAGAATCTTCCCTACCCCATATCTTTCCTGCTCATCCTCTTTCTTCTTCGTTAACCTCCTATGCATGAATGGAGCAGGCACTTCTAGATTCAACCAAAATCCTCTTTTAGATTGATTTCACTCTCTATTTTCTAAGGAGAAACGGATGATTTTCATCTTCCTAGGGGGATCATTATCTAAGCCCAGACTTTAATTGACTCCAGCAGTTGATATTCTACATCTTCAGTTGGCTTTTCCAGATTTAGAATAGATATTGAATATATGAATTCCAAAACTGACTCAGGACTTCCACCTACTAGATTGCACAGATATGAGCATATTACTTATCATGGCAGAAATGATCGCCATGTAGACTAAAGCAAAAATAGTCTTCAGCTGCATTAAGTCTCACATGGAGCCCTTTTGCTCCACCGATCTTACTCTGTGCCTCGTAAGCGATATAGCTACATCTTCCCCCCTTTTCTTTCCCACTTTCTTTCCTCTTCCTTTCTTTCTTCATCATGCTTAGTGCCAGGGGTTTTGATAGAGTCTAAGCCAGACCCTGTTTTTCCTAATATCTCCATATCTGTATTAGTGAAGAATATTCTGAGATTCATCCACGTCCGATGGAAGCTATCATATTTTATCACTCTTATACTTTTTCATTGCTTGATAGCCCATGTTCCCTTGCTGGCTGCAGATAGAGAAGAAAGAGTGCTGCAAATATGAGATTTATAGATTTATCACGACATCAATGGCTTTCTTTTTATGCAAAAGGTTTATTCCAGAGCTCTTGGTATTCTTTTTGTATTCGCAACTCTTAAACTTCACCTTAGCATAATCCGATTGTAATTGTTGAGAATTGAATCTTGGATTAGTTGCATGTTATTCCCATTACGATATCATGTGGGTATATATACGTATCAGATTCAAATGTCGGCAATGAAGAACTCTCCATGGATTATGGGATACCTGCTGATTTCTTCCAAGATAAACGTGAACCCGAAGTAATTAAAAATTCCCATCCATGTAACCAGCACCAGGAACCACCTAGTCACCATTTATTATGCTATTTCGAATGCCAGAACTCCAGGCGCCTTGCAAGGAAAAGAAGTGAATAGAAAAATTAAAGAACTCGATGGGAATCAATTTTGTCCATCTTCGAATTTGCGCTTGACACCATTTCCATTCATGGATTGTGGCATACCACGCGCCTTGCGCTTGCGCTCTTCCTCTTCAGCAGCCATTTGAGCCTGACGCTTCTTCCAGGCGTTTTTGATGACGGGAGCAAGACGAATGAGGTCCTCCTCTGTAACCCGATCCTCGATACTTTCGAGAACCTTCTCGACTGTAGTGATATAATTTGCGTCAACTTTATCGTCGCGCAGGCGGTGGAAGCGCCACCGATTGTGCTCATCCTGATAGCACTCAACGATGGAATCGTCAAGTGGAACTTTTAGAGCCTTCATATCCTCCCATTCGGCCGGGGTGACGTACATCTCGCCCCAATCACGGTACTTGTTATCATTGATTGCAACGAACAGGTGGAAGATGGGCATGGCTTCGTAATCGACGAAAGGCTCTGAAACGCCCTCAGCCTCGTCATCGGAGTCAGGCTCTAAAACCGGGAACTCGAGACGCATGCGAAAATCAACGGTGTTCTCGGACGGAGGCTTCCATTTGAGGATATGTTCGTCTGTTCCGTTGCGGTAGGGTGTGCTGCGGCAGGTGAAAATCAAGCCGTCATTGCCATGAATACACTTGACTTTGGGGATGATATCGCGGAACATCATCTCAATGCCGTAACTGAACTGGGTGGACTTGTCTTCGACAGCGAAAGCACGGTGCTGCTTCTCTTCGGGGAATTTCCGGTACATGGCGTTGTATGGCTTCAAAACCTTCTCTTTAAAGTATGCGAGTCTCTTATCAAGAGTGCGATGCATAAGACTTTGACCATCTAGTACTAGGCAGTCGAAAACCAAGTACTTCAGCTGTTGGGTCCCATCCTCAAAAGTATCATTGACCAACTCCCCATCCACCAAGGTGTCAACGTGGTACGACTGAAAAGTATCGTCGCCCGGAAGAGGAAAATGCAGGTGCGGTACGTAGCGATAGTCATTCTTGCGATCAATAAGGTAGTGGATTTCAGGCATGTCGGAGTCTGGATCACCTCGCGCAAAGTACATTAGACATCGGATACCGTCTGTCTTCTCGCAAACGTAATAATCTCGTTGTTGAAGCTCTGTAAGATGTTTCCGGGAAAAGCTGACTGGCTGTGCACCAGGGAAATTGAGATTAGTGCGCCCGAGGAGCTTAGCGACTTCGTGACGGAATTGGTCTGCTAGCTCGGGCCCAGCTTTGATGCCCAGCGAGTCGAGATCAGGCACAGAATTGCTCATGTTGAAGTGCTGTTGTATGCCGTATAGGTTCAAGGAGTTTGGAGCTCGGAGCTCTGAGCTACTTCGTTGGTGGGCTGGAGAAGGTTGCGAGGGGAAGATGCCAGTTGAAGGTGTTCGCGAGGGGCGACACGCCCATAAAATGAGGTTGTCAGTTGCAAGCAGCTGTCCACGCTGAACCAAAATAGCAATTGGGCTCAAGAGAGCTTTAAATTCTGACGCGCATGGGATCTGAGGAAGACAATGAACAATTAGCGGGTACCAATGATCGTCGCCTAAGGCATCGAATAACGTAAGCATTTGGTGCTGCAATTATTTAGTATTAATACTCCGTACCAAATACTTGAATCTTGAAGTAGTTATTCTGAGTTACCTATCAACTGGAAAATTATCCATATAAGCCTCAAACAAAGAGAAAGTATTTCATTCAAGCTACTTTCTGTGCGAAATTTATTACGCCAGCTGCCGGGGTATCAAAGTTCATCGCCAAATTAAAGGAATAAGAGTCGTTAGATCGTGAGATCATTAAAAATATAAAGCCACTCAACCAGTAGCAGCAGGGACCTTTCGTGCGCCCTGTACTGAAGTTCGCTTTGCTCCATCCATGCCAACATTGACAATGGAAGCATCCACGGGTTCAGTAGAGGGGAGCATAGGCGACGACGTAGCCACATCCTCAAAGGACGAAAAAAGGCCACCGAACAGAGGTTGGTTGTCATCCGGAGCACCAAAAAGGCCACCACCACGTCCTCCAATAGCATGAAGCATCTGCTCCTTAATACGGACATATCGATACTTGGTTCGCGTGCTGATAAGAGTATGTTCGACTATGGGTTTCGGATTAGAGCGGACAATAGCGGCCATGACTGAGTCTCTTTCCTCGTCAGAGTCAACGGGTCCATTTGTGTCAATCTCGTCTTGCAATGGAGCATTTGCATCGATAGCGGCCTCTGTTGGGAATCCTTGTTAGCCATCTATAATTTCACAGGAACTTTCCACACGATACCCCCCTCTGTAGGGGGTATCTCGATCTCATTTTGGGATAGGTCATTTGACATACTTTGCTGTCGTGCTTGATTCTTCTTCTGATACTGCTGAAGCAGCATGTCGTAGGGCAAAGAGCGGCCGGGGACAGCACGCTTGGCGCCCATGGAATGACTCTTGCAAGTCAGAGAGCGCGCGCACCGAGCACCGTTAGCCAAAGTAACACCACACTGCTTCTCTACGTCAACGGGACCCTTTGGTTTAGCAGACTTGGTCTTGGGTTCGTCCTTCTTCTTTTTCTTCTTAGGCTCCTTGTCGTCGTCATCGGCCTTGCGCTTCTTTCCCTTCCTAGTGGGGTCATCGGGGTCGACGGCGCTCTTCTTCGCGCTCTTCTGACCTTTCACGGTCTCATCGCCCACGTTGTCTGCCTTGTCACGGAAATCTTCTTCGTCCTTGTCACCTGTCTTTGCGCGATTGGCTGCATCGCGGATCTCTTTCTTCTTGCGCGCCTTCTCCTGCTTTGCCTTCAAGCAGCCGCGGATATGGTCGAGGGAGATCTGTTTCAGGGTAGGACGCTTGCAGTGCTTGCAGATGATAGTTTCGAGAAGGTCATCTTCGCGAGGACGACCGGTTGGGAACAACCGAGCAAGTTTGTCGCTCACTTTCGGAAGGGGCGAGGCGGTGGGTGAGGTATCGAAAGGAGCATCTTTTGTGTCTAAAAGTAAAATTAGTCTTGGATTCTAGACATTACACACCAAGTGTGATGCAAAACATACCGTCTGTTTTTTTCTTAGCTTTCGAGGTTTTTTTAACCTTCATCTTTCCCGGCTTGGTGTCTTTCTCGCTAAACTTGTAACCAGATGCATTCACCAGGGATCCTGAAGCTGTGAATCAGCAGTGTTAGCTCATGTTCGCATATCTGCAAGTCGGCGACATTGGCTGCTTGATTTTGACATGGAATTTTCCCTAGCAAATGAGCGCAGCCAGTGCCTCTAGCTCTTTTGGCAAAGAGTAACCCATCTCGTCGCAACATAGGCTTGAAAGACGCGCTTTCAACTTGATCAAGTGACACTTACCTCGATAAGAATCCCCGTTTGTCGCCATTGTGGGATTGCTGGGGAGCCAAGTCTAGACGATTCAGCTCCGTGGATATTCTTAAAGGTTGATTAATAATGGTTGAAAGAAGGTGTGTGGAAGGACTCGCGTTTTAGTCTGTGGTTCAAGACCCCCGGGTTGGGCTCCGCAATAGGACGAATACTAGTCACGTGTATTCGAGATTAAGTGGATCTAGTTATCCTATCACGTGATGTGTTTGAAGTATGAATTTAGAAGTCTAGATGAAATGTGTTTTTGATACCTGAGCTGATTGAGTGTTTTACAAAGTACTCCCGTAGAATAAAGAGTAGCAGATATCGCGTAAATTAGGACATGATATTATACAAAGTCGTATGAGTGCTTTAATTGCCATGTCGAACGAAACAGAGACTGCTATTAGTCCCTCCAAAACCGAAGCTATTCGTCAAAGCAACGTTGACCTGATGAGATTGGGCATATTTTGGAATATAGTTGCAATCAAATCCATCTCCTAGGCGATCCAAATTGAGAGTAGGCGGCATGACATTCTAACAGAGTTAGCATCCGAAGGCATTATTCATCCAAATCAATATCAAACTTACATCTTGAATGGCAAGAACACTAAACACTGCTTCCAAAGCACCAGCACCTCCAAGAAGATGCCCCACGGCACCTTTGGTACTACTGACATTGACGTCAGCAGGTTTTTCTTTGCCCTCTGGACCAAGAAGAAGGGACTTGATAGCAGCATTTTCAGCAGCATCACCAACGACAGTTGATGTAGCATGCGCATTAACATAATCAATAGCCGAAGGAGGGATCTGAGCTTGCTTTAGAGCCCTTTTCATAGCTAGGAAAGCACCCTGGCCATTCTCCTTGGGTGCTGTTATATGGTGAGCATCGCCAGAGCAGCCATAGCCCTTGAGCTCAGCATAGATATGAGCACCTCTAGAGCGTGCGTGTTCAAGTTCCTGGAACTTGTTAATCATAGATTATGGAGCTGGTGATGCAAAGACGTACCTCGAGAACCAGTACAGCTGCACCTTCTCCAACGACGAAACCGCGGCGGTCAGCATCGAATGGTCGAGATGCATTTTTTGGATCGTCGTTGTAGTCGGTAGCTAAACTTCGGGCTCGAGAAAAGCCCCCGATTGCTAGGGGATGGATACAGGACTCGGCGCCACCGGCGACCATCACATTAGCATCGCCACAGGCAATAAACCGTGCTGCATCTCCGATTGAATGGGCACCTGTAGTGCAAGCAGTCGTCGCGGCATGGTTCGGACCCTGATATTAAATCAGCGGGGGATGCAATAACTAGCGGTAAAAGACACAGGCCTTACCATCAATCCATACTTGATGGAGATATGACCAGCTCCAAGGTTGATGAGAAGTTTCGGTACGAAGAGAGGATTAACCTTTTTATAGCCCTGCTCTAGCTGGTCAATTGAATTCATGAGAAGTAAAAAAGATGAAGACTCACGCCTTTCTCATATGCGACCACCGTGTTATAGATTTCTTCAAAGTTGCCAATGCCAGAGCCAAGACAAATTCCCTGGTGATGATCAGCGACTCATAAAACTCATTGTACCTAAGTAGTCACTCAATTCATACCGTGGCTTCTTTCTGCTCGAATGAAGTCGGCTTCCATCCAGCATCTTCCAAGGCCTGTTCCGTAGCAGCCATGGCATACTGAGCAAACAGGGCCATCTTGCGCTCTTCCTAAAAAATATATTAGTACATAGGTATACACAATACAATAGTACATCATATTTCAAAGTGAAAAAAAAACATTACTCACACCACGATTCAACCATTCAGAAGCCGCCCATCCACCATCTTCAGGAGAGGACTGTGTAGGAACAACGGCAGCAATCTGACACGGCTGCTCTGCAAAGCGTGCATCACGATGATTCACATTGATAATACCACAATGGCCATCGAGCAACCGTTTCCAGGTTCGCCGAACGCCTGCGACAAATTAGCAATAGTCCCGCACACACTGCAAGTGGCCTGTTTTCTATCTGCATAGAAAGTATAGAAGGAACCCGAGGTGTCAAGACCTTTCTCTTCCGGAGAAAGTGGAGATCAAGAACTCACGCCAACGTTTTCTTGGAGCTTCGAGCTTATGACAGATCGAGCATTCTCAAATTCGGATATGCATAAATAAAGGGTTACTCACCAACACCTAACGGAGTTACCGCCCCTAAACCCGTCACAACAACGCGACGCATAGCATTGGAGGGAAAAGAACGAGTAGAAGGCTGTCCAGTAATCAGAACGAGGATAAGGTAAAGCGGGTGTTAAGCCGAGAAGGGAAAGTCTGCACGATCCAGCGATCCACGATAAGGTGGCGGGGCCCGTATCTGCTCGTCTTTCCTTCTATAGAAAAGGCCGATTTTCATGGAAATATAAAGCCCTCTATTGAGTCGGGGTTTTCCTCCAACTATTGTTTTGCTTTCCTTGACCTCTTCTGTATTTGGTCATGTCTCTCTTTAAGTCCCTAGTGAGTGTATTGGCGTTGGCCGGTACTGCCGTGTCTTGCGCCCACCATGGAGATGCCGAGGTTGTGCCGGAGCATGAGCGTGAGGAATTGCTGAAGAAATGGGATCAGGAAGTATGTATTTGACTCTAAAGAACAATCGGAAACAAAAGAGAGAGAGAAAAATAGCTTTCTAATTACAATTCTAGTGGTCTTTCTCCGGCATTGCTAGCTTCGCCCACTTGAAGCCTGTCAAGTGTCTGGTCGAACCTTCCGAGCACTACGACATCGCAGTGATTGGCGCTCCTTTTGATACAGCCGTCAGCTACAGACCAGGAGCCCGATTCGGCCCTCGCGCTATCCGCGCCGCCAGCGCACGCCAAATGGCTGGTACCAGCTACAACACGCGCGCAGGAATCAACCCGTACCAGTCATGGGCGAAGATCACCGACTGCGGCGACATCCCCATCACACCTTTCGACAATGGACTCGCAGAGCGACAGATGTACGAAGCATTCCTGGAGCTGGGATCGCGTAAGCCAGTACACCAAGAGCCCAATGGCAAGAACAACATTGGATCGGGACACCCGAAGCTCGTGACTCTGGGTGGGGACCACAGTATTGCGCTGCCGGCGCTGCGGGCACTCTACCAAATCTACCAGAAGCCCATTACCGTGCTGCACTTCGACGCGCACCTGGATACTTGGAATCCAGTTCGCTACTCGGCGTACTGGCAGTCTGAGCAGACGCAATTCAACCACGGCAGTTTCTTCCACAAGGCTAGTCGGGAGGGACTGATCTGCAATTTGACCTCTGCGCATGCCGGTCTGCGAACTCGTCTTACGGGTGTTGATGCTGGTGATTACACCAACCCTGGACCGGAGCAGGGCTTTATCCGCATCCATGCGGATGATATCGATGAGCTTGGTCCTATGGGTGTCGTTGAGACGATCATCCAGCGCATCGGTCTCGATCCCGAACAGCCCGTGTATCTGTCTGTTGATATTGATGTTTTGGACCCTTCCACTGCTCCTGGAACTGGTACCCCTGAGCCTGGTGGTTGGACAACGCGCGAGTTCATCCGTATTCTGCGTGGGTTGGAGAAGTTGAATCTTGTTGGTGCTGACATTGTTGAAGTTTCCCCTGCTTATGATAACAAGGGTGAGACTACTGCTCTTGCTGCCGCACAGGTTGCCTTTGAGATTATTACCAGCATGGTCAAGTCTGGTGCTGATGAGGATCTGGGTGGTTGGTATGGATGGAAGGATGCGGTTGAGGGTGAAGCGAACGTCGAGGAGGTCTCCAAGGATGAACTGTAAGTTAGTACATATATTTATATGAGAACATGATCTGTAGCATGAAAATGAAGAATGGGTGATGTCAACAGTCAAACAAGTGTAATTACTTAGGTAGGTGGGCGTAAGCATAAGAGGTAGCTGTCTGGTTGATAGTCAGGTGATTTGATATTCGACCTATAGACTCGGCTGACTACATTTCAACAACACCACTGAATCATAACTTGTTGGATTTATCACTGATAATCCACGAAAGTGCACAAATCTCAGAAATAGAAGGCCATAACTGCACTAATTGCAGAGCTGTGAAGCTCAATTTGTTATTTCCGAGGTACAGGGGAAAGCAGGGAAACAAGAACAAATGGATCAATATCCAAAAGCACGTCCTGTCCAACGCCGAGGGAGACGATGAGGGGGAAAGCAGCACAGGGAAATAAATATCTGGAGCTGGAAACGACGGAGGTCGCTGTTCGCTGTAGAGAGAGATAGAGAGGTAGAGTGTGTAAAAAGGGGAAGTGCAGAGGAATTATCAGGTCGCCAGGAATAATAAAAAAGGCGGGAAACAGTCCAAGGAAGATTTGCAGGGATTATCGATATGAGCACATCTAAATCAGAAGATGTTGTGATCGAACGGGCTTCACACGATAAATGCAAGCTCATTAAAGTAGACCTAACTGGAAATCCCATCCAGCTTACCCAGTTCCCGTACTTTGCCGCCCAGAGAAGGGGAAAAAAAAGATCAAAAGCAGGTTCATTCCATCGTATCTGTTAAGTCAAGGGCGGTTAACGAACCACCTTGAAAAATAACATTACCGGGTAAATCAACCGGTGAAAAGTATCCATGGCGGATTGTTCACAGAAGGCGACATCCGCGGGACTTCTTCTTCGGGGCTGGCTCTAGAGCAGCCACGATAGCCTATGGGTGGTGAATTAGCGGGAGAGTGGATATAGGGGGCAAATAGTCAGTTGAATCATACCTCATCGAACACATCCTTTAGCTTGTACTGTGTAAGCGCAGAACACTCCACGTACTTGACAGCACCAAGCTCCTTTGCCATACGGTCACCATCCTCCTTCCGGATGGGCTGCATCTTCTGACGAGCCAGCTTCTCACGGACATTTGCTTCATCACGCAAATCGGTCTGGGTGCCAACAATGAGGCAGGGGACACCGGGGCAGTGGTGGTGGACCTCGGGGAACCACTTCTCGCGAACGTTCTCGAAGGAGGCGGGGGAGGTCACGGAGAAGCAAACGAGAAAGACATCGGTCTGAGGGTATGAAAGCGGTCGCAGACGATCGTAATCCTCCTGACCAGCAGTGTCAAATAGTCCAAGTGTGTAGGGCTCATCGCCGATCCTGTAAGTCGAGAGAAAAAAAGAGAAGTTAGTAAATGAGCTTCTATCCGTCCCTTATAGGCTATCGGGGGGAAGTTTGAAAGAGGCGACTTACATCACAGTCACGGCATAGTTGTCGAAAACCGTAGGGACATATTCACTAGGGAATTTGTTGGTAGTGTAGGAAATGAGCAGACAGGTTTTACCCACTGCTCCATCCCCCACTACAACACACCTGGGAAAAAGATTGGGGTTAGCAAAAGGAGGAGCGGGGGCGGGCGCTTCGGGAAGGGGAGAGAGAAATCATGTACTTGATAGTAGCTACAACCATGATGGTTAGAAACAGGAGTTCAAACCGAGATTGAAGATGAAGAGTGGTGGATGCGGGAAGGTGAGAAGATGAGAGTGGAAGAAGAGGTTGTTGGTGGGAGACGAAAAGGGAGGAAGCTGTGGTCTGGATTGAATGGGGCAACCCGCAAAGAATAGAGAGTCTAGACAATGTTAAATCCTGACACACAACCTGATACCAACTATTATCTATTGATAAATATTCCAACTGATCTCTAATTACTAAATAATATATTATATATTATATAGAAATAAATGAGTATATCAGTTGAATAAGTAAATCTTCTCGAGGACGCCAAGGCGGTATCAAAGAACTTCGATGTGACAGCCCGTTTAAGCGCTCCACATATTATATACTACATATTATCGGTTATACCGGTTAATATACCAGTTATGACTGATTATATTCATAAAATACCCTCAGATTGATGATGTCTATCATCTGAATATTCTATTCCAAGTATATTCCTCCCCTTCAACACCTGATTCCTAAATAAATACCCCCTATTCCCGTCCCCATTACATAACTAACGAAAGCCCAAATTCTATAATGTCAGAACGGGGGGTGAAGAGTAAAAGTACGCTAATCTGATTTCTGTTTGTATTCATACACCGACCCCCTATATTCTTTGGGTAGAGAAGATACCTAGAAGTTACTTAGGTTGAACGTCGAGGAAGTGCTTATGATGCTGATACCTTATCAGCTGACTGCCTTATATAGTATTATGTAAGTCTTATAACAGAAACTTTTGAACTCGATCAACCTTGACCTTGGAAGTAACCTTGGATCCTTGGAAGTAGAATATATGTGAAAGGAGAAAAGCCTGCATGACGCGATATGCAGGTACATGCAAGGCAATCTGTCGCAATCTATTACAAACTAGAGTCTAGAGCTTGAAACCATGAGTAAGCTGGCAATAATGCGAAAATACTCAGGATCACTGTACAGGAAATATCAAGGGTGCCCAGGTGTTTGAGATTGGACTTGCATTTTATCACTGTGGATATTAGGTAGCTGTGCGCAAAGGCCGTGGAGAAAATGGCTGAGCTAGTTCCAGACTAGGCGCATTATGTAATATTGAGGATGTCACCTAAAAAAGGATTGCCTTTGTCTAAACTGGCAATTTCCGGGTAGACGCGTCTACGCTGATCTTCAACGCCAAATGCACAATATTCACGGGTTGACCCGATGTATCAAAATCAGGGATTGGTCTATTTCGAATATATCAAAAATACAGGTTGGAGTCTAATTGCAATGCATGAAACAGGGTCGCAAGGGGAAAAGATCAAAACGAAACATCGAGTCAAATAATCGTGGTTCAAATGTTTGCATGGAAAAAATGTTGTAGGGGGTGATGATATCGGAGAAAGACGGTCATATATAGTCGTAGTTTGCATGAAGATAGATGTCGCTGAGGATGGTGTCGGAGAAAAGACCTGAACAGGAAAATCAGGTCAGACATAGTCATAGTTTCGTGTGGTCGTAGTTTCGTGTGGACGTAGTTTCGTGTAGACATAGTTTCGTGTGGACATAGTTTCGTGTGGAAATAGTTTCGTGTGGACATAGTTTCGTGTGGACGCAGTTTCGTGTGGACGTAGTGTTCGTGAGGTTATCATGTAAACGTGAAGGATAAATAGTTCAAGTTCGTTTGTCGTGTTGGATTTCAGAGTGAAGCTCTGATGAAACCAGTGGTGTATCTGTGCTGTCGTCATAACTGCCAGAGGTCATCTTATCAAGTTTGTAATTCTTCATCATGAGACTCAGAGGAATCAATGGCAGCGTGACAAGGACAGCCAAAGTGAGAATCCGAGTCATAGTCTCGTGGTACGCGCGATTGATGGCAATGCGCGTGGGAGATCCCATAGGGTACTCCAGGGCAGTGGTAAGCTTGCCGAAGATTTCACCTGCCTGAGACTTGGTCTCGTCGGGCAGATATAGCAGAAGCTTCTTCGGAATAAGTTGCGACCAAATAGCCCCTGAGATGGCAGCACCAATGGCGCCGCCCATTTCCATTGAGGTCAAAAACATTGCGGTGGCTGCGGCAACTTCTTGAGGACGAGCTGACGCTTGAACACCCAGCTGGACGGGCACATTGACCAAGCCACCTCCACAGCCGATCATTATCTGTATGCCAAGCACCTGCGCGTATGAGGAGGTTTGTTGATTGTACACGAGCATCAGCGCCAGGCCAACAATGTAGACGACGCAGCCGACAGTCACAAAGATTCGATATCGGCCGGTGTATTTGATCAGAATTGATGCAATGAATGCGGCAATGGTCGAGGTAAATGAGAACGTCTGAGTGATGCGCCCAGCAGTGGCGACATCATAGTTCTGAACGACCTGGAGATAGGAGTAGAAATATGGCTGAACAGAGAAATAAAATGCCACTAGGAAGTTGATTAGCAATGATTTCTTGAGATGATCACATCAACATACTGAAGTACCAAAATGCCAGCGCACAGCCCGCGAGAGCAGTTCGCTGTTTGAGAAGGTGCAGGGAAAGCAAAGGCTTGGGTGCAAGTCTCTTGGAAGATTCGTATAGAGGTGTCACGATCAAGAAGAGGAAACCCGAGAATATCATCACAATGATACTCGGGGTTTTCCATCCATTCTTGGAGTGGGCTGCCAGAGTGAGCGGCACCAATATCAGAGTCACTGCAGCAGACAAAAGCGTAAGTCCTCCCACATCCAGGTCATACCAGGTCCGTCGGATGATGCGGAAAAGACTTCTCTTGCGTCTGGGCTTTGATGGCTTGATTAAACGAAGCCTCTGAGCCTTGCGCTGGTTGACAAGCAATGACAGTGCCAGGGGCAGAAATGCGGCAGGTAGAATGATGGTCCACATGCCATAGCCCCATCGCCATGAGCTCGTCCGGAGAACAGCTTCGGCAATGGTCGGTCCAAGCCACACAGTCACCAGAAATGGCAACTCTGGCAAGAGGGCCAGAAAAGCGCGATTTAGCAAATCACTACTATCGGCGATGAAGACCTGTTGCAGAATTTGCAAGCCTGTCGAGCCGGCCGAGTAGAAGATCTGCGCAGAGGCGTATGTTTGAACATTAGTGGAAGCAGCCATCTGTATATACCCCAGGATATATAAAAGAATACTGAGACAAAAGGCCTCAAACCGACCGAAAACATCGGCCACCTTGGCCATAGGAGGTTTAATGACAGCTGCATAACATTTAGTGGATCGACCGGTGGCTTGGTGTAACGCAACACAATCTTACCGTTGACTACATTCTGGACCACGAGAACAGTGGAAATCAATGAATGCTGGCTGAATGCACTTGTAGCATACGCCGACAACGACATAACAGTTTGTCCTTCTAGCGACGTGCAGAATGCCATTAGGAATATACTTTGCGTCAAGTTAGTTCGGCCAGCTTGTATATAGATAGGGGAAGTTCTGCAAGCCACACGAACCTGACATATGCCACAATCAAAGACCGCTTTGTCCAAGTCATATTGATCGCTTCGATTTTTCGAACTCCTTCCTGAGTATCCTCAGCAGTTGAGTCATCGCTCAGTTCCCCTTCACTATCGTCATCTCGTAACAGCTGATCGCGTTCCTGATCTATAGGATACCCAGCTTGTTCAGCATCCATAGTACCGTAAGATAGACCAGTGCGGCCTTTAAAAAGCGGCATCGCCGTGGGTCCGTCGGATGAATTAGTTGATGCTGTTAGAGACCTCTAAAAGGGTTTGTACATAGCACAACAAGACAGACGGCGAAAAAGTCATGAAATGAAACAAATGTTCATGCAGGAAAGAAAACAGTGGGCGTATCACGTAAAGGGGGATGAACCCTGACTCAGAATGTCCTCAGCTCTGGCCTCGGCACACCTACGGAGTAAAGAGGGGCAACTCAGATCCACTGCCAACTTTGCTAATCAATACTGCAGATTGAAAAAAGCAAATACAAGGGATCTGCCACATGTATGGACAGGGCTATGTGAGAAATGTGAGGGCCGCAATAATCGACCTAAATGCTGAAGGTGGGGGAAAGCGGGATAGAGATACAATCCGGAGTAGATCTAAGCCGTCTCTTCAAGTAAGAGAAAGAGGCGCTGACGAGATCTTCCTGATGGAGAGGTCTGCATGAGAGGGTGGACGGGACCCAGTGGAGTAAGCGGGATGTTAGACTAAATTGAGTCGATCGGAGATGGAGGCATTAAAGTAAATAAGCGGGTGACGCGGCAGCAATGATCCATAAATCTGTTGGGCAGAAAAATGACCACAAGTATAAGACATCAGATTGAACATTTCAGCGTTGCACCGGCGTCCAATGATTATATTCCAATTTCCAAAAAAACATGCAATGTTCCATGACCTTCTAAGAGTCCAAATATAGATATTATATTATTTATATAGTCAGGAGTTTACTACGTGTGACTTTTAAGTAGGACAATTGCACTACCCAAGGCACGTGGTTGGGAAACTTTAGGTTTACGCTCAATATGCTTTTTCGAGATTCCAATCTCTAAAATTGACCTCCAGATCTCCGCCTTCTTCAGATGGACGAGCTGCGTATACTCCAACCCAGCACTCCTTCACATTCTCTTCCTGGAACAACCAAGTCACTTCCCGAATAGGCGCCTTCTCCAGTCCATCCACAAGGTATATCCACAGGCTGCCATCCACTTCCTGTGCCATCTCCAGAGTAGCTGCTACACCATTGGAGGGAACAGGAAGTAAACTCCAGTCGGCCCAGCGGTCCTTGGAAACGACACTGATATGCGGCTTGCCGTGGGTGAGTTCGATACCCGCCTTCACCCACTTCTTGGACCCGTCCTCGTAATGGAGTACGATAACGAGACCGCCCTGGTCATACTGATGTTTCCAAGAGGCATTAAAGTCCACACGGACGCGTTTGAACGAATCCAACGGCACTGTCTGGTACAGTATGGGCGCATTAAAGCGAATTGTGGACGGGGGCTTGGCCCAGATGTCTGTGTTGGGACCAGTCTTCAACACGAACTCAAGAGGTGTGGCACCAGGGACCGACTGGTCAGAGTTGGCGATCTTGAAATGCGTCATGGACAATGGTAGGAGTAAAAGTCGGTAAAGAGTCGGGGTGGGGTATTCCGTACGTAAATGATAATGAGTGGAGACTTAACAAAGTGATGTACTCGAAGTATAACGTTTAAAGACTCACATTCGGCAGATGCAGACTATTTAAAAGTTCCAACTGCCAAAGGTACTAACCGGTCCTTACATACGTTTAAATTACACTTCATTACCGGCTCTCGTGTATCAAGGGCCCGATACCCAAATGGTCCAATTCTCCAATTCTCCAATTCTCCAAAATTCTACAACCTTTCTTCTTTTACTGAAAACTCCACCAAAAAAGCTAAAAAATAGTGGGGAAATCGAAGACCGGATCATTAAAGCCCTTGAATTCTCTATACTCAATCGAAACCTAATATCGCGGAAATTGCGCGAGAATTCGTGGACCCTTGCGACTGACTTCTTCGGCGCTAGCATGGTGGAGGAAAATTGTTATTTGAACGACGACCTAGAAGCTATAGGCTTAATTCTACACAGAAATTAGCTCTTTTTGAAAAAATCAACTATGTTGATAAGGTGGAAGTATTAATCAGTCGACAAATTGAAATCACAGCCAATTCGATACTTGAAGAGGCCCATTCAGACACACAAAACCACCATAAATCGGCAAACACTGGCTATAACGGTTCCTTGAACATCTCCCCAAATACTAACGTCGATGTTGACGAGCAATTGATATTGAAAGAAGTCTTGCTCTCAATAAATCTTTGACTAAGACGTTGTTTCAATACTATCCCTTGTCTGGCAACAGGTTGCACTCAGTAGCGCCTTGGCAAAATATAAATTACACGGCCTATCTAGATTATTACTAGTAGTAAAATGTCTATTTACATTCTTCTCGCCAAGGTGTTACCGTACAACATGGAAGTGACACCAACCTGGAAATGACACCAACCTGGAAATGACACCAACCTGGAAATGACACCAACCTGGAAGTGACACCAACCTGGAAATGACACCAACATGAAAATGACACCAACCTGGAAATTAAACCAGCATGGAAATGAGACCGTCATGTATATTCGAAAGTCAGACTGACTAATTAGCTTAACCCTGTTTTGGCGAGCAATCTTTGCAATACAATAAGCATTAACAATAGATATATCAAGAAGCCAATGCAAGATTGGCCACCAAGAGCGTAGAGTCTTCTTATAGCTTGCACGGAGCTGATTCGCCCGATCAAAAGATTTGCCCAAAGATGTCTATAATTCTGACGAAACTGGCCTCCAATTAGTGTCGGACGAGATCAATGGCTTATCATGAAGGAGCCAAAGAAGAACTATTCAATGGTTCTGTCATGAATCGCGTATCTATCACCTAGCTAAAGAATTACCGCGGGGATTTGATCAAACACAAGCTACTCGAGCAGCACATAACGCCCGAGATAAGACTTCTCGTCGCTATGCACGAATTACAGGCACCAGTACCTCCGATCAAGTCAAAAAAACGAAGCTAAAAGAGTATATACTCAGTGAGAAAGCTAATGAAGAGAAGAAATGGCGGAAGTGGAAGAAGGTATTGGTAGAGATCATGAAGCATGGAAGGCTCAAAAAATGTCGTGGGAGTTGATTTCTGTGGTTTTGTCTATAGTTTGGTCACTAATCCATACCTAGGTACCTTTCTTACAAACAGATTATATATTTACTAACTGTAGGTGGTTATATTGAAAGTTGGAAGAATTTGGAAAATTAATTCATCTGCTACGACCTGTAATCATATATGTTGCGTAATACAGGTTGTAAATTGTACTTTATGTAATGTAAGGCGTCTTAGTTAACGTGGATCACCATCTCGCGGGAAACACCAGCACCCGGGAAACTCAACCAAAATATTTACAAAAAAGCAATCCACCATTTTTAAATCACTACCATGCCTACAATTCGTCCTGAAAAAAAGGCAAAAACTGGTAGAGCAGTAGGGACGTACCTCATTAGCTATTAAATTCATTCAATATGGTCAATTTCCCTCTATTTTATCTGCTTCTAAAGCTTTCAATGTGCCTAAATCCACTTTATATGGTCGCATCTATGGTCGTCAACACCTGGTCACACGTCGCCAATAGAAGCATAATTTCACTGAGATTGAAGAGTAATCAATGAAAAGTTAGCTATCCTCTATGTATTCTAGAGGAGCAGCTCTTACCTATGCTATGTGTCGAAATATGGCCAATTTACTACTCCAATCACGAATTTCAACCACCACCAACACCTCTATTTCTATCGGTAAAAACTGGGTAACCAGGTTTATTGAGAGACATCCCGACCTTAAAACCCTTTGAGCACGTCGATATAACTACAAGGGAGCTCTCTTTGAGGATCCTGGTATAATTTTACCATGGTTTAAGCTTGTTGAGAATAGTATCGCGAAATATGGTATCCACTCTGATGATATTTTCAATTTTGATGAATCAGGTTTTGCGATAGGAGTAAATGGCTCTGAAGATTTTATTAACTCTGCTGAATACCATGGTCGGAGAGCAGCTTTACAGCAAGGAAACCACGAGTGGGTGACTGTGATCGAGACTATTAGAGCAAATGGAGATGCTCTTCCACCTTACCTGATTTTTGAAGGCAAAGTTTTTATGCATCGATGGTTTGATGAGCTGCCGGAGAAAGCTAATTGGAGCTTAAATAAGAGCTCTAATGGCTAGACTAGCTTTCCGATCGGTCTATATTGGCTTAAAAGGCATTTCATTCCTAATATAAGGAGTAGAAAGGGTCAATTTTGTCTTTTGATACTCGATGGCCATAACTCTCATTTACAACCTACTTTTAATGAGATATTTAAAGTAAATGATATTATTACTTTATTTATGCCTCCACATGTATCTCATCTTTTACAACCTCTTGATGTGGCCTGTTTTGGGCCTTTAAAGAGGGAATATGGAAAGGGTGTTGCGGAGCTAATGCGGCTCGGCATCAATTCTATTGAAAAAGATGATTTCCTCCCTCTCTCTAGAGATGCCCGGGATGTTGCTTTTAAAGCTAGCACTATAATTAGTAGCTTTAGAGCTGCTGGTTTAGTGTCTTCAAACCCATAAAATATACTTGATAAGCTGAATATTCAGCTTGAAAGTCTGCCTGACATTGAACTGAATCCTGAGCGCCCTCTATCTCCTGGCACCGACGACGACGATGATACAATTTGGAACATCAAAAGACTAGAGTAGTCTAAATCTCGCATCGATTCTGCTCTAGTATCTTCAAGCTCAATACCATCGCCTGTGAAGAGAGAGCTTACCAGAGCTTATGATATTACTACTCGGATGGTCCACAACCACATTGTTTTTTTAAATGATCGCTGCAGTCATTTAGAGCAGGCAAACAAAAAACAGATGAAAAAACGAGCTGCCAGTAAAAAACAGCTGGTTCATGAGGGCAGTTTACGGAGTCTAGAGGATATACCGAATCCTGGTGGTGTTGAGAATGTGGTTATTGATGGATATATATCTGGTATGGAAGCTGCTCAAAATGACCCTGTTAAGCCAGAATTACCAGTTTTAGCTCCTGTTCGACGTCAATTAACCTGTTCAGGTTGCGGGACTAAAGGGCATACCTATACTCGGTGTCAGAAACTTCTAGTTTAGTCTATATTATTATGTTTTTGTATCTAAAAGTGGAATTAAATTTGATGCGTTTTTTGACAATTTGGTGGGGTTTCCCGGGTGCTGGTGTTTCCCGGGAGATAGTGAATCACGTTACTTCCTGGGCGATGACGTAATTAACCGATTACCTGCGAATTGTGGGGAAAGCTTGGCAAGAGCCTCATTTTTATAGATATTGACAACTCAAGATGGAATGCAAGAAAGGTTGGATAAAATATTTAATTGCAAAGATTGAGGAAGGGAGACACCATGCTGGAAAAGCTGATGGGAAAATACCGGCTGTAACATTGGGGTGAAAATAACGGTGGGAAACAATTGATTCATGTTAAGCAAAATGCCATTATGGAAAGTGTCAACTAGGGATTTCAGCCATTGGAATGGTTGTTCATATGATTCGATTTGAAATAAATAGAAGCATAATTAATAAGTATTGAGAGTTTGAGGAGGACTATTTTCGGTCGATATATGTGCTTTGGGAATTAGATAAGAAGTGGAAGTTGTATTCGAGGTTGAATACAAAGTGGAAGTCTACCCAGTGATGTATTATTTTGTGCGATAAGAATGAGCGAGCCTGTTTAATGCCTTTAAAAGGTGCTTCTCACACCAACTATCTCTTCTTTCTTCATTCACCTCAATATTTTCTTCACCCACTTTCATCGATTCTATCCCCTTCACAGGACAAGTCATTTCATCGGTATCAACAAATCTCAAGATGTCTTACCAAAAGGCTTCTAAATTCAACAACTCCCCTTTCCAAACCTCCTCTCTCAGCTCGTCCTCCCCTGGTTCTTCCTCCGCTGGGCACTTTTCAATTCCAAATCCCTCCCCTCCCTCTACCTCCTCGTCCAGCCCGCCACCTGCTGGACGCACATCGTGGGATGGTCACCACCCCAGCTTCCAGGTAAGATGATATTCAATTCTGTTACTTCGGTCCTATAACTAACACTTGATGTCTCAGCCCAATGCATATGGTGTCCGGACCCGCAAGGCTGTGCGGACTTCTCGCTACGGCAAGAAGATGGTAAGTCATAATCCAAAAATGCTACTCAAGCTCGCTAGCCAACTTCTCATGTCTAGCCTACCACAACCAGTGGCAATATCAAGAGCCAAACACGTCCGGCTGCTCAAAAGGTATAATAATTTCCAAACCCTTTACTCGTGCTCTGTAACTAACTAGACTCCTACTCTTTAGGCGTCCACTGTCGCTGACCCTACCGACATGGGTCAGAACATGAAGCTAGCCGGTGCAGCCAACAACCTCACCCTAGCTAGCCTGAATACAGCGTCTGCGGCTGGTCAATTTCCCATTACTGTGGGCCATGAACTCTCATTTTTTGAAAAGGTCGAGTACATCCTTGCATCCGACGTGATGAAGGGTGTGAACGCGCCTCGACAAGGGTCCGCAGCTTTTGACCAGCTGGTAGAGAACTTCGTGGCACCGGCTGTTACTGCCGTCAAGCAGCGTCATTCCCTCACCATGGAGCAGAAGATTGGGCTCACCTACGAGCAGAAGGTGGATGAGATCCTGAAGGATCCCTTCATGCAGAGCCGCTACGCACCCAAGCGCGGCTCTGTAGCCTTCCAGAAGCTTGTGGATGATTTCCCCAAGCCCAAGCCCCAACACATGCTGCTCTCACTGGGGCAACCCAAGTTTGTTAGTGAGTGCGCCAAGGTGAGCGAGTTGCCCTCCCAGGCTTTAACTAAATCATTGCATGGCGATAGTCACCCGTTCATCCCCAAGATGGCTGGGCCTGGTGAGGGCAAGGGAAATCAACTTGCTGCCTCTGTCAGCTTTCAACATCTTTCTCGCATGGTGAATAACGACATCCACATGCCAAGTCAGAGTGACGACAGCAGCAAGGAGTTGGATGAGGTGGAGGGTAAGGTTTGGGTGAAGACAAAGGTCATCACTGCAGTTGAAGATGCACCGGCAGAACTTCAGCTGCCACTTGACGCTCCTGTGGCCAAGTACCGCGTCGAGGAACCCGAGGAGTGGGTTAACGCGCTCGATGTAATCGAGACGGTTAAGAACAGTAGACTCGGCTGCCCAATGGCCAAGTCGACACTCATGATGATCATCGCGACTGTTCTGCCCTTGTTGGTGACGCTTCTGGCGCCAATCATGGATATCAGCCTGTTCGATCTCTCGATCATCAAACTTTGGTTAGCAGTTGCTTTCTGTCTGCTTGTTGGCGTGGAGTCACTTGAGGAAGTGAACACGGGAAGGTACCAAGTTGCCACAGAGATTGATCGTCTGTTGGCAGGAGGTAACGTGGGTATGCTTGAGCTTTTTGCCAAGCTGACACTCTATATGAGTGTCATGCCCCTATTGGTGACAAGTCTAGCGTCACCGATGGATGTAAGCCTGTGATGTCTCCTCAGCGCTGGTACTTTACACGCAGTAGTTTTCTGCCTGCAGCAACCCGTGGAAGGGCTTGTGGAGGATGATATGACCACGCAAAACCATCCTGATATAGCGAACGCACCGGTGGCGGATCTACCGGTTGCTCAAAAACCTAAGGTGGACGGTGAAACCCCCGTCCAAGTGGCCAAGGAGCTTTACCGTTTTTTAGCAGGAGACGAAAAGTGTGAATTTAAGCCAGCGATGGCCAAGCCGGCAGTCTACTGGAACGCTCTGCCCTTATCAGTGGCGACACTGATGAATGTCAACCTCCACCGTCTCCTTGGCACTGCTGTCCTGCTAGTAGTAGCTTTCCTCCTACTAGCCAAGGCATTTCCGATTGTGGTGACAGCCACAGAATTGGATACCCCATTGGTGGGTGGAGTGGGAGTGCTTGTGCGTAACGCCAAGCGGGCTGTCAATTCGTTGACAGTCTTGCCCCTAGTAGTGAAAAAACTACTTGATGTCATCTCCCATATCCACTCAGTCACTACCACCATCTCCAGCATGGAAACTCGCACGATTCCTGACTCTGCAGAGCTGATCACACGTCATAGTGACCTTCCTTGGGAAGTTGCAGCCGACCTCTGCATGAAGGTGGTAGAGCTACATCGGCGTATCGAGGAGCTGGAAAGCAGACAGGGGTACTGCTAGGATGGTGGTTTGCGGGGCCTGTCATTCGGCGTTGGGGCGCTATGTGTTCTTTTTCTGTTATGATTCTCGCTATTTCTTTCCATTTATGCTCTTTTGTATGCTTTTCTTTTACTTTTATGTGTTGTTTTCTTAGATAGATAGGTAGTTCTCGATTAGCCGGGGGCATGGGTCATGCCAGTCATGCTATCAGCATGGTCCCAGTCTGTGATACCGCCCCCGGCGTCGTCTTGTCATCAACGCAGACCTTGATCGAGACCATTTGTTATATTCACGTACGCATAAACTTGCAACCGCTCCTCTTCGAGTCTCATTACTCTATTAATTCATTACGAGTTGAAATTTACCAGAGCATTGTGCTGAGAGAGTCGCCCTACGGGGTCTAGGCTAAGTCCTTACAGGGATTTCCCTCAAAATATTCAATGCTGGTGATGGTGAGGGAAGGCGAATTACTGCTTTCGCCAGTCGACAAGTTCTTCCTCGTGTGGTGAATACCGATATTCACATACTGAGCCATGGTGGCAGTACTGTTACCTTACGCGCAATATCTTTCTGCCTGTAGTAATCCGTGGAGGAACTTGAGGGTAATGCGATGCACATGGTCGGCCGCCCAAGGTATTATTTATAGCCGGATTGTCTAATATGACTAGCTTACCAGTTCCCGTTCAAATGAGTGTCGTTGCGAGGTTGTTACAGGGCTGTAACATCAGCCAGAAGCTGCGGAAGTATGCTGTGAGCCACTGTATCTATGTTAATGCTTTGACTAAATCACCATGGCCTTGTTTATTTGGCCCGAAGCAAGCCAGCCGGATGCGGTAGAAATGCGCTTTAATTGCAGGGACTGAGGTGGAATAAACTGCCGGCAGATGACACTCCGTAAGATGCTGTTTGCAAGTATCGCGCACGCTCTCGAGAATAACCTTTTTTACTACATCTATTCACTACGAGACCCAAGCCTAAAAATAGGACCAGTGCAGGACTGTGGTCGTGATGGAGGACGCCGTAGTGGTTGTGCCGCTTTTTAGATCACCCCCTCCATCACCTCATCTAGCCCGTCCTCCGTAGAACTCACTTTGACTGAACGACTCCATAAAGTCGTCTAAGCTTAGTTCCGCAACAGGTCCAGCTGTCGAGATACCCAGCTCCTAAAACAACCTTGGAAGGTGTTGAAGTTAGAGTCGCCTGGACGCGCATGGTGGGCTAGTCGTTTCCTAGCTTCCAGGTAAGATAATGTTCGGCTCAGTTACTCCAGCCCTACAAGTAACGCTTGATGTCTAGACTGCCACAACCAGTATGGGCAATGTTCAGTGCCAACGCCCTCTGGTCCAGAACGGCATTATACCTTGCTACTCCCCAACTCTATAAGCTCCCTGAGTATTATTGTCGATACCACTAGACCAAAGTGGGGCACGGGACTAATGAGAATGGTTACGATGCTGTTGGTCCGACATGAAGTGAATCTAGTGAGTTTTATCTATTTAGTTACAGCGAGGACAAGATTGAATAACACACCTCTTACAACTCGCAACGATACATTTACAAAGTAGATGCATATGCAACAGTAAGACGCGCCAGATATTCCGACAATTATCAATCCTTTTTGATATCTTTATCCCTCGACGGAAGATATAAACTTCGTCGCAAATGGCGGCGGCGTACACGTAATTAAACCACTCTGAGAAACCAAAGATATTGTATTGAGGTACAGCAGTGGATCAGCCAAAGCTCAATTTCTGATAAACATGATATGATAAATATGGCGCGACTGTCCTAGAGCTTTGGAAAGATCTTTGGTTAGCACAGAGGCATTGAAGATAAGCCCTTGATTATCCTAGCCACTAACTAGCCCTGGAGCAACATATCTTTTGTGCAGCCAAAATCACTAAACTCTACAGGATGATCCTGTCGTACCGTGAAAATAACTAAACGGTCAAAAACCAAATGGAAAAAGAAGCTTGAATCCAACGAATCCCTCAGAAGGTCAAGTCGCGTCGCGTTCTCAACATTCACACCAAAAAGGAAAATGTGCAATACATGGCCCCCAAATTTAGAACATCAGCTCCACATGAGCTACTAGCTCCACCTGGGCAGAATGTCGGAGTTGTTTACGACGTAAACCGCGGTGTCCGTGCAGTAAACAATTGATACCAAAATAGAACACGAACACGTGGGACTTGGCCAATAGTGGCATCACGACTTGATACTAAACAACCAAACAGTGATATTGGTATTTTGATTTACTTTTGATCCCAACCCAGTGTTTCATTCAATCAAAGAGCTTAGAAATATTGACGAATCCGAGTACTATGCTAAATTTCCAAATCTGAGCGATCTTCCTCAAGTGCTGACTGTGCCCGATGAGCTGGCAGTATGACTATGATCCTTGAAGGATGATTTATGGATCTACGGATCTACGGGTACTCTACGGAGTACTCCGTACCCCAGTGCCCTGTTGTGACTGTTGTGTAGATAGGGTCTATGCATATACCACCTAGATGTAGGCGGGTATTCCAAGATGAATATACAGCAGTCTTACGTCCGTACCATACCTAGGGAAGGGAATAGATTCGTCTATACTCCAGTACTGTGTACATAATGTGTTATGAAGGTCCTAACCAGTCACTAGTTAGATAAAATCCTGACAATTCCACGTGCATGATCTTCAGCCCTGAATCCACCATGGAAAAAAAATAAAATAAAAATAAAATAAAATCAAAGAAGTCTGAAGATCGCTAAATCCGACTAATCTTATGCAGCCCTCAAGTTTCATAATGGATCGAATATAACAACTCAAGATCAGCATATATTGTATAGTGTATGGCACAAGCGAAGCAAAGCGGGGATTACATGAATATTCCAAATTATACTCAGTAGAGCTCATCATCCGCGCGGGCCCCATATGCGTAAGCTCCGTGTGGGCGACTTAACTCGAACAGGAAAATGAGGACTGCGAACCTTCGTCCTTCCGTGAAGGAATGGCAACTGCCGACTTTTTTCAAACACGCTAGTCTAGTTTGTGCTGTCATCTTCTAGAAGATTGAAATGCTGAAAAAAAAGTCATTTCAAGAAATTTGACGAGTCCATGCTTTGACTCCTGCATAACTCTGTTCTCGTATAGTCTATTAGCCGAGTGAGACTTGGTATTTTCGTATAAGGGACTGTATTCGCTATAACGCATTTGCCGTTTCGCTTCTAGCTCTATAAAGAAACTTTTTCAAACACGAGACCTCGGGAAACAGACTTGGCTGTTTGTTCAGGAAATTTCCGTGACGTTCTATTCTGCATAAAAGAAGTTAAAATCCCAAAGTGGCGAGGGGCTCAGACCTTTATGGCCTGATTTGCGTAAGGATGTCGCGACAGTTACTAGCGGTGTAGTTTGTTGTAGTTGGTCTTTTGATTTGCGATCTTCGATTTGTGATCTTTGATTTGTGTTCATCTGTAGTAGTTATACTAGAATCGGTTTATACCCCAGGGGTATAATATTGTTTAATGATAGGTATGAATAGTGTAAAACAGGCCAGGTATACGAAAGCCTGCCATGAGTCCAAAAGATTGTTCCAGGTAGTCCTCCCAACCCAAAATCCATAAATCCAACAGAGGGATGAAAACAAAAACTCCAATGAGGTATCATGTAGAGAGCGCAAAAAAGGCAAGATAAACCTCCCATCATAAGTATAACCCAGTAAAAAAAAAAAAAAAAGAAACGAAATACTAAGAAAATCAATGCGACAGATGCGGTCTCAAGACTGTTTCTCGATCCTCCCTCATCCAGGGATACCACACATTGCCTGACTCAATGACTCCAAATTTAGGGGCCCCCGAGTCCTGCGGTAAAGAAGCACCCTCGCGCAAGAACTCGCCATCCCGCATGCGTCTCTGTTCTCTTAAAGTAGGACACTTCTTTTCCTTGATAAAGCGGTAGAACTTGCACTGAATACCCTGGAAGCCACGGCGCTGTCTGGAAGGAAACTGTCGATTGAAAGATTCGCGCACCTCCTTCCACTCCTGGCAAAGGTCGACGCGGTGGTACCAAATGAAGTACATCTCTTCTTCTTCGTATTTGGGACGGGGTGGACGGCGGCGGTCGGTGCCGTTGCTTTCACTGCTAGAGACTGAGTCGTAACGCTCTCGGGGGTGGTATGGGTCTGGTGAGGAGTGTGATGAGCCTGAGCGAGCATCCCCAGGACCGGATGGCCGATAAGAGAGGAACATGTGATGAGGTTGCTGATTGTTGCTGCTGCTGCTGCTGCTGCTGCTGCTATGGGTCGTGGCAGTTGAAGCGCCGGGGCTTGTATCGTGGTAGCCATGATATCTACCATACCCTGGCCAGTATTGATTTGGACTTGGAGGGTATCCTGGGGAATTTGGGATTGGGTGTGATGAAGAGTTGGACATGGTCGCGTGTTGTGAGTAGGGAGAGCCTGTTGATAGGTATTCTGACTCTTCTGTTGGTGGATTCAGGAGTGAATCGATTTTCATACGACTCTGCCGTACAGCTGGCTGGGTGTATTCCATCCTGGTAGACATATTTGAAGGCTTCTCTCGTTCGAGCTGTTGTGTTTTATATCGATCGATTGACGATTGATCTAGTATAGATCAAATTAAAGATTCTTCCCCAGCCCTAAAGTAGATGTATAGTAGGAATGGAGTAGAGGTAGTAAGTGTGGTATGGAGGGTAAATTTTTTATAGATCAAAATTAAATATTAGAAAATCATCTGGAGAATACGGGCTTAAATGAGAAGAAACACGCAGGGCTAACAGGTTGTTGGGTATTGGAATACCGATAGCCTGGTTCGGGCTCCTTTGGTTTTACATCGTATGTATCAATACAGAACTAATACGAGGATACGCATTTAGCAGGGGTGGATGATTCTCCACCCCCAGAGTAAACTAATATAGGGAAAGTGGTCGTTAGAATTGATCGGTAAATCGGAGAGGCCGTGACCGATAGATTTCATTTTGCCACATATAATGTCTCCATGAATAGGGGGGGGGGGGGGGGGGGGGGAAGGAACTCAAATCCATGGTTCACAGTGCTCTATTTGGATTAACTTGCTAGAAGCGAGAAGCTTCATTATCATTTCTATTAATTATCGGACTTCACACTCCTCCATTTCTTTCGTCCGAATACAAGCGATGAGTATCCACCTGGGCACTCGCCAAGGCGAAACATCCCAAATATAATTAAATCAATTTGTAAATCCTCTGAATCAGACAGCTTCATATTTCACACAGTACACGATTTTGGTAAGAAATAAATGTGGGGACGCGCTTGGGTATTCTTGGTCTATTGCTGTGGCAGTTGGAGTTAAAAAAAAATACAAGGATGTGCGTAGTATAAAATTAATAAAATTAATAAAAATCTAAAAATCTAAAAAAAAAGCGCGAACATAGAATAGACTAGAACTTAACCATTAGCCAATTTGAGTCGAGATTAAACATCTTCTTCTCTATCTACTTCGGTAATAGTATAATTAAGAACCCCGGATGTCTTCCGTGAAACGAGCTGACTCGCAACCTCTGCTTCTCCCCGGGGCCCCCTTAACGAAATAATCAAATCTTAGAAATCGGAAAAAGACGGTTTTTCTTTCTTTTTTTTTTTTTCTCCCTCTTCTCCAAAACAAACCAACAGCTACGCGCGGCGTCTATTGGAAGACAAAAAGTCAGCTGTTGCGACGCCGCCGTGGCATCGGGCCCGCCAAACGAATCAGCTTATTGGGACTAATGCAAGCTCAATGTAGTCTCCAATGCAGGTGGGGATTTGCGTCTGCCAACGCATCTGCATTTTACAGCCGTTTGTCTATACCTTCGAAAAAGATAATCGGCTTTCTTTCTTTTTTCGGAGATTTCAAATTAGGATCAAATGCTAAAGGAGAACTAATCAGGATAAAAGTCTATCAACTTTATCTCGGTCAGAGAGTGAACCATGGTTATATATGACATGATATCGGGGTAACCTCGACAGCCGTGTTTACACAGATAAAAATACTTAGTACATATGTATAAAGACAAGAAAAGAAGAGGGGAATGTGGATGTCCTCTGTTAGTCGAATATCCCGCTCTTTCATCAATGATCCAGACCTTATGAGACCTTTTTTTTTTCTTTCTTTTCTTGTATGATCCGAGAGTGAATCCACTTTCTCTTCTCGGACATCGATTTTCTAGAGTAGTAGCTACTATGTAGTACTCTGTACTCCGTACTCCGTAGTTAGTTACTAGTAAATAGCATAGCCGTGGATCAGCGGATTATCTGCAACGGCTGAGGATTTTCTTCAGGTAAAAGCAAAATAATAAAATAAAATAAAATACCTACGATACATTTCCATCATTAATCAGCCCATTGTCTCATATAGTTTCATGGTACTTACTTTCGATACTATACTCAATATCAAACGATAACCGCGCTTATACAACAATTTTTAACTCCAAGTTCTCAAGCCTTAAAGCCCCCAATTTCGATAGTGCCTGGCATTTCCATACTCGATTTTGGGATTTTGTCTTTATTAAACCCCTTTTGCCTCTTTTCCTTACCTGCGTACTTTCTTCTCATTTTCCCTTTTCCCCTCGACTGGGTCTCGATTGACCGGGCTAGAGCTCCCGGTTCCGTGCAGATCAAGATCAACATGGCCCCAGGCTAAAGCTATTTCACCCCCGCTTCTGTTATTTCTTTGTTTTGACTCCACTAGTAGTGACTAGTCCTAATCATACCAGAGAAAGGCGACTAATGTCGCGTAGCTGCAGCATGTTGACATCACGTGATTCAATTGAGCCCGAATCCATTTCTCTTTTTAGGGCACAAAGGATTCAACCGGAACTCCCTTGCCGGCGCTAGTTACAGAATATATCAAGTACCGACTGATACCAGTAACAGTGATTTCCATGGATCTAAATCCTGGAAGCGCGTGGGACCTTTTTTTTCAATTTACCCCATCGTCACATTCAGTAACAGTTGCGAGTCATGTCGTGCATGGTGGCATTCCGATCCAACGTCCAACCATATTCTGTATTCAGCAACTGTTACCCGCTGGGCTGAGCAAAAATAAGATTGTGGTATCCGTACTCTGTACACACTGAAGCTACATTTGAGCCGCTGATGCAAGCCAAAGACAACTTGTCAATTTGTTTCGTCTGGAGCAGTTTGCCTCGTCTGTGACTCTGAGTTCCGACTCATGGACATAATCATCTCCTCTAAAGTAGTCCCCCTTGCAGGGCTCGGGGCTCGTACTAGTCCGTAGATCTCTCAATCTCCGAATGCTCCGTGGGAGCTCCGCACGACTCGTAGAATACAACCCACCTTAGTTAGATTAGACAGCAGACATTCTTTGATCCTCTTCACAAGTCCGTGTGCGCCCTGTTACGGAGCCTAGTGTGGCCCACCAGAGACCCGCTCGCGATAGCCGCCAAATCGCTAATTACTGAGGACAAAGAAAGCACAAAGAAAGCACGCCATATCAAGGTTAAGTTCGTTGATATTTGGATAGAGTACAGAACCTCAGGAACAGAAAACTAAACAGGAAAAAGGTCTATTCATAGAATCGGTAATGACAAATAGTTCTGGAGTATTCTCTGTACTATATATACTTAAGAAGTCTTTCTGGTGTGAACAACCGCAGAGCCGCTACATTTTGCGCAGTGGCTACGCCAGTCGCAAGATCCAGATCCCCGTCGCGGAGAAGTTACATTGTAGATAGTGGGTTAATTAATTAAAACTAGTAGCGTCATAAATCCCAAAAAGAAACATCTGTGTAAAAACCCCCACAAGTAGCTCGGACCTCTCCGTGATAAATCGTGCATCGTAAAAGAATGGATATTAGCGCCGAAGCGTGGCAGATTCATAACCATGGTTCAGGGTATGGCGTGGCTATGGAGAACGGGAGTACTTCGTAATTATAGTTAGTATTTCTAAGACATTACTCGCTGCAATTGCTTAACTTTCACTAGATCCTTTCTCGTATATGCTAAGAGATAAATGTTCTCCGCGTAGCGAGCCGCGAGAATCGACATAAACCTTAGTGGATCCATCAAGAACCATGATTATAAAGCTTATCAACCTGTTGCGCAAGCCTGCGCGTACTTTGTAAAAAGATAGTCTGACTCTGTAGACACAAAGTACTAGAGGCGTTTATGACGCAGGGTTGAAGTATTGCTGTGTGGAGCAGTACTACTCCGCTCTTTACTCTATCTGGAGTCGGCCGAAGAATCAAGTCGGATCCGAGGGCCCTTTCAGCCTCATTGATGCAGAACTCAAAGCTCGTTCGTACGACTCCACACTCCCCACCGAAGTTAGCGTCCCCCTGTTCCCTAAATCCTGCAGGTTTTCGATTTAGGAAATTTTGACTGTTCGGTATTTAGAACTTTGAATTCCTTATTACCGATATATTAATCTATTACACACTGAGAAGAAAGATAAAAGTAGGATAGGAGAACAGACTAGACATGAGAAAGGAGGTAGAAGAAAGTATGTAATTTCGGTGGGGGGTAGATACTATATCAATACATCCGTAAGGAGTGATAAATAAGAGTAACCATTTTTAAGATATTACACAGATCATAGATCAACTCAGTGCCCGTAGTACAAATGTTATTTGAGGCTTACCACCTCAGATTGAGTCGAGTCTAGAACCCGCATGTCGACTGCCGCAGTCTATCGAAGCCGAACCAGTAAGAAAAGAAAGAAAACTGGCGGATTCCGGCACGATTTCGGGGCTTTCGATCGACCCATTAGGAAGATAAGCGAGCGGGCGAATAAGGTCTACTGAATCATGGAAATTTAAAACAAGGCGCACCAAAGCTATCAGAATTGGGAACGGTAAAATTTCACTTTCAATACGAATACCATACTTGAAATTTATGTATTCACTTCATGCAAAAAGTAGTGTCAGAGCTTTCCTATGTTTTCCACCTAGAGTCATTAGTCGACCTCTTTCCCCCCCCCCCCCGAGTTCTCTCACAGTGTAGAACTCCAATTAGTAAAGATAGACTACGATTTACTAACTAGTTACGATATCTAGTTAGTCATTCTTCATCCTCCGCAACTATTTGTATATTCGGATTATAAAGATATTACAAACATCTCCGTATCCTCCACATATCATATGTACGAAGGAAGCGACCCTTTTTGAGGCACCAATTTATACTCTACTCGGTTAGGAGTAGGAAAAGAGGCATAAGCCTTCGGCGCCACACCATACCTAACGGGGAGCTCAGGGCACGTGGTTTTCGGATGAAGGATTGCCTGATGAAAAGCTTGGATCTTTAACGGGTGATCTTACTTTCTGCATAGTTATGGATCTCTTCATAAAAAGAGAGCTACGGGGAACACTGGGTCGTTACCACAGCTACTTAAAACTTGGAAATAATACCCTTCTATTCCACTTTCTCTTTCTAATCCATAATAATCCATAATGAGTCAGTCACGTCGGATCTGCTTTTTTTTTTTTTTTTTTTGGCGAGTCAGATGAACCATGATCGACTGGAGAAGCTAGGATTTGTACCACGCCACATACGAATGGCCCCACAAAGAGTCAGAACTAGCAGCTTTATGATATTACGTCGTAACCCTTTCGGCTAGTAAACTCAGAGCATTTTCCAATTTTCTAGAAAAAGGCTAAGGGGAGAACAACGTATGTAGAAAAACTATGACTTCTCCATAGAGTACTCTGTATTTCAATCACTACCAGACAACAACGTTGTCCATTAATCCATCTCCTACCATCTTTTTATCAACATTGCCTGCATCGGGCAAACGGTCAAGTCCGACTTAAGGATCCAGGGGTTCGTAGGCAGAAATAGAATAATCTGGAGAAAGGGAAGGAATGGAATCCGCCCCCAATGTATATCTCATCCTTCCTTCCTTTCCTTTCGCCTCCCCAGACAGATTCCTTCAGAGCCGGCGGCCTACTCCGTAGTGGAGCCGAGCAAATCTACTTACTTTATAGTAATCTGCCCGTGCAGGATCGAGTGGGTAATTAGGTAATTACACAACTATTACTCACTATTCGCTTAATTATTTATTTACTCACGGTTCGAACCATGATTCTTAAAAACTATAAACGACTTATACTTTTGATTCTTCTTAAGTTCTAGTATTTTCAGGGGCTTAGCCCCGATAAAAACAATACCCGAAGTGAAGCCGGACACAACTATTCCGACTTCCGACCTCCGCTTTGACCGGAGTGGGTACTTGTCCGATCGTTAACGAGTTAACCTATTGGAAAGAGGGCTTACAAATTTATGATGTGATGCGCATAAGATAATACACAGTAAGATCCAATGAATCTTCAAATAACAAGAGCATAAAGCCGTATTACTTATACTTGCTTTTTTAAATGAAGCACCCAATCAAAGCTACAGGCTAATGTCCAGTCATCAATTGATCACACCGAGGCCACCGCCCCGGGTTCGATAGCGCCCAGCTAAGATATTTGCAATATAACGTCACTGTATGTGACTTAACTCCGACCTTCGTAAAGATGAGAGAAGAGGTTTTATCAAGGTGTGGACAATTACCGTATCTGCATCAGATCCATGGATTTCTATGACAGGTGCCACATGGACCTCCCGAGACTAACCCATTAAAGTAAAATTTGTCGATTCTTCACGGGCAAATGGTCTATATCACTCGAAATGGGGCCGCGTCGGCTCCACCAAAAAGTATGGAAAGCATATGGCTCGGCTTTAAGACCATATGACGTTCAGCTCCAATTCTCTTTTTTCTCTCCACACCATTTCCAAGGTTGTAATATTGCTAATATTCAGATCACCGGAGTTGTTCGGGTTGGCGAGTTGATTTAGTAATTGGTTGGCCACATGGAAGCACATGAAAGTGGATTATGAATCTCGAGTCATTTAATACCGGTATTTTACAAAGTATTATATAATTGAAATACAGTACTATTCCCTGGATACAGTATTGATTCAAAACAAAAGAGCCTCAAACGTCCTTTCGACTTCCGAGTTTGAGTGCAAGTGTACCGTACTATACTACTATGAGCTTTGAGATATTTATCAACTCCTAGCTTCATGTACAAAGCTCCTACCCGGGTATCTGACAATTTATAACTGAATCTGACATGCAATGATTTACGCACGTCCCAAGCCCGAGCGTGCCCGTGCCGTTTCCGTTTCTTCAGTCAGACTGAAGGTGAGGTCTTCCTGGCAGGAATATATGGCCTGATGATGTGTAAACATCTAGCTTAAGAGTTCCCATCTATAAAAAAAAAAATGCAGTCTCAGATTTAAATGATTTATCACTATAATACCTTTCTGTAACATTAAATTACAACCTCAACTCATGACTCTGACCCTGACTCTATAGATCAGCGAGAATGTAACCTCTCAATGTAAAAAATTGTCAACATCCGTTCCCAATTCTATCCCCAGCCTCCTTCAAGTTCCTCGACCACTGCATGTACAGGTAGCATACTGCATGGCGAGAGAAACTGTTTCAGCGCACATGCACGCTGACTGATTGGTACAGGTTTTATAATAGGTGATATGTTATTCCTACGTGGATTCATGTAGATTCATGTATATAGATGTAAGGTTAGCTCTTTCCCAAATTGATACTCTGTGCAGTTCTTATGCATATCCATCTGTACAGATGACTGTAATAAGCGCTTAAACAGGTATTACCATCCGCCCTGTAAATAGTGCTATACATCGATGAAAGTGAGATCATATTTGCAAGGTTCCGTACACCAATGTACGAACATAAGGGTTTCTATTTTGGTTTCATCTAATTTTTCAGCGTCACCAAAAATACCCGATTTGCTACCTAGGTGCCCTTTATGCTGATCAGTTAACCCCGCATCCTAGCCCCTCCACCTGGGCACATGGCAATCATACAATCTCAACTGCTTAGCCATTGATGTTTGTCAAACTTTGACAAAAACAATATATAAAAGATAAAAAGCGTGCAAGCGCATACTAGCGTGGAAAAAGTCAGTAAATTAATAAACCAGGCCCACAGATCCCAAAACAGCTCACTGACCTCGTGAAGTATGACGAGTCAGTAATTTATAGGGGTCTATAACAGAGACTAAGTCAAACAAATGAAATAATTATCTCAAGTACCTACCTAGGCACCTGGGGCGTCAAGGATTTGAAATTTGAAATACCTAAGCGCAGACCAATCGGGGCTTTTCTCTTTTCTCTTCTTTCTTCGTTTAATTTTTTTTTTCTTTTCGTGATACCTACGTAACGCAATGAATGAGCATAAACTACTTCAGTACCTACATCAGTAGGTACAGAGAATCGTGCGCCTCAAAGTTTATATAACCTTGTAAACTTGAAGAGGGTGGGCAGGGGAGAATCTTCATGGCGCCAGCGCATCTGTCACGTTACAAACATCACTTCTTTGAGCCACCAAAAAAACCGGCTGCAGGTGTTTGGTTCAGGTCATTTGGAATAGAGGTTCCAAGATCTATGGATGCTAGTTTTATTCTCATTCGTGGATTTTCATATCATAAGAGACATGTAGAGTTCCAGGGTTAAATTGTGGGAAGGTCATTGGTGGCTTGTCTAGATGGGTTGGTGGCAATCTTCCAACCTTCCGAGGTTGAAACCTTGCAAGGTGGAAGTTGGGCTTTGGTAAAGGTAGATACATAGGTAGTAGGTAGAGTCCACGGGTATGACATCAATCGAAATGTTATTGGAAATATGAATTGCAGGCCCTGGGGTGACTACCTACGTACCGAGGTATGTCTGATTGGAAGAATTCAAACTTATCAGCCAGGACTGCCTAGGTGTACTACCTATCATTTGGCAGTCTCAAGGTTATTGATATCAGAATGGTTACTGTGTACCTACCACCTGGGCATAGCCCCAAAGGTAGTAAGGCTTTGAGAACTTTCAAGCTCCCAAGCCCTAGGGAACGGCGAATGTAAATACTCTTGAGCCAACCTCCAGAGCTTAAAGGACAATTAAGATGCATAGATATCATCTACATATCGACTTGAAATTATCGCTACATCTATAGATGAGTTTCATAGCTACTATCCTATCTTGCATTGAACATTCATAGACTTCTTCTTCCATTTCTCTTTCCACTAATTAGACATCAGCCCAAACCACGCTCTCCTCAATCGAGACGAGGCAAGAGCGAGAAACTGGGAATGGATATTTGGGTATTGAGTATTTAGAATCCAATCCTACCACCCGATGCAACATAATTCAAGTAAAAATGATATCAGCAAAAGGAAAAAAAAAACATAGATAGAAAGGAATTAGGACTCATAGCCAGCTAGCAATACATGGTGATAAGAGAAAGAGGTATTAGAACCAAGAATTAAGGGTGTGGGGGAATGAAAGGTCATTGGCGGTCAATATAACAATATCAAAAATCTCAGAAGAGAATGGCGAAAGATGCGAAAATAAAGAAGAAAGTAAGACCGATACAAGAAATGAAGCACATGAAGAAGATGGGCGTCACAAGTCAAAGATGAACTATGTGTATAAAAGGAAGAAAAAAGGGGTAAAAGAAAAAATAAAAAAGAAGAGAAAAGAAGATTTGCCATTCAATTCACCAAGAGTAATTTTGAGTCGAATTATTGGAATCATGTCATAGAAAATGGTAGCTATTTAGCACCGATTTCCTCTTCAACCCATCCGGGTAGGGAGTTCTCGTTCTGAATAGCAAGTCCAAAGCCAGGGTGGTTGATTCCACTGAGGGCAGAGGAGAAGCTGGAGAAGCTGCTCTGGGGCTGGTGGGCGCCGGTGCGGAGGTGTTGTCCCGCGACCGGTCCAAAGGGTTCCTGGGAGAAGGAAGGTAGACTTACAGCCCGCGAGTGTGATGCACGCGGAACACTCAGGCTGCTAGTACTGGCGGTGGAGTGGTGCCCAGGACCAGAGGTACCAACACTCAGATAGTTTGAAGTCTTTTGATGGTGCAAAGGCGAGTCAAGTTCACCACTGCTGTTGTTGTACAGGGACTGCTGAGACTGGCCTTGCAGGCTCAGCATAGGGTCGTTCAGTCGATTCTCTTGATCCTGGGCCTGTTGAGCGGAAATCTGGTTCAGGTACATGGTCAATGGGTTGTTGGAGCCCACATTCAACACGCTAGAAGGAGAAGACACGTTCTGAAGTGGATGACGGAGCTGTTGGCCATTCTGCGAACCAGTGGAACCAGATCCAGGGGACAGAGCAGGGCGAGTGGGGCTTGACTGAGAGCCTGACTGGCTTAGATTCTGGAATCCATTCGAAGCTGAGGGCGACTGAACGTCGTCGATGCCATTGCGATTCTGCTGGTTATGCCCAGCTTGGCGCGGCGGGTTACCACAACGGTCCTTGCCAAAGTTGATCTTGAAGCGGCGGTACTCCTCGCGGTTCCGTACACCTTCAATAGCTTTGATTGCATTGGCAATGTTGGTAAAGTTGACAAAGGCACAGCTCTTCTCGCGCAGGGTGTTGGCCAACTCAATCTCGCCGTACTCAGAGAAGTCCTGGCGGAGCCGCTCTTCCGTCCAAGCCTCATCCAAGTTTCCGACGTAGACATTGCGAGAAGCGCCGCCACTTACCGCCAGTGCAATGGCAGGTGGCAGAGGGCCGGAGTGCTTACCCCAGCCAATCTTCAGTCGTCGGTTGTGAATCATCAGACCCTGTAGGTTGCTCAGGGCATAGAAGGAGGCGGCGGAGGTAGGATCAATAAATGTAACAAAGCAGATATGCTTGTCAGGAATGTATCGGATGTGATGCAGCAGACCTCCACGCACAACGTTGCAGATCTCTTCAATGGTAGTTTCAGGGTGAATGTTTCCCAGATATATAGTTCGGTTGCCCAAGTTGTTGACGCCGCCTGCCGTGGTAGCTACGGCAGCGGCAGCGACAGATTGCTGAGCGAGGGCGTTTGAGATCAAGTCTCGGTCGGCAGAGTTGAGCACATGTGCGTAACCAGGGGCAATTCCCAGGAACTGTGCTGCATTCTGCTGCTGAGTCTTGGACACGTACGCGCAGCGGTCCTTACCATAAAAGACACGCTTAGGCGCCTGCCATTGCGGCTCTTGGGGGAGCTGTGCCACCGCCTTTATTGCGTTGCTGATTGACAAGAAATGGACAAAACCAATTGCCTTTTCCTTGACAATCTTCACTGTATCAATGGGCCCAAACTTGCCCAACTCCTCTCGCAGGTTCTCTTCAGTCGTCTCTTCAGGCAGATTACCCAGGTAAACATTACGTGATGCGCCAGACTGTTGGACAGCCAATGCAACAGAAGTAGGGACCTGGGAAGGCTTTCCCCAACCCACCTTGATATCATTACCCTTGATGGCCAACTTTTTCAAGATGGCATCAGAGTGGAAGTGGGTGGCAGAGCTACTATCCAAAAAGGAGATGAAAGCGCAGTTCTTATCGGGCAGCAGACGCACCGACTCGATCTGACCGCTACGCACATGGTTTAGGATTTCCTCGGCGCTTGTTTCAGCGGGAATATTTCCAAGATACACGGTGCGACTGGTTCCCGATAGCATCCCCGGGGAGACTGACGCCGAAGGACTACCTAACCCACTACCATAGCTCATCCCGTTAATTGGGGACTGAGGGCCACCCATAAGCTGTGAGGCACTCAATCCATCGGTCGAGAGCATCCCGGGGTACAATCCGGGGTTCTGCATGCCTTGCGTCGGGCTACCGAGCTGATTATGGGAGTTCTGTCCATGTCCATTGCCATTGGCTTGGGGAAAGCCTCCGAAAGTTGCAAACTGAGGGGAGGCAAAGGCTGAAGGGGTACCGGGCTGGAAGGGGCTGCCAACTAGCAACTGTGAAGGGAGGAGTGGAGTAAAGTTCATATCGAAACCGTTCAGATCGTTGTTCTGGCCAGTGGCGGCGGTATTGATAGCAGGGATATTGATGCGACGAGATCGGTTGGAGAAGCCCTGAGGATTTTGGTTTGAATGATAGGCGCCGTGGGAGAAACCAGTATCACCGTTGAGGTTATATTTATAATTCAAACGCGAGCTGTTCGCATCTGAGGTTTGCATGGTTGGAGATATCCAAGACAGGATAGATTTCCTCCGACCAGAAACAAATGAAGACAAGTATATAGCCCTGTAGAGCCCTGAGGAAGAGAGACTTTCAAAAGTGGGATTCAAAATATCATTACCATTCAGGGGATTGTCTCCACAACGGAGGTTGTTTTTCTTTTTCCCGGAAGAGAGAAGAAGAATCCAAGGGGTAAAAGGGTAAGAATAAGGTTGAAGCCAGAAAAGAAGAAGAAGAATAAAAAGAAGAAGAAAGTAACAAGAAAGGCCAATGAAGGTATTCTAGGATATCAAGTCAGGAATGTGCATAGTGGGTATTGAGTTGGGGTAAGGGACGAACCTGCGGCTAGAAATGGTGAGAATGTCACATATGTGAAGTCCCGCAAAGAAGAAGAAAGAGGTCCAAACTGTGCGGAGACTAAAATAAAGTCATTAGCTAAAAGGGGATAAGTGTGAAAAGACTAGACGTGGAAAATAAGGAAAAGGGGGGGAAAGTGGATGTTGGAGATCAAAAGTAGAAATTGGGAGGAATACGAACTTGTAGAAGAATATGAAGTGGATGAGAATCAAGAGAAAATAAAGAATAAAAAAGAAGAAGAGAAGAAAAAAGTAGAAGAAAAAAGAATGAAAGGCAAGGAAGTGATTCAAGTGAATCTAGGCAAGGTATGTTAAAAAGGGGGAAGTAAAGAAAGAGAGAGTTACCATGGAAAGGAGGTTCTAATTAAAGGGGTATCCAGTTTATTTATTAGTACTACTATTTACTACCGCTACTGCTAAACTATCGATCAACCACAACAATACTGAAATGAATAAGACTTAAAGAATAGAAGGTTAGCATCCTTATGTTTGTTTAGTTCTATGCAGAAGATCGATCCCCGCCAATCATGAAAGCACTGGGCGTCCCTGACATGGATGTGAATAAGTTCAGCTTCATATACTTAATTTTGATAGTATAGTATTTGATAGTGTAAAATATTAGATATATCAAAGCATCTAGGTATGAGGAATACTTACTACTATTTATCACTGACATGTTGACAATTAATTACTGTATACTCAACCCATGGATCTTTCATCTCTTAATATGCTAGAATGTTATGGTTCGTGGCTCTATTTATGCCTGAACATTCAGGCAGCGACATGTCTTCAACTTATCGCAATTATCGCAAATTTACCCCTCCACAAAAAAGTCTACAGACCAGGCTCAATTCAGCTGTAGTTAATTGAGGTTTTGGTAGTGAGTTAGGTATGTATTCTATACCAAGAGAGAAATATGTGACATGTTGGTGCAGCTCTTATGTCTCTCTATCTCTCTCTCTCTCTCTCTCTATGACTCACACTGCGATACATAAGTTGACCTCGTCTTTCGCAGATCCAGATCCTCATCTACGCTCCTCCCCCACATACCATTGGTCTAGTCTACATTCAGACATATAAACACAATGGCAACCTCCATCTACATTGATGAGGATGTCGGCCTTGACGGCGCCGCCGCCGCTGGCACCGAAACTGCCCCATACAAGACTCTCTTGCACGCCTTCATCCAGCACCCTCCCACCAAGGACATCCAATACCTCACCCGCAAGTCTCAGACTGATGCTGCTGGTGAGGATGTGGACCCAGCTGCCAAACTGGAATGGAAACCCGCCACCAAGTCCGCCACAAAGAAGGCCACCAATTTGTATGAACAGCACAAGAAGAAGGCCGCAAAGGAGCAGGATCTCGCCATCCGTGAGAAGGCAGACTTTGACAGACGCCAGAAGTTCCTGGAAGAAGCCAAGAAGGTCATCATTAAGGAGGATGCTTCTCTGCCCAAGCCCGTGCGCATTCGCCTGGATGTCACCGACCCCGCCATCGTCAAGCTGCGCACACCCGAATCCGATGAACCAGGCACCCGAGTCCGTGTGTTGGGTCGCGTCCACCGCATGCGCGCGCAAAAGGGGGTTGTTTTCATCACCATGGCCGACGGCTACGGCTATCTGCAGTGCATCTTGACAGGCGACATGGTCAAGACTTACGATATCATGACTCTTACTCTGGAGACTTCCCTCTCCATTCACGGTGAGATGCGCGCCGTTCCCGAGGGTGCCCACGCTCCCAACAACCGCGAGCTTCACGCCGACTTCTTCACCGTCATCGGCCGTGCTGCCGGTGACAAGGAGGCCATTACCACCCGCGTGGCAAAGGACGCTGACCCTCAAACTCTCCTCGATAACCGTCACCTCGTACTGCGCGGTGAGACCTCCTCAAAAGTGATAAAGGTGCGTGCCGCCACTCTACGTGCCTTCCGCAAGTCTTACGAGGAGAACCGCATGCTGGAGGTGACCCCGCCCGCCATGGTGCAGACCCAGGTCGAGGGAGGCAGCACCCTCTTCGGCTTCGACTACTACGGCGAAAAGGCCTACTTGACTCAGTCGTCCCAGCTCTATCTGGAGACTTGTCTCCCATCGATGGGTGACGTGTTCTGCGTGTGCCCATCGTTCCGTGCCGAGAAGTCGCTCACCCGCCGCCACTTGTCCGAGTACACTCACATCGAGGCCGAGCTGGACTTTATCGCCTTCGACGATCTGCTTGATCACCTCGAGAACATGATCTGTCGCGTTATCGACCTCGTTCTGGCCGAGCCCGAGATTGCTGAGTACATCAAGTCGCTCAACCCCAACTTTAAGATCCCCACGCGTCCTTTCCGTCGCATGAAGTACTCCGATGCCGTAACATGGCTGGTGGAGCACCAGATCCCCAACGAGGAGGGTGAGCCTCACAAGTTTGGTGATGATATCGCCGAAGCTGCCGAGCGCAAGATGACCGACATCATCAACGAACCCATCTTCCTTACCCACTTCCCCGCCGAGATCAAGGCATTCTACATGAAGAAGGACCCTGAGGACCGCCGTGTCACTGAGAGTGTTGATGTGCTCATGCCAGGCGTTGGTGAGATTGTTGGCGGTAGTATGAGAATGGATGACTGGGAGGAGTTGATGGCTGCCTACAAGCACGAGGGCATGGACCCCAAGCCCTACTACTGGTACACTGACCAGCGCAAGTAAGTTGATACCAGCAGCGTCTTCCAAGATAATTTACTAACTGATGTCTCCAGGTACGGTACCTCCCCTCACGGAGGCTACGGATTTGGTTTGGAGCGTTTCCTGGCCTGGCTGTGTGAGCGTCACACTGTCCGAGAGTGCACACTGTACCCTCGCTTCACCGGCCGATGCACTCCGTAAATGTATTTTCCATTCATAGAGCTGTAGGGGATACCAAAAAATGAATATCTGAGTTTTCCAATGTTAATTTCATTGTCATTACCACTTCTCCCTTAGCTATGTTAGTTTCGCTTAGAATGGGAAAGTTGTAGTAAACTAAGCCTATCATTCCCAACCAACCTCGAAACTATCTAGATACCTAACCTTGACTTACCTATACCTAGGAGTTATACAGCTTACACAATGAACGACAATCCATTTGAGCTTCCCGTACCGTGCCACCTTATCGTCTACGAAACGCAACCTTACAGTCAGCTGTACAAAAGATCTGGCATACAAGCCAACATCTCACAAAGTTAACCCAAAAGCCAGACTACATATAGAGACCACAGTTGAGACCGCACACAACAGGCTCATCTGTCAGCTAGCAGCTCCAGCTACCAGACATGCAGGTATCCAAAACACGGCACTGCATGGCATCTATACGATGTCAAGATAGAACTATACAGTCGGAAAACAACAGCATTTCCCTTGGTCGGTACTGTCTTCGGCTGGACAGCCTCTGATTTTCGCACGGGCGGACTAGAAGGGCTGACGGGTTGTGGATGACGGATAGGCGACGGGCCGAATCGCGTGTCTAAACAAGGTAGGATAGGTGAGTTGTGACAAGAGGTAATCGACCTTCAAGTTAGGGACCCCTTCGTTCTGGCTGGTGAGACTTGCTTGCTGGTCGGGATCGGAAGATGAGAAGTGGCCATAGAATGCCATGTCTAGGTATTGGGGATTCTGAAAAGCCGTTTTATCCGCTTGTCATTTCCTTCGCATCCTTCACACTTCATTCTCACTCATGAAAAGAGAAAGGTCATGTTCTTTGGATCTGGTAGGGAGGACTCCTCAGAGTTACCGTCGAACAGAGAATAATCCCCGTGCTCCACCACCCGTGCTGGATGCCATTGCTCAATTCACTCGGAGAAAGACTCCGTAGCTCAACGAGTCATCTCATTTGTCCAGAGCACCAACACCGATTGCCTTGGAAGGGGTTCGCAGATCCAGAGAACCAGAGAAAGATCTTTGGATCTGTATTTGATTCTTTTCTCCAATTCGCTTGACCGGGTTCATCTCGCCTTAGAACAAAAACTGATGAGAGCATTCAAGCTCTTATCTTGGTCTTGGCAAATTCTTTGGCCTGACTGACTGGCTTGGTCCTTTTAAGTTGTTCTCTCTAGGTTCTCGGCATCTAGAGATCTGAGGTCATTGTCCATGGACGTCGGTCACGCCACAACGATGATATCAGGGGCAAAATTGCTGCACAATTCCAGAATCGATGTATATCCAATGCGTTCCCAGTTTCTGTTATCGATTTTAGCAGGCACATAAATTCTTTGGGAGCTTAGTCCATTTTCCAATGAAAAGTTGAGACTTTCGATACAGACGGCAAACGAGAATATATTGGACTGCATCTCTCATTTCTCAACCGAAACAAACAAAAAGCAACAACAAAAGATCACCATGTCATCGGTGACATATTATCATTTCCATTCTCATCATTCATCCATTCGTCACAAACTGACCCGGATAAATTTCAAATCCAACCAAGCAAAGCATTTTAAGAGAACTCGGTATGTCAGCGCAGCCTCGTCGTCGAGCATGCCACTACCCATCTCCTTCAAAGACCTTACTCCAACTCAGCGGATTCGGATTCGTCAGGGCTTGAGGGATGTACGTCGTCACTATCAAGCACCGTTTCCGTTCCGGGTCCTGATATGGTTGATAGTATCGAGGATCTGGGCCTGCGAGGCACCAGTGCGGATGACGGAGATGATGCGGGAAACAGACTCCTCATCTCCGTTCGAGATGAGCTCGATGAGCCCGTTGAGAACAGGAGCGTCGTTGGAGTTTGTTGTACGGAGGTACTCGCGAAGTTCATTTGCTTGTTCTGGGCTGGCACCTCTGTTTTCGGGTGAGTTGATTTTAGCTTACTGATCGGATTCACATTCACACGGCAACAGAGAGAAGTCTCGCTTGACCGTGCCCCTTCCCCCACTCAGAGAACAAACAAGTACGACAAGAAGCCTATCTTGAGGGGACGAGATGGGATGAGGATGATGAGTATGATGATGAGGATTAGCGAAAGAGGAACGCGCCTACCTCGAAGCATGTCCGTTGGTCTGTCCGTTGGTCTGTCCTCCGTTCTGCGATGGGGCCCCCTGGCTACCAGAGTTGTTTGCTGCCCGGTTCGACATGTTGAGTTGGTGACCACGATGATACTACAGAGTGTACGGGTGGGAAGTCGGGCTGATGATGATTCTGTTTAGGATAATGAAGAATATGAAGGTGTAATGTGATGTGGGATTCGATGGGTGGGCGTCTAACCGTTAGGGCTGCAGTAGTCAGTCCTCCGGCGTCAGTGCCCGATAGCATCATGAAAATGGAAGGGAAATGGACGAGATATTGTGAGGATCTTGAAAAAGGGTCTAGAGTAGGGAACGTAGAACAAAAGGGCCCGAAAGGGCCCGAAAGGGAGGGCAAAGAGAGCGGTCGGTCATACAGTAATATTTGATTCTCTAAATAGTGCCGGGATAGGAAGTCCAGATTCGAAAAACCCGCGAGAAATCGAAAGGAAAATTGAATGAGTGATAACAAGGATCAATGTGGGACGTTTTTAGAGCCATGGACTCAAATTGCGTTTTGTCCTTTTCAAGTTGTTTGCTCGTGCTGTCGCTTCTCTACTTGATGGGATTTGGTTGCCAGATCGGCCATTCTTGGCGATGTCCCCTCAAACGGGATCGAACGGACTTCATTCTTTTCAAATATCATTTCAAATTACCCTGTTGTTGTCCACTTTCATTTCCCCGAAATCCCTCGTTGAAATTCTTTTCTTAGCAGGTCGCAGGCTTCTGTCGGTTCGGAAGAACGTGCCGTCCAATAATCGAGACTGTTTGCAAGATCTTCCCGAATCCATGAGGTATCGCAAAAATTGATTTGCCTCATCTCGCCCTTTCCGCACGATTGGTGTACGGTATCTTTCAACGATCAGACCATTGTTCTGTGAAGCAAAAGGCTGGAAACAAGACTGTTGCTGGATAGTTGAAGGTTCCCGAGATCCTCATTGGACCAGTCTGGAGATGTGTGCTGAGAGAGGTTGTTAGGCCCAACGGGCTTTATCACCGTCATATTTCTTGGATTAGAGAGTCCTATTGGTGGTCAAAGACAGGAGCGAGTTAGAGCAAATCCAGTTGATACTGACAGACCCCCTTGTCACGGTTGTCAGATGCCGGGTCGTGAGCTTGCAGTTTGCCAGCTGTCAGGATGTCACTCTTAACACATTTCACAGTGACAGAGATAATACCTTCGCAGTGACAGAGAGAACAGTTGCACCAAGCGTGCTGGGCCCTATTGCTAACTCTTTGCCGTATCAACTTCGACGCGTCCGAGTTCGCGATTCACGGTTTCCTCCACGCCCTCGCTAGCGACGAAAATCCAAATCAAATTATCAGAAACGACACAGGAATGAGACCATTCACACAGGTGTATCCGATGATGGCTCAAATGGCATATGGCTGAGTTCAAGTGATGAGAAATGGTCCTTGGGCCAAGATGGATGACCCTAGCGACACTAGGGTCAAGGTCAGCTATAACTCGGGTATTGCTTGAATTATATTTCAACTTTCATATGAGAATGTGTGAAAAGAAGCAGTATGCTGACTGTCACTCGTCACTATAGACCAGAGCTTGTCAAATCGATTGGATGCGAACCTCCTCATTTCCTCTATTCGTGACTGTGACAAAATCCGAGCCCCTCGAGCTCGCACGGTCATCATCTTTTGACTCATTCAATCGTATGCTCGGAGTACGGGAGTAACACATGGTGCCGGTGGTCCATTGTGACTCTGTGAACGGCTTGCTTCGCGTTCGAGAAACTCAAGTTCCCATATGAGCAATTATTGATGGGCATGTCAACGACAACAGCCCACAAACAAACTGAGAACAGGAGTGTAGTGTTCTATGAGAGATATTCAAAGAACATATGCGCAGCCTTTTGTGTTTGAAGTCAGCCGTCCCTTGTGGATGGCATATTGCCAATGACCATGGATATGGTGCTATTGGACCCCAATACCCCCAAAGGGTTCGACGCAAGATTTCATAGTGACGAGGCATTTATTCCATGCTTGCAGTACAGCTAGCATTCATGGCTGAAGCTATCTCGACGTGCTTTAATCCCTGAGCCGATTTCGTGCATTCTGGGCTTGAAGATCCTGGCCCTATTGTTGTTTGTCTTCGAGATTTTGTCCTGTATCAGGTAAGTGCACCTCTTTCTGACTTTACATGACAGGAACTGAAAGTTTGCAACGTCAAATAGACAAGGTCAGTGCCGAGGGTTCATCACACTGAGAACACTTTGAAAGCCCCAGACAAAAGAACCCATTAAAACTTGAGTAATACAGTTATTATCAGGCCATGTAGTCTTCAATCTCGGGTCAGATGGTAATTGCCATCCAGTGAGACTCTCGAGAAGGAGCCGGGATGGCAAGGCCTAGATGTCGCTCACGATGAACTCCATTAGCGAGTTGATGTGTGTGGTAGGTAGGATTCGAATATGAGGAGATTGTTGGCCGTGGATTCTCGTCGTGCTTATACTGTAGGTTATCAAGGATTGCGTGTTATTATGATCTGCTAATTAGTAGCAAATATGTCCGGACGACACGGTCGGCGGATGAATATGAAAATACTTCTGTTTTTAGGGTTCGTCAATATCCCAGCTTGTGTGACTCCATTCAGATGCGACTATCTAGATGATATGCAGCAGCGTGTTAGTAGCGGCCTCACATCATCGTCACCAGCCTTATCACGAGGCTCAGTACACGCAGAAGAACCATCGTTGTTTTTTGAGTCGAAAGACGAGACAGTGGAGCCAAAAAAAGGCAAGATCGGACCATTATATGAAGATCGAGACTGCCATAACAAACACCTCCAGATCTCGAATCCTGCTTTTGCTCCGGAACAGAGGAAAGCAGGCATTTCAATGATTTTAGTTCCAGGATTGAATTGACCGGGGAGATGAAGATGGTTGCCCATTCCAATCTCTCCTTCTCTATCCGTGGCGTTTTAGTGTCAGTGGAAAAGAGTTCCTGTCATTATTATTGGAGCTACGGTTCCGCCCTCCAGCCACGACTGTTCGCACTTTTACATTCTGACCATCCCTACTCGAGGAACTTATATTGAAGATTCATCCGAAAGACACTCTGTTGAATGGAACTATCAAAAAATATCCATAATTTATCCAGAAATAGCTGATTTGTCGAATGAAAAAACCACCTGTGTGGGACAGGCCGATGCTGCCGCTTCACCAGGAAAGGCTTGATACATCCATGTCGACGGAAATGTATTCAGCTTTGTATAGGCTACACCATTGCACCTACCTGGCAGCCTGGTTCTAAACTATTATACCATCTGGCCAAGATTAATTCCTTGTTAATTGTGCTACAGGTACAGGGGGTCATACATCGAACGAAGGGGTACATAAAATCGTTTCATTTCCCTGTTGATCATCTATCTAGCTATGTAGTAACCGTCTTAGCATGGCTTTTATCTTTTCTTTTCGGATGTAGGTCTTATTCAAGAGTCGACCAGTGCAAAGGACGTGTCCCGATGCCCGGCTTAATTAACTTGACAGCCATATTACTGAACAAATTATGATCATGTCACTAATAACATTCCCAAGGTAACCGGTTCCTCAGATCGAGATAGACATGGAAGGGATATTCCTAGTTCTCTAACCTTGGGGGTTCTGTACAGTATGACATCAAATATGAACGATAAATACAGAGTGGGTAAGAGTCCACCCTATCATTTCTACTAAGTTTGGTACGGACGTTGAATCGAGTTCGGTATTTTTCGAATTTGGTACGTACTGCTTTGCATCCCAAGGTATGGAGTAGAGGAGTGCTTTGTTGCAATACTACCTATCACTATTCCTTTTAGTCAGATTAAGCGCATAGCCGCATATCCCAGTAGATCAGCCAGATCACTCAGCGCTCTACTTTCAATCTGTCTACTAACCTTACATCTCTTATATTATCTTAAGCTTCCTCATTATCCAACTTTATTTCATTTTGTGTCTTTCTAAATACTGCTGAACACCTGCAAATCGCCTTGATATTTAGAAGCATGCCATGTTCTTAGCAAGAGTTAACGATACACTGCAGCCGAGTGCCTTGCAGCCAAATACTGCGACAAATGAATCACGAGTATATTGACATTCGTTCGCGAAGGAAGCCCTTGAAGGTTTAGACGATAGAGCTACTCTAGGATCAGTCCTGCCGTGAGAAATGCCCTTTATTGTCCCAACGTTACCAGCCAAGCTGCTTGCAATATACGAAGTTACCTCGGCCGACTACACCAAAAAGAAATGATGTTGACTGCAGCCTCGTCGGAATTGAATACTTCCCAACTAGCCGAGTGTAATGCAAGTAACAGATTGTAAAAAAGGACCAACGTAACATTACTGCTAAGGGTCCTAACCCCTGTCATTTACAGTTTATATGACAATTACTTCGACAATGGTGATATGGAATCAAGGAACAAGGAGCACCAAACTATATTAGAGTTCTGGCGCTTGTATGTACTCTTGTTCTCTCTTACCGGCTGATTGAGGTCCAGTAGCATGCAGGCTCAGAGGCTTATACAAACTTAGCTGCGAGTTGGTAGGATCACTGCGTTTCTGAGTCAAGCGAAAAATTGCGCTCTATCGACATAGACATTATTGGATTGGTGAATAAAAGTGCTGCTCGATGGTGGACAACAATTATGGCTCCTAGAAAAGGGTAGAAGGCCATTCTTACCAATGAAAATGACAAAGTGTGTCTCTCGTCCAGGTCATTGCCACTAAAGGAACCAGGTTTCCATCGGTCCTGGCTCTACTACCTACTCACTACCATCATCCCATGTTACGCTGGAGTTTCTCGCTGACTTCTGCTCTCTACACAACATAGGCAATCAGGTTTTTGCAACCTTCTCTACAGCGTTGAAATTCAATACGCACAGCCATTCGAAGTGGCCATTGAGTTGCCACCAGTCATTCAAGGTAATGCAGGTCATTCAAATGAGCAGTCGACCAACGAGCATCTTCCTATGATCAATTATATTCCCTATTACATATCCATGGGCTACAACCATACCACATAGGGAAATAGGGTCTTTTTGTAACCATCACTAAGACAACCCATGCAACCATGTCACCTCCAAAGTCTTAGCGCCATAGTTTCAGGTTCAAAATTGTACTAGGATAGTGTCCGCTATAGTGTCTATAATGGTGTTATGTATATAATAGTGATATGTTTAGAGCGATAATGTGATAATATTGTAATAGTGTATCAAGAGCTATAGATAGATCAAGTCTACCTACCTAGATAGAATCGGGTTAATGATGATCATAGCTAAAGAGGAGGAGAGCGTTTCAAGGTTATAACCGTTTTAGGAGCCATAGATAGAGAGATCAAAAGTAGGTAGAGGCGCGTTAGTGATGATCATCAAGAGGGGAATGTACAAAGGTTCGAACCTTCTAACCTTAGAAGGTTGGAAAATTACTCAATATGGTTATTGATACTGCTATATACTAATATTATAAAAATACATTTTTTTTTTAAAATATGGTCGTCGAAATAGTTCCAGATTTTTCCGGTGCTATAGGTAGCTCTATAAGCAATAGTGTCAGCGATGTGTCAGGAACACTAGTGTCATCATTTATGAAACCCATCCAACGCTATTAGGATACCGTCAATTTACCCTCACGATTTAGGTTTAAACTATTCTTAGTTTATAGAGCTTAAAATGGTTGTAAATTGAATCTATTTTATTAGTAGGTAGACATTTTCACATAATAGTCAGAGACGGTTGTAAAAAGACCCCATTTCCCCATTTCCCCATATAGTAGTGTGATGATATCAAGTCTCTGTGGCTCATTACGAGAGCCAGATATTTCATGTAACCTGGTTAGTCCATCGTTACAACCAATTTTAGAAGAAATCCCAAGCCCTAAGAGTAGCTGAGTGATATCACGAAGTAGCCAACGCCGTACTTGCCTCAGGTCCCTTTGTATAGGGGCTGCTCTTAGTTCTACCGATGTCCATTGACTTGGTCCTCGATAAAACGCCTCCCCTTAATCCAAATGGGTTCTGGTGGACAGCTTCCGCGGTGTTTTATGGACCTTCCAGGAGCAGGGCCATATTTTCAGGATATCGTCGGGGTCAGTACCATAATTAGAGCAAGCTGATATCAGGAGAATTCTATATCTCCAAAGCTCCGATGATGGCGGTCTCTACTATACAGCCTTCCGTTTTTAACGTAACAGCCTGCTGGAAAATCCCCTGAAGCGAAAACCGTGCTAAGAGTTCGTACCCGTTAATCATGCTCCAGACAACGTCCACTCTACGCTTATTGGAACTGGACTTTACAATATGGGTCTTTTTTGATCCACTAGGACTCCTCATGCGACTATCCAGTCAATTCGCAAAGTCACAAATACAAGTCCGAAACGAGATTTGCAGCTTTGATTGTCCCTTTGTTTCTATGTCATCAGCAGAAATCTTCCCTTGGGTTTCGGCAAATGGTGGATACAAACCACCAGAGTCGATATACAATGACAGTGAAATTTACTTGCATGCGAATGACCCCCTGATAAGTGAAACTGTCTCACGAGGAACTTTGCTTTTCACGTGAAGGTCATATAAATGAGTGGGTTGCCAAGCAATAATCAGGAGGTCACTTGATTAGTCGTCTAAGCAGTGATCTTACACCTGTACTTGTATTTGTATACCCTAGGTAGATAAGATACGTGGACTTCAGGATTTATTATTCTATTCAGAACGTTCAATACCTGCTTCTTCGTACTTTTTCCAGTACTTTTTTCCAGTACTTTCTCATATTCAGGTAAGTGCGATGGACAGGGGTTGAAATTCAGGGATTTTTAGATATACCGGTATTATGGGCCATGGGATACCTAATCATGAGGTCCTCTTCAAGGGTCCCAGAGAGAGCCTTCCAAGAGTTGAATATATCCGTCTCTTGTGCATATTCAAAGTTGAAGGCTGTAACCCTACCTCCCGGGCCAGCTATCGGTCACTTCTAGACATTTCCTATAATTAATCACAAATTTCTCGGTGCTTTCAATCCTTTCAAAGTTTATTCCTGCTGGCAATCAGGAGATGTTGTCCATGGACTGCAGTTATGCTATAGACAGTTCAGAAGACGACTAGAACCTTAGTAAAGTTCTGTGGCGCAAGGAACGTGCCCATTTGCGACGAGACACAATCAATAGCGAACTTTTAATTGCTGCGGATAAACTAATAGCATGCGACATCTCTCGATTTTTTCTAGTCGTATGACCGCGTCCCACCTATCCCACCTATTTTCCATTCTTGGATGCGATCAACAGATTACTCCATACAGCTTGAAACAGGTTTGAATGGATCCTGTAAATTATTAACCAATCTCATGAGTCTATCTCTAGGGTGATAATTGAATCCGCAAGGCTCCAAACGCCGACCTTATATCTGAACCGGTGGAGTGGGTTCAAGGATGCAGGATTTTATTAATCTAAAGCTTAGTATTCACTCCAGCTCGGTCTAGGCTTTCTCCTAATTGAGTTCGTATGCATAAGTACCAAGGCTTAGAACGGACGAAATTAGTCCGAGCCGTGGATGGTGCTTTGTTTACAATCATGCTGTTCATCCATAGTGAAGAGTAGATGCCTAGGGGTACTCTTGTTCGTTTCTTCAGTTTAGTTGTCAAGTAAGTAGGTATCATTATTGAGATAGAAAGAATGAGAGTATATGGACACGAGGAAAAAGACAAGGAAAGACATGTAGTGTGATACAATCCAGCCACCTGGGCAGGAAGCCCACCTTGAAGGAATGTTCCAAACGATCCTGAGGTTGGGTGATCATTGACCTAATTTAAGATGGTCAACGATAACACTTGTAGGAAAATGACGGTGCTGCGCATCCTGCGAGTGTCCATCCTGTGATTGGTCGTTCAACGACCCCTCATACAACGATCCTGTTTCAACAACCAACTGCGTGAGAGGAAATTCACTATCCATCTCATTCATCTTTGACGTGTGGTTTTTGCTGAGGATGGCGCCTGAGCCTCCAGTTGGAGGTGTGCCTGAATATCCAGCATTGGCAGTGGGGAAAAATCTGGGAAAAGCAGCCCTTATAACAGGTCGTATCATAGGTGCACAGGAGTTTGACACGGCAAGAGAGGGCTCGGTGACACTCCAAAAGGCAGCCCAGGTCATTGAGTATGCAAGATTTGAGAAATCGATCACTTCCATGACGTGAATTCGGATGATGGTAATGGATGAAATACTGTAGTCTAGTTAGATTTTGTAAAGATGTTTGAAGGGGTCGGGAGATTTCCATACAATGCACCAAGTCCAAAAATGGAAAGCAACGCCAGCTTAGTCGAGAGAGACATTTGCAGCTTCCAGATAAAGCGCATGGGTAACAGAATAATCGCCACATCCGTAATCAGGTTGAAGGCTCCAATTGTCGAAAAGGCCACATTCCGATTCCCACAATGACCTGGCACCGATACATCCCAGTTCTTCTCAAAGGGTATGCATAGCAGGAAAACCTGAAGTGTAGATCCAAGCCAGTATGCAAACGAGGCTGCCATGCACGCCCAGGTGAGGATGCGAAACTCCTTGCTCACGAAGATGCGCAAGTAGAAGAATAGGTAGGTGAATTTAGAAAGTACCATGGCGTTGTAGTAGATGAATTGGTAGATCAAGAGTATTTTCACAATGAGGATTTGGTTTTTGGCTGGCAGTTCCGCCATTTGGTGTCGCATACCGATAGCAGCGTAGTAATATTGCATGGATAGCATCCCGAAGGTGTGTAAAAGGGCCAGGACACAGCAGAAGTCATCCCACCATAGGTTGCTCTTTCGAATCCGTTGAGAGACAAATCGTAATATCACCATAAAAAAAGATCCGGCGACAAGGACAGTGTTGGCGATAAGCTGTCCTCGCACAAGGGAATAAGTAAAAACATTGTATAATTGCATTTCAAATCAAATTATCCCTAGAGCTTGTTTTTTTTTTTTTTTTTTTCTGACAAGATAATCATCGAGAGTTTGTACTCCCACTGAGATAGAAGAAAGATGCTCCAAGGTTAAGACAGGATCACATATGTCAGTATATAGAATGTTCTATAATAGAATTTTATAAATCAGGCTTAAACTATTCAAGGGGTACATTCAAATAATTCAAGTTTCCAGGTTTCTGGTAGGTTAAAGAGTGGCGCGTGGGACCGTTGAAGGACCCATTTTACCGGCTAAAGGATTTTAGTAACTTTTAGTTTAATTTTGGTGCGCATTAGCGTATTCTACTCAATTTAACTGATGAGAGCTAGTATCAACGGGGCCAAATTGATACTATCTTATTGGAAAGGTTTCACGCTTACAGCAAAATAAGCGAATAAGTAGCCGCTATACGGGATCGACCTGCTGGTCACTCCAAAAGTTATGGATATCCGGATTAGGGCTTTTTTCGGAACCTCCCCGCGGAAACAAAAGGACTTTCCGCATGCCATTTAAGGAATAAAGTTGTCCGATTGCTCCACTGGTTCCATTACTTTGATTCTTCATACTCCGTACTCCTGAGCAAGGCTGATTCTAAAGTACACAATGGAAGGATACGACTACATCATTATTGGCGCTGGCATTGGTGGTCTTTGTTTGGCTAGCCGTCTGACTGAAGATGCCTCCAATAAGGTCCTTCTCATTGAGGCTGGTGCCAATCGCATTGGTGATCCGCGTATTGATACCCCTGGATATCTGGCCACGCTGTATGGTGATGCCGACTATGATTGGGATTATATGAGTATTCCTCAGGTACTGACATCTTCATCTCTCAACTCAATTACATAACTGATACGAGTCATGACTAGCCCCACGCAAACAACCGACAGATAGCTCAGCCCCGTGGCCGTGTTGTTGGTGGCACCAGTGCCATGAACTTCTCCGTGAACACCTACCCTCTTAACTCCAATTTTGATGCATGGAAGGATCTGGGCAATGAAGGCTGGGGTGCTAAAGATCTCGCTCCCTACATTCGCAAGTACCAGAAGTTCACTCCTGCCAGCAAGACTTCGGAGGAGATCATTGATTCTTCTCGTTACACCAATGTTGACAACCAAGGGGCTGAAGGTCCTATCCCCGTTTCCTTCCCAGAGGTATATGGACCGTTCAATAAAGCCTGGGATGAGACTTTTAAGGAGTTGGGCTGGGAGACAAATGATGATCCCATCGATGGCAAGAAGCTTGGTGCTTTCACCCCCGCCCTAAGCATTGACTCCAAGCTGGGTAAGAGAGGATACGCTGCAGATTACTATACCGCTGAGGTTGCCGCACGGTCAAATCTGACTTTGCTCGCGGAGACCCTGGTTGAGAAAATTCTCCTCGTCAAAGAAGACGGAAGTGTCGTTGCCAAGGGCGTGCAGGTCAAGACCAAGGACAGCACTTACGAGATCGCCGCAAAGAAGGAAGTTCTCCTCTGTGGAGGAAGTCTTAACTCCCCTCAGCTGCTTGAACTCTCCGGTATTGGCAACAAGGATCTTCTCCAGAAGCACGGTATCCCAGTGATCATCGAAAACCCGGCTGTGGGTGAGAACCTGCAAGATCACGCCCTCACCAGTCTCAACCTCGAGATCGCCGATGGCCAGGTCTCGGGTGATATCATGCGCGACCCGAACGTCGTCCAGGCACTTGTCAAACTATACGCTGAGACAAATGGAGGTCCTCTGGCAGGTATGCCCATCAGCTTGGCATACCTCCCTCTCGTGGACGGACGATCAGAGGCTAAAGGCGTCGTCTCCAAGGAAGAGATCGAAAAGCTCATTGCCGCATACCCCGATAGCGACGACATCTCACCTGGCCTGAAACTGCAATATAACCGCTTGCGCGAAATGCTCCTCGACACCGAGGACGCGTCGCTGCAGTATCTCTTCTTGCCCGCCCAGCTGCACATGAAGCCCGGCAAGACAACTCTGCCCGACGTGCTGACCAAGACTCTGTCCGGAAGCTACGTTTCCATCATGATGCTGAACAGCCACCCATTCTCGCGTGGATCCGTCCACATCGTCTCTGCAAAGGCCGATGAGAAGCCTGTATACGACCCTAACTATCTCTCGCACCCCATTGACCTGGAGGTGATGGCCCGACACATGCAGTTCGCGGGTCGCGTCGCTTCAACCGGAGCATTTGCCGGTCTCCTCAAGGCCGGGAAGCATCAGCCTGAGCACGCAAATGACCTGAGCAACTTAGATAACGTCAAGGAACTTGTGAAGGAGCGCTTGTATACCTGTTTCCACCCAGTCGGAACCTGTTCCATGCTACCAAAGGAGAGTGGAGGTGTTGTCGACACGAACCTGAAGGTTTACGGAACCAAGAACTTGAGAGTTGTTGATGCTAGTATCATGCCTCTTGAGATCACTGGAAATATCCAGTCTGGTATTTATGCAGTTGCTGAACGGGCCGCTGATTTGATCAAGGGCGTGATCTAGTTGCCTCACGGTAGCAATGAGACGTTCACTGGGTCTGTGTATATATTGTATATATGTGTGTATTTATTGGAATTGATTGATCTTCCTACTCAAGAGAAACCGTGATGGTATAAATGTACTGGAGTGTAGATTGATCTAATTAGAACTTACATATTCTATAATTCTATGACGAAGTCCTGATTGTCAACCACGGATCTGTACAAGTTATCAATCTAAATATCCAGGGCTCACTTTCCATGGATTTCACTTTTACTTTTACTTTCACTTTCACTTTCACTCTTCCTGTTCTCCCGTGACATCGTCTCTAGCGCCTAGGAGCTCCTATATCTGGAGGCTTCCCAAGCTATTTATTCCTTCTCTTCCATCCTCCCTTCCACTTCCATTCCATCTTACCAACTCTTCCACATAATCTTCCAAGCTTAAAAGGTTCTATCCACACAGTCCATCTTCTTAAGCCCGGATACTGCAGAAACCCCGAATATCTGTCGCGGAATCCTCTATCGTGGCGGTCATGGCTCATTTTCTGAAGAAAGCAGTTTTCAGCAGCCAAGACTAAGGAGGCCAATGGAGGAGTACATCCATGACCAAGAAGAAATTATTGGCTTCTTGATTTATCGCTTATACAGGGCTTGTCTCTACTGCGACAGAGATGGAATCAAGAGGCCCCAATCCTAACATCACGCCTCTGACATCCGCCACTTGCGGAAAGCAATGGAATTGATACCGAGAACAGAGAGAACAACAATTATAAAGGTGGCGAGAGGCGTTCTAAGAAAAGCTTCTTCTAGGTACAATGACCAAAAAGAAGCGTAATGCGTGACTCCTTGATTTGGCACCCATACGGATCTTACCTCCGCTCTGACCGAAATGCACAAGATCGGCATCGCAACGCAGCAGAAGTATTCAGAGGAGCACGAACTCAAGAATCTGCAAGATACATCTGGCCCACTGGACACCAATCCACCCAAACAGGGAGGCGGTGTCGTAAGTTACACTGCTCGCAGATTGCGAGAGATTTTGAACTGCTCTGGACTCCTCGCAAGGAGATTTGGACCGATCCATCTTGCTGATTCATGCTGGCGAGGCCATGAATTCCCTGCATCCACTCGACTTTTGTCGATCATACAATTGTCTAGGCTCACCGAGGGATACCATTGTTGACAGACGTGGTAGTCCCTGACGCTTAGTACAGAGGACCCTCCAGCAGATCGATCTCAACCGCATGACCTGGTCAGCGTCACGAAACACGCACTAGGTTCTCAATCGTGCTCCTCTCAAGTGCAGTCTGCATCAGGATGGTGGAGTCGCTGGAGAGCGAAAGCTTGAGTTCTTTACAGCAGCACGAGTAGGCGCATGGTCAACGCGGTCAGCTATATTATCTACATTCCATGTGGGCATTAGATTTGTTCCAAATACTACTCGCCAATCTCACGAGTCTGGAACTCATGAGCCAAAACCCTAAGAGTCCAATTCCCAGGAATCTGAGTTCAAGCCTCAGGAGATCCATGGCTGTTGTCGCACCCTCTTCTCAGCATTATCTGCCAGTCTCCCTGGACTAGTTGGTTAGTTTTATTTCTACATCTATATTAGGTAGGCAGGAGCGCACGCGCAGTCATGCGGTGTTGTTAGTTTTAGGTATTTTATATTTAGTAGGTAGGTTGGAGCGCACGCGCTGCAGGATCAGAAGCAGATGGTAAGCATAGTGTAACCTTGAAATGCATGTAGGCTGTAGAACATTTCTCTGAGATATACTATTACTAACAGCAGGCTTTGGTATATGTCATTCACTTAGAATTTATATAGAATTGGAAAATGTGATTCAATGTTTAATTTATTCTTTCAGACTGGATGGCATAGAGACCAAATTTATACCATGTCACTCACCTGCCCAAGTGGGCACTGTCAAGCTTTACTTACCTACGTACTCTATATGCCTAGGTGGTGGTAATGGGCTATCCCACATACTGAAGCCTTGTTGACAGTATTCAACCCACTTGAGCATTTTTATTTTCGAGATCTACAAACCGACGAAATTACCTACCTGCTACCTAAACCTTGAGATGCTATAAATTCTCTTATAGCCCTCGACCACTTCTGAGATCATACCCACAAGGAAATAACACTTGAATCTACGTGTCCATTCGGATGAGAAGACGAGGTATCCATCCCTATCGAGAATAGAACGCGAACTATGTAATCCACAACCACATTCCAAACACGCCTCCAACAAGAATGCTACCAACCCCCTTGGAAGAGTAAAAAAGATGTATATACCTGTTCGCAAGAACCTGAGGATGGAGTTCCTCAACACGCGTCAACTTTGACATACGACGGCAACGACAGGAGAGCGTTATCTAGCCCTAACCCTCCAGCAAGCAATCAACCAAGCCCAGTAATAAAGGAACCAAAATGCAGTACTCACTCGTACTGCTTCTCGCCGCGCAGGCAAGTGCCTTTCACATGGCCTCAGCCTCACCAACGCCCTCGTCGTCGGCACCAGCATCATTGGCATACTCATCCTCAGCAACCCCATCACCATCCGAGTCGGCACTCTATGAAATCCCCTACCACTGGTACTCAATGCTACCGCAATCATCAGGCTCATTGACAAAAGTAGCCTCATCAAGCCCCTACGTCAAAAGCGGAAGCGCCAGCGCGACTCCAAGCCCAAGCGGGGACCAAGACGCAGACCTAGTCTCAACACCCTACAGCGCAAGTGCTAGCGCGACTCCAAGCCCAAGTGCAGACCAAGAAACAGACGTAGCCTCAACACCCTACAGTTCAGGCCCAGGGGCAACTCCCTCCACGGCAGAAGAGCGTTTCGTAAACCACGGTGTGGCACCCGCGCACCCGCATGAAGGCTTCCAAACGAGTCCTAAGCGCTTTAGCTCTGGAACTGGAGGCGCTGTTGCAAAGGGATACCCGCACGGCACGAACATCGCGCCCATCGACCCCATGACACCGGGTATTGAAGTTGCGCCTGTTAGTATTGAGAAGCCGCATGGGAAGGACGAGGGGAATTCGTTTTGTATGGGGACTTGTTTTGAGAGTGCGAGAGAAGCTGCGTGTCCTGGTCCTTATGTGAGTATACGCTGACATTCTCGTATTTGAGCTGGATTTAGATCTGGATTGCGATTCTATTTTACTAATGCCTTTTTCTACTTTTTTTTAGCAAACGGCCCTTTATCAGGGCAAGGGATGCTGGGAGTGTTGTTTTACATCGCCTGGTTTCTAGGTCTTGTTTGAGTTTGACTGGTCCAGGTCATATAGCCAGACGGATTATCGGGAGGAATGTATCGCTTTTTATTGGATTGGTTAGGGCTATGTTTGATATTCGGGGGGGTCAATGTCATGTCCTTTGTTAGGTATGTATTTATCCGTTTAATCTGATTTGGCATATCATATGCAGTTTGATCATGCACACAATCCAATCGAAGCATCGTATCATAAAGCAAGGAAGAAAAAGAAAAGGCACACCGCCATTTGGATTTTGGATCGACGACAGGGCTATTGTTATTCCAGGGCTGAACTTTGAAAATCACGCCATGTCACCGGCCAATTACAGGAAATAGTCAGATTAGAAAAGGGTCTATTGATCGTTCTAGGCACGAAACAAAAAATCCAAACAAAAATTGCAATGCGTACATCAAAATATTTACAGATTTCCCAGAAACTGATGAGTTTTCAATGAAAATATGCAAAGTAAAATTTAAATGTAGATGCAAATCACACTTTCTAAGATCGACCGACAGGGCGCATCATGCTGATAGGAGCACTCTTGTACGGAGAAGGAGCATCTTCCCAGTCCGCAGTAGCGAAGAGGACATCATCCGAAACCTCGTTCTCAGGCTCAGCTACATGCGGAACGACAAATTCAACGCTTTTGGCACCAGCATTATAGAAAGGAGGGTTGTAGCGCGGCGCAGACGGGCGCTGGAATGAAGCTTCGTAGTTGCCGAGGTAATCGGAGGCAGTGCTGCTGCACGAGGAGGCAACGGTGGACGGGCCCGGGGTGTGGGTCAGCGAGGGCACGTGTGCGTCGCCATGGCCAGCAAGCACGGGCAGACTGTTGCTGCGGACGGAGGTGGGTCGATGAAGCAGGGACTCGGCGCCGCCGTGGAACTTGGAGAGGTAGTTCCAGGCGTCGGAGGTTGCGACAGACGACGAAGTCATGAGGCCCGGCCGTATAACTGGCTTCCACTCGGTGGGATCAAGATCTGTCTTGGCGTGGTGGGTGTAGCCTGGTATCCGGATGGATGGGACAGAGTGGCCAAGACCCCTAGTCGGGGTCATTGGAGCGACGATTGTGCGTGGGGAGAGGGGAGGAGATGTGGGAGGAGTGGTTGAGATGGTAGACATTTTGGAAATTGAGGGTAGAGAAGCCGAGAGCGGTTTGCAAGAGTCTTTACGGCGGCAGCTGAGTGAAGAAGTTGAGATTAGAATTGGAATTGGAATTGGAATCGGAAACTGGGGATGTTTTGTATAAAGGGTGAAGGGCTATAAATAGGACATGGGAATTACCTTTCAGAGCAGTATAGGATTGAATTATTAGGGACAGTAATCTGTCTCTCACACATAGCACTAATCAGAAAGTCAGTATTAACAAGTAATGGTATGTATGAGTAAGGAGTGAAGGATGTTTTGGGGCCAAGATAAGAGATCAGAAATGGAAAAAACTCACCAGAAATTGAGAAAACTGGCAGACATGTCGATATCGTCCGGCTTGGTTGTCCTATGACCAGAGCCTAATTTTGAAATGGAGAGATTGGCACCAGAGGTACCTCGACGATGGAGTATAGGACGAGATGATTTCTGTTTATGAGGAGAAGAAGGAGAACGACGGGATTGAGTCATGGGGGGCGGTGAGGGTGAGAGGCCTTTATCTCTGTGGAGCACGAAATCAAGCGTGAGATAAAGCACGGATTTTTGAGGGATTTATTGCTCGCTCTCTATTAAACCCTAGACCGCTAGGAATTTAATCGGGATCCTGCAGCAGAATTCAAAAGCAGAATGTGATGGACAGGTTGTGTGGGAAACAGAAGAATGGAGCTGATAACGTGTCCAAGGTTAATACACGGCGTAAGAGTAGGTGATATAGATAGTGGCAACATACCAGGATGGAACAGAATAAACGAATGCTGAATAGATGGAATAAAACAGAGAGAATAGTGAATAAGATAGAATAGAAGGCTATATTAAATAGTTTTGACCTTTATTATATAGATAGTGAAGAGGGGAAGAGTCCCGAGGTTGTTCCAAGTCCCTCGACGTTCTAGATTGAACATGACGATCTACTCCACCTGTTTAGGTAATTCTAATTCTAATTCTTGATCTTCGTCACTCCCCTTTTTGTTTCTTTTTAATTTATAATTTATTAGTTCTAGGTATTGCCATCTACAATCTCAGTATGATTATACAATTATAATACCCTTCTATAACTAGCTATATTTATATCTATAGATTTCTACTAAGTATCTAGGTACTACTCCGTACTACGTTATAATTTGCGTTTTGTATGAACGTGCTCAACTGATACGCAACCAAGTTTCTCCTGCAGAATTAAGGCCGCGCTAATGTATAGTGAGAAAGTCTATCGGACGAGTCCGGGATTAACTAGATCTATTCTGGCGTGATTTACTAACAATTGCAAGTGTACATAGCATATATTTAAATATCTTCAATATCTTCTCATATGACGCCATGAATGTCGCAATGGAATTGCGCAACATTGTGGAAATAAAAAAAATACAAAAAATAAAAATACAATGGGGTGGGTCTTATCTCTTATCCACTAATTTAGTAGCCTGAGATTCTAGATTCTACATTACATAGTAGAGGAGGACATGGCATATAAATACCCAACCTTCAAGGCTAGTCAGGCATCTAGCTAGGTATACTTACCTATGTAGGTAAGTATGTTTTCCGTAATATTGGGAATAGTGATTGTGACCTCGATCTACCTACTCCACACAAAACTGGGGAATAGGTCTAATCATAGAACCCGTAACCCCAGGTAAAGAAAAATCGGGTCAGCGGGAGTATGTAAGAGTGAGCCCACGATCACATAATAGATCCAACAAGGAAAGTGGAGCGAACCTAGACTTATCATACGTACGCCGTAAGTAGAGATACATGTTTCTCCATCGTCTTGATTTGTATGATCTACAGGATTTTCATCCCCAGACTTTATCTAACGCCAGTTCCGCCTTTTTGGGTTGTCGTTGCTCACACAAAAGTACATATTAAATTATATTATTATTTTCCGTCTCATTTTCGCTTTCGAGGTTTCACTTTGGTTGCTATTCGGGAATGGTGCAGGGGAACAAGAGAAAGATTCATGGTCGAGATCCATGGATGGATAGGGCTAGCTCTATATTATTACTTAGATAGACTCCTACGGAGGATAAGGATACTACTGTAGACCTCGGGAAAACCTTCCAAGGCTGGTCATCATCTGAAAAGCCCTTTAGTATCTAGAACACTTTATCCCAATCCGACAATGACAAGTTGAATGAAGAATGTGACGAACTTTTAGATAATATTGCTTAGGTAATAAATCGTATCATTCCTAAACTAAAATATGAAAATATTCAAGTAAAAGTCCATGATCAGTTGTGGACCTTGTGGACCTGGCTTCGTCTTCCATCTGTCAATATGACATATCATACATAGAACATTCCATCGTGGATCAGGTGGATTAGGTGGATTGCTTGTCTCGCTCCGTGCTGCATTCTCTCGCTCTAGCATTGCGGTCTCGTCAACTAGCACTCCTACAATTGTATCGAACGAGCATCCGTGTTTGCAGCCTCCCCAGTTGGAGCATTCAAGCTGGTATCCCCCGGAGCCTTCTCACCTTCCAATCTCGCTACCTCCTTCACCGTAGCCTCCTTTTCTTCGTTGCTTTTGGGTTTACCCAGGAATCGCTCCGGGACTCCACGGGCTACTGTCGAGGCCGGTCCACCTACAAAGCACCCCAACATAGAACTCCACGTATACCCCTCCGCCAAGAGTTTGCGGATCTGACCGTAAGCGTATGAGTTGGCGTAGGGAAGTCCTGTCTCGGGGTCACGGTAGCGGGGCGGCAGTGAGGTGATGACGCAGAGAGACGCCGAGATTTCTATCGAAGAGTTGGTCTTTGCTTCTTCTACGCAACTCTCAAATTCAAATTCAGGTGTGGGTGACTTACTTGTTAGCTTGGGTGGCCTTTTAGCATTGAAGTACATGCTGTACTTCTTGCTGTGAGCCGTCTTATCATCGAAGTTCTCGAGGATCGTCAGTTGGCGGCCGGTGTATTCGGTCACTTGCGGAGTCGGTGGAATCGCCGGGGCTACTGCTGCAGGTTCTAGTGTTTCTGTTGGCGCCCCGTGAATTTCTGATTGGATAGGTGGTGTAGGACCGCTAAGGCTTGCAAGTGCACTTGTTTCGGGTTGCGTGGCTTGCAGGGGGAAAGCATTGGTCGAAGGGACTGGAGAGGCTTGAGGGGTTAGATGGGCCAATGGCGTAGCTGCAATTGCGGTATCAGGCTTGGGTTTATCATGTTCCACAGTTGTACTTGTACTTGTGGCCTGGACCACCTCTGAAGCTGGTGTATCCGCACTCGTGGCAACCGGCAGGCTTGCAGGACCCATGACCGACTGTGTAACTGAGATGGACGCATTAGCCGTGGAATCCACTTCCATGGCATCTGTGTTGGCTGGAGGTGTAGAATCCACTTTCGTAGCATCTGCGTTGGCCGTATCCGTATCAATATCCATGGCATATGAGTGGGCCTGTTTATCTGATTTCGTAGATTGTGCAATCGACCCGCGGCATGAAATCTCTACGGTAGGCACTGGCTTACCTGGTGAGCCTGTAAGGATGGGTCTAAACTGGTCGGTAGATGTGTTGACAGGTTGAGCTGGCTGCACTTGACCTTCTGCACTAGGTTTCTCTGCAAGTTGGATCACAACAGACGGGGCAGCTGGAGCCTTCTTAGGCTTGCTTTTAACATCTTTCTCGGTCTTTGGAACAATATCAGCTTTGCCAACCTTGGTCAGTTGACCGTTCACCCACGTAGCCACTCCACTCCAGTAGGAGATGACAGGCCCTTCCAGTCGACGATTTTGTAGTGCTTCAATCTTAGCGCGGCGTTCCTCGGCCTTTTCCTTCTCTCTCTTTTCCCACCGATTCACACTCTTGCTATTCAATCGCTCCATTCGCGCAGCGTTGTTGAGGTGATCTTCCTGTGTCATCTCCTTGGGTTTCAGATGAGCCTTCCGTTTCGCAGCCTCTTCCATAGTCGCGATGATTCGGATACGCTTTTCTTGACTCTCTTGTAGACGCGCGTGTGTGAGTTCCTTATTGACCATAGTCTGGCGTCGCGAGGAGGCTCGGATAGGGCCATCTTCCACAGTAGGGAGCCACGAGATGCGTTCGGATTTTTTCTTAGGACGAGGAAGGGGCGCAGCCGGTCCAGCGATGGCAGTAGGGTCAATCTTGACGCGTTTTCGCAGAGTATTGAATCTGAGGTCGTTCTGCGTCCGGCGCTTCTTGCGCTCTTCCTTCTGGAGTTGGTCTTCACCCTCGTACTCGTTTTGCGCATTCGGTCCTTGGTCGTCATCGTCTGAGGATGAATCTAGAGCCACATCTTCATCGTCAACATCTGCACCCATTGCAAACTCGTTATCATCTTCTACTTCTTCAAATAGTAGTGTCAGGTCGTCATCGGCGGCGGCATTTATCAAGGCGGACATGTTGAGTCCTGCAGTGCTTCGTCTCTCACGACCCTTGACCAGGGACTCCACCTCTTCTTCCACTTCAACTTCTTCAACTTCTTCATCTGAGGTTGGAGACCCTGGTGTGGGCTCCGACTCCATGACATCTTCCATGATGCCTTCAATTTTCAAGGGTTGGGAGGAAAAATGGATTGAGAATGATAAATTTGTTGGCGAATATGGGAGAGGAAATAGGAAGAAAATTATAGTTATAAGCGGAGCCTGAGGTAAATAAATACCTAGGAAGGCGCTGGTGTGAACGTTGAACGCGACATGATCGCCATACTGATGCGTATTACAGGCAGAAAACAGTTTCACCGCTTAGTATACCGCCTCCTTATTGATTGGCTATTGAATATTTACTCACCAAACTTTTCATGTAAATATTTTATAAATCAAGAGAAACTAATTGAACTGGACTCGGGACTTGTCTCTTACTGGACCCTGGTGACTGTATATCTACTACTTGAATTTCAGTACCTACGCATGATGATATATCACCGTATATCAATGGTAGCTCTATGTAGATCAGTGATTAGTGATTCTGCCGCTTATGTTAGCTGCCTTAGGCGATACACTAGACAACTTAAAAACCACCTAGTCAGTTATAACTTCATGTACCTGAGACTGATCAGCTAATTCCATAGCAATGCTGCAATGATGTATGCCTAAGTAGTATGCCCACTATCCCGAGCGTTCCGTAGCCCTAAGCCGTGAACCGAAACTGAAGCTTGGCAATTGTTTACCATAAGACACCTGGATAGGTATATGAATCCATTCTGTACGGAGATATCACTCCAAATAGTCAAAGAGGCAAAGGCCATAACCAATTTGTGATGATTGAGCTGTTCTAAAGATTAAATATCAAGATTCAAGAATTGGACAAGCAGCCCTGAGTCAAAGACAGGACACGTACCTGGAGCAGCATCCCTTACTCGCCCTCAAACACTCACTCAAAAGCTAGACTTGATTGCTGATTGACTCCTTACATAGTCCAGTAATGACCAGTATGATTCATATAATTGCATCATCTTCATGCGACGGAGCATATGGAGTATATCAATTGATATTGCCATGACGCATTGTGGAATGCGGGGCTTGTCGTCTTTTTTTTCTTTCACCCGAACATACCATGCCATAGTGAGATTGATTGTTAGATTAGCCTGGAATGGACTTGAAAGGCTTCATAAGTCTCTTAGCTACCATAAAGCTCATGATTCGAAACAATAATACTATACCCGTTAGGCCGGCAATCGGCAGGTTGACTACCGGTGTAGATACAAAACAAGCCCGTTATGATACGAGTACACAACAAAAGAAAGAACAGAAGAAAGAGAATGGAATTGTGAAAAAGTGAGGAAGTCAGATTGATTTAATTTTTTTTATGTGTCAGATTTGGGAAACGAATTGAGTAGAAAAGAAGATGAAGAAGTGTCCACCAACCACAGTCATCTCCTTGACATCCGGCTAACTCCCCAACATCTTCTTCTTCTTCCTTTCCACCCTTTCCTCCACTTGGCTTCTCTTCCCTTCACTTTTCTTTCATTGTTCTTTCTTGTATCTGCATCAAGTTCTCTTTCGGTGATCTTCCCCATCTTCCTTTGCTTTTATTTGCCACGCGCAAACTAACTCCCCATCCAGCCAACGCGATCCCTTCGAACTTCTTTTTTCTATCCATTCCTCTTTTCCGGTCAGTCCTGAGAACTTCCTACTATACACAATCTGCTCTCTACCCCCTCCTTGCTCAGTTGTTCGCTTCGCTTCCCTTCGGGTCCCCCCCCCCCCCCCCCCCCTCTCTACCCCGGTTCTCTGCTTCGGAAGACTCATCCTGAACCCACCACTTGGAATCTCCACTTCGCACCTCCACTTGAACAGTTTGAAACTGACTCGATTCTTTCATCCTACAGAGCGTCTGGTTTGCAATCTGATATCTCGAACTTTCGATTCATTTCATTTCATTCCTCGCAGCCAGTTTTCCACCACCACATGGTATCTGCGACGCCCTCGCTTTTTTAAAGTAGGAGTCTTACCAGTAATCAAACCCCGCCTGTCCCTTCCTATTGCGCCTCCGGTCCATAGAGTGGAAGGGGAATAGAGTGATCGTCTTTCAACAGACTTAAAGTGATAATTCGATAATGTTACCGGTTTCGCGCGAAGGCCAAATGAGTTTCAATTACATCCCCACCTCTCAGTCCATGTCGGGAACATCCACTGGGCGCAGCTCGCCTAGTGATATCGGAGGTGGTACTGTAAAGGCACCCTTTGGGCCACCTGGATCGATTGGTGCCGCGAGGCTCGGGGCTGGTTCCCCTTCTCACGAGTTGGGCACGCGTCTGTACCCGAAAAGGTAAGGAGTACCCTGCACCATTGAAAATATGAATGTGTTTTGCTAACATAGTAGCTTCACTTTAAATTACAGAGCTCGCGAGATTCAGGCACAAGAAGGCGTTTCGACCAGCATCTGGGGTCCGCCGACAAGTGGCAATTCTACTCTCCGCTTCGCGAAAACATTCCCGAATCGCCAACCCAAGACAGCTTCCCCGATTTGATTCCTACTTCAAATGGCTCTCTCAGTAGCTCCGGCCGTAGAGCCCGCGCTGGTACCGTGCCTTCGCGATTCCCCCCAATGGGTACTCTCAACGAGATGGAATTTGAGCAGCCTCCTTTCTCGTCGCAGACCTCCCGACCAACACCGTCCACGAGCCCGTTCCAACCCCCAGGAGTATCAGGCATGGATTCAAGTATGATTGCGAATTCGACTGCAGCGTCAAACCCGGCAATGTTGTCCCGTCTTCGAGCAGGCTCGATGCCCCAGAGGAGTCTACTAAGCGGAGGCAACCCATTCGGTCCATCGTTGTTTTCTTCGCATTGGTCCACCGGTCGTGAGCGCGCGACAACTTTGAGCAGTATTAGGTCGTCGGAAAGTTTGAATTCGCCAAGCCACTCGTCATATTCAGGAGCTGGACTGGACTCGGATGTGAAAACACTGGATTACTTGGGCCTTGCAGAGACTCCTCAGCAGGTACGAGCTAATCTGGCTCGATCTTCGATGGAGGCTTTGATACAGCAGCAGCAGCAGCAGCAGCAAGCTTCTGCACTCCCGCCGCTCCTGGCTGAGCTGGCGATGATGAAGAATAATAATCGGTTCCGATCGTATTCTGTCAACGCTAAAGAGAAGTATGCCGATGACGAGGATATGGAGTATGAGAGTCGCTACTCGCAACTCCCATCCGGAACGATCACCCCCTCCGCCGCATCGGCTGCTTTGGCCGCAACCCAGGCCCAAATCCACCAGCATAACTTGGCCGTACAGGCCTTTGCCAGTCATGCATCAGTGAATCGCCCTCGGGCACGCACTGCTGGCATTCTCGAGGCACCTACCCAGCGCTCCTCTATCCGCCAGTATCTAGCGACTCCCTCGCGCTTGGACAACAGCTTTTCTGCTGCTGAATTCCACATTTCTGAGAATGGCGAATACGACGAACTGTCTGAGGCAGTTCAGCTGCTGCATCTTGGCGCCAACAATGGTGCTGGTGCCGTGGGTATTCGATCAACGGGTGAATTGGCGGACGAGAATAACCAGGACGGTCCTACTCGGGCTCTGTGGATTGGCAGCATTCCTGTGTCGACTACTGTAACCTCTCTCGAGGCAATATTCGGTCTCTACGGAAAGATTGAGTCGACTCGTGTGTTGACCCACAAGAACTGTGGTTTCGTTAACTTTGAACGCCTCGACAGTGCTGTGCAGGCCAAGTCGCTTTTGAATAGTAAAGAGATCTTCCCAGGTGCTGGTCCTGTCAGAATTGGCTATGCCAAGGTCCCTGGCGTTTCGGCGAATGGTACACCTGGTGCGAATGGCATTCAGTCTTCTCCAACTCCCGACTCCAACTTCATGTCCAACCTGGCATCCGCGGACGGAGTCGATCGCCCAGACATTCTCAACAACGTTCCCCAGCTCCCTGATCTTGCCAATCTGCTGCCTGAGATGGTAGGCATCGTCCAGGAATTTGGTGCCACTGAGGAGGAGACACGGAGCATCACAAAGAGCATTCAGACTGCCATCAACTTCCAGTCCTTCCAGGACGAAATTCCTCCTGTTCCCGAGTCCAGCCAGAGCCGCATGTTCGATGCACCTCGCCTGCGTGACATCCGCAAGCGAATTGACAATGGCGCTTGCTCGCTGCAAGAGATTGAAGAAACTGCCGGCGCAATGCTTCCTGAGATTGCAGAGTTGTCCTCCGACTACCTGGGTAACACTGTGGTCCAAAAGCTGTTTGAATTCTGTTCCGAGTCCACTAAGGAGCAGATGCTCGCTCATATTTCTCCTCACCTGGCCGAGATTGGTGTACACAAGAATGGCACCTGGGCCGCACAGAAGATCATCGATGTCTCGAAGACCCCAGGTCAGATGAATATGGTTGTTGATGCCCTTCGCCCCTACACCGTTCCCTTGTTCCTTGACCAATACGGAAATTACGTTCTCCAGTGCTGTCTCCGCTTCGGTACGCCCTTCAACGATTTTATCTTTGAGACCATGCTCAGTCGCATGTGGGAGGTGTCCCAGGGAAGATTCGGTGCTCGAGCCATGCGCGCCTGCCTGGAGAGCCACCACGCCTCCAAGGACCAACAGCGAATTCTTGCCGCTGCCATCGCCCTTCACAGCGTTCAGTTGGCTACGAATGCCAATGGCGCTCTACTGCTCACCTGGTTCCTCGACACTTGCACATTCCCCCGCCGCAGAACTGTCCTTGCTCCCCGATTAGTGCCCCATCTTGTTCATCTCTGCACACACAAGGTCGCCTACCTTACCGTTCTCAAAGTGATCAATCAACGCAATGAGCCGGAGGCCCGAGATATAGTCCTCAAGGCCCTTTTCTTTAGCCCTGGTGATGAAATTTTGGAGAAAATTCTGAGCGACCAAACGTCTGGCGCCACTTTGATCTTCAAGGTTCTGACGACTCCATTCTTCGACGAGTCAATGCGAGGTGAAGTAGTAAAGAACGTGTCCAAGGTTCTTACCAAACTCAAGGCATCGCCAAGCCAAGGCTACAAGCGCTTGATGGATGAAGTTGGTCTCTCCTCGCGCGGTAGCGGTCGTGAACACCATCACGGACGGGACCATGTCGGCCATTCCACCACCCCTGAAAAGTCCCAGCATCGTCAGACATCTCGCCATGGAAGCGCGAACTTCCCATCGCAGTCATCCATGGATAGACAATACAGTGGACACATGCTTGTTCAGCCTGACTCTCGACCCATGACCGCTGATCAAAACAACGCGTCTTTCGATGCCTATGGAACGAATGGCATAAACGGTTTTGGCAGCCCTATGAATGGCCTCGGAAATCTTAACGGTACTGGATTCCAGGACCCCGTGGCTCCCCTTAACCCACAACAGCTTCACTACCAAACGTACCTCTCCGCCCAAGGTCGGGGCGTCTCCCCTGGTGGTATCTACCCAAACATGCCCGGTGGTAACTTTGGGTACTCGAACACTCTCGACAACTTCCGCTCCCTCTCAAATCAGGCATCTTCGCTCTCCGGACCCGGTCAAATGAATCAGATTCTGGGCCAGTCCAATTACGCCCCGCAACAGTTTAGCCCGGTAGTGCAACCGGCCCAGATGTACCAATATCCCCCCACAGTTCTACTCCCAAGCACAGCCAGTGCAGGGACAACCTGGGGGGGTCGACGTGGACGGGTGAGTATCTATAATTCCTCCGACCCGAACTCCCAACTATACATCGAATGGCATCAGCTAACCCACAACCTCCGATATAGCGTTAATCCGACCCATGATTTCTATAATCAGAATATTTAACCTTCTCTATACTTCCATCTACATCTACCTGTACAAATTCCTTTCCTCTCAACATTTTTTGGCCATCCATTTCATGAAGATTTTCATGGAGATTCCGCGGGCGATCTACCTACGTGTTGTAATGGCCATTGTCCTCTCTCTCTTCATCTGATCGGACGCTGGATCGTTTCGGTAAGGGGAATTGAGAACAAGGCCAGGGGTCTCTTTTTTTTCCCGGAGGTGTTGGAACCAAAAAAAATCGGTGTCGTGGAGGTGAACAGACATGTTCATGTATTCATGGGGGAGTCAGCGTTTCTTTTTTGACCATGAGGTATCTGATCTTTCGGATTTCTATCTTCATTTTTTTTTTCATCTTATTTATGTTTTTCATCCATTTTTATGGCGTGTGGGCAATGGACAAATTTTACATTGGTTTTTACTTGTAGTGGTGCTCTGGTTCTAAAAGAGGCATCTTTAAGAGACATGGAAGAAACAGAAGTAGGAAGAAATTGTATCCTTATAAATGAATAGCTCTCAGGAGGTTTTGCCCGCAGGTTGATGTGGCAGGAATATATATCTACTCTTCTAATCTCCAAATATTCTGCCGCAGAAAAATATTCCCCGCCCATCGATGTAAGCTTAATTCCACGACTTGACAACAACCTCGAAGGACTGGTTAGAACATCGCAATGACCAATCCTAACTCTGCGATTATCTACCATAATCATGAAAACACCACCTTTATAATTGACACTCCATCCTCAATCACCCTAGCACAGCAATTGTCATCCTCATCTACAAGCAACCAACAAACAGTAAAAAACAAGAGACCCAGAATTCTGGTTTCAAGTCTACCACGCGAGCAGCCGTACCCAAATACAGAGCCCAAGACAGAATCTGCACGCTCCAAGGTCCTAGCTCGAAGCTCATTGGCCGAGCAGCGCTTTCACCATGAATTTATCCAGCCAATAGTCCAAACGTCCTTGGAAGCCATTCGAGCTGGATATCAAGTTGATGGCAGTCGCCCTTGGTGTCTTGATCGACATGTACCTGCCGATGACAAAAGGCTACCAAAAGATAAGTCCAGAAAGCGAAAGGCGACGGACTATGACCAGGATGATGAAAGTATTCCAAGCATATCCACCAAACGGCCCTTAATCTTATCATCTACATCCAACACTTTCGATTCCATATCGGATCTTAGTGGTATGGTAAAAAACACCGCGTCGGAGTGTGCATCGGTCAAACTTTCAAAAGAGAGTACGGCCGAGTATCTGATACCGCCACTGTCAACATTTGTACTCTGTACACTACCATTATCCGAGCCAGAACACCTTGAAGAGCCTATCCCCGGATTACCTGCCCAGCAAAAATTCAATCTACTTCTCTTCGATCCGCCCTGGCCGAATCGCTCTGTCCGGCGCAGTCGCGACTATCAAACACACATGTATTACGACATGAACAGTCTCACGCAGCGACTACAAGATATCCTCCAAGTTCACGCATATGATCCAAATACCATTGAACAATCATTAACCCCTACCACAATGCACAGCACATCAAGTCAAAATTCCATAGCAGCGATCTGGATAACGAATTCCGAAAAAGCACGAAAAGCAGCTTACGCAGCTCTTTTAAACTCTGGGTTCCGCATCTCTGAGGAATGGATTTGGATCAAGGTCACGACTAGTGGCGAACCCATTTCTCCGCTGAATGGACTCTGGAAGAAACCCTATGAGATTCTCGTCATAGGCCAGAGGGGAACAGAAAAAGAAAAATACCAAGCTGTCAGCGAGGGTGATTCATTGGAAACAGACCTGTTAGGTGTTGATCCGGGCAGTATTACCCGTCGAGTTATAGCTGGTGTACCGGATCTTCATTCTCGCAAGCCAAACTTGAGATGGCTTTTTGAACAGCTCTTCTTCGCAGAGACCGAGTCTAAGATTGAGTGCAGTCCTGTCAATCTTGCTTCTTCTTACTCGGCTTTGGAAGTGTTTGCTCGCAATTTGACAGCCGGCTGGTATGCGTGCGGCAATGAAGTTCTGAAATTCAATGCCCGTGAATGCTGGGTTGAAGAAGAAGAATAAATTATGTATTCTTGGTCTAGTATGAGTGGCTTAACGTGGCTTGCTTCCCCGCACGTATCTCTCCCGAAAGGACCAATCACACAGAAATGAAGTAGGGGGTAGATTACATCTATATCGTGGAACTAGACCGGCGGTAGCGATGTCGCACATATTACTAAATTAGCACATTGTGACCCCCAAGATGCGAAATTCCCCCACTTGATGAAGTCAATCCAGAACCATGTCTAGATACGTCCTAGTTCCACCCCAACCATCTCCAACTTGAAAAAAAAGCGAACTTTCCCCGGAATTTGGAGAATCTCGGCCCAGGTCCGAAGTTCGAACAATTAAGAATTGGTCCGAGCCACCTTTTTTTTTGAAAAAAATCTTGAAATCGTCTTGTTGGTTTCTCTTGAAGTCTTCATCGTAACCTACATAGGTATGGTGCAATCAATCGAGGGGGTTGACCAGGGAAAAGGTCCTGGAGTTACGTTGACGGAGAATGAGCGCATGGGCTATGCACAACGACCTGAATGCTTCGATTCCACCTTGAAAGAATGTCTTTTTGTCCTAACGGCCACTATGGCCATCGGCCAACAATCTTTCTTCCAAGGAGCTATCGTTGGTGTCTCCGCCTCAATCGGATCAGATCTGAATATGAGTTCAGCAGAGATCACCTGGATCAGCGCTGGCTCCTCGTATGTATCTTGTTACTCTCCAAAAATCACAGAAGCTGATATTGATATCGATTTCCCCTACTCTTCTCAACCAACTGACAATACCTTGTGAACAGCCTGAGCAGCGGCGCCTTCCTATTAACATTCGGCAAATTAGCCGACATGTTTGGCCGCAAAACACAATTCATAATCGGTATGGGCGGATTCACACTAGCTTTGCTAGTAGCAGGCTTCGCCACAAACGCCATATATATGGATGTATTCTCGGGGATCCTAGGCCTCTTCGCCGCAGCAGTTGTGCCACCAGCAGTTGGAGCTCTAGGAGCCGTCTATCCCAAGCCATCTAAGCGGAAGAATCGTGCCTTTGCCTGCTTTAGCGCTGGAAACCCGCTCGGGTTCGTAGGTGGAATGATCATTTCCGGCATTGCGTCCCACGAGTATAACTGGCGCGCGTCTATTTGGGCGTTGGCTGTTATCTATGCTATATTTACTGCTTTGACGGCGTGGACTGTTCCATCGGATGACTTTGCTAGGACGCCAGTTAATAGGGATACTATTAAACAGTTTGACCTGTTAGGCACTGCTTTGATTATCGTGGGCTTTGCTTTCTTTTCAAGTTCGCTTTCGTATGTTTCTATATGGAAATTTACCTTGGTGTTAGTTCTAACAGTTTACAGATTGGCTGGAGATGCACCTGACGGCTGGCAAACGGGCTATGTTCTCGCCTTGTTCATAGTAGGAATTTCCATGCTCGCAGCATTTGTTTACTGGCAGTCCATCGCAAAGTATGCTCTAATGCCCCTGTGGATGTGGAAAGACCGCAATTTCAGTCTGGTAAGAACCCCCCAAGTCCTGCGACAGCTTAAGCTAACATCGTCGGGCTAATCTAGCTAATGGCAACGTTTTGTCTCGGCTTCATGGGATTTGCAGCTGTCACTTTCTTCCTGGCTCTATACCTCCAAGAATTAAAACACCTTTCCGCACTAACCATCACAGCGCAACTGCTTCCGATGGTGGTGAGCGGCATTGCAGTCAATATCTTATGCGGCCTTGTGCTCCATCGCATGAGCAACAAGCTCCTAATGGTTATTAGTGCACTGGCGTACACAGCAGCATTCCTGATCCTGAGCTTCATGAAGGAAGATGCGTCGTACTGGGCATATATCTTCCCGGCCCTAGTTCTCGTAACAGTGGGTGCGGACATCCAGTTCAACATCACGAATGTAAGTCTCGTCACTATTATTACTGAATACTGTCCAAGGGCTCGTCCACATCACTGACAGGTTGCTACAGATGTACGTGATGTCCTCACTTCCAAAAGAACAACAATCCATAGCCGGCGGCATCTTCAACACCGTTAACAAATTCTGCAATAATCTCGGTCTGGGCATCGCCACCTCGATCCAGAATGCTGTTTCAAATCAGACGCCGTCTCCGCCGCCTATTCGTCCCTTTTTGGCAGTGTATTGGTTCGCGGCTGGTGCTGCGGGTCTTTCGCTTCTTTTCGTTCCTTTCTTGACGCTGAAAACGCAGGGACATCATACTCCCGATGGGGATGATGGGCTGGCTGATGAGAAGAAGGCAGATGAAGAGGGGGCTATTGGTCACTCTGAGAAACAGTCTGGATTTCTTCCAGAGATATCAGAAGGAACGAGTCACCTGAGTATTTCTTGAGAGATGAATCTTGGTCCCACATTTAGTCACCATTCAAATCAGAATACCATAATAGCAATCTATCTAATTTGGTTGAAGAATGCTAAAATCCACTCTCATCAAGAGCACTTAATATTGTAAAAATTGCACGTTATTCAAGATCATAATGACTGGTGTATATGAAACCATCAGTGTAAGTAGAGTCCTCGGCCTCGAGAGCATATACGGCATGTTCATAGGGTATATACGCCATCCAATCTAGAAAATAAGCCCGTGAATACCCAATTTGAATGTTTATGTACTACCATTAGTGACAGGCATCGCTGGCGCATGCATCTAAAAAAGGTCAGATGATAAACCACAAGAAGCGAAGCTTGACATACCTTCTCAGCGAATTTTACCCACTCCTCAACTCCCTTGACGAAAGTATCATCTGCAAGCGGAAGACTCTCATGTCCCCATACAATCACCTCGTCGAATGTGCCCTGTGTCTCGATAACCCCAACCGGCTGCTCGGGTTCGGCCTCCTCGTCGGCCGCCTGTTGATTTTGACTTGGTAACACCTTATCCGTGCGTGTGGCGATGACACCTGATAGAAAGAAGTAAGCCAAGTGAGCTGCCATAATTCATTGAACGGTACTCCCGATCGTAGTTTCGTACCTTGATAGCCCTCCGGCACAGCAACGCGGCGTCCTAGCAGTTTGCGCCCCCGGAAATGCACCGTCTGCGCCTCATCTGAGCGGAATTAGATATGAGGACTTGTGAGGTATGGGAATTATAGATACTCTGCTTTGCGCAAGGTGTTACCTACCTCCATTTTCCTCGGGTGTCCAGTAGCGGTCAACGGAATTGATCGGACCATCATGATGGATTCGGCAAGGAAGGACGTTTGGTGTGTATTTTGGAACGGTGTTTCCAGATTGACCTGTTGTAGGGCTTGGTTGGAAGGCCCATGTGTCTGGCATTGTGTTGGATTTGCTGGAGGGCCAGCTTCACAGCTGAAGTAGAAGGTTTAGGACGAAAGAGTTCTAGACGTGATGGATTGTAGGTTCAAAATTCGAGTTGGAGAATGAATTACTGTGTTCTTCGAGCTCGTTGACCCAGTCGCAAGGTATTGAGTTGGATTAAATTCTTGTAAGGTGTGTAAATGTCAAGGAGCGCGTCGCGTTGTCGCGTTAAGTGGAAAGTGGAAAGTGGATTTGGCGGAACGAATGAACCACAGGTATTAAGGGTTATTCACCGCGATTGTTGAACTACGATAGAGATACTATTTCTCAAATTAGGGCTTCATAGTTAGTATGTTTCCAATATCCATATTCAATGCAATAATCAATTCTAATTGGATGCGAATCTGGGGTATAAAAGCATCTACAAGTCCGCTTCATTTGCCAACACCATGCAAAGATCTAGCTCACCTCTTACGATGAGTCTTCTTCTTCTTTTTCTTCTTCTGACCATCTCCCTTATCCTGAGCCTCTGCATTTCGCACCGGCCACTTCTTCAAATGCTCCCGCTCGAAATTATCCTTCTCCCGCCGATAAAGGGCCATAGTCGCCCGCGCATCCTCCACACTAGAATGAGCCCCATCCTGAATCTTGATACCAAGGAAATGCTCCGCCAGCACCTTTAACCGTGGTGATCCACCACCAGCAATCTTCCGGTACTCAGGGTGCTTGCTCGTATCCCGGATATCGCGTTTGGGATGACCGAACATCAAAGCATTTAAATCGTTGCTCACGGCGTGTCCGACAAGGATTCGGCCGTCCATAATTGCGGCCACCTCTTTCTGGACCACTTCGAGATCGCGCGCGTCTACCATGTGTTTTGGTGCAATTCCGCTGACGTGTGTTCGCCAATCTGTTACCATTTCCTTTGGTCGCACGTACGAATCGTACACTTGGTCGCCGTTGAAGTTGACAATACTAACTCGTGCAAGTGCCGAGTCGTTATCTGGATTTGGCCCGACGCCAACCATTTCGCAATCCATGGCAACATATTTTCCTACCTCAGCACTAAAATGGATCATGTTAGTCAGGTAAAGCAAGAGAAGGAAACTGATATTTAATACTCACGTCGACGAACGCCCCTCATTGATCTTTCCGGTGCAGGATTCAGCTGTAGTTGTGCTAGCAGTAGATTTTCTCCGCGAACTAGTCGACGCCGAGCGTGCACCAGAAGATGTGACTTCAGTCTTATCGGCCATTCTCTTTTTCTTGTAGAATGCGTTCAACTCTCGCGATTGCAAGTGTTCGGTATCTGACTTTTGTTTCTTCAACGGGCCATTGCCCGATTCTCGATCTGAAGCCTTGCGTTTTGTGGCAGATGCAGTTGAGGGCTTGTCCTTTTTCAGTGTCGCTTGTAGCTTCTTCCAATTTGAGGAAAGGCTGGTCGGATCCATTCCGACTTGTTGTCTCTGAAAAGCTTTGAACTGGTGAAAGATTAACCAACTTTTTTTTGGCGGCAAAAAAGGCAAGCGGCTGATTGGTATTTACACCGCCTTCCTAGAGTATCTGAACTAACTTAAGTGGTTTTCATACAATGGTTTCATCTGTTGTTTTGAGGTAGTACTAGACTACCCTTCATATTCGTCTTTGGCTTTCAATACCTTTGATTTAGGCTAGTAAATATTCTATAATTGACAAACTGCCTCTGCCTCGTAAATCTGATGACGAGAGCATGTAAAATTATCCATTGAAGATATCCTTTTGTATGTCCAAACACCGATGCGCGCTATTTTTATATAGAAATCAAAAATCAAAACCCAGGGACATGGAAGTCCTTTGACATCCACTTCTCTGTCGCCTTTCTCTTGGCCTTTTTAGGCTGTGTCACTGGCTTGCGGGACTCCAGCTTTCCTTGGACGATAAGAGTGCGGAATCGGTCATCTAAGAGATTACCCTCGGGCTTCAGTAGTCGGAGAGAGTCTTGAAGTTCATCAGGAAGTACGAGTTCCAATCGCTTCTCCGGAGGTCTGTGAATTTGTCAGTTTGGAATATATATTAGAATATTCAAAAGGACTTACGCGAGCTTTCCACCAAATGCCTTCCGTCGGAGAGCGGTATCGTCGCCTTCTTCCGAGTCGTCAGCATCGGATTCGTTCAGACGATCCAACTCCCGCTGCACAGCCTGCTCAGTAAGAAGCTGGACCTGCTCGGCTTGTGCCTCCTTCTTCGCCTTCTGTGCTTCCCACTTAGCAAGCCTCTCGGCCTCCTTTCGCCGGGCGATCTTGTTGCGTTGGGTCTTTGTCTTTCTCTCGGGTCGCTTCTTGTTCAACCATTCGGGCTTCTCGTATTCACTTTCAAAGCCCTCCCATGCACTTTCATCGTCTGATTTGACTTCACCATCGTCACCCTGGGCAGCTTCAATCAGGCGCTGCTTCTCTTCCTCCTTCTGCACCTCCGCCAGGCGCTCCTTCTCAAGCTCGACGGCCTTGGCGCCCTGCTCCTCTAGGAGATGGTCCCAGTCTTCGAATACAGGGTTGTAACTGGTTCCTGCGTGCGGCTTGCGGACAGCGGGGATCGGCTTTCCATTGGCGGCAAGTGATATGGGGGCATGTTTGATGGTTTCTGGTGCAACCTTGGCCTTCGGCTTAGGCAGGAAATCAAATCGGGGGTCCTCAAATGCAGGAGTTGTATCCTCATCCTCCGCCCAAGGGTCAACCAACTCATTACTAGCCGATTTGTTCAGGGGATTACCATCTTTGGCAACTTGCTTCAGGCGGAGTAATTCCTTGCGGCTGACCCAGTCGCTCTTGTGCTTCTTGGTTTTGGGCTCAATAACTCCATCGAAGATAACTCCGTTGCTGCGTTTGCGGCCGTCCAATGCGGGGATAGCAGACCGCTGGGCAATGATCTCATCGGCCCTAAGTGTCTTACGAGCCTTAGAGACCTTATTGCGAATATCCTCTGATCCAACGGTGTCTAGGATGAAAAGTTCGTCCGAGGGTTTCTCTGCAATGATACCACTATTAAAAAGTCAGTTAAATTGTCATGAAGAGCAGGGAAATGCTTATCAGAAAAAGATATTAGACGTACCCTTTAACTTCTTCATCTTTCAGCACACGCAAACCCTCCTGAACATCAGTAAGGTCCACATTCTTGCGCCAGGCCTTCTTTCCTTTACGTGAGCGCTGTTTGAACTGCTGAGGGGCATCCATGTTGTTTGACATGGTTGATCCTCTTATCGTCTTTTTTGTAAAATCGAAATCTCAAAAAACTTAGAAAAGTAAAATTGCGGATCCCACTTACCGCTTGCCTAATTCAGAAAATGGGCGATAAAGAGACCGCCTACAAATTAGGAAGGTAGGCGGTGAAAATACTACTGGTGAAGATACCGCGTAACTCATCCTCGAAACTTGTGCAGCTCCTAACGCATCTTTATGCTTATCCTCCACAACGCTCCTTCCCCGCAACACCTCTTCACCCTTCCACCTGTTTGCAGTTTTTTCCTTGACATTTGCTCTAACTGAGCATAATGCCTGTCGTCAAAGGCGGTGTCTGGACCAATATCGAAGATGAGGTTCTTCGAGCTGCAGTCTCCAAGTATGGTCTGAACCAATGGGCTCGTGTTTCCTCTCTACTTGCACGGAAGACACCGAAACAATGCAAGGCACGTTGGATAGAATGGCTGGATCCAGGTATTCGCAAGGTCGAGTGGTCGCGCGAGGAGGACGAAAAGCTACTGCACCTTGCCAAACTGATGCCGACACAATGGCGCACAATTGCCCCTATCGTTGGACGAACCGCCACACAATGTCTTGAACGCTACCAAAAACTTTTGGACGAGGCAGAGTCCCGTGAGAATGATGAGTTTGGATTGGGAGGACCAGAGGGTGGAGAAGCCGCCGCTCCAAGCGCAGACGACGTTCGCCGTTTACGGTACGTGAATCCAAATCCTTAATATTTTTACTAGTACTAATAATTTCCTAGCCCCGGAGAATTGGACCCAGACCCAGAATCTAAGCCCGCCCGCCCCGATACGATCGATCTTGATGAAGACGAGAAGGAAATGCTGAGCGAGGCGCGTGCGCGTCTTGCTAACACACAGGGTAAAAAGGCCAAGCGAAAGGCCCGAGAGCGTCAACTGGAAGAGTCCCGACGATTGGCTGTGTTGCAGAAGCGTCGAGAACTGAAGAATTCCGGTATCAATGTCAAGGTTGTGACCCGAAAGCCTGGGCAGATGGACTATAACGCGGATATTCCATTTGAGAAGCCGGCAGCCCCTGGATTTTATGACACTCTCGAGGAGCAGGATATCAATGAACGCCAGCGGGCGCAGTTCGATCCGCGAAAGCTGCAGCTAGCTCATAAGCGGAAAGGCGATCAAGGCGACGATGAAGAGCGAAAGAAGCGCAACAAAAATGACAAAAATAGCCCCTCGGCTGCCTCTGCCGCGGCTGTTCGTGCCGGCCAGATGCAGAAAATCCGTGAATCAGAACAGAGCACCAAGCGTCGAGGTCTAGTGCTGCCTGCGCCGCAGGTTACCGAAAGCGAGTTAGAGAGTGTGATCAAAATGGGAATAGCCGGATCAAAGGCCAACCAAATGCTCGAAGGAGAAGATGAAACTCGCGGCTTGGTTGGACATTACGGAGCCATCATGGGCGGAGCTCCAATTCGGACGCCACGGGCAGCTCCCGAGGAAGACCACATCGCCAACGAAATTAGAAATATCCGGGCATTGAACGAAACACAATCTTCTCTACTTGGAGGCGAGAACACTCCTCTTCACGAGGGGGGCTCGTCAACTGGCTTTGATGGTATCGCCCCTCGAAAGCAAGCCATTTTCACACCCAACCCAATGGCGACGCCATTCCGACAGGCCAACGGCATGAGCGCCACTCCCATGGTTGGTGGGGTTGGACCTGGAGCCACCCCGCTGCGTACACCACGAGATCACTTTGCGCTCAATCGGGAGGGCGAAGGTCGTCAGTTGGTTGGCAGCACGCCCCGAGATATTAAGATGCATCAGAATTTCCTACGCCAGGAAATTCGCAACAAGCTCTCTTCCCTTCCCAAGCCCAAGGAAACAGAGTGGGAGTTTGAGGAGGCACCCTCTGAGAACCCCGAGCCAGCTGCGGCTGTCGAGTTGAGTGTAGAGGATGCGGCCGAACTTGACCGTAGAGAGGCAAAGGCTCGGGAATTGGCTGCCCAAGTTGATTTCAAGCGCCAGTCGCAGGTATATCAGCGTGGCTTGCCTCGGCCTGCCACTATTGATATCGGTGCCTTGATGCAGCGCGCTTCTAACGTTAGCGATCCCATCGAGGGCCTGATTGCCCGGGAAGCCGCTATTCTCATTGCTCACGATGCACGAAAATTTCCCCTGTCCGGCGCGAAGGTTGAGGGCAAATCACCTAAACTGGGCTATCTGGACGATGCATTCCTGGAAGCAGCCCGTGCAACCATTGCTGCTGAAATTGCGTCGACCGAAGTCGAGAAGGAAGAATGGCAAGAGAAATTCAATGATGTCTGTCTATCAACCCGCTCCAAGGCGCTGCCAGGTCTTGAGAACTACGGCGACGAAGAAGAAGATGAAGAGGAGCAGCTCCTGAGCAAAACTCTTGATAACGTTACCACATCGCTCATTGCTACTGCCCAGCTTGGCAACAAGCTTGAAAAGAAACTTGCCCTACACTACGGGGGGTATCAGAAACGCGCACAGACACTCCGTGAGAAGATCAAGGAGGCCAGCGTAGCCTTGCCCAAGGTCCAGGAACAACTGGACGGCTTCCGCACTCTCCAGACCTCCGAGGAGACAGTTATCTCTCAGCGATTGGAGAAGTTACGTGAGAATGTGTCCACTGTCATGCGTCAGGAGCGAGAGGCACAGGAAGCGTACAAGATTCGGAAAGAGGAACTAGATTATCTGGTTGCCAACTCAGCCATCGTTAACTGATCGCACTAAGATACCACAACTGATATTGCTATTGCTATTGCTATTGCTATTGTTTTTTTTTTTTTTTTTTTTTCCCTTCAACCTATTCCTACTGCTGACCACATGTTGTAATATTAGCTAAATTTGCAGTGGGTAATAATGAAGTTCATGGAATTCCAATTTTGGAAACTCTTTCGTATTTGGGATCTCAATAGCCCCCTTCAAATTTCCTAGCTTGTATGCTATAATCATAAAGTAAATTTAGAAGGAACTACCTCAAGATCTTGCGAGAAAATTATATGGAGAAACGCCTGGCCATGCAAGTGAAGGACCTCCCAGAAGACCTGCCCCAAACCACAAAGAGATATTAGAAAGAAGCCACTTTTTTTTTTCTATTTGGCTTGACTAGCCAGCCAAGCCTCATGGGCCTTTTTCTGTCGCTCCCAGTCCTTGCGAAGCTTCTTAGCTCGGCTCTTGGTGATTTCTTCGCCGGCCGCATCGCGCGTGGGTATACCCTCGTCATCCCATGCAGTATACTCGGCTGTGCGGAACATTTCCAAGTGACTGAGCTTGCCCTTCTCCAACTTCTTCAATGCTTCTTGTTCCTTGGCCTTTTTCTCTGCTTCCTTCTGCAGAGCCTTCTCGGCCTTCTCCTCTCGGGCCTTGATCATTTCTGTGGTTACCGGACGCACGAGCGCGGGGAGATTGTCTCTGTCCTCCAGGTAGATTCCCAGGTCGAAGAGTTCAATGTCACGGACGCGATCGCACAGGGCGAGGATCTCTTTGCTGATTGAGTCGGTGGGCTTTAGGGAAGAAATCTTGGTTCGGAAGGTTGCCAACACTTCAGCATAGGGCTTGGCAGACTCGGAGATGTCTTGCGGGGCCGATTCCTGCTTGAGAGCCTCTTTAATGACTGTGAGTGAGATTCCTTCCTTTGAGCGAGCAGCTTGGCGAAGTGTGTCGCGCATAGTAGAGAGTGGGCTGAGGAACGGTTTGGCCTCCTCGGGCACGTCGATGCCTGACCATCCAATTGTAGTGCTGTCGGCGGCAGCGGTGCCATTGAGACCGAAAATGTTTACAATTGAAGTGACCCACCGAGCAGCAGCTTCGACATCCTTAGGGTTCAAGGTTATCTTATCGGCGCTGTTATACTTTGTGATGAGCTCTGAGACGGCTTGCATGGCGCCCACGGTGTTAAAGGAGTCGCAAAGGTGTTCATGTACGGTAGCCTTGGCAGCTTTGAGATCGGCGCCGAGGGATTTATCAGTTCCAGAGCCCTGGAAAGCGGCAGAGTCCCTTGTCTTGAGGAAAAAGTTGTTGACCTTGTCCTCCCAAGAGTTACCGGTGTTCACCAGCTCTTCAGTGATTTCAACACCCTCTTTCCAACCACCCAGAAGGAAAACAATACGCAGACTCCTGGGGGTCCAGTCTTTCCGCTCAAGAGCCTCCCGAATTGTTGTAAAGTTCTTCAAGGATTTGGACATTTTGGATCCTTGAATAGACAAGTGACCCATGTGCAAGAAGTAATTCACCCATTGCTCGTGGTTGTGGTAATAGGCTTCACTTTGGGCCAGCTCGTTATCATGGTGTGGGAAGGCAAGATCAATGCCACCAGAGTGTATATCCATTTGCTTGCCCAAGCGGGCTGATGCCATGGCCGAGCACTCAATATGCCAGCCAGGGCGACCCTGGCCCCAAGAGCTGGGCCAACTCGGCTCTCCTGGTTTGGACGACTTCCAGAGAGCAAAATCAGAGGTTCCCCGCTTCTCAGCAGTCTTGCTGGTCAAAGCACCTTCGCCCTCGGCGGCCAATTTGTTGTCAGATCGACTCCAAGGCTCAAGGCGCGCATATGGATGCCCTGCTGCCTCAAATGCTTTAATATCAAAATATACGGAGCCATCCTCAGTGACGTATCCAAACTCGTTCTTGACAATGCGTTCTACGAAGTCGGCAATCTCAGCACCGTATTCCGTAACGCGCGTCAACTCGTCGGGGTCGAGGACATTCAAATCTCGCATATCCTTCATGAACCGGTCCTCGTACTTTTTGGTGAGTTTAGTAAAGATACTGTGGTCGCCTGCATCGATCAAAGATCCTTTCAATGCATCCAAGTAGGGTAGGAGAACATCTTGGACGCTATCGTAGAATGGCCCCGCCTCAATTTCCTTTGCGCTCAAGGCCTTAGCGGCTGAGCCTGCAGTTTTAATGTGCATCTTAACCTTTGCCTCGTCATCACCGGGCTTCTCATTACCTGGCAATGCACCTCCCTTCAAAACCACCGCGTATGTCTTCTCCACCGCTTCCTGGTACTTGACCGGTACCAGTTCGGGGTCCAGTAAAGACAAGTTTTTCTTAATGTAGGCTGTGAAAGCGCTTTTTGTTGTTTCAAGCACTCCCGAGGAGACGACAGGGTTGGTGGAGACGAATTCGTGGAAGAGATGGTGTTGTCTTGCGCGTAGGATAATCTATGCAATTCAGTTAAGTAATTGGCTTCTATACAACAGGTTCAGGGTAGCTCCGTACCTTATCATCCACATCTGTAATGTTCATAACAAAGTGGACATCGAATTTGAAATAGTCGCGCATGATGCGCCGAATGATATCGGTGGACACATAGTTCCTAGCATGACCCAAATGGGAGTCGTCGTAGACTGTGGGACCGCAAGCGTACCAGCTAACCTTCCTGCCGGAGGGATCTATTGGAACAAAGGGCGTCTTAGACTTGGTCAAGGAGTTCCAAACTGCTAGAGGCGGCAACTCCACCCCCGCGGGGGAAGGAGGGTGCTGCCATGGCGGCTGCTGACGAGTGGACATCGCCCTGGAAGGGAATAGATTAGGGAAGGTCGAGCGGGGAATGCGCTGCTTGGGCAGAAGGAATAAACGCAGGAGGATGGGCATAAAGAAGCAAAGAATCAAAGGCGGGGGCAGATTCAATATGATTGAAGACTGGATTGACTCATTGGGGAATGAATACAACAATGTGATTGGTCCGTGTGTTGATAGCTGTATCAGCCCTAAGCCCTAATTTCTAGATAAGGAAATAAATGTACCATCTTTTTCTTGAGCGGAGATCAAGAAGAAGACATTTAGAAACAGCTTGCGCAGTTTCAATTCTCCGCTTGTTCAATTTAAAGCTGTGCTCTGTTCACAGCCTACACCTTCTATCATGCCTTCCCCGTTCCTCACCCCCGGCTCCATCTCCCAGGCTGACGGCCTTGCTCTGCTAAATCTGCGCCGCGATGAGACAGTACCAACGATCCTCCGCACCTTCGATGACGAGAACCGGGGCTACAAGGAGGGAAAAGTGACTAATACCCGTTTTGGCTCATACCCTCACAGTACCATGCTCGAAAAGCCATGGGGCTCCCAAATTCGGGCCTCCAAAGTCGATACAGGTTCGCGCGGCAGGAAGCCCAAGGCCGATAACAAGCGCAAAGCCGAGGAACTCGATGCATCTGCCACGAATACCGGCACTGATGACGGGAACCAGCCGCTAAAGACTCCTGTAGTGGCAGACAGTGGTTTCTTACACCTTATGTACCCAACGCCCGAATCGTGGACCTTGTCGTTGCCCCATCGAACACAGGTTGTCTACACCCCCGACTACAGCTACATTCTTCACCGACTGCGTGCACGACCAGGAAGCACAATAATTGAAGCTGGTGCTGGTAGTGGCTCCTTTACCCACGCATCCGTTCGTGCTGTGTTTAATGGATATCCTACAGAGGAGCCCGCCACCAAGCGACGGAGGATGGGCAAAGTTTGCAGCTACGAATTTCACGAACAGCGAGCTGGCAGGGTACGAGAGGAAATCACACAACATGGACTGGATGGTCTGGTGGAAGTAACACATCGTGATGTCTATGAAGATGGCTTCTTGTTAGGTACTCCCAAGACTGGCTCTTCACCCAAGGCGAACGCTATCTTCTTGGATCTTCCTGCCCCATGGATCGCCTTGAAACACCTTATGCGCAAGCCTGCAGATGGCTCAGAGTCTGCACTTGACCCAAATACCACTGTACACATTTGCACTTTTTCTCCATGTCTTGAGCAAGCAGAGCGCACAATCCGCACTATGCGCCAGCTGTCATGGCTCGACATCTCCATGGTCGAAGTCAACCACCACCGGATCGATGTGAAACGGGAGCGTATCGGGCTCGACGCGGAAGGTGTACGTGGTGCAACCGTATTCCCCACGAGTGTGGAAGAAGCCATAACAAAGCTCTGTGATGACGACGAACGAGCTAAGCGGACTCGCTCACACAACCCTGCTGGTCAAGACGATGCCTCAATTAAGAAGGAGTCCAAGGATCCCTCTAAGCAGAGATCATATGCTCCTTCATATGATTTGGGACGCTTGGTGCACCGGCCTGAGCCTGAGCTGAAGACGCACACATCTTACTTGGTCTTTGCCATTCTACCTAGAGATTGGTCCGAGGAGGAGGAGCAAAGATGCCGTGAAAAGTGGCCGTCTGATAAAATTGATACAACTCAAGGAAAAGAGACTGGAAAGACTAGAAGACAGATGAAGAGGGAGTTTAAGGAGCAGTTGGAGAAAGAAAAAGCGGGGCAAAAGCAACAGGAGAAAGAGGAGAATGTCGAGTCATAGCCTTGGACTACTTCGTTCAAACACGAAACTATGTACGTTGAAGAGTTGTTGGATCGCTGCAATCCTAGTTCTACTTGAGAGTTCCCAATTCAATGCAAAATATGAACCAATCAGGTTTCAAATTTTGAACACTGAATTCTCTTCTCATAATTTTCAAGTAAAATTATAAAAGCCTATACTAGTAATATTCTTGGTGTGAATTTATATCTCGGTGGTAAGTGGAGGGTAATATCAGGATTATTCGGGCTCAATTATGTCAGAGGAGCTGCAGAAGCCAGAGCTTCCTTCTTTCCTTCCTCACTTTAAATTCAGAGAGTTAGCATGAGGGGCCATATGAACATAAAATAGTTATATGGGGTTTAAAACCCCCAGATAAGTATAATTAGAGCTCCCAATTCAATACATATTGAACTTCAGTAAACAAGCTGAGTCAAGTACATTCTGGCATAACCCGTTTATGTATTTTATCTAATACAGCAAGTACTTCTTGAGTCTGCTCATCTCTAGGGCTCCTTTTATAACTGGATCCTTTTCCTTAGCATCCCTCCATCTTCTCTTCTTTGACGGACCTCCATTCAATGAAAACTCACACCAAAAATGCTCAAATAAGTCAAGGCCATCATTTTTTATATATACTAAGCGGCCTTGATTAGGGTATTATGAGATTATTGAAAGAAATGAGTGCAAGTTGGATTGGTTCATGATTAACACATGCACGGTTCTTATTCGAGCTATGTTCTATAAATTATCTTCGAGTAAAGTGGCATTGTATGTGAAGAGCCAGGAAAAATGACGCTAAATATGATATGCAAAGATCAAGCAAAACTTAGAGATTGTTCTCTGCCCGGAATTTATCCCAGGCTTCATTCAGTGTTCCGAAGACAGCACCAGCAATCATGCGCTGTTCAGTCGTGGCATTGGTGGGAATCTGGATATTCAGTTAGTCAAGGCGTAGAGGAACGATTTAAAACTCAGAATAACATACCTTGTCAGGGTGCACCTTTGAAATACCCTTCATATATTGAATCTTGACCTTGTTCGGTAATATCAACTCTGACAAGTTGATCTTCTTCCAGCCAGACTCGGGCCAAAGTACTGAATCTAAGCTGCCGAGCAGAGCGCGGAGGTTATCCTGCTTTCCGCCCCTCCAGGTGGCGATTCTCGCGTCAACACTATCCGACAGAGCAAACTTCTCCTCGTCGGCGCGTTCGGCGGCCTTGTTGGCCTCTCGCAAACGACTGACAGCTTCAGCTTCTTTCCCAGAAGTAGGGGCTTCAGCAAGATCTGACAGAGCAGAGACTTTTTTCTGAACAGGTGCAGGCTTTTTCTTGGCAGGGGCTGGGGCCCTCGACACAGGCTTGCTGATGCCAGCGGCCTTTTCACATCGATTTCGACCTTGGATACTAGTGCTTCCACCATGACCCGACTCGACCGCCAATTTCCATGACTCTGCCGCATCTGCCCATCGCTCAAGCTGTTCAAGAGCCTCAGCTTTACGCATCAAGGCCTTGCCAAAGAAATCCCTCATTTGCTTGGCAGGTTCGCCGTTTCCTAATTCAATAGTCTCTGATTCACCCCTTGAAGGACCGATCACATTTAAGATAGTATCGGCATCGTCAATTGCAGATTTGGGTTCACCAGTTTTCAGAGCAGTCATAGCACGGTTGCTGCGGATCATTATTATAATTGGGTGCTTATCGGGGAGCATACTGATAGCTGTGGAGAAGCTTTGGTATGCAGCTGCATAATCGCCCCGCTTGTATGCCTCTGCGGCTTTTTCGCGGTGTCGGTGAGTGGACTGGAGAGCCTCGGGGGATACAGTCGGTATAGATCGCGCAGGAGCTTTGGGTCGTACAGGGATAGGGGTCGAACGTGTCGAAGATGGCGCAGGTTTGGCTGCAGTTGAGGGTGGCTGCCGATTGGATGAAGGTGCAGGAGAGTCAAATAGGTCAATATTGGGCTCCGCCGCAGCTGCAGGTGGCGCTTGGGGACGTTTTCTTCTTGCTGGACTGACATATGCCTGCGCCGATTGCTCCTCTGCCGCGAATCTCGAAAGCCTGGATTTAGGCTCTTTTGAGGTTGGTCGCGACGGGCGCTGAAGAAAGTTTGGTGGCGGCATATGTTGAATATTTGGAGAAGGTTGCTGATTCCGGTAGTCGTTCTCATTTGGAACTGGTTGAGATGGTCGGGCGGGTTTCCTATGAGGGCGAGAATCCCCAGACTCGAGAAGAGCCGCTTCGTCAGTAAATTCTTGAGGTTTTGGTTGTGACTGAACCGGAATATCGGCAGGATGGGATGGTTGTGGCGACGGGAGTTCCTCTCGGTGGGCAGAAGCATCTCTCATCCACTTAGGTTGGCTAGGGTCGTGTTCCGTATTGAATTCATTCACAGCTTGCTGAAACTTCTTACTGCCAGTCTTCCAAAGGGAGCCTGCAGTTTTCAGGAAGTTGCTGCCGATCTGAGATGCTATTTGAGCCGGGTCCGCATGCGCCGGGCTTCGACTGTCATCGCGCAAGCGAGGAGTCTGCGATCTACCCTCCCTCATCCAAGCGGGAACATCTCGGCTGTCACTCCGTTCCGATGGATCGCTATGATGCCCATTGGCTCCTGATCGCCCTTGGGACTTCTGTTTCGCGTCTGAATGAGCTTTTGTAAGAAGCCAACTGACCGCAGTCTGTACGTCGGTTCCAGATGCGGTAGTTCGAAGGGCCTCACGGGACTTGTCCGCGGGGAAACCCATATCAACCAACTCTGCTATAGCGCGATCGACTTCATTTGAGGGCATAGGAGAGACATCGTTACTGCGATCGTTTTTTGGTGGTGGCGTTGGCTTTGGGGCTACCTGCTGAGGAATCTCTGACACGGGCTTTCCAAGAAGGCCGAGGAAGTCGTCATCGTCGTCTTGGGCTGGCGCGGGAGTGGGAGCCGCAGATTTTCCTTTCAAATCGTGAAGGCCAAATGGATCGTCATCGTCGAAGACATCTAGACCTCTGGTACTATCATGCATTGTTATTCCCCCTGATGGCGTACTTTGGAAAGGATTTGGAGAGGCGCTCGAGCTGGGAACCGGGAAGTGACTCGATTTATCGACGGGTGCTGCAGCTGCAGCATTGAAAGCGGCCAGAATATCATCATCATCATCATTGGACGGTGGCGACACGGATTGTGAGATCGGTGCCACTGCAGGGCTCTTAGTACTGCCTTGCTCTAAGCTGTTCCAAAACTGAGAGTTCTGCCCTCCCCACTGCGCTTCGTACTGATTCTTTTTCTCTGCATCCTTCTTTGCTTTCTCTAGTTGTAGTCGCTTCTGCTGCTCAAGAAGGGAGAGGTTCTTGTTGGCTGCGGAAGAGTTGAAATTAACTAGGTTCGCGAAGCTATCCCCAGAAGACGGTGCAGGTTTCGGAGAAATTGACCGATTTGAGGCTTCTGAGAGGGGCGTTGAGAGACGAGATACATTGGCATTTCGTTGCGCAGGTGGAAACATTAGACCCGAATTCATAGGAGGGGGCTTGTTGGCGGGGGCCGAGTTGGACCAACTTAAGCCGTTGAGGTCATCCATAGCGTTGTGATGCCCGGAGCAATTGAGATATGAGATAGGGATAAGTATAGGAGGTAAAATCAAAGATATAAATGGAGAAGTAAGTATTCCATGATCTCAAGTCAAGGAATTGAAGTCAAGTTAGTCTGCTTCAAGTGAAGCTCGCTAGGCCCGCTGTGGGGATAATAGTGGAGGGCACGTGATGTTTCATCATCACTTCACTTTATCTTCAAATTAGATGCTACCCTCGTTCTAGATATGAACCCTCTTCATCTTCTTTTCTCTGTCTTCATTGATTTTCATAATTTTTGCCAGACTGGGGAAGCTTCGATAAGTCTTTAGTTCAATCATGTTTCACAGAAGACTTATAATCCTTCTGGGAGGCCAAGTTGACTCGATTTGAATATCCATCCACTTCACGTGAATTGCCTTTCTTCCTTGCCACGTCACAAATCTAGTGCTAGACGACCTAGCTCGTGATAATAATATGCAGCTAAATTTAGAAGCTACTGGGGCTTGCTCACCGGGTCCATGGTGCTTATTTTGGGTTGGATCTACAAACTAGCCTAAGAACTGACTCCGAGGGTATTGATGTGAACGGCTAAAATGAAGACAAGCTACTCAAGAGGAGCTCGAATAATATTCAGGTAGCTAATCATGTTTATAATTACCGGCTCTAGGGCTGTATGCCTCTACCTAGGTAGGACTTCCGTATCAATGGCTCGTCTGGCGTTGTCCAAATCTTGAAACCATCGACAATTTTACTCCTGAAGTCCACAAACCTTGGAAACAACCTGAGAATCAAGTCGTATACTAGTCGACTTTTTCTGGACTAGTCTTATTACCGCAATCTAGCTTTGGAAATACCAACGGGTCACATCGGGAAGTATCTAGTCGTGTCCCATCAATATGCCGCGCTTGCAAGAATGATATAGCTATCGATCTGCATTGGACGCGCGTCTTGCACGCTGTTTTTCTTCCAATATTCAAATTAAACTGTACTACCTAGGTAAATGATGTATATTTTTGTTCCATGTACAGGAAGGCTGTATATTGCCCACTCACGACCCGGCTCTGCGAGGGCCTCGTCAATGATATGAGATTCTTGGTCTTTACTTACAATTCTCGTATCCATCAATTCTTGCAAGAAGAAACATCTCGTGGTCCAGTGGTAATCCATACTTGTATTCTGAAGAAGCTACTGGGGTTTCGTTAGAATCATGGATGAGCTTGGTATACTCCCGCGTGGGAAAAAGTATTCGAAGACTTCCCATGTCCCAGAGAAATACGCATTAGGCGATTCAATGCGGATATATTGCACACTTTTTGCACAATGTCTTAAATGAATGCTGAGTGATTCAAGCCTGGTGCTACTCGCTAGGTAGAGGAAGGAGGGAAAGAGAATAATGGATAAATGTAATTATACTCCGTAGAGAACTTGAGTCACTATCAGAGGTAAAGATAAGGGGAGTGAATATCAATACATCTTCGCAGTGTCCAGGTGAATGAAGGGAATAGTGAGATCGATAGTGAAACCTTGGAAGTAAAAGTAATAATGAATAAAATATTACGTTTGAAGGCAAAGTAATCTTGAAAAGCAAAAGTCAGTGCTGTCATGCACTATTATAGTAGTTTGTTTTTCTACGTCGCATGGGTGAACCCTGGAAGTGATAATGAGCCTCGAAGCTAACTAGAAGAGCGTAGAGCCAGCAGAAAGCCATCCTAGGTCCACTTTCCAAGATTCCATCCAACTCCACTTTAATGGAAAGATCCATGTTCTTTCGAGCTCTGGGGTATCTGTAGATGCTGCTCTTTATATTGTAGAGCTAAACCCGACTCAACAAAGTGTACAATGATGACTGCATCAAGAATTTATTCAGTTTAAGTTTATGAAAACAGGTATTTAGTATTTTGACGATGATCTTACAAGAGCAAGTAGACTAATTGATCTGCAAACAGAGTTTGTCAAGTTCCAATATTTCCATCATAGAGCTTTTTGATGATATTGAACAGGATGTCTATGTATGGAAATGGCCAAGAAGACCGGAGCACTTCGCCTGGTGTTAAATAAGTGTAATGAACTACTCGGCAGCTAACAAAGTCAATTTTATAACCGAACTGGAGCAATGCACAGATCTACTGTTCTGATAGGCCAATTGACCCACAAAAAGAACAAGAACATGAGAAAAAGAAAGCATGGTTCGTGATATATCATTACCTAGGAAGATTGGACCCACCAATATTCACGAACCCCTCGGTCTCAATTGTTGGTTACCGGTACTTCCGGGTCATTGAGAAAGGAATTTTGGTGGCTGGTTGCTAGAGCTGTAAAGCTGACTATCATGCATCAAGGTCTTTTGTCCAGAGCCTAGACCCATTACCCCTCAGATACTCTGCGAGAACATTCACCAGGTATATGATACAGTCTTGCGAAATAACTGGGTTGGGTAGAATGTGATAGATCGAGGACAATATACTAGTACTTCCCGACTGGATATCCGCATTTCGTTTGTTGACAATAAAGATAAACAGGGATATTGGAATCATAACCATCACGGAAGCCGAAAGTACGCCGTAATGTGTACTGTGGTTACACCGATATGCAGATATCTTGTTTTTGTGTAATTAAAGTGTGGACGGGATCCCTGGTGATCATACTGGAACAATGGAAATAGCCCTAAGGGCCTACCTCCGAAACGAAGCCCCATCAACATCAAACAGCACCCGCATTTAAGGGTAGAATTTATTCCAGAATATTCCCTACAGAGAGTGAGGTTGAAAACGAAGAAGATAAAAGTGAATTTTTATTTTACGGATTCTCTCCAGGACTAGATCTGATAATCCCCGACCAACGGCCAAGCTAAGGCAGGCTTCTAACCTCCTTTGGTTTAAGCATCACAACCCTTACTTGCTCGCCGATCTCTTCTGTCAGTGGGGCAAATTGGATATGTTCCAGTCGACTCCGCGTCGACTCCGCGTCGACTCCGCACATATGGTCTTCTATTGTCCAATTCCCTGTCGCTTCACTCACCCCTGGAACAGCGGGACCTAAATAAGATGCTAGAAAAAAAAAGAAATTATTTCCCGTTCTATTTTCCGTACGTCGGGCTCCAGCCGCGTCGCGTTTTCTCATATGTAAAGCGAGAGTCCCAAAGCGCCAGATGGACACTGGTGCCTTTTGACTCCGATTTTTCTCTTCCTTCAATGAGAAGCCATTAATTTTTCTATTTGGAAAAAGGCTGGCATAGGACATGCGAATCGATAATTTTGATCTTTTTATACCCATTGCATTGCGGCTCTAACTTATAATTTACTACCGTCGAGATGCGGTACTTCTCACTTCTTACTCTAATTATCTTTATCTTCTACTATGGGCAGTGCCTAGCAGCTCCAGTGGAATACAACCGAGATGTTGGCGCCATTACACTTCTTGGCAGAGACTCTACAAATGCGACAACAACAGCGACAGATAATACATCTGTATCTAAGGCTACCGCGACGAACACTCAGACTGAAGTAACAGCGACGGCTTCTACAACAAAGACATCAGCTTCTGATGCAAGCAAAACTACTGTCGCATCATCTGTTCCGTCATTAGAGAATGGATCCAGCAACCAATCGGTGCTAAATCAAACAACGATCTACTCCAATGGCCTCCCCATTCAGCCCAAAGTGACACCGGCTTTGGGAGTGGGAGGTGTGATACTGCTGGCCATAGGGCTTGTCCTGGCATTCATTGGGATCCGGAAACCAAGGTATTTCAGATTGATGATAGAGTTGGAAGCTCCTAAACTAACCATTGACAGGGTCCATATATTCCTATCGACGGGACTTCTCGCAGCACTAGGTACTACTGTTAGTCTCTCAAGCTGTATGAAAACGTTTAGATCAATACTAACAAGTGTTTTGCTAGCTTTTGATCATATATGTGATGAGCCCTCCAGTGAGTGATGGCGTACAAGGCGGCTACTTAGTCGCAATATTCTTCACAGGACTTGTCTTCGGCGGCGTAGCAATTCTCTTCAAGGATCTCACCGAAGGACTTTGTTGTCTTCTTGGAGGATTCTGCATCGGGATGTGGCTGATCACTCTGAAATCTGGAGGTCTAGTGACGAGTAGCGGACCAAAGGCCGCGTTTATAATCGTCTTTGCGGTGGCATTTTTCTGTCTTTCGTTCAGTCACTATACTCGCGCATACGGATCAATTGTCTGCACTGCTTTCGCTGGCTCCACGTCGCTGGTGCTTGGGATTGACTGTCTCAGCCGGACAGGCTTGAAGGAGTTCTGGCTCTATATCTGGGGTATGTTTCGTCTCATATGCTATCGAAACAGTATGATTCTAATGCGCTTTTAGCTTTGAACGATGACGTGTTCCCCTTGAATACGACAACTTACTCAGTCACTCGTGGTATACGCGTCGAGCTTGCCGTTACCATCGTTGTTGCAGCTCTGGGTGTGATAGCCCAACTGAGATTGTGGAGAGTGATCAAAGAACGTAAGATCAAGGAGGAGGCTGCTCGGAAAGAGGAAGAGAGGAAAAAGGAGGAGGCCGAGGCTGAGACGACTCGACTGGTAGAGGAAAAGAACATCCGCGATCGTGTTGAGTGGGAAAATATGTACGGTCATGGCTGTGCAAGTGACAGCAAAGATGACAACAAGGAGCCTTCTTTATCCGAAACGGCGGTTGCCGACTCGAGGAGAGACTCAGGCTCAGACGCCTTGGAGTCTTCTCATCGCGACAAAGAGGATTCTGTCGAGATGCACGATATGGCTAGTCCTCGCCAATCAGCTATTGTATCTGAAAGTGGGAATAACACCCTGTATACTGTGGAGGAATCAACAGCCGAAGATGTTGAGATGCCAAAACAGCAAATCGAAGGCAAACCAAATGATCTACAAGAACACACAGATCCAGAACCCGCACGACCGATCACTCCTGCATCACGGATAGTGGTGGCAATAGCAGACCCGGAAATTCACGATGAGAATGAATCAGAACATGGAGCTGTTGTTGGATCAGAGATTGGAACACCTCGTTCGAAGCGATTCTCTAGTCGATCAATTATGAACCGCATGTCTTGGAGATCCAGTAATAGCATGAATCTGAGATATCACCAATCTGAAGAAGCTCTTATTGCACCTGTCGACTCGAATTCTTCTGTGCAAGGATTTGTTGGTGATATTCAGAGTATAAGCTCTCGCCGCTCGAGTATTTCTGACATTGGTAACGACACTGAGCACCAAATGGAAACTCCAGACACGGAAAGATCTTCCAAATTATTCTCAGAAAATAAATCCGTTTCAGGAGAGACTGAGTTGGGACTGGAGTCTTTCGAAAAACTGGTCACTGGAACAAATTCGACCGTTGATGAAAAAGCACATGATGGAAATATCACTTCCAGGACTGAAACTGAAGCTCAAGAGCACCAAAATGAAGAGTCTGTGGATCAGGGGACTGTCAATTTTCAAGAGACTGGAGAGCACAGCTCTCAGGCTGACAACTTTAATGCCCCGATCGCTCAAGTCGAAGTGAAGAGCCCTGATTCTAAGCAGCAAGAATCACAATCAGAGCTCGAAATGACAGAGGCGGTAGAGACGGCCGATAAGGATACTGAAAGCCATGCCCTTGAAGAGAAAACAGACTCTGTTGATACTGCTGATGCTCCTGCTGAGGGTGCAGTAGTTGAGAACTCTCCAGCAAACGCAGAGCAGGTTGGACCATCCGATAAGAAAAATCCTGAACCTGAACCTGAACCTGAGCCTGAGCCTGAAGCGGAGCCAGTAAAGAAAGAGAAACCAAAGCTGGATAAAACGACTGTGCAGAGTATTCCCGAGCAGACATCACGGATAGTACACTCTTTCAGGACGAGGGAATGGGCAAAGCATCTAGCGGATGCAGATATGCCCGACATCGAACCTATTCAATTGGAGAAGGAGATCCAGAGCGAGGGAAATGACGAGGAAGCTCCAGCCCCTGTCAACTTGGATAGCCTACTGCAAACACCTCTCAATGCGCTACCCCCGCCAGTCGTGAACAAACCCTATCCCACGGAGCCGACGAGACCTGAGCCAACTCGACGACGATCTCAAAGGTCATCTCTGGAATATGAAGAGCTGCCAAGATCATCGTCCAGAACTGGAGGCAAGAGTTCAGTCCCCGCCCGATCTTCGCCAATACTTCCTCGAAACTTTTCCTCGAGTTCCCTCGTATCACGAGTGCGCGAGAACTCATCTCCTACAATGCGCCGTAGCACATCCTCTCCAATTATGGACAACAACAACCCAATTGATACTAGGCAAACATCAGATTCATCGCCTTGGAAGGGGCCACCTCCCCTCATAGCGGTGCGGGAAAACATGATACGGAACCGTATATCTTCAACATCTCTTCGCCATGACCCGTGGGCTGCGCCACCAAGAAGCCAGTCCCGACAATCTCCAGTCAATCAAAACCGAAACAACATAACCTCAATCCTCTCCGCTCCCGACGAGAGAGACGAAGAAAGTATCGCAGCCTTTTCGGATGAAGATGATGTGCCACTTTCCAAGCGACGGGCTTTATTACAGCAACAAGGGCGAAAAATATCATCTGGAAGTCATCCAAGAGTTGAGACCTCTCGATCACAGAATGCGGCTAATCCAGAGAGATCCGCGGCTGTCATGGCGGCGTGGCGACAATCTGTGCGACAGGATATCTCGCACGGGCGAGACTCCCTGTCATCCAGCTCACCTGCCATTACTGAACGACCGCGTGTTCAGCTCAGCTCTGTAAAGCAAGCGCGCGAGGCCTCGGCTGCCTATATTGATAGTGCTATTGCCGAGGGGATGCAGCGTGGAAGTATGACAGACCTCCACCGTAAAACCCTTCGACGGATGCAAGCTTCGACGAAACATTCATAGACACGTGGACCATGATCTGGATGAAATCCTTCTATAACTCTGCTTTAATTTTTCGATCTCGGATGGGGTTATAGTGGCTTGGTATAGCTACAATACTTGTACATAATTCACAGTGAAATGAAGCTTACGCTCCACAGAACGTTGCATAAGAAAAAATTACATAATTGGTTCTCGATCAATTTAGGCAAACTTCACGTCCCAAACTCCGATACAATGGAACCTTTCATTGCAAGAAATGGCTTGTCAAGGATCTTTCGAATACCTCCATCGCTTCTTCTAACCGTTTTTCATATTCCTTCAGCTCCTGACTCTCCTGATCCTCGTTATATGAACTTCCCAGCCCATTCTCCTTTTCCAATTCGAGCTCAACAGAGGTCCCTCCTCCTGCCGCTCGGGTAATCCTATTGATAGACAAAACATCGCGGTACAGACCCAAAGAAGACGGAAGTCTCACGCCATCTACGCCTGCTCTACCCATCTTGATAAAACGTGCATCAAGGAGGCGGAATTGAGCAGCCCACACATGCGGCTCGGCCACCTGCATTGCCATTTCCCAGGACGACCCGGAACCAAGACTGACGGACCCACCAATAGGTACACTTGATATGAGACCGACGAGGGCAGAGGAAATTCCGACTGATACGCTGGATGAGTGGCTCTTAGCCACGACTGCACGGGTGCCCTCGAGTAGGTAGAGTCCTGTAAGCAGCCATATCTTTGGTCGACGGGCAAATTTGAAGTTCATCACATAGTCGCTGTTAGCAGCAGACAGCCACATTTTGAGCTTTTTTTGCGCGTCTGGGTTCGTCAAGACATTTGTTTCAAGGAAGCATTCAGGACTGCAGAGAACTTTTTCAGCATACGGCAGATCAATAGGGCAGTATGTGGATCAAAGTTACTCTTTAAGTGTGGCCCGAACACCCTTCTCCGCAATGATAATTCGGTCTTGGTCTCGATGGTAGGCAAGACTCAGATTGGCTATATCACCAGCATCTAAGCCGACACCAGGCGTGAGACGAGAACATCCATGAAAGATGGCACTGGTCAATTGGGTTGTGTGGGCGTGTTGCCGTAGATCTTCGTCACTGAGAAGCCTTCAGTTAAAACGTCAAACTGTACTAACATGGGTATAAAACGCCATACTTGAGCAGGGTATGAGTATAATGGCGAGCAATCAACGGCTGCCAATACTTCTCCAGCACCAACGATCCTAGCGTCAAAGCTTCTGGCTTTTCTCCCATTCCATAGAGAACGAAGGATGAGTCGTCGTTACCCATTGAAAAAGATGGATTTGAACTGTTAGAATATTGAAGACCAAAGCTACTGTTAGAACTTATGCCAAAAGACTCCTACTCTGGAGTACTTAGATACTCATTTTTATCCAATATTTGCTTTTTCAACTGAAGTACGTCAGCTGAGCGGGGTTTTTTTGGTTTGTGCCTAGCTTACTTCTATGTATTGGTACTTCATCAGGTAGCCTTTTTAGTCGGAAAAACATGAGTACATAAGCCGTGTCAGTACTTAGGTACTCCGTATACCTACACCGTCTGCTCTGAATGATCATAACCTGTCCCTGCAATACGAGTTGATAACCTTGGCAGATGAACTTCGACCATTTTATAGGCCTGTGCGGTCGATCTATCTTTGCAGAAGAATATAGGGGAGATCTTCATGCAGCAGGGGATTATCTACAAATACATCCAGATGCAGGAATCGAATCCAAGGCCGAACATCTACGATGTCGATCCATATACTCCATTTTGACAGGCAAGCTATCGGATGCCTATGAGAACCTGACTGCCCTTCATAATCTTCTGAGCCAGTTGCCTCCAGAATGGGGTCTGCGATGTTCAAACTACAAGGCTCTGGCAGACTATACGCGCCGCTATCCTCCAATGATACGCTTCTACCATGAGCGAGGCAAACCCCTCAATCTGGTGACAATTAGCGATATCATAGGCTTTTGGGAGATTTCGCAAAAGCTCACGGCAGGTTGCCTGAAGTATACACCTGCGACATCCCGCGACCGAGAACTGTGCCTGGTGCTATCTGCCGTGGTGTGGCATCCATTTCACGTCCGTAATCTGACCAACACTTTACATCCCCTCTCTCCAAGTGCCCTGCAGTATCCATCCGATGCAGACTTGGAACCCGTCATCTCCAAAAAGGCCAGCCTCTTCTTGAAATATCGCCAAACAGCTGAAGAAAATGATTCACCTGAGATCGCGACGTATCTCACTCGCTTGATCGTTGAGTTTCATATTGCCTGCCGGAGTTCCCAGTCTGCATCCGCACTTGAAGGTCTGTATGATATATATGAGGAAATTGATGACTATGCCGGAATGGCAAACTCCAAGATGATGAGAGCAGATAGCCTCCTCTGTCCACCCTTCACCAGCCCTGTCTCAATGAATCTTATCCTCACCGATAACAATTCTGCCATTGCGGAGGACCCCATATGGGATCCTATAGAGCACGATCTCACGTTTGAATACTCGTCTCAGGCGAGTAATTGCTACGAGAATGCCCTCGATCTCTTTAACAGAGCTGCTTGCAATCGCGGTCAGGCAGCAGTCTTGCTTCGACAGGCTTGTTGTCTGCACCTAGTAGCACGCAACCGTCGAAGAGAGAATGAAGACTATCTTGATCTTATTGACGAGGCTTCAATCAAGTTACAAGAGTCTCTTGAGTTATTCGGGGATGACGAAGCAAATTTACAGCTTGTGAAGGCACATCAGATTCTGCTGAGAATATTTGAAGGGAATCTCCAACGCGGCAAGATACTGGCGAGACAAATTGGCGAATGGGGCGCTCAGAACAAGAACGAGACTTTGATTCATTTCATTGGACTTCTTTTCTCTCGCTTTGCGCAGCAGGAGTGGTCGAAGTACTCCAATTTGGATACTGCTTTGCAGGCTTGGGAGTGTGCATATGAGGTCCTTGAGCCAATGGGGGATCTCATTCCTATGTTTCAATCCGTTGTTGCTCGTGCCGCTGCTCATCATGACATCTTCAACTCGACAGAAGCTCTTCTTCTGATTGAACAAGGATATGCCATGGTTGATCCTCTCATAAATCACTTGAATAGGATGATTAACAGTCAGCCTGATAACGAAGTGATGAAAGTAGATCGGTCAACACTTATAATAATGAGATGCACGATATTATGGTCATTCGGTCAAATCATGACCAGAACCTATTTACGTATGGAGGATCTACAAGCCTTCCTTCAATGGCAGGAAAAACTCAATCAATGGTACGAGGACGATGACCACTTTCGCGAATGGATACAAAAATTGGAGAATGCTCGTCTTAATAGATTGTTCAACTCCGAAGTCGGATTTTCTGCAACGTCACATAGAGATATCTGGCGCCGATCCATAGCCGAAGATACAGCACGTGTTGAATACAGCTCTTGCGAAATTAAGTTCCGTCGGCTATTGGACGAAGGAAACGTTATCGAGGCGGAAGAAACTCTTCGGAGATTTGTGGCCGAAGCAGAGCTGTTGGAGAAGTGTTATACACGAAACCTCAACCGCATCTTAGCCTATGAGCGAATTGGAGATTTAGTCAAGGCCAGAGAGTCCCTAGATGCGATTGATGACAATGAGCTGTTCAATGGAGATCTGGAATATTATCGAAAGAACACTGCCGTCCGATTGGCTTTCCCAACGGTGGCACAAAATGCATTGTCATTCAGCATCTACGGGAGGGATATGCAGAGGGCTCGCCGATTGATAACAATCATCACTGATATATCGCCAACATTCTTCGATGACGCGATTGACAATGTGTTCGATCATTCTAATCGTCTCGGTCAGTTTGGGACTATCATGATGGATGTGGACCCTGAGCTTGCCTTGTCCAAGCTGCTTCTTGCCCGTAAAATGATTGAGACTAGACGAAGCCAGACTACCGATATGGATGCCCGTATTGGGCACTCCAGGGTAAGTTGGAGTAATGAGGTCTACCAGGACCTTGCACGGATATGCCTCACCTATGCGGATTCTGACGCTCCTCTGGGTTTGATTCAAAAGTACGAGCATGGCCACTTTGAGGAAGCATCCTGGGCTGAACATGCCCTGCTCTTTGTCGAGATGAACAGGGCACGTACAGTGCTAGATTCTTTATCCTTGCAGCCAGATGCCGCTCAAGCAGCCGACATACCGGGTATACCGAAGATTGCGTCTCTGTCAGAGGCAGTTCAAAAGCGACGCCTCCTGCGATCTCTCATGGCCCTCAGATCAATGACTCCAGAACAAAAATTAGAAGCCTCGCAGCTGCAAGCGGATATTGAAGCGCTAGAGGAGGATGGCACTTTGTCTTCCGCAGCCACATTCATCGATTCAGTCAATTCTGCAATCGACCCAAAGAAATTATACCAGAGCATCGACTCAAACACTGTGGTTATTGAGACAACGTTTGGATCTCGCGGTATGATTGCTTTCGCTGTGACTAGAAATGGCATTCAGCGGGCGTATCAAGAGTCCACACGTCTTGTTGATATGCGAAGAAATGTGATGCTGGCTATGCAGGTCATGAGAGAGATGAGTGGCACTCTCGGAGAGGAAGAAGAGAATCGCAAGAAAGCCCTGTACACACTGACTCAAACTATTTCCGATGTACTGCTGGTCCCATTTGCTGAGATCATCAGAGCCAAGTCTCACATCATTTTCTCCTTATCCGACCCTCTGACAGCATTCCCCTTCTCGATTCTCCCATTCGATGATAAGCCTCTAATCATGCACGCGGCTATTTCCCAAGTACCCAGCTTAACAATTCTCTATCACCTTTCACGGCGGGAGATGAAATCAGAGGCGCCGACAGTCTCTGTGCTCGCCAAGTCACCCATTGTGGCATCAGAAGATGTTGCTAGAGCCCAAAGTGAGGTCAATTTACACATGGCGGGAATTGAAGCAGTCAATATTGCACGCTTGTTTGCGACTTGGCCTATCGAAGCGTCCACTCTCTCTCGAAAGGACTTTCAAGATTATGTGGAAGGAGAATCACTGATAATGCACATTGGCACACACGGCAATTTCAACCATCGCAGTCCTCTGCTATCATCGATCTCAATTGGAGATGGTCAAGAATTTCGCGTGGCCGATATGTCAGCAATAAAAAGTAAGGTCAACCTTCTCGTCTTCGCCGCCTGTCTCAGTGGGCTTGGAAAGGCAACGATTGGCAATGAAGTCCTTGGCTTTTCTCACGTCGTCCTGAGTACAGGCTGTCAAGCCTATATCGGAGCACTCTGGGAAGTCAGCGACTTTGGATCCATGTTCATCATGACCCTTTTCTACCGGTATTTGAAAAACAACGCGCACTTGACTGTCTCTGATATCATGAGGAAAGCCCAGATAAATCTTTTGTTGTTGGATAGCAACAAGGCGGAGGAATTCCTCAATGATATTTTAGAAGACTGGACTGTGCAGAGGGGTCATGATCCTTCCGAGTTTGTTCCTGATGCTAAATATCTCCTTCATATCAAGAGAATGATTCTAACCCAACTTGACTGGTCTAGCCCTTTCTATTGGGCACCATTTACGCTGGTGGGTTATGGTGGGTTCCGATTCGTGCATGATAGGTAGATCGAAGGAAAGTAATGATGAGTTCAAGTTCTGTCTCGACTTTGGAACGAAGTTGAATATCTCGGTACTGAGTACTGCAGAAAAGGTAGTCAATGATTTCGGACTGTAATTGGTGTAGAGGGGACAAAATAGCGGACACCGACAGACCTGTACGATCTGAAGTCGAGGATGAAACAGCCGAGGAAGTGAAATGATTTGACGCAATTTATTTTATTTTATGATGTTCTAATGAACTACTCGGATCAGATTCTGTTGTGTTACAGTATAACACATTCTACTAATCCTTTTCTCTTTAAAAGTTAGCATTTCTTCTATGTAAAGGGACAATCCCCACTTTCTATAGATTGAAGCCCAAGTGGATTTGTCTTCCATTGTTATTTTTGCCTCATTTTTTTCAGTCTGAAGGACCTATAAGAAATTAACTGATAATTCTAATTTTCTCTTTTCGTCAGCACTTCTCTCCTTTTTTTCCAATGTCAATGTCTCTCAGTTGTTGCCTACAATTAAAGTCATTTTCCTGGGCCGCAATCTTCAGCTCCGACCAATTTGTGCTCCCCTTTAGCTTCTTCCGTCTTTCCTCAAAACGGCTTCTTCCACTTCTCCAGCCCGATCGAAGGAAGTCGCATCGCGTTCTAATCTCCCAGGCCAATACTCCTTTAGTCTTTCCACCATTCGCGCCCCCGTGGAAGCGTCGTTTGTCAAAGCACAGCGACGGCAGCGTTCGGAACCGTCGTCGCTCCCTGCCCATCAGCCTCCCTCAGTTCGACTCGCAAACCCTGTCAATTACGTCCCTCGAATTACTCCGATCACTCCATTCTACCCATCAGACGAAAACCTTCTTCGTCCCCAGCGGGACGCATACCCCCTCCTCAGCGTTTCCGAGCGTCAGCTCAGTCGCTTAGACGCATCTCGCAGCAGCCTCTTCGTTGAACACAGCCAGGCTGAGTCCGACAGTAGGCACAACAGTATCGGGCTGCCTCTTCGCCAGCGGCGCAGTGAGCATTCTCCCCGGATAGAAGATATGGCGGCTACGGAAACTGGTAGCCTGCGACCACCAGGGGATGTAAATCTCACATATACACAAAACCGGCCGCGTCATGTCCAGTCGCAAACCTCTCTGCGATCGCAGTCGCAAATCGCATCTATTCCATCTAATACGGGTCCGGTCCCCCCTGATGTCGCTCAGGACCTGGCGTGGGGACCTGCCCATCCGTGTTTCCCTCACTTTAACCCACATGTACCCATTGGGTCGCAAGAATATCTTACCACTCGAGTCATTCGCATTCGGCGTGACTGGATGATCAGCGGTGATCTGGCGCCCACGTTTTCAAATCTGTACCCCGAGATCCTGGACCCACTACTCTCCGAGCAAGAGTTCCGCATCGTGATCTCCACTATTAACGAGAGTTTGGTGAAAGCCTTTAACCCCTTCAGCCTGCACAATTGGCTTGACGGGTTACTCGGACTTCTCACTGGCTGGATTTGGGACGATCTGAATGCTCCTGGCATCAAAAGTCAACTCCAACGCGTGGAGAAATGGATCGAGGATTGGAATCGGGAGGTAGGCTCCAGAGATGGAGTTCACATATGGAGTCTACGGCGTACGGCCTACATGTCTATTGACATACAGATCCCAGATCCTCAAGTTGGCATGGCAGCCAGCGAGGGACCTTCCGTACCCAACACAAGACCCAGCAGTGGGGTTGGTCTTGGAAATTGATGTCTAGTCCCTTCGATGTACATCTGCTTATAATTTTTCTCTGTCCATGATATCCCCTTCCTCAGCGGTCTCTTTCCCCTGGGGTTTTCTGTGTTATTACTTATTCTTCCTGCCACTTTTTTTTGTTCTGACAACTTGATCTTAATTATTTATTTACCGCTGGGGATTAATTCTGTCTGTTCATTTCGGATATTCTGGTCACTGTGACCTCCCCGTTTACATTTTATATTTGAGGCCCGTGTTGATATTGAAGACTTTAGTATTTACAGTAGATACCAAGACCTTACGGTCTATATGAGAGAAATAATTTTAAAGAAATTGCCTACAGCCTACAGCCTACAGTAATATAGGTAGAATCCCTATCGTCTGCGATAGAGATGCAGGGGTTGAAGCGGTGTAGAAGGCGGTGTTGATCCACCCCACATCTTAGGTAATCTCCTTCCCCCGAGCTCCTTAACTCCAAATCGACTGCTTCAAGTGCTTCAACGCTGTTGCTGAGATATAATAACAATTGATACACCGTTCCATGGAAGCTTCGACCTGCATTAATTCACCATGCTGTCGGGTATCTTGATGTTCAACCAGAAGGGTGAAAACCTTATATTCCGAGCCTTTCGCAGCGACTGTCGTCGTGAGTATCAACACTCTAGTATATCGAGGTCGCAAACACTTAACTGACATGGATCAAAGAACGTCTCAGCGACGTGTTCCGCATACAAGTTATCAGCAATCCCTCGGTTCGGTCGCCTATCCTGACATTGGGCTCGACAACTTTCAGTCATGTCAAGCACGAGAACATCTACTTGGTCGCTGTGACCAGGAGCAATGCCAATGCGGCACTAGTCTTTGAATTCCTCTACCGACTCATCCTACTTGGAAAGAGCTATTTTGGCAAGCTCGACGAGGAGGCCGTTAAGAACAACTTTGTCTTAATTTACGAACTGCTCGATGGTACGCCATTGTCCCTAAACCTTCAATTTCAAGTGCATATAATAACTCAAATAAACAGAGATCCTCGACTTCGGATACCCGCAAAATACCGAGACCGATACGTTGAAAATGTACATTACAACCGAAGGAGTCAAGTCTGCAATCACGAATTCGCCCTCAGACTCGAGCCGCATCACCATGCAGGCCACCGGCGCACAGTCATGGCGTCGCGCAGATATCAAATACCGCAAGAACGAGGCCTTCGTGGATGTTATCGAAGATGTAAACCTACTAATGTCAGCAACCGGCACAGTCCTGCGTGCAGACGTGAACGGACAGATCGTCATGCGCGCATACCTTTCTGGTACACCAGAGTGCAAATTCGGGCTGAATGATCGGCTCCTCTTGGACCCGGGTGATTCGACTGGGACCAACGCCCGGGGTGGTGGTGGCACATCGGGTGCTGGCAAGTCAACGCGCGCAGCCGCCGGATCCGTGACACTTGAGGACTGCCAGTTCCATCAGTGTGTGAAACTAGGCCGATTTGACGCAGACCGGATTATCTCGTTCGTGCCGCCGGACGGCGAGTTCGAGCTGATGCGGTACCGTGCCACGGAGAACGTCAACCTCCCGTTCAAGGTGCACCCGATTGTGCGGGAGGTCGGCACAACGAAGGTCGAGTACAGTATTGCCATCAAGGCGAACTACAGCTCGAAACTGTTTGCTACCAACGTCATTGTTCGTATCCCCACCCCGCTCAACACCGCCACGACTACCGAGCGAACCAGCCAAGGTCGTGCCAAGTATGAGCCCGAGCAGAATAATATCGTCTGGAAGATCCCCCGCTTCTCTGGCGGTAGCGAGTATGTCCTCAATGCTGAGGCTACTCTCACTTCAATGACCCATCAGAAGGCATGGAGTCGGCCCCCGATCGGCCTTTCCTTTAGCATTCTGATGTTTACCTCTTCTGGACTTTTGGTGCGTTACCTCAAGGTATTTGAGAAGAGTAACTACAGCTCTGTTAAGTGGGTGCGCTACATGACTCGCGCAGGAAGTTACGAGATCCGGTATGTCCTCTCACTACCAATAAGTAGGCCTTGATACTGACCTGTTTTTCCTAGCTTTTAAAAAAAGTTGATATCTCAAATTATGCATAGCTGCAGTCTTCTTTTCTTCTGAAGGCTGATGTGCATCAGGAGTAGGTGTTTGGCGTCGGTTGTACTATACATATTACTGCTTCATTTCATTATGTACTCAAACTTTGCATATCTTTAATTGACTCGAGGTGAAGATGATGATTTAGAGGAACACACGCCTTGAAGGAAACAAAAAAGCAAAGCTAGAAACAGACTAGATGTTTCTAGTGTCCATGCAATGCATCCGCTTATCGAATATAATGATCAGATGTCCATGACATCCTGTCTCATCTTCTGGACTTGGTTTAATCCTATTCTCCTACCTTCCTCATCTTCCCTAGTCTACCTTTACCCAGTAACTCAGAGTTCCCGAGCAAGAGTGGTGAAAATAACGAATAGTAACAACTCGAGCGAAATCGATGCATACAGTATCCTTTAAAACCAGACTCTTTCGCTGATTTCATGCTTGAAGTTGGATTTACAAGCCGAGGTCAGTAGACTTTTCTGATGGTAACGTATCGACTGTGATATCCTAACAAATCCTTGCAGCAACAGTCAACTGTGATTGCTCCAGGAAGAGACAATGATGTTCTTTGGGGATCCATCTTCCTCCCGTTATCCGAGGATTCACCACAATTACTCCACTCCACTTAGGGCTAACCATGGATAACATCCACATCAATAGCATCATTGGTCTAGTGGTAGAATTCGTCGTTGCCATCGACGAGGCCCGTGTTCGATTCACGGATGATGCAAATATCTCATTTTTTTGCCGTTTTAAGCCTCACATCAAAGCCTTGCTGCCATACATCCTTATGTACGGAGTATAATATAGTTTGCTTTTTAGTTAAAATTTACCGTTTACATCTAGTATTACCAGCCATAAACTGATCCCACCTGAATAATGAATGTCTATGATTGTCACAGGAACGAACAATGGCCTACTTGAACTTACGATCGAGCCCATAAGGGCTCGGCTCGGACGTTGTCTAAGCTGTGAGGCTTGCAAAGCAGAATCTTTCAAGTGGTGGGAAATCACTTTCAACAACACCTGGGCATACTATAACATGGTACTTCATGTGCATGATATTTCTCTTCCTATCTAGATACACATTGAACATGTAGTTTAGCATCTCACTGGAAGAACTTTCAGGATTTAATGCAATCTTTCACTAAACTCTTCTTGCACATCACTCTATTCGCTCATTGGAGATTACTATCATGTAGAACGCTCATCTGAAGTCATATAACCTCTGTCTATCGTTACCATTGACCAAAGATGCTTGAAAGGCAGACATTCACCTACTTCAATCTCACGTGGAAGAATAATGTCCATGCTTCCCTGTAATACTCTAGCCCAATCAGGAATTTTGCTGAGTATTTCCTCCATTTATATTTGCCTCAGTACTTTCTCTGCTGTTGATACTTCTAGCTGCACTTCTGCTGCTCCTACTAGCGTAACTGGGATAATGTCACTGATGTCAGCTGTCGACTATCAAGGCTCAGTGAAGATAAATACGGCTCAGCGTTCCTGGCCGCCTGGCTGGATATGGGCTGGTTAGGGCCCGTTGTTGACCAGTATGTCCATGGATCTAAAACGGATATATAGTCACCTAGGTAGACCTGGGGATATAGAGCATATCAGATGCGCTGGTGTTTCATACAAAACCAAGTGGTCTTCAACCCATAAAGGCCCGTTCAAGTATGTTGTGTTCCATTTGAAGCTGAAAAACTTATCTCCAAATTGAGTAATAGCTTGTCATTGACCATTGTATTATTACAGGGAATGGGAGTTTTGATAATGATACAGTTTGAAATTCAGTGGTATCTTGAGTAAAAATACAGGTCCATAGTAATAGTGATACATCGCTCAAAAAAACCCCCCCCCCCAGAGCAAAAGAGTCATGTGCAATAATTAGCCTTGAGTCCCGACAGAGCAATAAAAATAAGCTATTGAAGCAGACTCCAATAATAGGTCCGTAAGGTATGTAACCAGAAAAAGAAAAAGCCAAAAGAATAAGTGATGATGGAAATTATTCCTGGCAGCGTGGAATCGGGGGCGTCAAGCATGAGAAAAAAAAAGTAAAAAGGTGTCGTATAATACATGTCAGAAAATAGATATTTATCGGCGTTCATGTCGGAGTGTAACTCGGCCATTTTGTAGGAAAGATTGCAGCCGGTTGCTGACGTCGGCACAGTCACTGCGGCCCATTCGGCGCGCACACTCCTCCAAATCTTGTTGGGAAAGAGCAAACTTCTCGAGAACCAGCTCGAAAAGACGCTCATCCTGCGCAGTAGTCCACTCCCCAGAGCGCACGTTCTGCTCCGGTTGTTCAATGGAGGGAATGGGTGAATCAGGATGAATGGGTGCACTTGATTCTAAAAAGCGGCCCATGTTGCGCTGGGCTGGAGAAGGGGGTGATTGTGTGACGGGTGGCGAGTGTAGAGAGTAGCAAGTTGTCTGGGAAAAACCAAGCGGTAGATTGTAGGGGACGTGCCGCCGGCGTTTGATTGGAGTTGAGGAAAGATCGCGTCTGTAAGCGTCCATTTCGTTGTCGCTTTCACTGTCAAAGCGACGGCGCTTGTTGGTGCGCTTTGGTGCGGGTGGTGGTGTGGAAACAGTGGTGATGGGAGGAGTTGTTGGTCGAGGCGCAGAAGGAGCCACCTGGCGCAATCGCGGTGAGCGGCGCGGGGAGATGATAGGAAGTGGGCTTTGAAGACGTTTGGAGGAGTGCTGTGGCGATGGTGTCGGCGATCCGTTGAGTAGAGATTGTAGTGCGCGGCAGGTGCCCTGTAGGCCACTTCCTGAGGGATAGCCGGTGTCTGATGGGGGAGGTGTTGTGAAGAGACGGCTAGGAGAGAAGCGAGACGACCGGCGCGCATCGCAAGGAAGAGCAGATGGGAGCAGCATTTTTGCGCGTGTGGAATAAGATAAGTTGTGGACTGAGTCAAGTCGCGCCAGGTTGCGCGAGTGGATTTGTGCGGATTTGCGACAGGCGATTGCGCCGGGAAGGATTGCGCAGCGCGAAAATGGAGTTGGAAAGAACGGAACGAGTGCAGTGCAATGTGGACTTGATGCGCTTCCTAGAGCACTTGTTCCGAAGAACAGCAACAGTGAAGAAGAAGTAATGGTGGTTGTTCAGGAGAAAGAATCGGCGGGGCCCGATGAGTGATAAAAGAAAAAAAGTGGCCGTAAACGGTCAAGCGAAGGCTCCACAATTTGTTTATCGAATGCTTTGCTTTGCTTTGATTTGTAAAACAGAGCAAGAACAGAGTAAAGAAAGATTGGAAGAATGCGAGATGGAGTAAATGATTATAGATTAAATGAGTAATGAATGAAGTCAGAATAAGCCCAACAGGTTAAGCAGGGTAAATCCAGGTTTGAACAACGAATGACTCGAATTGACGATGATGGATTGTCTGGAATTCTACAGGGATTCTTATATATTACTTTGTTCTCATGAATGTTCTTTGATCATCTACTCGTGGCCCTTCCCCAGTGAAACACGATCCAAGGGACTAAGGGCATAAGGGCATAACCTGCAAGGGCTGGTGATCCTACAACGTTCTGTTGAGTATTTTTCCCCTGAAATAGATGATCCACATTTTCCAATTACATTTCCTATTTGGGTCAATTAACTGATGATCCATGTCATGATAATAGCACAGTCCATTGAGTGCCCAAGAGCGACGGGCCTTACCAGTCCGCATGATATGACACTAGGCTACTCTATTTTCTTCCAAATTTGGTATATCTTATGACGTGCATGTACATATGCATATACTCAGTACAGCGTTGCCTAACCATATAGAAATACGGAGTATGATTCGTTTTGTCCGGCCCCAAGTCTGGACTCCGAGGGACCAGCGTGTTTTAATAATGGAGAGGCTGGGCTTTTCACCACCAGGAGTTTGTTTCTCCTGCCATACTAAAATTAGCCCTGGAGGAGACCTAGAGGTGGATTTGTAGGGTCGCCCTGGACATTCTAATCCTTTCTCTGAATCCTTGTACTTTTGATGGATATAAATTTGATGCAAATTGAAAATTTGAAAATTGAGGCAAAAACGCGTCGCGAACGCGTAGTGTGACGCGACTCAGGCAACCAATCAGAGTCAATACTGATCACAAACTTAATTGGTATGTTTATACTTAGTCAGCCTATACTACAAACCCTTGCATCGCCCGGTTACAATGGCACGAGCATACAGACTAAGAATGGCATAAGATTATCACCTTGATGGATAATTCCTCGAACCCTGCATTATCTTGCGGCACTACTGCAGCCTTAATTCTAACTAGATTGTGGTACAGAGCGCATACTCTCCCTCCGTCATCGCCGCATGCCTTCCTGGTCTTCCCACATGAGTACGTATCTTACGACGGACATCCTATTTTACAGTATTGCTATGGTCTCCTGAACGAAAGCTTAAAGGAACAATACCTATTACAGGGATATCTAGGTGCCTAGTTATTCCCACTTTCAATCCCCATCCAAGGTTTCTCCAGGCCATCTCTGAAGGGGAAGAAGGCTCGTTCCTACCAGCCACCACTTCGCATGCAAGGGATACCTCAGCCTCGCTCAGTCTTGCTCCTCAGATCCCAGCCCTACAACCCTTTATCTGCTATTAGTAGATATCCTGTTCGCTGTTGGCGACCCTCTACACAAAACCTAGCCAATAGACGTCAGTCATCCCCTCATCCCTCTGATCAAAGCTTTCAAATGTCCCTTTACTCTTCCATATTCTATCCTATCTTCTATTGAAATGTGGGTCTCTCCTTTGTGGCAACTGAGCTTCAATCAAATGTCTAATCAGCTTCTGTCAATCTTGACCTCTTTCATTCTCTAAACCAATAAGATTGCTTTCCTTCGTCGTCAACTGTCTTTTCTCTATAATTTCTAAGAGGGTTGCTTTGAAAAGTATGGTCTCCTTCCAAAGAAGGACCGTTCCTCATTTCCAAGGTTTCCAATCTTTGTTCGGCCTATCATTTCACCGACTCCGTCTTTAGAAGGCTCTTTGAGTGCTCGATCGCGTTATACGAGAAGCAGATTCCCATGAAATTAACCATATCAGCCGCTGGATTCAGTCAGCTATATACTAAACGGAAACAGAATGTCACTTACGTGTAATTCGGGCGCCTGTGGGATCATTTTGATCGCGGCCGTTCAACCGCGTGAAATCGAGGACCATATTCACCCGTGGTTGACGAGATGCCTGGTATATCTCGAGACGTCTGGGGATATCTACCACTTGAGTTCCCATAGGAAGCAACGTAGCGATTTCGATCGCATCTTCAATTGCCATAGCTCCTCCCTGGCCCAAGTCTTTGTGAATATTAGCTTCAGATTAATCAATCAAAGTGAAATGAAACGAACTCACACGGCTGGAATGGATGTGCTGAATCGCCTATAAGCGCCGTATTATTGGAGACCCACGCCGGCAGGGCCTTCATGTCATACATGTCCCACATTTTGAGGTCCTCTGCACTATCGATGATTTTCTGGACGCCGGGACAGAACCGGGAGAAGGCACTGGCGATGACTGATTTGTCGCCAACCGCTTGCCAGCCTAACATGCCCTCAGCTACCATCCCAAAATTTCATTCAGATTCTCTCATCACTCACTGTTGACCTGTATGTTGGATTTACTTTCATTAGAAGGCATAAAGGCGCACAGGTTGAATATCTTGCTATCACCGCAAGGATACGCAACAAGCCGGCGGTCCTCAGCGGCCCACTCGATGAATACACCTGGTCTGCCAACAAACGCCTGAGTTGACTCATACTCTTTCAATTGATCGATGGGAAGCAGCCATCGAAAACACGATTTCCCCACTGGGTATGGAGCCGGTGCTTCTGGCGCAATTGCTCCTCGGGTTTGGGACTAGTCAATGGTTAGATGCCGTAGTGTCTCACATTCAGTAACATACATGTATTCCATCAGCACCTAGAAGGACGTCAGCTTCAAACGAGCGCCCATCTGCCAATGTGACCGATGGCCGGTCAGATTCGGCATTGATCGTTATGATCCTGCAACTTGTATGAAGGGTCGCCGTTTCCAGAGCGCGTTTCTTGAGATGGTTGTGCAAATCGATTCGGTGAACAAGATAATATTCCTGGCTAAACTTAGCTGTGTCATTTCACCGGGTAAGCATCTCCATACCGCTTGCCAAAGGTGACGAATATCGTCATAGTCCTTCTTGAACTTAAGATCTCCCTCTGAGGTGTACCGATGGATCTATAGAAAGCATTATTAAACCGAATTAGCTTTCGCTCACTTTCAACTGAGCTCCATACCTCGCGGAGAAGTGTGCCTCCGAAATCAGCTGGATCAATCCCCATCCAGCGCAGTAAAGAAGTACTATTAGGAGGGAGATGAATAGCAGCACCAGTCTCCTTGATAAAAGCCGATCTTTCCACAATCTATCAGAGGCGAAATTAACAGCTTTTGCTCTTTTATTTTTATATTCGCAGCTCTATAGGACTTGCTACTTACCACAACGCGATGTCCTTGCTTTCCAAGACTAATCGCCGCGCAGAGGCCAGAAATACCGGCGCCAACAATCAGTACATCGAGCGGTCTATCTACCACGGTCATTTTGGGTCAGGTCTAAAGATTGAATATCGGTGATATTTTCAAGATTGTCTTTCACCACAATTTCATCCACGAACCTCAGTTAAGTACCTAAATAATCTATCATGCAAGTATTTTATTTCAATTTTAATTGGCTTTGCACTAACATGGCAGCATCGCTGCCCGAAGGCGATGTTGAAGGTTTCGTGTTCGGGACTGTCGGACCTCGGGATGTATGGCCGCTATGCAGAGAACAGAGAACAGCAAACCAATCATATCGTGAAATGCATGCATATTTGCATCGGCTGGAAAGGCCTAGGTGGCTTAGGTGCTGAGTAGATCTCAGTACGAGGTCCAACATGAGGATCTGTCACCTGGAGCATCTATTAAGACACTCGGTCTTAGTTAGCTCCACACCTCAACAGCCCTGGGGCATATATCAGCGCAAAACTGAAAGGAAAAGTCAAGAGGTGACAGGGTAAATCCAGTGCTTCTAGTATGTCTCACCGACCTACTAGAGCCAGTGATTAGATAAGTAATATTGCAAGTTTAAAGTGGTTCGGGAATGAAGTGGATGAGAATCATTTCTTGGATTATGCCTGCTAATACGAAGATATCCACGAAAATTTCACGTAAAGTATGAGTTGAGCAATAAGTAAAGTAACAATAGAACATATACTTCCAGCCTGAAGCTGTGAACCGTATCTCATAAAGTCATAAAACATGTCAGTCAATACGAGAGCGCTTTGATCTTAGAAGCTCATCTTATACAGGTGGTAAATAAGGAAATGAATATCATTGCACATGAATTCTCGATCACTCACCTGAAACATGAAGAGTAATCCATAAAGTTGTAAAACATACCGGTCAAGATGAGCGCCTTGAACTTGGAATGGTAGCTTTTGCAGCTGATAAAATATGAAAATCAAGATTAGCGCACATGAGCCCTTCCTCACTCACTAACCTTCAACATGGAGTGGTATTGCATGATGGTCGTAAAAATGGCAATGATTATAAGCGCATATCAGTTCTTCATCGCCAGATTTGTTGGAAATGTATCGTGAACAGCGAGTAGAATCATACCATTTGGAAAGAGATATCACGGGTCATCAAGATGGTCAGCGTCCTGGCCGTAGATATGTCGCTTTTGGATTTTCTTTCCGCTGACCAGGTTCTTTTCTTCTTGATAGGCTTCACCGTCTTTCTCAGCACTTTTCTGCTCATTGGTGATCTTCGGATAGTGGGTTGAGGTCAACATAACGGGTAAAGGGATCCGGCGTCGTGGAAGAGTTGGACATGGCGGTAGAAGGGGCTCATCTTCTGGACGGACTAGGCATCGTGAAAGATATGGTAGAAGGGGCCCATTCCCTGGACGTGTGGGGGCCCAACCGGACAGGAAGGGGTTTGAAAATGGCTCCATTGGACGGATATCATTGATGTAAGAAGGTGCTTGATATCCCGCGTAAGAATCCTGGGTGGTATCGGCCAGTCCAGCATAGGGAAGCGCATGCTCACTGTCATCTCGGTTGGTGTCCTGGGCTGCCTCGTTAAACGACTCCGATACATGGTCGATGGATAAAAGGCGGAAACGTGCGCTGGCTTGATTCTCAACATCTTGGATGGGAATGCGGGCACGTGGTCTTATCTGGTCATGTACTGGGATGCGAGAGCGCGTGCCCATTTGAGCTCCGTGATTTATGGGATTGCGGAAAAGCGTACTGGCCTGATCAACATTACGAATGGGAATTCGAGAACGGGCGCTCACCTGGACTTCACGTAGAGCAGTACAAAAACGTGCACTCATCTGAACTCGATGATCAATTTGATGATGGGAACGTTTTCTGTTCTGATCTTCAACCTGAGCGATGGGAATGCGAGAACGGGTGCTCACCTGGGCTTCACGTAGAGGGCGAGAACTTGCGCTTGCCTGAACGTCGCCAGGAGCTACGTCGCAGGCTGATACGCAAGGCAAGCTATCTAGCGCGACGATGGCCGAGTAACCACGGATCTTCTCTTTCCAGTTACCGAATACTGCCCGATATCTTGCTTCCAGTTCAGCAGAGTAAGAAACGAACCAAGAGTGATCCAGCGCGCGCTTGGCTGTGATACGACGGACTTCGTCTACGACGAAAATTTTATGAAGAAGGTCTCGAGGAAACTCTTCCACCTTGTGCATCTGCAGGAATTCGTCTAGCTGTTGCAGTGGCCGAGCGAGATCCACGCATTTAGCGTGGAACGGCACTCGGCCGGTCAGCATCAACGCTACTACAGATCCAATGGCCCAGAGGTCGGTGGCCGAGGTATATCCCTTCTCCATGCGAGTACGGTGGACTCTCATTTCCCTATTCCCAAGACGTCAGTAACTATTTTCTTAGATGAAAGGACTGGGAAACTTACGGAGAAAGGTACAGCGCAGTACCACACCAGCTGGTCATGCGCCTCATTGCAGGGTTACCGACGAATGTCGAACATCCGAAATCGCTAAGGACCACTTTACAGCCGTCTTTCAGGGAGGCCATAAGAACGTTATCAGGCTTGATATCTCGGTGCACAATCCCCTTGCCATGCAGGTAGTCCACGGCAAGCAGCAGCTGTCGAGTGATCCACACCGCACCCGTATCATCGAGCTGGCCTCCTTTGTAGTTGATATAAGAGTACAGATCACCCGCCGTGAAAAGCTCCGTGAAGATGTAGCTAGAAAGACGTTAGCCAGTCTATATAAGCCAGGCAAGGAAGGTTGTACTACTTACAGGGTGCTTTCTGATCGGATGACAGTGTCCATGTCGATGATGTTTGGCTAAAGTGAGAAACCAGTCAGTAAATACCCATGAAGCAAGGTGTAATAAAGACTCACGTGAGATAGTTTCAAAAGGAACTTGACCTCCTGCTGGCACAGCCGAACATTTCGTGAGACGTGCTGTGGATCGATGGACTCCCCTGAATTGGGTGACGATGGAAACTCCAGGTTGATAATCTTACAGGCCAGCTGCTTCATGTCGTCTTCCCGGTAGGCCATATGAACTCGGCCAAATCCACCAACACCCAGCACGCGCTGGGTGACGAAGAATTTGGCCATGATGCGCTAATTTGATGTCAGTGATATATGTAGTGTGTGATATTGAAAAAAAACTAGCTAACCTTGATCTCGATCGTCTGAAGCGAAGTGAAGTTGTCTCGCTTATCATCTGAGGCTGAGGTGAATCGAAGGTGAATATGACTGCCAATCCTCAGCTCATCACGATTACTTAGGAGAACACCGTCTTGGCTGATTTTGAAGCCATTGAGGAAGGTCCCATTACGGGACAGGTCATGAGCAAAGATTAGTGGAGGAACCTCGTTTAGCTTTGAATCGTCGAAGATGATACAGTAGATCCAAATGTGGACCTTGGAAACGAAAACATCATTAATGAAGTAACGACTATATTAAGGACGCGTCAAATCACGCGAAGTTAGTCGTTGTATCACTTGTGTACAATTGAAAGTAAAGTTATACATACCATTTGGTCTTATCTCTGCCAACATATACTTGCTCGTTACTGTGGATCTCGAGCGGGCTGCTGCAGGTGTTAGTATCCGGGTCCCATCGTGTCAGAGTGCCAACTAGATGGCTGGGTGCTGTCGACCTGACAGATCTCAGAAGAGATACCATATTTAGATTTCAGAAGTCAGGAAACAACAATTGGATGGAAAAACTGAGAAAGAAGGGTCGAGGTTAGGTGTTGTGGATGAGAAGATTTCGAAGTGAGAAGAAAAACACATGTGACTTGATATTAGGGCCTCATCAAAAAACCAGTACTTTAACACCCACTGCAACTCCAAAAAAATTCAATTAAAATGCTGTAAGAACTTTAAGAATACAAGATTATTTGCAATGATCTATGTCCTCATCTTGCAAAAGCACTCTTTCGCAGCCTAAGGTGGTCGCTCTCATTTCAGTCGTATTCATCATCACTGGTATCAAACCGTATCAAATCTTGAGTCGTCTTTCCAGCTCCCAGTGCCCAAGGTCATTTCCAATGATCATTTGCTCTGCATATTGCGAAAGCGCTCTTCAGCAGCTCTGGCTCGTCGCTCTCGTTCCAATCGCATCCTCATCTCAGGTGTCATGCCTCGAGTCTCCTCCTCACGTTGCTCGGCTGCCGTCTTGCCAACTCCCAGAGCTCGACCACCTGATTTCGTCACTCTTTGGGATGCCTTTTTCGCATCTTCCTTCTTCAGTCGTTCAACTTCGGCCTTGCGGCGCTTGGTTTCTTCTATTTCGACAGCCTTTCGCTCAGTCTCAACACGACTCTCCACCTCTGCTTTGGACACGGCAGATGGGACATTGGCTTTGGTCCAATCCCACTTGTCCTCGCCCAATTCATGACGAGCAATACGGAACGCATCGCGAGTGGGACGGTCCCCTGCGAGCTCAAATGGTGTTTTACTCTCATGGCTGCGGATGGTGGGGTCCGCTCCGGCTCTTGTAAGAAGAGCGGTCACAATAGCAGCAGAATTGTGATTTGCTGCGAGGTGGAGAGGGGTGGGACAACGGAAAAATTGACCTTGTTGTGCTGGCTGGAAGATAAATGAGGATGGGATCGAGTTGTTCTCGAGGTAAGTCATCAGCCCAGGGACCTTAGATCGCCTGATGAGGGACTGGATTTGCGAAGTTTGCAGCAGAGCATCCTCTTCCTCTCTGGACAAATTGGGCTTCTGGGGCTTCGGACGAGGGGTGAGTGGCTTAGACTCCTCCTTCAGTTTGGCAGCCGACGCTGCTGCCGCCAGCGCGGCCTCATCAACCTCACTCACTTTAACCCGAGTCAGCTCTTTAAAGGATCGCATGAGCTCTCCCTGAGTCGCGCGACGAGTGTTGAAGGGGAAGCCTCTCATGCGGGGATCGTTCTGCTTGAGAACCTGCCCCTCATATTGGTTGAACAAGATTTTTCGGTTTGTTGTTCCGCTAGCTCGGACGAACAGCAGTTCCGAGGTGTCGATCATCTCTTTCCAATCCGAAAGCAAATCTCGAATATCCTTCTCGAGTGCAGCCTCATTATAGCGACGCAGACTTGAACCAGCCGAGTGAGCAGCTCCACGAGAGGCATCACTGGCGGATTGAGAGCCACCTTGTTTTCGTCGCGTGGTGTATCGGTGGAATGTCTTGTGCGCGAGTACCATTGCTTGTCGCTCTTGAATACCGCCCTGCTTGCGGTGGATTTCAGGCGTAAGCGACACTACCATCGCAGCGAAGTGTCCACCACCAATCATACACATGAAGATATGAGGGCCGGTAGTTTCCTGATTCTGTGACTTATTTGTGCGTGCCTGTACGGGTGCCAACTGCTTTTTCTTCAAGGTTTCTACCAAGTGAGAAGGTTCATCCTGCTCAGTATTTGAAAAAATTGCTCTGTATATGCCCAGCGATATGTTTGAAGGCAGTCCAGAGCTAGAAAACCAACAAAGTGGATTCTTGGCTGTGACTTTTGTGGCAGTCCCTTCCTCGGACTGCGCCTCGGATAGCTTGGCCTGTTTTTTCAACAATGCTATGAGCGTTGTGTCACCGTCAGTTTCGTCCGAGTCTGAGTCCGAGGAGTCGGAGCCAGATATAGACTCATCAAGCTCTCCAACAGCTTTCGTAAACTGAGCTTCATCAAGCGGCGTGTTTCCACGCAGTTGAATCTTAATATTATACCGGTGGTGATCGGATCGGACATGACTACGTTGTTCGTGCACATTGTGATAGGAGACCTTACAGAGGGAGCAAGATGTTGAGATTGCAATCGCCAGATCTTGCACGACAGCATCAACGTCTTGCTTTGCGCTCTCGTCGGGTTGTTCAGTGACAGGCTGTTTCGTGGTTTTGGTGGACAATGTTGTCAGAAGCTCCGGTGGTAGGCTGTAAGCTACGCGGGAGTCAGTGACATAATCTTGGATGAAGAACTATATATTTGATGATACCTACCATAAAGAGGACATTTAAGACACTCCTTGAGGGGAGTTGGGTCCCCCATGACTTTTTGATCAGGGTAATGAAAATGTGCTAAAGATGAGAAATTGAGAAATAGTGCCCCTCCAACTGGTTGAAAAGACTGGCGATAAGGCTCTGACCGCTCTGGATAACCGCGGGCGGTGTGATCTTTATATATTCGAAGATTCTAGCTTCAAGGCTGCGTTTCATAGAACTGATGACCAATCCTGAGTCATTCGGTACTTTCTTTGCTGGTTTAGATTTTTTGTCCTACTTGCTCGGGTACCTATTTGGGTAAAATCTCTGACTCACAGTGGGTTTCGGGGTCTTGGAGGCAGTGTTCCTCTCCATAGTTTGATAAGGAGTCGATATAGAGTCAATACTAACATCTGGCAATATGCGTGCTCAGACTGCGCCATTCTACTGGTCTATTCTATTCCTTGGTACATTGCTAGCCCATTCACCGCATAGACCCGATAAGCTACTAATTATTTATTTACTACAAAATCCGATTAGAAAGAATTCTCTTTTGGGAGTTAATTATCCTAGATAGTTGCTACATAAGTACTACAAAGTAAATCGACGTCGTTGAGAGAATCGGATACTACAAGATTAATGCAGGAACCCGACCAATTATCCGCAAAATGCCATGAGACTCTCTGATTGCGACATCAGGTACGAATTCAGAATGTCAAGGAGTATAAGTAGGCTATTTTGAACGCTAGGCTGGGCTTATCAGTCAATCTGATCACATGATATCGTACTGCAGAATGACCGGGAAAACATGGGTTCGAATGATAATAAATTGATCGTATCATCTTCTTAAACTTGTTTCTCTCTGTAACCTACACCTTAACTAATATATTGGTCAAACGTGGAGCAAAAGGTTTCCACTTTTATGGGTCTCTAGTAATCCATTCTACGTAATCAATCCCGGACTTAAAAGTTGCGAGTTTATCTGCGGCTTCACTTTACTAAGCACGGCTTCCCGACCACCCTTTTTCTTGCCATAGCGCAAATCATTGGAATACTGGGCTGCTGTCGCTTGACACTAAAATGTTGAATGACAATTCCCAGGTGTTCCTAGGGGTCTCCCCAGGAGACTCTCAGTCTTCTCTCGTATCAGCTCTTGGACACACGCACCAGCGACAGTCGTTCTGCGGCGATTCAGAGGGCTGGGGTCCCTTGAGTATCACGGGCTATCATCTCACTCCATGCTTCCTCGATGCTACTATGGCTGTGGTGGCCATTTGGGGATCTTTGGCAGGTGCAGGTGCTCTATGGCTTCTGCTCAAAAAACGCATTCCCCAGCCGGTCTCGAAGAATTGGCATTTCTATGCAAAACTGGTGCGTCAACCAGACATCTGCTATTGGCTTGTAACATTGAATCTTGGCTAATATTCATTCTTAATAGGCCGTCCTTGCTTCCATTATCTTGGTGACCGCGCTCCAAGCAGCCCTGCAAATCGAATCCCAGCCTAAGAAATTCTGGGCCGACTTTCGTTTTTGGTCCTCCATTCTCACTCTCGGCTCGCTGGGTGTGGTTTTCGCTGTTCAGTACTTTGAACATTGGCGGAGCCGACAGCCGAATGGAGTAGTCCTTTTCTATTGGCCCCTTTTCATCATCGCTTATGCCATCAAGCTTCAGGCGCTTGTCGATCGGAAAGAATACCTTAGTCAGCTCCCATATTTCATCGCCATCAATATAAGTTTGGGATTGGCGCTGGTGGAGTTTATTCTAGAGTACGTCGTTCCCAAGAAGCAGAGCGCCTACGATGCTTTGGGCGACGAAGACGAGTGCCCCTACAACTATGCCGATATCTTCTCAGTCCTCACCTTCAGCTGGATGACGCCACTGATGAAATTTGGATACACGAATTACTTAACCCAAGATGATCTGTGGAATCTGCGTCGTCGCGATACCACCCGCGCGACAGCCGATGATCTGACTAATGCATGGGATGAAGAATTAGAGAAGAAGAGCCCGTCTCTTTGGATTGCTCTCTTCAAGGCTTTCAGTGGTCCATACATCTTCGGTGCACTCATCAAGTCGGTTAGTGACGTATTAGCTTTTGCCCAGCCACAATTGCTGCGGTACCTGATCGCTTTCATTGATTCATATCGTGGCCCAGACCCGCAGCCAGTCGTCCGAGGTGTTGCTATCGCTCTTGCGATGTTCTTTGTCTCTGTCTGTCAGACAAGCTGTCTCCACCAATACTTCCAGCGAGCCTTCGATACTGGCATGCGAGTCAAGTCCTCACTAACTGCCATGATCTATGCCAAGGCTCTGCGCTTATCCCCTGAGGGTCGCTCGACTAAGACCACAGGTGACATTGTCAACCACATGGCCGTCGACCAGCAGCGACTTTCAGATTTGACGCAGTTTGGAACTCAGCTGCTGTCGGCTCCGTTTCAAATTGTACTATGCATGGTGTCGCTGTACCAGCTTGTCGGCGCGAGCATGTTTGCGGGTATCGCAGTCATGATTCTCATGATTCCTCTGAACGGTGTTATCGCTCGCATGATGAAGAAGCTGCAAATTACTCAAATGAAGAATAAGGACTCGAGAACTCGCTTGATGACCGAAATCCTCAACAACATCAAAAGTATCAAGCTTTATGCCTGGAACACTGCTTTCATGAACAAACTCAGCCATATCCGAAATGATCTGGAGCTCAACACTCTGCGCAAAATCGGTGCCACCCAGGCCATCGCTAACTTTACCTGGCAGTCAACTCCATTCCTCGTTTCTTGCTCGACATTTACTGTATTCGTTTTGATGAGCGATCAACCGTTGACAACGGAGATTGTTTTCCCAGCCCTGACTCTCTTCAACCTGTTGACATTCCCTCTTTCGATATTGCCTATGGTTATCACCTCCGTTATTGAGTCTTCCGTGGCTGTGAACCGACTGATGGATTTCTTCATGGCAGAAGAGCTTCAAACTGATGCCGTTGTATTCCAAGATCCAGTCGAGCATGTAGGAGATGAAGCTGTTCGTGTTCTCCACGCTTCGTTTTCCTGGAACCGCCACAGCGGAAACTCAGTGCTAGAGAACATTAGTCTTAGTGCACGCAAGGGTGAACTAAGCTGCATCGTTGGCCGTGTTGGGGCTGGCAAGTCCTCTCTCCTTCAATCAATCCTTGGTGAACTATGGAAGAGCCAAGGTGAAGTAACCGTCCGAGGTCGCATCGCTTACGTTGCTCAATCTCCATGGGTGATGAATGCCAGTGTTCGCGAGAACATTGTATTTGGGCACCGTTGGGACCCCGACTTCTACGAGCTCACTGTTGAGGCCTGCGCTCTAATTGACGACTTCAAGACCCTCCCTGATGGAGACCAGACCGAAGTCGGGGAGCGTGGAATTTCTCTCTCTGGTGGCCAAAAGGCTCGATTGACCCTCGCAAGAGCTGTCTATGCCCGTGCAGATATCTATCTTCTCGATGACGTTCTCTCCGCGGTTGACCAGCATGTCGGTCGTCACATCATTAACAAGGTGCTCGGGCAGTCTGGTATTCTGAGCGGTAAAACAAGAATCCTTGCCACGAATGCCATTACCGTACTCAAGGAGGCCGACTACATCGGATTGCTACGCGATAAGACTATCATTGAAAATGGCACATACGACCAACTTATGGCAATGAAGGGCGAAATCGCCAATCTTGTACGGACTAATTTGGTAGAATCTGACGACGAGAACTCCCCCAGCGCCTCTGACGATGATCTCGCCAGTCTTGGTAACTCTACCTCTGAAACCATTATCGAGACTGGGAATGAATCGGAAGATGAAGAAGTGGAAGAACTGGGTGCTCTAGTACCTATCAAGGGCTCCGAGACTCGTCGTAGAACCAGTACAGTCACCTTGCGCCGAGCCAGTACTGCAACTTGGCAGGGACCCCGGCGCAAGTTGCATGACGAGGAGAACATTCTCAAGAGCAAGCAGACTCAGGAAGCTTCGCAACAGGGTAAAGTTAAGTGGGGCGTCTACGCTGAGTATGCCAAGAACAGTAATGTTGTGGCTGTCTGTTTCTACCTTTTTGCTCTTTTGGCAGCACAAACTGCTCAGGTTCTTGGTAACTTCTGGCTGAAGAGCTGGACCGAGTCTAACGAGAAGAGCGGTACCAACCAGCATGTCGGCAAGTTCATTGGTGTTTACCTGGCCCTTGGTCTTGGATCATCACTCCTTGTCATTCTCCAAAACCTAATCTTGTGGATTTTCTGCTCGATTGAGGCATCTCGAAAGCTCCACGAGCGCATGGCCTTTGCTATTTTCCGCTCACCTATGAGCTTCTTCGAGACTACCCCGTCTGGAAGAATTCTCAACCGATTCTCCAGTGATATCTACCGTGTTGACGAAGTACTTGCCCGTACTTTCAACATGTTGTTTGCCAACTCTGCTCGTGCGGTTTTCACCATGGTAGTGATTGCAACCTCAACGCCCGCGTTCTTGGTGCTGGTCATCCCCCTGGCTTGGGTTTATCTCAGTTACCAGAAGTACTACCTGCGAACATCTCGCGAGCTGAAGCGCCTGGACAGTGTGACTCGTAGTCCCATATTTGCCCATTTCCAAGAATCTCTGGGTGGAATTTCAACCATCCGTGCCTACCGTCAAGAGAACCGCTTTGCTCTCGAGAATGAGTGGCGCATGGATGCCAATCTGCGCGCTTACTTCCCCTCTATCAGTGCAAACCGCTGGCTTGCTGTTCGTCTCGAGTTTATTGGTTCAATCATTATCCTGGCATCTGCTGGCCTTGCCATCACGTCGGTTGCAACTGGTAGCGGTCTTTCAGCCGGTATGGTTGGTTTGGCCATGTCTTACGCCCTTCAAATCACACAGTCGCTCAACTGGATTGTTCGTCAGACCGTCGAGGTCGAGACCAACATTGTCTCCGTTGAACGAGTGCTCGAATATGCCAACCTCCCAAGCGAGGCCCCAGAGGTCATTTTCAAGCGCCGACCCGCCATCGGTTGGCCTGCCCAGGGTGCTGTTTCATTCCAGGACTACAGTACTCGATACCGCCCTGGCCTTGACTTGGTGCTCAAGGATATCAACCTCGATATCAAGCCTCGTGAGAAGATTGGTGTTGTTGGTCGAACTGGGGCTGGAAAGAGCTCTCTTACCCTGGCTTTGTTCAGAATGATCGAGCCCACGAATGGAACTATCAGGTAAGAAATAGATTGACAAATGCTGGATTTTGCTCAACTCTAACACGACTCTAGTATTGATGGACTTGATGTGACTACCATTGGCTTATTTGACCTACGTGGCCGTCTTGCCATTATTCCTCAGGATCCTGCAATGTTTGAAGGAACTTTGCGTGATAACCTTGATCCGCGCCATGCTCATGATGATACTGAACTATGGAGCGTACTTGGTAAGATACAATCTTCGCTGATTGAGTTGCTTGAATACCAGCTAATCTTGTACCCTGATAGACCACGCAAAGCTGAAGGATCACGTCTCCTCGATGGAAGGTCAACTTGACGCCGAGATCCAGGAAGGAGGTAAGATTTATTTTGAATAGTAAACCGAGTTAATCTGATGGCTAACATGAGGCACAATAGGATCCAACCTGAGTCAAGGCCAGCGCCAGCTGGTTTCGCTCGCACGAGCACTATTGACACCCAGCAACATCCTTGTTCTAGATGAGGCAACAGTAAGTAGAATTCTGCCTCAGTTCTTTCCGCATCGGCTAACATTAGTTCAGGCCGCCGTCGATGTAGAGACAGACGCATTGCTCCAACGCACACTGCGCAGCAGCGTCTTCTCAGATCGTACCATCATCACCATTGCGCACCGCATCAACACCATCATCGACTCGGATCGTATTGTCGTGTTGGACAAGGGCCGAGTGGCGGAATTTGACACCCCAGCTGAACTGATCAAGCAAGGTGGACGATTCTACGAGCTTGCCAAGGAGGCTGGCCTGTTGGATGGCGACGGTCTAGCCTCCTCCAGTTCCTCATAGCGTAAAAAGCCACTCGTGTTGTAATTAGCTGATTCCTACGTCATGTGGTCAACTCATGTCCACAGACTGCTGAGTGGTTCGGGGAGTCCGGGTTCTTGACGCCTCGGGTCGATCTATTTGAGCCCTTGGATCGCTGATTGTTCAATTGCCTTTTCTTGCATGGGTCCAGCCCTTCTTCTACCGACCGTTTAAAAATGCAGATGGGTGCCCCTGGTGTGGCGCAAGTGTCTGTGCTTTCATCTGCCGGCATGATCCCTGCTCTGAAGTAGTTATGTCTTGTCAATGCAGTATCGTACACCCCACCTTGACAGAAAAAAAAAGAAGAGGGGAAGGTCTTTCAATTATCTCAACCATCGAACTACTGCGCAGCTAAATCCTTGTGTTTCAAGTATTTCGCTCCAACCAGATATCGGAATTCCCGATAGGCCAACCTGCGAAATGTGTTTTCTTTTTTTTTTTATCTACTTCTATTGATCTTCCGATTCCTCCTTTTAACTCAATGCGGAATCTTATATCTCTTATTCCTGTATTTGAAAGTTGCGTCGACTATATCATGTCAAGTTTTCGATTATCTGTACTTTGGATTAGATGTGGATAATATAGCAGCACATACAAGCACAAAGCAGGAAAATCTAGAAAATCTAGACTTCAACTTTGCATTAAATATGTAGAACATGACACAATTCGAGCAAGGCTTGCAGAGATTTGTTGATTATCTGCAGTAGTGTAGAGTTACTAAACGAGCGGTGACCTTACCACTCTTAGTTTAAGGTCATACAACGTAGGGCTTTGTGCTTTTGTAGGTAGCGGTGAGGATGCCAACTGGCTTATCCGATATCAACATGCAATTGCTCGAATTTAGATATCTGAAATACAAGAGACTTAGGATTGTAAAAATTATCTTCAGCGGCCTAAGCTTTCAAGTCCTTGCTTCCAGTGGAATAAACTCGGGGATTCACTGGTGTGGGAGGGATTTGTTTACTGGTAATTTGTATCACCCCGCTTTAGACCCAATGAAGTATAGACATCTCTATACCATCGATGTAATATCTACTTTCATGAGCTCTGAATGACCTCGAGATATTCACATGTCTTTTTCTCGCAAATTTACTCGGCAATTAAATATTGAATCTTTGTCTATTATATCAAACCTTGGAATGAGATGAAGAAAGACAGAACCCCGAAAATATGTGCATACTTCCATGCCCGCTTCAAGGCCGCTGAAATGCATTTTCCCTTCGCTCTTTGGGCCTGCCAGTTATTAAGTAACCGCATTGGACTTCGACATTGGTGCAATGGTCCGCTTTTCTAATGGAGGCCCTCATATGCAAAGGATGACCTTTAAATTCATTGCAAATACCGCATTTTTGATGCAATTGAAATACCGAGAACCAGAGCTCACCGAGCAATAACGACGGCAAGTTCTTGTCCATTATGGGCTTAAATAGCTCCCTGTCAGGCCCTGAGCTTAAGCAGATTATGATAAAAATGATAAGGAGAAAAATAGCGCTCAAAAGGCCAAAGACTTCTCTTTCTTCCTTAATGAATATCATACCAATTGGTATGACGAGTTCAAAATCAACATAATCACTGCTTCATACTGAAAGTCCAGCGACTCAGCAACTTTAGAGAAGCCAGGGTGTTCCGCGAAAAACAGTGCATCTTTTATCTGGATAAAATCTTCTCCAATAGAAAGATTCAAAAGCTGTCCAGATATGTACCTAGATATGTGAATATATTACAACTTTTAGAAAGCCCTGGAGGTCCTTGTAGCGATGATATCATAAAAGACCACACTGAAAAATACGTGCGCAGACCGCATGTACCTAGGTAGCTCTCCGAAGTTGAGATTGAAGAACGAGTGCAGTAATGTAATATTGATAAAATTTTGGCCAGGTTCCAACCTTGGAGGGTTCCACCGGGCTCCGGGAATGCCGCTTCTCACACTTATATAAAGGGTGATGGATGAAGTAGCTAACTCCCGCGTCTATCAATCATTCTGACGAAACAAAACCCCTTTTCTTGGGCGGGACCTCGGAAGTTTTGGCCATGTTGGGGTTCGACGCACTCATCCAGAATTCAACACACTTTCTTTTGCTTGTACTACATATGTCTCCTCGAACTGGAATAATGAAGAAGAGCATCAAAAGCAATGATACATTTCAATACCCCACCGAATTTCGTTGCCGATGACCCTTAACATATGCACATCAAATAGTCACGAGGCTCTGGAGCTCATAGTAAAATTGCACAAGACCATTTTTAGCAATATAATATCAATGATGCTTTTAAATATGTGGCTAAGTCTTTTTGAAGACTAGCCAGAAGAATACTACCCGGTAGAATTCCGATAGTAAGATCAGCTTGAGGTGGTTATATATATATATGTGCATGACGACCTGGAATATATAGAATCATAAAAGACAATATCTCAAGGCCAAGGAGGTCTAACAGACCTCGGAGGTCACTGATATCGGAGCCCTGGAGTGCTTATATACGGTGTGTAGGTATAAAGATACTCGTTACAAGCCTGCCGGACCTTAGACTGAGGGATCATTTCACATATTCCATTAAGCAATATTTTGAACAATCGAGTGAACTTTTGCTTAGAACAAACAATCAGGCTGATTTAATATATCATTTTCGGCACTTACCGATTGGTCAATAATACCTATCATTCTCCTTCATTTTCTGACTACAAAATCCAAAAGTATCTAGAAGCTCCAAATATTCATGGGTAACAAACTATCTGAGCCTGGTATACCTCTCAAGTTTATGGTTGCTACCCTTTGTTACCTTTAGGCACATTCAAAAGATTTAATGCCCACTTTTGCATCGGCCCCAGGAACTTTGAACTCGGGCAAGATATATATCCATCGTAGATATCCAGGTGGCCGACCAACTTTTAGAGAAATACGCCCTCAAGGTACCTGACATATCTTCCACCTTGTCTGCCATATATCTTGAAGCTTGCTCAAATGGGCATTCAGTTACAACAAAGTCAAAATTTGAAGGGAATACTTAGGCGTATAGGTAAGAGTAGAGGTATTTTATGTTTTCCATCAACATCAATTGATCCACCCATTGAAAGTTTTTGCAAGGGAGCCCATCAATTGATGTAGTGGCACCTTGGTATGTGCTTTCAACACCCGGGTAGGTCCCAAGGTCTTCATAGCAACCCTGGAAGACTTACATGTATTGGTCCATCCATCTGGGTAATAATAGATACATGGGAATTTACATGAGACAGATAGTTACATGCCTAAGATTCACTTCAAGCTCCAGGACTTCCAAGACTGTGAATGAAGAAAAAAAGTACTTATTCGGGCACTGTGGCCTTGTTCAACCTGAGAAGCAATCAAATTAGAACTGTTTGAGAAAAACCAAACCATGCATAGGTAGGACGGTTTAATTTCACAAAAGCCTGCATTGATTCCACTAGAAGCACCTGATAAGTGCATACAGCCCTCTTAATGAAACACAATCCATGTCTCCTGATGCTTTGCTTATATCAACACTGACAGGGTACCTGCCTAAGAATAGACTGACAAAGTCCCGATTATGGAGTAAGTCTGTCGGCATTTGGGGAGATTAATGCTTAGGTATGCTGATTATTGCGCTTCTCAATAGTACCCAAGTGGCAACGCCGTGGCCACCTACCCCTTACAGATATTGCGTGTCGGAAACTGAGTCCTTCCACGCGGCAATAGATATCTACTACGTACATACGCATATGTTCGTACACGCATGCATTGCATCATAAATTGAACTAGTCAATGCATGGTTAAGGAGGAAACTGGCATTTAGTTGTGGCGATTAGGTTTTGACGTTTCAGGTGTACATAGTACAGCCCTGAGTTTGCCTTGCCCAAAGTAGTTTACCTACCAACATGCTCTGTACAGAGCATGATATGATCTACACGCCAGATCTACTGGGTAAAAAGTCAAGTCGGGAATAAGACTAAAACAAAAGTACCACAATTTGTCATACTACTTCTAAAAGCCGTGGATATCTTTTCCGGACAATATGGGGCCACCAGTCGTTACTTATCGTTATTCACCCCGTCTGTGCTTTTATCGGAATTCGATTGGTAAACCATTCAAAAATTTCTAACTTTCAAGGCAAGGGATCGTGAATAGGCCACTTAATGTTGGAAAACCCTAAATAGGTAACGGAATCTCCAATCTGCCATCCCGGTCCTAGGAATTCTGGTAGTTTCTCGATCCTCCAATGATCTCTCTTCATCGATCTATATCCCGCATGATCGATCTTGATACATGCATCATTGTCATGCAGGTTGAAAAGCCTTTTAAGCCACGGCGGAAGTGTCATCTCGCTTCTCGTGTCAAAGTCTCGCCTAAGGCATAGCCCTGTAGCCTTCTTTTGTCATTACCGCCGAACGTGTCTGCATAAGGTGGTTCATTGCATTACCAGGAAGGAGATCAAGAAAGTTCCGTCTCAACTTTGGTGGCAGTGAAATTGATGCAAGAAACTTGAAAGGACTTCGATTTTAGAATATACTTGATAGTAAACCCCGCTTCAAGTGGAATATAGAGTGATAGGGACCAGATCTCCGTCGATTCTAAGGTTCTGGACCCCGATCTGTATGCATTGGCCTTTAACCGGTTCGCTCAGCCAGCCTTCAAAGCGCGGGGCTTCAGAAATGTCAAATTAAGTTTTTGCCATGGAATGGAAAAGACCTTCTGATCGTCTAGCCTTTGTCCTTGTTGGTCCCAAGGTCATCTGCTGCATGCACAATATTCATGGATATGACCTCGGGACGAATGTGGCTTCTCTATATTGCGGATCCGATGCATATGATCTTCTCGGGACAACCGAACTTTTGGATATAGATATCTGCATTACATCGGAGCTGGGAGATGCAGAAGTACGGATGACTGAGGGCATTGGAAAATATGTCTCCAAACGTCGACGTCATTGGCTTTGCCGATTTCATCTCTAGGCTTGCTACTCTGTTGCTACGATATATGCAGGGTGTGACTTATATTCCCAGCAGACAAGAGAGGATTTGAAATCTACTATGCCATTTCTTGGACTTGGAATCTTGGTAGATGAATCTATTACGCGAGTAAAATGACTTTATGTTGCAACGTCAAGGGTATTCTCCACAGTATGTGGCCCTGGTGATATTATTCCTACTTAGGTAGACATAAGTACCTATGCGACCTCGGGATGAGACGATGATGTTAAGAGTGGAGATTTTAATGACCCAAAAGATCTCAGCTTCTCTACGCCACGAAACGACTCGCATGGGTCGGGCCCTTCGGGTAAAGTGGATCGTACCAATCGAAGTGAAAATTGACGTTCTATCTATCTCAACAATAAACTCAACTCTAGACAGATGGAGATTTAATATCGGAACGGAGAATGAAGAATCAAAAGGACGGCGGAAAAAGCTAGGAGATATTTGATAGGAGATATTTAATATGAGATCCACTTCGGAGCGTAGATCTCCGCCAGGAACGATCTAGGACCGCCCATTCGGGAAATTTGTCCGTGGCTGCATCTCATTGACATTGCATCGATTCCACGGTCTAGATCCTAAATAGCTCGTAATGGAGTAGAAACAATACTTCAAACGACTCAGAATGATAGCTTTATCAAGGCATGAAATCAAACGGGCCGCTTCAATATAGTTGAGGAGAAAGTAAGATCATGCATGCCATTATTGAACAATCGGTGCCCACCGTGGTGGGTTCCAAGAATAGGTTTCCGGGGAACCTTCTTAGCGCGAATATAGGGGTTGTGTCTTCTACGGAATAGAATTGAAGTCATGCAGTGCTAATAGTGCTAACGTGGGTTGAGTGGCTGTCACTGAATGTTCGGATGAAGGCGTTATGCAAGGATCTGTAGGCGAAGATGATGGGCTCTAACCTTGTCAACGGCAGGTCGCGGATTAGGCCTCATACTCCCCGACCGATTTAATTCGATGTTTGATGTAGCCATGATATCAGAAGATCCTCGAATCTAGTTATCCGTGTTGGGGAAGGAAATCCCAGATAACTGGAACCCATAAAACAGAGACCCGGATTGATAGACCATTATCCTGTAAGATTATGCGAGCCTTCCAAGGTTGACAACCTTGGAAGTGATCGAGCCATTCGTGGTTCGAGTACTGCATACCTAGGTATACCCAGTACTTCTCGTCCTATCCGTAAGTACATATTGGTACCTAGCTAGGTAGTTAGCTTGCATGAATTGCTAAAAAATGACCAAAAAATGACAAAAAACTTATCAATATTACTAGAGCCTATATGATACAAATAATACGCCACTTACACGAAGCCTTTAGTCTGGAGGCCTTGGACAAAAGAACAAAGATCTACAAAGTAACCTACTTCCAGCCCTAAAGCAAGGCGCTATCTTTGTCACGAAACTCTAGCATGACTAGGGAGATCATCGGGGTCAGACTCCACTGACGAGATCAACAAAGATAAACTAAGCTAAAGCACCGCGAGAATACGAAATACGAATAAGCAAAAAGGGGGATGATCATTATCGCAGACCAATCAGAATCGTATAATCACCCTTTCATACCCAAATCAAGATATAATAGGCCATAGCAGGGACCAGGTGTCATATCCACGCGGGATGTGCTCTGTGCACTCTACCCGCAGCACCCACCAGAGTTAATCGTGAAGACAGTTCATATTGAAAGATTTTCAAGATTGCTGATATTGATATTGAAATAACTGATTGGTTCATCAGAATGTATAGTTGATCGACGCAAAGCGTAAAGCGTAAAGTACTCCTGAGACAGGGCGCAAGAACGGCTTGCAGTGTCAACGACAAAAGTCGAAACATCATGCAATCACATCGTATTAGGAAAAAGCAAGGAATGTAAAAAGGGAAAATCCAATAACCTAAAACAATTAGCTCCAATTAGTTATCTGACGTGATCCGAAGTGGGCGAGACATCTCATAGTCTACGGCCGGACTAGTGAGCTACAGGCCATGTGATAGCGGTAACCGGATCCGACCTCAACAACGGGTGATTTTTAGTTTCATGACTTTGAAAAATGTCTTCGTCCGCGGAGCTTAATATCATTTTTAATTTTTGTTCAATCGGATCAGCCTTATTCCAATTTTTGATGCTTGTAGAAGGGGCGGCTAAAGTGGGTAAAGGTTACATAGCAAAATTTCATGGTCCGGGCAGGCATGAATCTTGTCGTACACTACAAGCGTATACTCGCGGCTTATACTGCGTAATCCGTATATATTCTTTTGACACTTATTAGAAATTCTCTAACGGCCGGTCGTTAGCATGAAACAGGCCTAGATCGTCAGATCAGCTCCGAGATCGAAGGAGATCTGAGGTGGCATTATTCCAGGTTGTGTTTTATCAGAAATTTCGGCGCAATGATTGCCAACTTTGACCCTATGGTTGGGTTTTTTGGTGGGGAGGGGACCAACGCTAAACTTCTTCGAGAGTTTGACAGCTTTAGTACCTTCCGGACCGGTGCCCCCGGGCCGCCCCCGCCAGACTATGTGGTTGGTCAGCCGGGGCCTGGGCTCTAAGTACCAAGTTGCTGTCAAGCCCGCATGGACCAAGAGAGTCAAGAGAGGGGGGCAGAAGAAACATGGCAAGAGTTTGACAGCTAGTTCAAAAGACGTATCCTAAAGAAGTATAGACGGTAACGCAGTACGTAGTACGGAGTAAGCCGTTAATTTCTCATGAACTACCATGGACTCCGTATTCCTTCAGGGTTTTTCTGGATCCCCGGCATCGGCGACCTCAACTCCCGAGGCATGGGCTTCGTTCGGACGCCATGTCCCTCCAGATCGGACCGATGAGATTCGATCGTTGACTCTGATTGATCCATCTGTCGTTCAATGGCTCGGCAATTTAATGTCCGCCCCGGTGGCTTCGATGACCCGAGAAATCAAATAGAGATACGGCAATGGCAATCACTCAAAACGATCTGAGCAAACAGACAAACTTTATGTCTTCCAAGGTTGCCCTCGAATGACTTCATATTCGGTTTGCTTCGATGGTCCCTTTGCGTCTCAATGCACCAGCATAGATCGATCGAACGAGTTGATACACAAAACTTTCCTCATCTGGACTTCTTAATATCGCTCTGTCATACTGTACAAAAAGCACTCTGACTCGATCGTTTGTTTGACTAATGAATAGAAGGAAAATGGAATCCAGAAGCTAGAAACAAAAGTACGGAGCCTTGGAACTTTTGTATATGTACATTCCTTCGAAGGCGGTAGAACTATGAACCTCGGTAATGACAGGCTGTGAACGATTCCCAGGAAAAAGCAAAGCGGGTACAGACATAAAGGTTCTGCAGATCCAAGAAAGTACTGGATGGAATTCCAAAACTCCGGTTTACCCCCCCCTTTTCCGATTTACCGCACAGCTGCTATTTTCAAATCCTGTTCAAGCCAAGGAAATACATCATCCTTGAAGTTTCAGGGTAATTGCATCTTGATTCCTGACTACTGAGTAGCTTCGCACTACTGGCTTCTGGTCTTTTTCCTAATCAAACATGGTGTGTTCAAAACGGGCATAGTATTAGCCTAATTATAGTTTAAGAAATAGTTGTCGGTACAAACTTAATCTGATTCGTGTGTGGAATGTCAAGGCCTGTCATGACTCGACTTGAGTATTTTCAAGGTAAATTGTATTGTAATACTGACAGAGTACTCCGTACAGTGCTGAGTGGCGTGGAGTTGTAAATAGTGTGATCACGGCGATATTATGAAGGTAACCTTTTCGGCTTGACCGGGGCCCAGGGACTCGAAACTTGACAAGGCTCCCCTGCATTTTTAATATATGCATCTGATCGACTAGATGGGGGGTCTCATGTAGTGTACTTTGCCTTCTGATAAGCATTACAGTGTGGCGGGGTATAGCTGAAAATAGCTGTGCCACATGCTCTAGTGTGGCTGAGCGACTAATCAAAGTTCATTTGTGTCAAAGCCCTAGAAATTCTGAGAGGGGTTCTAGACCACTTGAATCAAGTAGTTAATTCTCGAGTTGCGGAATACCCCGTTTTCTTTGTTCACAAGATTGTATGTCGGGGATTATTTGACATTAACGTTAAACGGCCCAATTTTGTTCAATTTTTCTAACGGTGGAGACAAAGAAACGGAAAATTATACCGATATGGACATATAAATGGGGGCTGGTAAACAAACAAAGAATTCACCCCTTGCGACATGCAGTGGATATCGCGGAACTCGGATTTGAGCGGCTACTCGTTAGTTACGCATGTAGACGTTAGCGTTCGAGGGTCGAGATTTTGCCTAAAAATAAGCAGAAGAAATACTTAGTAGTGAATACCTGGGGTTGGAATCTCAACTGAAAAAGTACTTCGTAATTTACTATCAGAACCCTCGTAACAACGTATTTTTAAATAAGGGGATGCGGTGATGATTACGCTATACGATCATTTGCGCCGCCCCGTATATCTACGTATAAATTAGCGTGGCGGATAAGGACGGCACCTACTCTCATCAGCCGCAGGGCGCAAAAAACCAATCAAGATGAACCAAACGGCTGATCAAACACGCAGGTACGGTGTTTGCGCATCCTGCAAGCTAAACAGTTTCAGCGATGATTGGGCTGCGATTGGGAGTCAGTCAGACTTTAGAGCCTGGAGCCTTCTGAGTTTGCAATAATTAACTATAATAATTAACTATGGGGGTGAGAAACCTAGAAAATGGCGCCATGGAATCCACTAGAACGGGAGATAGACTGGCTGACAGTTGTTTGGGTAGATGTTCCCTTTCCCTTGGGCCCCGATTTACCGTCTAGCATCAAGAGGCTAAAACCCTAAAGGGAATCCTTCCTGTCGGGAAGACGGAGACCCTAATGTGCGGGGGTTCTTTCGAGATGGGACTTAGTTCTAAAAGAGAAGAGATTTTCCTTGGCTGATTGACAATAAAGAGTGCTTGGGCGCCAAGGGGGACCGGGGGAAGCCAAACGACACAAAGGTACGGCGGCTAACCTTCCATGGTATGTCGTAGACGACCTAGCTACGTAGTACGTCGGCCATGTTTTGCGTTGGTCGCACTATCGAGTAGAATGTACCTATGTATAATGATAGAGCACATTCACTGTTCATCAAGTTGTCTAGATGCTATGCTAAACCGCCTCATATTTTTAGTCTGCCTTGAAAATCATTTTAGGCTAACAAAAGTTCGTTTGACTTGGTTCTCAATTTATTAATTTCTCCTATCTAGGCTTCTCCTTATCAAAATCCAAGGTTAAATTTCACCTATCAAGCTGAGACGATGGCTTGTGTACCCGTTAGTCTGCATTCCATAGTTTGTATTCGATACTTAGTTACAGGCTGAACCCGCGAACTTCTGTCATGTGTTACAGATATCAGGGCCCATGAAGAACAAAGAAGGATCGTCAAATATAAAATACTAAAAGACGGGGACCGTATATCAAACGGAGATACCTGATAAGATCTATGGATGAAAGGATCAGCGAGTCATCCTTTTTTTATCCCAGGAGCCAGGAAGTTGGGCCTCGCACCCAAAATTGATATTGAGAGGTTCATGGAAAAAGAAGGTCTAGACAGAATTTGGGTGTGGAACCGTTCATTGGCTCCATATAACCACCAGGACGTACAGCTAGCGTCGGGGCACAATTTGCGAGATCCGATGATCGAGCACGGCCGAGGGTTGCGCACAATTCATCGTAAAATTATCTAGCAGAATTTTACGTATACGCTTATTTTGTCCTGAGTTTTATTTAATACCTTCTTTTTTGAAAATTCCCACTAGCTAAATGAAGGGTAAAAGTAGCCCGTAGCTGCAGAAGTCCCACATTTGTGGACGCTCCGAAAAGCTGAAGTTGATCTGCACGTAGCTTAAGAATAGCGTCCACTGCAATATCCTCCGTACAGGTGGCAACTTAGGGCCTGTGCGTGATATGCGTGTGAGGGCTCGAAGGACTTGAGCCTTGGAACTCGAACGAACGTTTGCAAAATATGTGATTACCTGAACTAGACAGTGGGGATATGGTGGGAACCGGAGTTAAATCAAAATTATACATACTCGGCTAAATTCTACAAACAAAGAATAGTATATGCCAACCACGCGCTTCCATACCGTTACCTCCAGGCTATGGTTCTATGGCGTAAGTCGCATCAAAAGTGGGGAGATAAATGTTAAATAAAGGGTTGTTCTCAGTGAATTCTAGATTATTAATAACAAGTACTATGTAGAATGTATTAAGTACATATTATAGAACGCTTTCCTAATCCTGATGTCCTTACGAAGAGTAATATTCAAAATTCCCATATAAAAGTCTACTTCACACCTGGTCTGTTGACACTAAGTGGAGTATGGACGATTAAGGAAAATGGAAAAATAGGGAAAATCAGAAAATTAAAATTACCCCCAAAAATCATTGAAAATGGATTTAAAAAAAAGAAATAAATTAATAAAGTAAAATAAAATAAAAGTGTAGGTTGATCTACAAATAGTACCTTAGGATTGGCAGGGATTGTGGATGTCATCCCGAATCGGGACACTGCTAGAGAAGGAAACTCCCCACAACTGCAAAAAGACCACGAATTGATCCAATCCTGTTGCAGCTTTCATATTTCGATCAGAAATAGCTCCCGGGGATCCCCCGGCTTCTAATCTCTTCAAGGATCATCCATGTTCTGTACCTGTACGCTATGGATAGTGTCATAGCATGGATATCGTACTTTGGCCAAATTCGGATTTAAATGCGTATCCAATTCGTGTCGATTTAAACACTGACATTCCCCTTCTCAAGTCTTCCATTTTATTATTCTCAATTAAGTCATCTCATCTGTTTGGCCCACTCACTCTCTTGGGTTCTCTGATCTATATCGTTGACTATATCCACCTGCCAACATTGAAACAAGATATTGTGTATTCAACTAGACCAACCCCTCCAAGCCTTCATCTCACCAAACCTTGATCATCCCTGGAAATTTGCCAACTCGAAACGAGTGGAGTTTCTTTGCTCCTGCATTCGAATCCGCCGGCTACGAGCAGCATCTTGAACCTCTTCTGCAGTCTCCCTTTGCATTACGAAGCCACATTACCAACATCTCATCCCAAAAGAGTGATATCTGTGAGTATACATCCTGCAGAAGATCCCCCAGCATGGTTCTGTTCCAAATAGCTTGGCTTGAACCGCTCCCAAATGCCATATTTTCTGTCCTACCGGTTCCTAGTGGGGGCACCGGTGGGGAACAGCAGGAGGGCTGGCTGCCGTTGGGCCGACTATATGTCAAGAGCCTGGTTATGGAACGGTTCAATTCAACTTTCTGCATCAGATTGTGAAATTGAAAGAAAGTGGGACTAACTGTGGTCTTTTTAGAGCTCGTCAACCAGTTACACAGACAGCTTTCCACTCTTTCTATAAGACGAAGCAAACTCTATACTTCGAAATTCGAAACTTTAAGGGCACATCCACGAAGATCATTGATTTTGCAAGATTTTCGTTGATTTGATCTTTTAACAATTTCGCAATGGTTTACAGCAAGCCCAGTGCGTCAAACGGCGCCATGAAGAGGTCAGCCTCAGTTATGCATGAAGGTGCTCCTGGCTGGGATGTTCCTCCTGTAGGCTTATTACCATCCTTGAAAACATAGGATCTCTGGCTAACGCATCTTCAGCCCATGATCAGCAGCTCCCGCTCAGCTATGCGCTTACCTTATGCTCACTATGCCATGATTTACCTAGACAACGAGGGCAAACTCAAGGTTGATGAATCAGCCTCTATTCAAGAACAAAATACAAGCATTTTCACCCCGGAGGTCCGCCAGAGCTTTTTGGAAATTTTGGGAGAGAAGATTGGCTACCACCCAGCCACTCGGCGTGAGTTCGACTGATCTTGATCAAATATGAATTCCATCACTAATAGAACCTAGCAGGCATTTTGGAAGCTTCTCCTCGACGAGTTAAGCCCCGTCGCAGCGGTAACCTTCGCAGTCCTATCGTCAATGATAACCGCTTGGCCGATCATGGCTCCGATAGCGATGACTATGGTACTAACAACTCAACTGAGATGGTCGCTCTCCGTATTGGAGATACTCAGAAGGTCATGGCTTACTATGAAGGTGCTTTGAAGCACTTCCAGCAACTGAACTGCCGTATGGTCGCCAAGGCTTTTATCAAGTTCATCGAGCCTCGAAAGCAAGTACGACACCCATATAACGGCGGTAAGCCCCCACCGGGATCCGCTCCTGGCACCACTGGCGACCCCGAAAAGACCAAACCTGAATGGTGGCCTCCTATGGTCATGCACAAAGAGCCTGATCACCTACGAAAAGAGTGTATGTATCAGTCCTAACTTCAAAAATCGTGTTATGCATGCTAACTTCTGATAGACCGTATCGAGCTCTTACTTCACATTATCCGCAAGCTTGGGAGCTATGGAATCACTGCAGACAAGCTCAAGGAAGTCGCTGGAGATACCAAACGTAGCCTGAAGCACCCATCCCACGTCGATATTATTTATGAGATTTTGCGAGTGCGGAAGATGGAAGAGCGTTTTGAACGTGGTGAAGTCGACTCTGGCATGGCAGTCTATGTGATGAACCGTGGCCCTAGCCCTAAGGGTGATGGCGAGGAAGATGATGATTCGAACGATGCCTCTGCTGACGTTTCCGAGCACATCGAAGAGGGATTAATGACACCCACATCATCTGTCGAACAAGCAGTTACCTCTATGACCCCAATGAACTTGCCTGTGTCGAGTGTTCACTCTATGTCTACCTACTCGATTGCTGAGCCAATTGGATTCGACGCTACCCGACAAGATCGACCATACTATGCTACTCCTCCTCACTACGCCGAATCCTTCTCCTCACAGTCAATGCTCAACACCCCAGTGCCCGCAGAGATAATTAGCCCCCATGAGGTTACAGTCTTCGATTACTCGTCTCAGAACTCTTACCCAACCTCTGCTGAGCAGCAACGCAACCCCAATGTCCAGTATGATAGCTGGGCACCTACCTTCCGCCCACAACACATTTACGGTCCTGTGGACTACAGCACCCCGCCCACTAGTCAACCACTTCCTCAACCTTCAATGCAATACCACATGCACTTGGCATCGACACACCTGCAGGACATGTCCCACCACCACCACTCTCAGTCCCCCATGGACTCGCAAAGGGCTCTGCCCTTCCGCAATGGCTCCCTTAGTCATCCTCACGGACTTCCAATCTCCCACCCTGCTTAAATCACAAGGCAGACTGGGCTGGACCCAGTTGACAGGTGATTTCCATAACTATGGAAAAAGCATGGCCCTTTATAATGAATCAATGACTTGATGGCTTTCAATTACCACGTGAAGCACTCAAATATACGGGGGCTTCCCTAGGGGAGTTTATATTCTTTTCTTCTTTAACTGTGAATACAAAAAAAGACGGTGTCGCCGGGAAGTGACCCGTACAGATATGGTTTGGTTTTGGTCATTTTGAGATATCTTGGATGGGGTTTTTTTGATATTCCGGCTTCCTATTGCTCTTTTATTTTCTACTTTTCCTGACTCTCGCTAATACTCTTTGTTTCTACTTTACCTTTCGTTGGTGTTTGTTATTATAGGGTTCTCCGGGTGGTTATGTTGATCCACAATTATACGGTATCTTGGTACACTCTACGTACCGTGGGGCTTTCGTATTTCAGGTGCAGCCGCTTTTATGAAGGCAGGGCTCACTGAATAAATTTCAGTCTACAGTTAAGCTCACTGAATCAACGAATTGAAATGCGTGTGTGTATTCGTGTGTTCATTTTATCTTACAGCTATTATTTAAAACTTGTTTAGTTATCTACCTGCTATAGTTCTTATTTCTAGATACCAATGATACTATTAATTTGACCACATGAATTATATTCGTACCTACTCAAATTAATAATCTCACTATATAGTCAAATTCAAAATCTGCCTTCCTCAAGACTAAAAGTGCAATGCGGACCATCTGTCAGCTGATTTTCCTGACAGCCTTAATTATAGGATCAGAGTTTGTCGAAAACGGTCGAAAAGTAAGAGCACCTAGGCAGTCTTTATTCAATCTCTCGCCTGCTCTCAATCTTCAGCCTTACAGCATCATGGATTTCCACGACGAAGCCATTCACCACCCCCTCGGAACAGGATCTTATTATTTCAAAGACAGTCTAATCAAATATCTCAGTGATCAATGCCCTCTACCGGAAATCGATGTTCATATCGGCTCGCAGCCAAATTGCGTCCCACACATCGGAAACGCCACTTCGCAACCTAATTCGAGTAAAAATATCTGGAAGTGATGTGAGCAAATCGTGGATTATGTGTACTGGGTCTGACTACGCTGGATTTTATCAGGAGCAATTCACATGGCGTCTTTTTTCGTGTCCTCAAACTATTGACTGGTCTGGTGCCAAGCTTTCGAAGAGCTTGTATGTTAAGGAAGGTGCTTACAGGTATTCTTCGGAGACTGAACAGCAGTACTATATAGAGCTATTGCTGAAGCTTGACTATGAACTAGAAGCTCTTTACTCGGAAGTGAACGAATAGGTAGAGAAACCTTTCATGTTTTTTAGGAGCTACACCATTGCTTATATTGATAAGCAACTGGCCGCACGGAGAATAGCCTTGTGCAGCTTTACTGACTCTTATTCTTCAATCACAGCACCCGTAGGTATGCCATCGAATGAACCATATGTTTAGCATAAGGCTATTCCTGTTTGCCAAAGTATGACATGATATTTCCCTAGCCCATTTCTTCTTCCTTGGCTTTTAGCACGTTTCCTTCTCGCTTCTCATTAGCCGGTGCCGGTTTATTCTTGGCGAATAATTCCGCTAGGGTAGTTTCTTGGGTGGAATTCTTCACCTGCTCATTCCTTTTTGAAATGATCTGGTGCTGTGTGTTAAGTGGAAGGCTTCGGATCAGACTAGCCGGTACCCAGCAGTATTTCTGCGGCGGTCCTTTTAAGATCTTGGTGGAGATAGCCTGCTGCAAGCTGATAGGGTTCTTCAAGCTCCATAGCTCAATGATCTCGTATCCGAACTTGGATTCTTTTAGACCGGCGTTGAAATCTACATTGCCGATTCCACCGTTCTCTGGGACTTTTCCTGGAGTTTTCCCTGCAGAAATACGAGCAACGTATTCAAGCCTCTTGACGGGTGCAGTAGTGTAGAACCAGATGCGATGAACTTTTGATGGGAGTAGATAGCCCCGGTATTCGTGATTCTTTGCACCTGATGCAATGTTTTTCATGTGCTCGGGTTTTATGCTCATGAAAATGTCAGAGGTCGATTTTGTGGGCTCCAGCATCGTGAGAATGGACGTGTATTTCACTTTTTGAGGATTGTGCAGTCTCTTCGATCAGGGAAAATACCCCGTAGTAGCGAGGTGACATGTGTATCAGAGCGGTGACTGGACACACGTGAGGGTCAAAAATACGGAATTGATACGGTAATTACTTTGTGTAACTGTGATATACTTATGTATAAGTCTGGCTTCAACTTACTCGTAGGCAATGCGAAACTTATCGCTGATTGTGCGGCGAGTGGCAGAATTTATGCCACAGAGCCTCTCTAATTCTAGAAGGTCGCCGGGGAATTTATCCTAGACGAGATGAATAACGTAACTGCGCGGAGCAATACCACTTTGGTCTTGAGTTCCTTGTAGCGATGAAGCTTTGGCACTGCATGGTATGCCAGCTTGTTCATAATCTGGAGTGCCGTCAGATCGATATGCTCACCGGGTTGAGCTCTTCGCGCTTCGGTCGTCTCTTCCCCTGACTGACGATTTAAACCCGCATTTCCTCTCCCGCACCGGCACACCTGGTATCCCCGGCGGTACATCCACGCTGGAGTACCATCTAATGTCACTTGGTGGTCTGTCAGGTAGCCAGACGCCTCTTGCAGCAGCCTGCTGCGCTCAGATCTGGAGGCTATGGAATTCTGTACCAGTGATCGGAGCTTGAAGAGAAATCCTCATGAAACCCATCTTGGTTTTGTCATCTTTGCAATGACAGGGAACTTGGCAGCGGTATACGAAGGTCCAATATCATCAAAGCCTTCCTGGATCACTTACTCCAGAGTCTCATTGAGCTTCTCGACGATGACCCAGGCCTGGGAGGAAAACTTGTCGCGCTCGGCAAATGAAACCTCGGTGCCCTCAGGACAGTGAACAAACTCGGAATTCCTTGGGACAATCATGTTGGAGAAGGTGATAGAAAGCAGAAGATTGTAAAAAGAAAGATTCAAATAATTGAGACTACTTTTATGTTATTCTGAACTTATTGGAGGAAAGAGAAGCTATTATGAAATATAGGACGTATGAATGCAAGTCGAGGTCATTGTTGCGGCGCGCCTTTAAAGTGGGTCCGCTTTCTTTCAAGCTCAGAGCCTCTGCTTCCCTCTCCTCTCAGCATCCTCTCCTTTCCAACCATAACCCCACGACTTTCACCGTAGCCTGTTTCTCTCGCCGACGTTTTTGAACTGCTCCGCTAAGAGCGGCTAGCATGGCTAGTCAGTTCAACTCCTTTGGCGCGCCTCGGGGCCAGAGAGGCGCCTCGGGCAACGGCAACAACGCATTTCGTGGACGAGGATCCGCTACGCGAGGCTCGCAACACATTTCAAGAGGCGGGAGCACAAATGCACACAGATCAGGAGACAATCCCCGTGGCCGTGGAAGAGGGGCAGTAATCAAGGGTTTTCGGGGTCGAGGTCGCGGCGCTGGCGTTGCGACCAGAGGCGGTTCCCTATCGGCTGCGACATCGTCTCCTGCGCATCAATCGACTGTCTCACCGTCCGATAATTACCAAGAACGCTATGAACAGGTCAGCAAAATAATCTGCCCAGCCTGCCTTTGCATAAAATCTCAAACCCATCATCTAACCCAACTTTTCAGCTCAAATCCGAACGCGCGGCGCAGAGAAAGAAGGCGATTAGAGAAGGACACATGGCCGATCCAGATCAACCTACAGCGCTGAACAAAGCTATCAGGCCTGTAGGTACATGTACCTCCATGTGCCCCGAGTTTGAGAGCATAGAACGGATTGTGCAGAAAATGGTCGACAAAAAAGAAAAGGTATGTTGTGGTCTATCATCAGTTTTCACGCGCTATTCACCTTTTTCGCCTTACATTTCAGCCTCCCGCGCGACAAGCTAAATTTTTACTCTCAGTACCTGGATCCATCAACCGGTGTCCCACAGAATTCGATAGCTATGATGCTCAAGCGCTTCCGACGATCCGCAGCTGGCTATGAGGAGCAGCTCCCTTCCGACATTCGAACCCCGAATACGCTGTTGCAAACTACAAACTATCTTATTCGTCATATCATTGGTGGAGAGGAACCATTGGGTATTATTCACAAATTCGTTTGGGACCGGACGCGTTCCATTCGTAATGATTTTTCTGTTCAACAAGTCACCAGTGAGAACGATGTCAAACTGGCTGTAGTGTGTTTGGAAAGAATTGCCCGATTCCACATCGTTTCCCTTCATCTTTTGTGCAGCCCAGACAATGAAGAGCCATTCGACAGGCATCAGGAACGCGAGCAGTTGAACAACACAATGCTTTCCCTGATGTACTACTACGATGACAATCGTGAACGCATCCATTTTCCCTGCGAGGATGAGTTTCGAGCATACTATATTTTATTCTCCATCCACGATCAACGACCTGACCTTGAGGTCCGAGTTCAGAGATGGCCCGCATCACTTTTGAATTCTCCGCGAGTTCAAGTTGCATTGGAGCTGTACGCAGCTTCTGGGAATACTTGGGAGTCCTCTGGAACTCTCGATGCGCGTCGGCCAAATGCAATTGCCCAAGGATTCTATAGTCGATTCTTCAACATTATTGATTCTCCAAGCGTGTCATATCTCACGGCATGTGTTGCTGAAATTTACTTTTCTCAAATTCGTCAGACAGCCATTCGTTCGATTTGGAAGGGATACCGTCGATTGCCTGTAAGCCAACAGGCTAAAAACGAAGATTGGACTCTGGATGAATTGACCCGGGTTCTGCATTTTGACGATGACGAGCAGACAATCCAGTTCTGCGAGGAACAGGATCTTCAGCTGAAAGAGAATGCTAGTGGACAGCTTTATTTGGATTGGGCCGACCGTAATGTTGACACCATCCCATTCTCCCCATCTTCGACACAGTGTTTCTCCAATACATACGTAGAGTCGAAACGGGTCGGAAGATCTCTCCCTGCCATCATCCTTGGAATGAGCATTCGTGAAGCTGCTGCAATGGGTATGATTGACCCAGAAGAGATTCGTTGCGGTTCTGAGATATCAATGTCGCCAATCATGGAATCCTTCCCGCTAGAGGCAGTTCCAAGGGCCGATCCCTCTCCTTCTGCCTTCGAACCGGCCACTTTGCTCAAGCCCTCGAAGCAACCTGCCGCTTCCACTCCCTTTGCGGGGCTTTCATCCCCCTTTGCGTCTTTGAGGTCGTCAAATCAAACGGCCGAGAACACCCTTTCAACTTTGAATGGAAAAGCTACGCCTCTTCCAGCATCCTCGTCTCCCTTCGGACCTTTCAAGATATCAGAACCTAGCCAGCAGGCTGATAATTTTTCGGGTTCGACGGAACAAACTACGTCCGCCACTTCACTCCACTTATCTTCATCCCCATTTGGATCTTTAAAACCAACAGAACCCAAAGAACCGATGGGTGTTGCTGATTCTTCTGCGGGACAATCCATCTTTCCGCCGTCGAAATTATCTTTTGCGTCTTCCAATCCGGCAGCACCTGACCAAACGGCTAGTGCTTTTCCTCCTTCCACGGGACAGTCTCTGTTCCCGCCATCGAAATCTCCATTTACATCTTTTAAGCCGTCGCAGCCCATCCAGGAGGAGTCTACTTCGACGGAAAAACCTACGACCTCAGTCCTATTCCCATCATCTTCATCCAGCCCCTTTACATCTTTCAAGCCGTCAGAACCTATCGATCCGTCTGTTATCTTACCTTCGACGGGAATATTTACGTTTCCTCCATCGAAATCCCCCTTTACATCTTTTAAGCCACCAGATCTGAACCAAAAGGATGATTCTTCATCCACCATCTCCTCTCCTCTCTCTATACCTTTCCAACAACCAGAACCCAGACAAAAGGCCGACACCCCACCTGCTTCAACGGGACAAGCTGTGGCTCCCCATATGTCCGCAGATTCTATATCCTCCTTTATATCATCGGAGCCTGACCAAGAGGCTGATGATTCTCCTGCTTCCGACTTGATACCGCCAAATAATTTCGAGACCACTGCAAAATCAATGACTCCAAATCCATTTGCCGCATCGCTATCATCCTTCAAGCCATCAGAGCCAATCAAAGAAGCCAATGCTGTAGCTGGCTCTCTGTTTAATCGGGTTACAATACCCACTACGAAACAAACACCTGTTCCAAGTCCATTCCTCGCATCTTCGTCCACTCTTGCATCCGCCAAGCCTTCCGAGCTAAACGATAAGTCTGGTACTCTCCCCACCTCGGCGGGACAATCTCTATTCCCAGCATCTTCGTCCTCCCTATCTTCCAAGCCTTCGGAGCCCAGCCAAAAATTCAATACTTTTCCTGCTTCAACGGGGCAAGCTGGAACTCCCAACCCATTTGAAGCGTCTATATCATCATTTAATCGATTAGAGAAAATCAACGAAAGCCATGCTCCAGGTGGCTCTATTTTTGCTGGAACGCTACCTTCCTCGGAATTAGCTCCCACCAACCCATTTCCATCATCTTCACCCTTCACTGCATTCGCCAAGCCATCCGGGCAACAGCAAAAGGCCGTTACTCCTCCCACTCTGGCAAAACAAGCTTTCTCTCCCACGCCATTCTCACCATCTGCGTCCTCTGCGTCCTTCAGACCGATGGAGTCTAATGAATTGGCTGGTTCTGCGGCCCAATCACTTTCCAATCGGGTCATGTCTCCGGAACAAAGTGCGACTAGTACCCCATTCCAAACATCGACATCGTCGTCCGCTTCATCTTTTAACGCGTCGACATTCAGTCGAAGCCATTATCGAAATTATGATGATTTATACCCAGGTAAGCTCATAAAATCCATGAAAATATATATCTCGGCCCTCAAACACTAACTTTATACCTTAGCCTTTGAAACTGAGGAGGAAGAAAGAACCGCATGGCAAAATCTCATTAACTCGACAGTGGCAAAACGTGCTCGAAAGAGGGCACGTGAAGAAGAAGAACAGGCCGAGAAACGACATGAGGCTTACAAACTATCCGAGCAAGCATTGAAACAGAAGGAACAAAAGGAACTCCAATTCCCCAAGCTTTCAAAGATGGTGAAGGTCTCTGACCAGGCGGCAAATGCCGTCAAAGAAGCCGCGGTCAAAGCTCACAAACGTATGGTCGATGAGGACGAATTACTTTTAACGGCCGCTCGAATTGTTGCTGAGCAGCTGCGAACTGGGCCATCTATTTTTGAAGGATACCGTCGCACTCGGTGAAGTCTATGTATGAGCAATATGAAATAAAAGCTATCCTTTATTTGTATAGGAAATTAGAAAGATTTCAATAAATAACTCAAATCTATCAGACTATAACCATTTCATGTCTAGATGACTCCAATGTTCTACATTTTGGTTAGAAAAAACCTTGCATAATTACAATGCCGGTGCATTGGACTAACCTTCGTGGGCTATGCTGCAATAGCAGCCGCCTTGGCCTTGAACTCGTCACTGAACTCATAATCGGTATAGCCCTTAGAAGTACCGGGGGTATAAAAAGTATCACGGTCATAGGGAGCAAATTTCACGTTATCCTTGATTCGAAATGGCAGATCGGGGTTGGAAATAAAAGGCCGACCAAATGCAACAAGAATATCATGCCCGCGGTACTGTATATCAACAGCTTCACGCGCCGAATCAGACTTATACCCACCAGCAACGATAACAGGGCTGGCGTCCTCGTATGCCTTTAAAAAGAAGTCAAGGGAGTCGAGCGCATCGATAGTCTCAGCACCAGAGACACGCGACTCGATAAGATGTGTGTAGGCAATCTTTAACTTGCGTAACTCCTGCGCTAGATACTTGAACGTCGGCAGCGGGTTCTCCATCTTCATACCATTGTAGGGGCTAAAGGGACTCAGGCGGATACCAGTACGATCGGCACCAATAGCAGCAGCCACAGCGCGGGTGACCTCGAGTGTAAACCGCACACGGTTTTGAATGCTGCCGCCCCAGCAATCAGTGCGCTTGTTGCAGGTATCTTGAAGGAACTGGTCAAGTAAAAAGCCATTCGCTGAGTGAATCTCTACACCGTCAAAGCCAGCAGATATGGCATTACGCGCAGCCTGTACGTAGTCGGCGATGTACTCTTCGATCTCGGACTCGCTTAGGGCACGCGGGATTGGACCATCGGCACATAGGGGGGTTGCGCTACTAGAGACAAGGTCGAAGTTGTCTTCCTTTTTTAGCTGTTCATGACTGGCTACACGACCCATAGCAAATATTTGCATATAGATATAGGAGCCTTTAGCATGCACGGCGTCGGTAACTTCCTTCCACATAGCGACCTGGGCATCGGTGTGAATTTCTGGAGAGTTGTCCCAGAGGCCAGCGCGTGGGGTGATTAATGCTCCTTCAGATATAAGAAGGGTGCCAGGGGTTGAGCCACGCTGAGCATAGTAGTCTTTTACAAAGAAAAGTGGGATGTGTTTGTCGTCGTTGCGGCACCGGGTTAATGGTGCTAGGACAATACGGTTGGAGACCTCAATGCGGCCAACTCGGAGTGGTTTAAAAAGATTTGACATTTTGCGATGATTCATACATATAGAGTCAGATGAAACTGATGAAGAGCTTATTGTAGCGACATTATTGAATGCAGAATGGCTTAATATATGCCTAGTTATCGGAGACTTCTGGTGATTGTTAAGCAGGTGCTTGATTCTTATAATGATATTAGCTCCGAAAGGCGTCCGCAATTTCAAGAAAACGAGTATTGCGTGGCTAGGAATTGCTTGAACTCTATGTCCTTTATATTATTAATCTGCGTGATCGTTTGGTCAGAAGTGGACTAGTTCAATTGACTTGTATGGCTTGGTAATCACGATCTTCAGACTTGATTAGAGGCTGAATATTTCTCGGCGATTAATCGCGCAAGAAATCGGGTGTATTTCCTCCGCAGTTTCTATCATCAAAGGGTCAAAGCCTCAAAGGGGCCATAGTGCAGATGCTCGGATGGTTGATGTGTAAATTGACACGAATTAAATCAGGGAGCCTATATGTGTAGACCCCAGGCTACACCAACCAACACACAGCTCGCAGCAACAATCAAATGACTTAGAGCCCCAAAAGTTTGCGCTAACTGTTCAGAAAAGCCTTACTATAAATAAAAACAACAATACAGTATTTAATAATCAATGACATTGACTCGTCATAAGCTGATGAGAACTTCATCTTTATGCCTATCAGAAGAGCTGAAATCAAAAAGCTTGTTATTGATTTGGTTGCTTATCGTACTCTACTCCAATCCAGGCTCTAATAGAAGTGCTCAGAAAGCTTCGCTCTTGATTCCTCTAAGAATCGGTCTTGAAATATACTCCCAAGTTCCTGCTATTCTATTGACCTTATCTCTCAAATAAACCTTCAGAATCCTGGCTCTTCTCTCGATTGGTAAAAGAGATAAGATGCCTAGAACCTGGGACAGATCTAAAGCATCAGAATTTTATCTGTACTTCGTTATTCCAAGGTTGCATTTACCATAGAGCATCCTCAGGTTGACAGCGTCTCTAGAGCAAACCTTGAAGGAGGACAAAGTAATTTTCAAGGTCGGAGGCAGAAAATTAAGATAAATCTATGGATAGGAGAAAAATTGGGAAAACTAACACCAAAAGCAGCAGACTAAATTTCTAATAGGGTAAAGTGGAAAATAACAGAAGAGGGGAAATACATATTATAGGATAGCGCTGTAATTGTATTATGTACAGGAACAAGTGATCCAAAATGGAATTATGAGTGTACCTCCAGGGGCTCCTCAGCACCTAAACTAAGGCTTAAAATTTTTGGTATAGTACTTCTTCGGGTTCTGTAATACATAAAAATACGACGCATTCCCATTACAATAACTTATGACCTCCCACAGAGAGAAAAATTTGCCTCACCAAATCCCCATTAATCCAAGACAGGTACTCTCTTCAAAGGGAAAGAATATCCTGAGATTTGTGTAATCCGTAACTGGCGGATAACTATTAGTCGACATGCCCGTAATCTGTGTCACTAACAGTGACCAACAGTTTGACCCTCGTGTTGCTACCAACTGTCGAAGCTTCGATTTCACTCTTCTTTCGAGGATTCTGTGCTAACAATGATACCCGCAGCCTTGTTTTCTCTCTTCCTACTAGCACGACTACATATCGTACAAAGAGATCCGGTGAAAGTATTGTCTTATAAACTAGCTGCGTATAAACTGGTAAGAGGGAAATTCTTGTGTACATGCGAGCTCTAAACTCTGACCGTGATGAGTGAAAAAGACACTTTTAACGGCTCTATTCATGTTGCATGTAGTCTATACAGTTCTGAGCATTAGAACGTCGGTGTTGCATACCTCGTTTTCACTAGCATCCGACATCCTCAATATCGTTGTCACCGTTGGGGCAGTAATCCTTTCGTTTCTAGAAGACCAACGCTCAATGCAGCTATCAGACCTTCTAGTTGTTTATTTTTCTTCGCTAACACTTCTGTGGATCCCTGGCTACGCTAATTGTGGCTAATTCCTGCGTCAGGTCCCTGCAGAGGTTTGTGGACGACGATATACATCATCACCGCTCTGATTGCTTTCTTTGAATCGAGCCAAAAGATCGAGTCTTTGAGTCCATTATACAAGCATGTCACAGTAGAACAGGGTATGCAGGAATTGATAGAGACAGAATTCACTGATCAGACTGTTATCATCGTCATGCATCGACTTCGCTACATCACTCGTGTTGACCGAGTGGCTCTGATGAATAATGGAGAGCTTGTTGAATGTGATAGTCCGTCTTCCTTACTTGCGCGGGTCTCAGAATTTAGGGAGTTCTTCAATGCTTTTAAGGGGACGTACTTATAACTTGCAATCCATCCCATGGCTATCGAGATTGAAGCTCTAGATGTTTAGTTGCGGGAGAACTGATTTATTTGGGATTGAGTGGGCGATGAACAACGATTTACTGGGAAATGATATAGATAGATAGGTAGGGGAGAGTATTGAGGTCGTTCAATTATATGTACGGTAAAGAACAATCCTTTCTTAAAAAAAAAAAAAAAAGTCAAACATCGCCGCTATATTCCATTCATACAAATAGAGGTGATGGGCGACCTATAAACAAAACGTGGCAGAGAAAAAACTATAATTTCTTAGTGGTACTTGTTGGAACGAATATCAGCTGACATACCAAGATCATGTGATCTTGGCATGGTGTCAAAGGCCCGATTCCATTTACAGTTAGTCTATTTTAGTCAGCATTGGAATCCCACAATGGGATTCCTCCATTCTATAATATATACACATACACACTTTGGTACGCATACTGCGTTCTCATTTGCCCACTAGAATCCACTATTCCTTGGTAGTCGACCTCCATTTGACAGTTATGAGCCCGGTTCGCCGACAATTTACCTTGAAAAGCATATTTTAAGGGTAAACGAGACTGAAGACTGTGTCCGCGATGTCCGGCGATATAAGACTGAAAGATGCCTCTCAATGGCAGCAGTGGTATAGGCGAGTCAAAGCCGTAGCCACTGGCGGAGATGTATAGGAATACTGCGATCCAGAGCTTAGGACTGAACGACCAGTCCTAGGATCAGAACCACGCGACTACCCGATCAAACCAATGCTTGAACTCGACATGGATCGTAAAGAGTATGATTGGTTACGACAGGACTGGAAGGACGATGTAGAGGATTACAAGTTCCGTCTTTTATTCTACTAAACCAAGAAGCGAGCAATTGAATCTGTGAATGAATATATCCTAAAGCACTTGGATACACATGTTCAGAGTCTCGTTTTATAATATGACGAACCATTTATGCGACTTAAATTCTTGTATAACCGCTATAGAATCTCGTCAATAAACAGAGCCAGGGTATTCTACCATTGGCACAACTTTGCGGTTACTCCACCTATAGCTGGCGCCGATATTGGCGCCTGGCTTGAAGAATGGGAGCATTCGCGCCTTAAAGCAGAGGTTGAGGGCGTCTCAGCTGCCAAGAATGATGATGCTATGTGGCTCTTTTTAGAGCTGGTAAAGGATATACTGCCAAACTGGTGGCAGTCCTGGCATGGAAAGATTATAGTTGATCGCGAGCAGATCTCTATGCGTCGCCTTCTAGATCATTTCAAAACCACCTACCAGAATCAAAGACTAAAGCAGCCAGCCATCTCAAAGGGAGCGTTCACGACGTTCTAAGGACACCAGGAAACAGCTGGCCAAGCTAGTGCTCCTGCCCCTTATGCTCCTGGCCAACCTAGTGCCCCTGGTTAAGGGAAGAAAGCTCTGGCTAGAGCTTAATTCCTATAGGAGCAGAAAGCAAAACCATTTAAAGATAGGGCATGCCTATGTGGTTGTAGCTACCCTGTCGATAAGTGCTTTAACTTAAATGGTAAAGGCAGCAGAAAGCTAAATGCTGGCATGAAATAGAAGATAAAACAGGCCCTGGACGGGGATTTAGGCTGGAAACAGTGGATCGACACTAAACTGAAAGAATCCACCAACACCAGCAATACCCCAGCCGAGCCAGCCAGGCAATCTGCAGCCGTAAACCATACCACCAACTACACTATAAAACCAGTGTTTTTCGCGACTTAAACTACCTATGCTGCCGATTCAAGCGATAGTATATAGCTCGCAGGCACTGCCGAAGACTAGTTTCTCGGCCGAAATACTATAATCTTAGACACTCTGGACATAGCTTTAGATACTCTAAACACTATTCTAGACATAGTTTCAGATACTCTAGACACCATTCCAGACCTCTCTAGTGCATTTACAGACTCTATATTTCTACAGAAATCAGCTTTCCTGACCTAGTCTAGTCAGGAGCTCCAGAAAGATAGCTGGGTGCTAGATATAGGCGCCAGTGCGCATGTCTGCAACAACTTAGGTGTATTCGTCAATTTCGAGCATGGAAGAGACACCCTTTAACTAGGATTAGGAGAGGTTGAAACCCTTAGTAAAGGATAATGCGAAGTCAAAGGGATCCATCCAGTAACCAAGGAATCGACATCAATCATCCTGTCAAATGTCCTCTATAGCCCTGAGTTTAGATTGAATCTACTCTCTTACTACGCCCTGAACGATAAAGGAGGCGATTAGGTGCCTTCGAAAGACTATCTTATTGATAGGGACGGGACACCTGTCCTAGCCATTCAAAGGATTCATAACCCAAATTTATTGATCGTGGAGCCATTATTAGCTGAACAAGATTCAGATAAAGAGACACCCGACGAGATCTTTTCGGCGGAAAAGCATATATATATGGGCAAGGATTCTAGAAAACCACTAGAATCTAAGGCATCGACAGAGCTCTGGCATCGTCGTCTAGGTCATTTACACCATGATGCTGTACAGCAGCTTCCTAAGCTCGTTGACGGAGTCGTTTTGAGCGATCAACCAGACTCAACTGAACCAGTCACTGACCATATAAATGGCCAAATACAGAGCCCATGCTCTATTTATAGTCTTACTAGAGCTCCTAGATAGATATCTAGATATCATCTAGGACATAGGTATGGTCGATTCGGACAGATCTCTCTAGACCTGATCCAAATATCAAT